CTTCAATAGTCTGACGAACATTGAATCGGATGCTTGCTAATATGGCCGTGGGCACCATGGGGGTCTTGTCAAAGATAAATCTCATATGAGCAAGCCAGGTTTGTGAAAGAGTAATTATGAGGATTCTGTATGGTTTGATTCCTTTCCGTTGGCAGTACCAGATGTACGAGAAGTCCAGGGACAGAAGAGCCTCTTGGATATCCGATATTGAAGTGGTAGGCCAAAGAAACTCAAAGATGATTTCCTTCCATACCTTCTCTTTAGTTGGACAATGAAAGAGCATATGGCTAATAGAGTCAGTGGTAGTTAAGCACACCGGACAGAAGGGGGAGTCAAACACATGAGGCATAATAAAATGTAAGAATCGACGATGAGGAATACACCCCAAGATATACCGGTATGTTACATTATGTTGAATGGTGGTAAGAGACAGAGACCAAAAGAATTTCCATTTCACTTCTGTAATATTTCTCAAGGCCAAAGGAGGAGCCATAGACGAGAGAACTGACTGACGAAATGTCTTAGCCGATGCCTTGATACTACAAATACCTTGATCATCTTGAAACCGAAATTGGTTGATCAAAGGCGCAAATGAGACCGTCGAGTCTTCAAGTGGAGCAGGACTACATACAGAGCTAAAAAATGGCTGAAGTTTCAAACTCCCAGATGCAAGACCTTTGAAGACTGTGAGGGAGTACGCTTCCAATAAAGTAATGAAGGATCACGAGTATCTTTCCAGTGAACAAAGTTGAGTCTAGCATCAACTTGAAAGACATCTGACACCATCATTTTCTTGGCACGTAGGGGGACAACGAAGGACGAAGAAGGGGGAACGTAAAGCACAGCTTGCAAAGATAGGACCATAGCGGTAACAGTACTAAGGCTAGCATTAGCAAATGATCGAGGAAGACAATCAATGGCACGATATAGCATATTAATAGTGCCAGTTCTTTGTTTTTTCAGCCCTTGTGTACGAGAAGAAGGAAACAACAATGGAATCTGATGATATTTGCAGTCATTGATATTTCGAATATGAAGGCTAAGTAAGTACGTGACCGGATGAGCATCAATAGTATCTTGATTATACGCCAACAAAGGATGCAGCCAGCGAAAAAATAAAGCCGAGGCCTGAACCTGAATATCAATTACTCCAAGTCCACCTTTTTCTTTTGGCAACATCCATACTTTCCAAGAAATAACAGGAAATATATTCTTACGCAAGAATCGAATGGCCAAAGATTTCAATTGTTTGAAATCAGCAAGTGTCAACGGAGTAACCCGCAAGATATACCATATTTTAGACAATATCAGTGAATTCAAGACAGTGGCTCGGCCCACCACAGATAATGAACGTGTAGAGTGGATTTGTATAGCAGTCTTAATTTTTGTTATCATAGAACCCATAAAATTGACTCTTTGAATACGGCTTTGTATCAATGGAAAACCCAAATAAATTAAGGGTTCATCATCTTCGACAGAGTGTAAATGCTTGATACCCATTTGAGAGAGTGGAGCTTCCCAATAAGTCCATGTATTTCTGCCAGACACCGAGAAGGCTTCCATCTTTTCATGGCTGAGCTTTGCATTCGAGGCTTCGCAATATCGAGTCATATGCAGTTGTAGCCGAGCAAGATCAGTGGAATTATGTACAAAGACCAGAGCATCGTCAGCGTAACATAGAAGCTTCGTCCGTTCAGTACCCATTATGTAGCCTTGAAATTGACGATCATGGAGAATGGAGAGCAAGAAAGGTTCAAAAGCCAAATTATACAGAATAGGCGAGAGAGGATCACCCTGTTTCAATCCGCGTAATTTAGCAACTTCGGAGGAGAGATGACCATTGATGTTGATTCGGATAAGATTATCGCCCATTAACTTGTAAATGCATTTAATCAGTGGGGAAGGGAAGCCAAACTTTTTCATCACTTTCTTCAGGTAGTGTAAATTCACTCTGTCGTAAGCCTTTTCTTGATCCAAGAGAAGACCAATATCAGCATTTAAGGTACTAAAATCAGGATCATTATCCAGTTGTTCAGCGATCGACCATTTCCTTTGAGCGTCTTCCATTAGCAATTGACAGATTATACCATTTTCAGCGATAAACCGCCCTGGAATAAACCCCAATTGATGACGGCTAATAAGACGAGAAGATACCTCCATGAGTCGACGATTGACGATACGTGTGAACAGTTTGTAATCCGTATTTGCTAAGGACAAAGGACGATAGTTCTTCATATCCGCAGGATCACCTTTCTTGTACAGCAGACACATGACTGATTCATTCCATGACTGAGGAAACTTACTCTTCTGCAAAGCGTCATTATAGACAGTCGATATCAGATCATGATATGGAGGGAATTTTATAACCAAATACAAAATCTCATATGGCAGTCCATCTGGTCCTGGACTACTCTTACGAGGGGTGCGCTTGCTCTCGTTGAGTATGTCATCAACATCGATAGGCTGCATAAGTTTCTCCTGTTGTTCTGAGGAAATCTTCAAGTGACTAGGGATAGATCGAGTCATAGCCCTAAGAGCTACAGTGTCGGTGGGAGAAGGAGTAAATAGCGAGGTATAAAATTTAGTTGCTATACGAGAAATATCATGTTGCTCTTGACAAAGCTCTTCAGTCACTGGATCTCTCAATTCAATGAGGGTTCGCTGATTTTGTCGAGATACTTGTGTCCGCTCCAAAAAGCCTGTAGATTTCTCTCCATGTTCTCTCCAAAACTTGCCAGACTTTAAAATTTCGATCTCTGCTATCGACTGTTGTAAAGACTGGATTAAGGAATTGATATGATCCAAGCCTTGAAATATCAGTCCTCTATGCTTCTGATGCCGCATTGCTTTGTTCCTCTTAGATTGCAATTTATGAAATTGCTTTTTCCTCCAGTTCAGATCTTCCTTCTGATAGGATTTCACAAAAAGCTTTACCTCTCCTTTAATCCAATCCCATTGCTGTTGCGGTTTAGCACATTGTTTGATTTCTGTAAAACGTTCCATGCATGATTCTAAATGAAGTGCTAAAGCTTGTCTGAACTCTTTGTTTCGAGCTAAGAATGGATTCGCTTTCCAAGAACCAGGTCCACGATCAGATGAGTCTTGATACTTGAATGAGAACCCTAAGAGGTCGTGGTCTGTCCACTCTGGTGACAAAAATTGTTGATTGATACTAGTGATCTGATGATGAGCACTTGAACTACAAAAAATATAATCCAAGATTCCTGAGTTGTTACCACTATGCCAAGTAATCTGCTTTTCATTCCCAAAAATATCAATGTAATAGTCATCCAGTAAATCTGTCCATTCAGGAGGTGCACACAGTAAAGTGCCATCTAAACGGCGATCTTTATATTGATAGTTGAAATCTCCCATAATAAATATTGTGTTATGTGTATTGATAATCGTGTCCCTGACAATTGGAATATCAAGGAGCTCAGTATAGAGTGCTGATCGATCAGAATGAAGCGCTGAACGACCATAGATATTTAAAATTGTTGCTATAGATGCCATAGTAGAAGAATGTTCCAAATCTCGAGTTGAGTGAATATCAGCCACTATATATCGACCATTGTCAATTCCTTCCGAGACAGGTGTAATTGTAAAGTGATGAGAGAGTGATATGATGCCGCAATGTTGAGTCCAAATGCTCGACTTGCAGTTAAAATGGGTGTTAAGTAAATCTATAATAGTAGTATCTGAAGCATGAGTTTCTTGTAACACCAGGATATCATATCCAAGTGTTCTAAGGTATCTAATGAATTGTTGTCTTTTTTTGGTATTTTCTGATTTTTTCAAGCCACGACAATCGAGAGTGGCGAGAAATACTAACAAAGAATTGGGGGGGGGGGGTTTACAAGTCCATTACGTTAAGGTGCAAATCAATTTCGAAAATCCAAAACGTATACGTTTTTTCTGTCATTCTACTCATCCATGCTCATCCATGCTATTCCTTAATATTTTATCAATGTCAAAATAAGAGCAAAAAAAAAGAGCCAAGGCCAAACAAAGAATGCATTTTTATTGAGTCAACAATAGGTTCACATTTATAGATAATTGCTTGTATCAGGGTTTAGCATGATCTGTAGAGGTCCTTATTCCACACTTAAATCTCAAATAATAACAATTAATCTAAATAATTCACTAATCACTGCTGTACAAGGATTTACATTAAATGAACCATTCAATCTCTAATTTGCTCAGTGTGATTGACAGGTTGTTATATAAAGTTCTCCACTTAATTTAAGACATTTTATCAGATAAGGCAATGATTCCATAAATAGATGTAAATCATTTGTTGTCAGATATTTATCCATTAAAGTTACCGTATTGAATTCTGCAAATGACATTGTGCCTTTTGAGCTGGATGTGTCTTTAATATAAATAGAACGAGTAATTAAATTAGGGCTGTCAATATATGATAATATATAGTCGTTTATGCATCATAAAATTCTCCAATACCTTGACACTCTTATGAGCAAACATTCCCCCCCCCTTTTTTTTATCAAGATCACCACAGCGTAAGTGATTACGTTTTACTTTCATATTTGGGTGGAGATTTCAACAATTGAAGAACTCTTCCATTTTTGATGAAAAATTTCTGCATACCTTATTTACATCATAAGTGTCTATATTTCTACTTTTGTATGTTCTTCAACACTCTGAATAGCATACAATATCTTTATAGCGCTATCGATAACAGGTTTTGTAAGATATCTAGAGTAAAAATGCTCAAAACACAGCTTAAACATGCCAATCTTTGATGGACCATTACTCGACAATATGACTATTAAAACAACCTGTTTTTTTTTTTTTTTCATTTGAACCATGTTCTTTTGAGCCAAGGAATTGAATGGTATTATTGGCTTGGCTGTTTTGTGAATTTTATTTTATTTTTTTTTTTTGACCATGGAGGATCCCGAGAATTCGTGAAGATAAGATAAACAAAACTCCATCAGAAAATTTTGAAATAACCCAATGTAGGTCTGATCCAACCGAAATGAGGAAAGGCCATCTCTTGGTACTTCTGATAAAAATAAAGCGAGTTTACTAAGACGAAAAAGTCGAGTCAATTTGAGCATTGCCTTCGAATCTGCATTCAAAGTTTGTTGTACACTGTAGTTGGTTTCTTTCAGTGTATATAGGTAAAAGATGGCTCCTATCAATAGGAGCTTTACCTCGAAAAAATACAACAGTAAATATTTTCTTTCTGTATTGAATTTCTGACTTTTAAGTGCGAAGAATAGACAGATCTTTTGCGTTACAACTAAACTCCACCCAGCTTAATTAAATACTTGTTTTAGATTTATTTCAATAGATCAAACCATGCCATCATATAGATTCAATGCTTGTAAAATAGTTGGATCCTTCTTCGATCCTTCCCTAAACTCGTCCATTGATAGTCTACCATCCTTGTCCTGCATTTATGAGAAGATAAATAGATTGTCTGTATCTTACCGTATCCATGAGTTCAAAAATCTTGTGTACACGCTTTTCTGGTGTATCTTCATCTGGTGGTAATTTGACCATACTACCCACCATTTTATAGATGGCATCTACAATATGTAACATTTCTTCACGGGTAATATAACCATCATTATCAATATCATACAACTATATAAGATTAGTATATGCTTTTTCTTTTGTCTATTCCAGACCCTACATACTTGAAAAGCCCCTATTTACACGCAATTAATAAAATGAAAATCAAATAATAAAGTGGCTTACAAAGTAACTTTTCATCCACTCTTCCTCGACTAGTCACTGACAATGCCACAATAAACTCTTTGAAGTTGATCATGCCATTCTTGTCTTCATCAAACACGTTAAATACATAGTCAGCAAACCGGGAAGGATCACCAAAAGGAAAGAATTGTTTGTATATCTTTTGAAATTCAGTCTTGTCTAATTGACCAGAGGGACAGTCTTTTAAGAATCCCTTGTACCTATGAATTCAATCAAGTTAATTTTCCCGGAGGAGAAAAAAAAAGGGCACACGCTATTACCATTGCTGCAGTTCTTTCTTTTCGACTACAAATAGGGATTAAGAAGATGAGAAACAAAGCAAGTATTTACTTACAATAAGTGCACTTTTGAAGGTCAGTGAGTTGTTCAGGACTAAGTTTACTTTGTGCTTTTCCCATGATATAAATAAAAGAAAAAAAAAGAAGGAAAAAGAAAAGTGGTAGATCAATTTCGGCGGAAAAACCTCAATTAAATACGTCATTCGCCAAGTATGGTTCCTTTTCAAGTCACTTTATTGTCTTTACAAAATTAAGCATTTACTCTTCTTTTCTTTCTTTGGTTTGCCTTTGGGTCCAGGATTAGATCCTTCTCTTTGAGTTCGGATGGCTTTGACTACCTGATAAAATGATCTTTCTACATTGACGCATGTCTTTGCAGACGTTTCAATAAAATCACAAGCTAGTCTTCTTGCAGTAGCATGACCTTCTTCTCGAGTGACTTCTCGCTCTGTTACCTTGTCACATTTATTACCGACCAGCATCAAAGGAACGTTATCGACATCTTTCACTCTAAATATTTGATCACGGAAACGCTCAATACGATCATACGTCGAGCGAGATGTAATTGAGTACACAAGCAAGAAACCTTCACCATCTCTATACACCAAAATAAATATATGCATGCACCTTTATTATCTTACCTTATCCACTGATCTCTTAATGCAGTATATTCCTCTGAATTCATGCAAAACAAAAAAAAATAAATAAACCCATCATGATCTAAAAGTTTACCTTGTCCTGCTGTATCCAATACTTCTAAAATACAAGGTTGATCATCAATCACTACTTGCTTTCTATATGAATCCTCAATAGTTGGATCATAAGTCTATTTCGACCCAAATAAAAAATTAGGAGATAAAGGAAATTCCTGTTTCTTTTTTTTTTTACCTCTATAAAAGCAATATTAAGTGCTGCATGTACATGTTATTCTCTTACCAACAAAATGGTTTAAACAAAGCTGTCATATGGTCAGGTTAGAAAAAGAGGAGGCTGAATTTATTCAGAAAACAAACTTTACCTGAATTGTAAGCGCAGTCTATATATACATGTATTAGAGGAAGTCAATACTCTATAGAATTTACCTTTCCAACACCACCGTCACCAAGAACAACAAGTTTATAGAGCATCATTTTCAATATCTATAGAAACGATTGTCATTATTACGCAACCACAAATGTATTGACAATGGTAGGTTTAACTTACTTGTCTTTCAAAATGAAAAGAAATTTTTTAAAAAAAAGGAAAAAAAAAAGAGGAAGAAAAAAAAGCAAGAGTAGGAGAACAGGTTGTTCGAGAATGAGCGATGCAAAGTGTCATGTCTAGCCAGAATATGCTCAAAAAACCCGAGGGGCGGACTTCACATTTATTGTTCTTTCTTTCTTTCTCTGTATTGTAACAAAAAAAGAAAACATGAGTTCTTTACTTGCTATCTTACTCGTAGTCAACTCAACAAGAGGCCACCATTATCTCTATAGCTATCCCCCAGATCCCCGAAGGTTCTCCACAGCCAGAAAAACCAATAATAACGAAAAATCAACTAGTTTTACAGTGGGCTCTGCATTTTCTGTCTCAAAGCAAGCCGAAGTTCTGATCAAAGACAGTCGACGATCCTCCAGTGCATCGAAAAGCAACAACTCGACAAAGAATGACGATATTTCTACGCATGAAACAAACACGTCTGATAAAGATATATTTGCTGGACGCGACAGAATATTCAATATCGATGTATCCTTTTTAGCAGATGCTTTAGCTCCTAAACTTCCTTTATGTGATCGTAAATTCCAGCTCAGCATGGATGACTTGACTTTTGTAGGACACCCTGTCAGTCTTACTTCGCCTCAGCATCCAAACGAAACAGAGGATCTGAATGATTCGACTGAATTAAATGCTTCTGTGCCAGCAACACCTCCTTCACATACTTATTCCCCTTTGCCTACCGTGCCCCATACACCTGCTTCTGGTTACAACACAAAGCGTTCTTCTCCTAATGATGCTGCAGACGACGGTTTAGACTTAAGAGGCAATGATGAGAGTGATGGTCAACAAAAAGACACAAGTGATAGTTCAGATGATAGTTCAGATGATAACTTACAACATGATGATAGTGATACTTCTATTTCTGAAACATTTCCCGGTTCAACATCGATCCATATGACCTTATTTCATGTTGTGTTTGTACTGTCACCCCCTGATTTGGAGCTGAATGCTCAAGTAGACACTTTGTATAAAAACGTTATTTTGAGATATTCTTCTGCTTTGAGATATGAACAGCTTCGATGTGGCTATGTACAAGAAGAGATTGAAAAGGTACTTGGGCTAAAAGAAGAAGCATTCAATAAAGGTATGAGGATGATTAAACATACAGGTCATTGACATGTATTCACAGGCATACCCTACGATGAAACCATGCGAGAGATTTTACGCGAATCGTCCTTGGCAAGGGACATCAAGCAAATATATACTGCCATTTCATCCAATACAGCAGCGCATGTCATTATTAACGATTTTATTGATTTGTCGCTTCAAATTCCAACCATTGGCAATGTGCATGAGTCTGGTTTTGACCGAAAAAACTTGTCAGCACCTTACTATCCACATACTGAAGCAAGCATAGCTATGGGCAATACTCGAGATAACTACACTGGGTCGTCTCTGATGGACATCTACAGTGTGGCAGGATACGAGTACGATAGTTATCCAGTACTTTGTCCATACCATACTCTACTCTTATTAGAAGATCCTGAAGAAGTGTTAAAGAACATGCCTCTGGATGCCAGTCCAACGCTTGTCCAACTGGTGCAAATCTTGACACCTACACAGAGCCTGCAAGAATTGCACCTGCTGTTGGACTGTTCTCTGGCTCAGATCTATCGATTAGCTGCTCATCTCATTTATTGGAGAAAAGCCAAACTCATTCATACCATTAGTACAAGAAATATCTATGTCGTCTCCCCACATGCCAAACTAGACGAGTAAGTAAGCAACATTGTTTGATAGGTTGACTCAATCCATATAGTATGGCAAGTCTTGAGGCTGACTTTCGATCCCATATTCCTAATTTGAGCTTACCTGTCTTATTATCCAAACTGCAACATGCTCAACAATACCACCTTGTATACCATGTCAAGGAATTGAAAAACCAATATCTGGAAGCCATTACTTATCTGATACGAAAAGACCTTGTTGTTCAATTGCACATGTACCTTGTCTTGCTAGTGCCTATTGAAAAAAAGACAGGCATTGAAACACCTCAGTCACAGTATGATACTCAATTATTAGAACAGCCAGAACCCTCAGCACCACTCTCTTCTAGCCCCAACAACATGGCTAACAATCCTACTATGGATCCAGAATGGAACAGACTAAAACGTCTGAGTTATGAAAGAGCACCCAAAGAAGTCGCTGAACTGTTTGAACGTTTGCGTCCTTACATGAATGGTCAACACCATATAGAAGAAATCATTTATCGAGAAGGAATTTCTCGTAGACAACTTGGTCTTGTCCTTAAATACTATCGAGATAAGATTGTTACTGTATATCATTACTAGAAACCAGTTTATTAGGATTTTACGGGAGATCGATTCATATTAGGGTAAAATACAATAGATTCTGGGTCTGGTACATTGCCACTATTGAATCCAAAGAAATCAAAACCATTGATTTTATCTGGGTTTATCATGTAAATAACCACATTGAATGCAACACCTCCCAATAATAAAATAAGCCAAGCAATGATCGGCAAGGCTTCTTTCAATTGACTCCAAAACACATTCTCTCGTTTACGTTCTGCTGCTGAGCGTGCTGATGTTCCCCAGCCAACGTCCCATAAGGAAATAATAGCCCATAGTTTGGCAGGTACCAAGCCAAACATGTAATAGAGTGAATAGATTGGAAAAGCCAAGAATCGAACCTGAAGTGTGACGAGTGTTGAGTACACAGTCTTGATACAAGCAATCACCAACAAAGAAATCAGCCAGATCACAAGCACAAAAGGCGACTTGCTAAACAAGATTTGAAAGATAGAAAACAACAAGACAAAAGGATAGATGCCTTGGTAGAATAATTCTGCAGCCATCCATGGACTGTGTTTGTGTAGACTTCGAGCATTCCAAAGGAGTTCTCGATAGAAACTCTTGGACCATCGTGTTTGTTGTTTAAACCAGCGCAAAAAGCTAATAGGTGTCTCCGTCTCGCAAAATGCTAAATGTGTATACACCACTCGATATCCATGTAATAAAGTACGATTGGTTAAATGTCTATCATATAGTGCATTAGCTGATGTTGAGATTTCATATACTTGCCTGTCATCACCATAAGTGCATTCCATGCCTAGAAAACTTTGGCCGATCCAGTCGTCCAAAATCTCTCTCAGTACATACGAGCGATAAATCCCCATGGGCCCCGAGACACAAGTAACGCATCGATTGAAACTTTGTGCGGCTCGTTCAATATTGAATGCCATCCAATACCTCAAGGACGACATAAAAGAAAGCAAACTATCCCTGGCATTCCAGATACGTACATCGCCTGCGACTGCACCTATGTTAGGAAACCAGTATAATGCTCTTTCCATCTCTATCATAGCATCTGGATCAAATCTTGTATCTGAATCAGTCGACATAACAGCATCACACCCTGAAGCCATTAAAATACGGAATGCTGTATACATGGCGTGCCGCTTTCCTCGATGTGGTTGCATATAACATACAGGCGTAGTGTCTGTTGGCAATGTGAATGTTTCCTGTAACAATTGATCATAATTGACTTTTTCTTGCTGCGATCGAAGCTTTTCAAACGAGACAGACAAAAGTTCGGGTAGCACTAAAATAGGGCTTTGAGGAAACGTCTTTTGAAATAAAACAGCCATTTCTTTATCGTCCGGTGCATCACCGTCAATGACTACGATCACTTTGAATGGATCAGGGTAATTTAAATTTTTGACAGATTCTAAACATTGCATAAATAGCTCGGGTTCTTCTCGGTAACCCACTACAGCGAGTCCCATACGTGTAGCAGGTCTACCTTGTTCTTGGCCTTTTTCTTGATCTTCAGCACACGTTGTCTCACTTGTGATGTCCAGTTGTTCATCATTTGTTTTCTCATCTCGTAGGTCATGGTCTCGAGAAAAAGCCGGCGGTGATTTTCGTCTATAGTGACAGACCATGACTCGATTCAATGTGGCAAATATAAGTTGCAGGAATATAAATACAAAGACAACAGTGCCATACACGCCGAGCACCCAGAATGATTTTCTAGTAATTTCTATACGAAGTGCGTATCCTATCAGTGCTGGTAAAACAAAGATGCATGAAACGACTATGGAATAAAGGATTTTGAGTGGTAATGTCCAATATGTTGACATGACTTGAAAGTAGACACATAAAAAAAAAGAAAAAAAGAAAAACAGACAGACAACCTGATGTGTTTGTGATTCTTTTTTTTCACTAGGAAAATTTGACTTAATATCAATCATGTTTTTTCCTTTTACTTTTTTGTCATAGAATAAGACATTGAATTGACAGATCAACAGTTTCGAATCGAGTTTATGCAAGCTAAAATGTCATATTTGTAAATGATGTTTTGTACAGCAACTTGTTTCTCTCCTTTCTCTCTCTTCTTCTTCTTCTTCTTCTTCTTGTATGATCGAGAAAAAAAAATATGTAATTTGATGGTGAAATAGTATTTGTTTGTTCCTTGGACATTTTATTTATTTGTTCTGAGTTTTCTTACTTTTCGCATACAATGCTGTTTCTCTTGAGCATAAATATCTGAGATTTAATCCACACCATCTCAATTTCATGTGTAGCTTTTTGATTGCTCAGGAACATCTTTAGATTAAAAAAAAAAAAAAAAAAAAAAAAAAAAAAAAAAAAAACACTTTTACAAACACCAAATGCAAGTATGCAGCTCTCCTTTTTTTTTCACTGCCAATTGTTATGAAGTAGGATTTGTAAGTTGACTTGATCAAACGTAATATTCAGAAAAAGACTATGATGATGACGATGATGATGATGATAAAACCGCAATTTATTCTTGTGTTAAGAATGGATTGCATCATATGGAAAATTCGTGATACAATACTGAACTAGAAAGAAAGGTTGTTTTTGGCTGGAACAAGGGAATTGTTTAGATGTTACTCAAACACTGTGTGTTTCATGAAACAGCACCTTTGCCAAGCAGCAAGTCTCAATCACTGCTTCTTTTTTTGAGATGTGGTAAAGAGGCATAGGATGACAGCCAATTGGAGTGATAGAAAGAAACATTCATTTTGAATCCAATTGAGTTTAACTTGATCATTATTGACCTATTGTTTAGGATGTTGGGAAAAGCTGGAGAAGGGAGGGAGAGAAATATACAACTCAACAGGAAACTGCCATTGATACCTGTATCAATCAATGTCTCTCCCCCACCCCTTCCTTCTTGTTTCCCTTGCATTTCCTTTCTCTCTCTCTCTCTCTCTCTCTCTCTCTCTCTCTTTCTCTACATTATGAGTACTTTCTCTCTAGAGTAAGACCACTTGGTACAAACATGACCAGAGAATGCCTCCCTTTTTAGAAAAAGACAAGAAGGAACGGCTGACTTGGATGTCCCAAGGCCGTGACTTTAAAATTACAATGATCAGAGAGGAGAAAGAGAAAGGAAGAGACAGAAAGAAAATCTCTTTTGTTTGTAACTCAAATTTTTTATGCTTCTTGTTCTATTATGCCTAAAGAAAGAGCCCCCATCTCCACTCGCTTAAGAAACAAAGACAAGAACAACAAGTCTGAAGGTAACTAGAATAAAGAAAAATTAGAAAAAGTTTTTTTTAATAAAGTTATTAGGCTTTTCTACTACGTCTGCACTGTCGGGTAAGCGAAATAAACCAGTGGTCAACACAGTCTACTCACTCGCTCTTTAGAAAACTTAACGTTTTCTCCAAGAGCGGATCCCAACATATACATGGACGAACTTCACTCTGACCTTTCGTTTGTCAGAGGCACTGATCAACAACGAAAAGACTTTCTTCGCCATGAGAAAAAACGTGCTGCTCATGCTTACGGGAGCGCCTATCATCCTGCTGTCAAGCTATCTACGTTCTATGGGGCTCAAGTATCCCCTCCCGTTGGCTCTAAACGCACTCAGCATCAATCAGCTGTAGAGACCAAAAGACCCAGGATCATTTTGACACATTCTTCCTCTGTCAACGAGAAGAAAGAGAATCGTTTAACATTGCCTATCGATAAGCCAATAGCCAAGCCATTCATGAGCGACATAGAGAAGGAGAATGAGTTTAGTCGTCGTCAGCGTCGAGTGTTTGTCCATAGTCGATACATCACTAATGAAGAAGGTCTCGCCTTGATTAAAAGTATATATCCTGAACTAGACTCCACAGCCACGAGTAAATTGATCACTTCCCTACAAGAGAACTTTGCCAGTTTTCGAATTAAGCTTAAAAACTTATTTAATCAAAGACAAGCTACACTTAGAATTACTGAAGAAAAGATGTTAGAAGACCAAACATCAGCTGAGAACAAAGTTAGAAAACTAGTAAGTACGATACTATCCTCTCCTTGGTTCTTATTCCCTTATACTAGGTCAGTGAATCCATGTTGAGAACAATATGGGCTCATTGGGTTTCCTCTCCTGCCATTGACGCTGCTGCCTTTTATGCTAATAAGCAGAACAGTGTTCTCCTCAGAACAGTGACTGTCAAGTTAATCATTATCCACTTTAAAGAATCGTATCATTTTATCACGCCCAAGAAAGCACATCAATCCATGCGCGAAATAGATTTATTAACAAGATCATTGGAATTACCAGACCCGCTTTACTGAGGAAGATGGTGGTTGCACATGCATTTTTTGTAAAAAATCAATTAAAACATATTCCATACGTCTTAGCTTTTTGTAAATATTAATAAACAAGAAAAAACCCCCTCCCTTTTTATTACTTACGACCAAAGCTGCTTTATTGTCTCCCTTTTCTGTCACTACTTGACGTGTCCAAATCGTATAGTTACCATTCAAATTTCCAAACACAATATCTGTCAAGATGCGATCCCCTACAAAAGCTGTTCGAGAAGCAGGAATAGGTGATAAATGTTGAGCCAATGCATGTCCACCTGAAGGCTTCTTCTCACTGTGCCGTAACACAGCCACACCAAGTGATGCTTCTAATTTTCGAGCTTCATGATAATCTTTATCATCATCTGTGCCTGCTGAATTGGATACAATCACTATATTTTCTTTGGAAAATGTCTCTTTGCATTCCTCCCATGCTTCCTATCATATATTATGAGAAAACGCAAAAAAAGGAAAGGAATAAACATACTTTGAATGGGGGATGAATGGTAGACACATAAGGGGCCGTTAAACAGTTATCCTTGTCAAATCCCATGGCCTTGATATGGTTTTGTTTTTTGAGATTGGCAAATGGAATCTGCCGAATGTCTATATTGGATCGATTATATAAATAAGATCCACAGCCCCTTTTTCTTACCGTCCACAATCATGTGTGGCATGGCTAAACTTGGATTCCACAAGACGCGAAATGCATTAACCACACCTGCTACATTAAAGCTTTGTACCATGCTAAAAAAAGGGAGATAAATAAATTATTTATCTTTTTTTAAGCATTTTAATCATGATGGCAAGTTGGACCTCTGTGCTTATTGCTATTGGGGCTGCTACTGCTTTGGCTGTATTAGGTGATCTTATTTATGCTAAATTGACACGTATTCCTTTTAAGCCTGCTGGTAAGCACTGTTTTATCACGGGAGGAAGTACAGGTCTCGGCAGGTCATTGGCTATTGAACTCGCAAAGGCAGGTGCTGATGTCTGTATTGTAGCGAGAAGAGTTCAAGAATTAGAAGCTGCTGCTGAGGAGATCAAGTCCCATCGTGCTTCTGAAAAGCAACAAGTGATTTATATTAGTGCTGATGTGACAAACCAACAAGATATTGTACGTGCTTTTGATGAAGCTAATGTCAAGATGGGCAGAAACCCTGACTTTGTATGTGCCTGTGCAGGTAAGAGAAAGAAAAAAAAGGGGAGGGGACAATGGCTAATGAGATAGGCGCTTCTTTCCCTAAATACTTTTTGGACCATACTATGGATGATTTTGAGAAACTAACCACATTAAATTATCTTGGACAAGCTTATGTAGCTCATGTAAGTCGCACCATGCACACATATACAAGGAACTTAGGATGATTAGCAAGCTGCTCAACGCATGAGGGACTCTGATATTAAGGATGGCAAGATTGTGTTTGTCTCTAGCATGTTGGGTATGCTTAGTTTTGTAGGTTGGACCACTTATTCACCCACCAAATACGCCATTCGAGGATTAGCAGACGCTTTGCGTAATGAACTCAAGCGATACCAGATTGGTGTCCATATTTTCTTTCCCGGTGGCATTGAATCCCCTGGATTTGAAATTGAGAACAGAACAAAACCAGAAATCACCAAGGAAATTGAGGGTGCCAACACACCTCAAACAGGCTCAGAGTGTGCTCAGTCTTTGCTCAAGGGACTTTATGCTGGAGAATATATGATCATGACAGACTTTATCAGCCAAGTGCTGCGTTGTACAACAAGAGGTGTGAATCCTACAAACAATTTGGTCTTGGACTATCTTTTGGCTATGCTTGGACAGGTAATACAATTTTATTTGATTTCTTTTTTTTTTTCTTACGTTGAATAGCCTATTGCTTCTGGCTATGCTCTCTATATGGACTATGTTGTCAAGACTGCAAAATACTAGTCTTTGTGCAAATCAGCAAATCCTAAATTACCCATATCATCTTTATCCATTAAACCTCTACATGACATTAGTCAAAATACCGTATAGTGTCAAACATACTTGTCCATACGACACTGAAGATAAGCTTCTGAAAACTGTCTGCATAAGCCATTGTTATTCTTGTTTTGTTTTAAACACTTGACATAATCTAACATGGTCTTTTTACATTCACCTATCCCATGTCATAAGAAAAGGGAATCTGGACTGGATCTCATTACCATCATGATCTAAAGGGAAGCTGCCTCTTTGAGGTGCTTTTCCAGGCGATGATTCGACATTAGGTGTTCTTCCAAAAGCCATTAGGATTCAATAAAAAAAAAGAAGGGAAGAACTAGGATCTGTTTTTTTCTTTTTCTTTTTTTTTACTCGATGCGTAGTTTTAATTTATTTCCAACGAATGTGAGATGGATCCAATGCACGATCCAGCTTAACATGGCTTAATGTGTCTTGTAGCATTTGATCTGTAATGCAGATATGCTGGTGTCCTTTGTCCATTTTGCGATAACAGAGTAAATTCAATTTGGATAGTGTGTCTACTACATCTTCTTCATGAATGCATGTTTCTTTACAGATCTCTTCAATAGTCACATCACCACGAAGATGCAGTAATGTAGACACGATAGCAAAAGACCAATAAGACTGGTAGCCTAATCGACCTAGAGGAGAAAGAGGTTTCTCAGGAGATCCGATTTTGCCTTCATGTTTTGATAATTCATAACTTAATTCTATCAATAGTCTACCATAGCCTTTTCTTTGATGTGAAGGTAATGTCATAATACATGCTAAATTATAATTATCGTAGGATGTTTTTTCCTATGTTGTATGAGTATAGAGATATGCTAAGCTTTTTATTTTTATTTTTGTTTTTTTTTTACCTTGGAAAAATAGCCTACCATGGTCTCTATTGATTTATGTTGGATATGGCGTTCGGTCAATACATAGAACTTGAATCCGTCTGTATCATAGTACAATGTCTTGTTGTCCAAAAAAAGTTTTGCTAATAAGCACAAATTTTGACAGTATAATTTGTGCTCATAACCGTCAATTTCATAAATTTTGTTTTTATCATTAGCATAAATCACTCTGCCAGGTGGCTTCTTTGCTTTACATTGTGCCTATGTAATATGGTCAATTGAACGTCTTTCTTTCTTTCAAGCTACTTTATGATTCATAAGCTGTATTTCCTTATTCATGTATTTTAAACAGTATTCACATATATAAAGTCGATCTATATGATTGCCAAAATCAAATGGATAAGGTGAATAATACCATGCTCCTATCTCAAATGAACCATAGATCACTTTATCAACATTCACAGGTAATATAACAGAAGGGTCTGTGACAGGTGGTGTGTTGGCTCTATAGACAATAGGTTCCTTCTAATATATGTTTAGTTCTTGACACGATTTTTTTTTTTTTTTTTACAGTGTCTATTCAAAAAGTTAAAAACAGACACGATCTATTTTTTTTTTTTTTACTTGGTTTTGTTTTCTTTCTATTATTAGCATTGTCTATAGAAACAACTTAACTACTGAAAAACAAATTTGTTTCTTTACTTTCAGTATCAACTGTTCTTTTCCTTCTTGACATAGGCGATGAAGAAAAAGAAAAGCAAAAAAAAAATATTTTTTATTTTTATACAGCGGAATTTTAAATGTCTTGCTTCTTTTTAGCAAGACCATTCTTTTGGTATTCCATCAATTCATCACCAATAGCTTCTACAACACGGTGAAGATCTATCTTGGCTTGTTCTTCACTTTCTCCACGCAATTCGGAATAGTATTTGATTTTAGGTTCAGTACCACTAGAAAGACAGATAGTGTTAATTCTTCCATTTGGTTTAAACTGGTTTACCTTGTACGAATTGTAAAAACAGTGTTGTTTTCCAAGCTAAAAGTGATCATTTCAGAAGAAGAAGAGACAGGTAACGTAGGCTCATGGTTAGGCTTAGAAGAATCATAGCCTACTGTCAAATCTCTGATACCAGTCACTTTATAGCCACCCACAGTAGTAGGATAATCCAGCTTATAACCATACTACCCATCACCGTGTTCATGTGTTAGGATGCCAGTCAATTGTCCCTCTTTTCTCACTTACCTTGGAGCTTGCATCAGCTTGTTTTTGATCACCAAAACGAATACGTTCAAAGATCTTGGCAATCTTTTGCTTATCGTCACAAATAAAATAAGAGTTTTCCGAAACAAAATAACCATACTTTTGATAGAGTTCTTCCAAGTATTGATAAGCTGTCAAGCCACGCTTATACAGCTGCACAGCCCATTCAGCAAAGAAACCCAAGGCACTCACACCATCTTTGTCCTTGACGATATCACCAATGGTAAAACCAATAGCTTCTTCATACGAAAATACCACCTTCAATCCTTCTTGTTCAAGACGCATGGCTGTGTTGCCAATCCACTTGAACCCAGTCAAGGACTCTTCAAACGTGAATCCTTCAACCTGTGCCATTCGAGCCAAAAACTTGGAAGACACTGTACTTGCAACCATGGCCAATTGGTCTGGCTTAAGACCAGCAGTCATGGCTTTTTCAAAAGAAGCAGCGCCCAAGATAGACCCGATTTGGTTGCCTGTGAAAATGATCCATTCGCCATCCGGTTGTTTTTCAGCAATCGCAAGACGGTCTGCATCAGGATCATTGGCCAAGATGATATGACCACCCACACGTTCGGCTGTTTGGATGGCTAACGTGAGTGCACCTTTGCCTTCTTCGGGATTAGGAAAGGCAACCGTGGGAAAGTCAGGATCAGGACGGACTTGTTCTTGAACAGGCACAAACGCAGGCAGATCAAAGCACCCGAAAGCGCGTTCAGCAAAAGGTGTGCCTACACCGTGCATGGCTGTATAGACAAACTTGATGCGTGTGGCTTGATTGTCTGCCTTGTTTCGACAGAGGGCTTGTACTTCGTTGAAATAACTATCGATCACACCTAGATCCGTGGGGTCACTGACAAGGTCACTGGTATCGACTAGGTTGTATTCCCATCCCCAAGGCTCCAGGTGTTGTTGAATAGAAGCTGCAATGCCTTCATCATGAGGAGGAATGATTTGACAGGCATTTTCCCAGTACACTTTATAACCATTATCGTCTTTAGGGTTCTAAAATTGAATAGGGTTACTTTAATGGTTTTTTTTTTTTGCCGTAAAATGGGTTGACTTACATGAGAAGCAGTGATCATGACACCAGCAGCAGCTTTTAATTTCTTGATTGTGTAAGGCTATTTGTCAATTAGAACATCATCGTGTGAGAAGAAAAAAACTAGATTTACCACAAGAGGTGTATGAACTAAATCCTTATAGAACCAGACTTTGATACCACGTTGCAAAAAGGCAGCAGCTGTTAAACGAGCAAAATCAGAAGAATGATGACGATGATCATGTCCTACAACAACACCTCGAACCTTTGCGTCTTTTACGTTGTTTTCGATATAGACAGCAAGGCCCTGAGAAGCTTGGAGAACTGTCAAGTCATTCATTCTCGAGAAACCAGCTTCCATTCGAGCACGCAAACCTATCCTAGTCTCAGTATAAACACATTCATATGACTGAATGGATTGTACCTGCAGTTCCAAACTCAATATAAGTCGATAAGCGCTTTTCAAGTTCCTGAACATTGTTTTCTTTTTGAAGCTGAATGATTTCTTGACGAGTGTCTTGGTTCTTTTTTTGTGAGTATTAAGAAGCATAGACACCAACTCAAACTTACTTTGTCAAGAGACAGCCATTTCTCAACAAGTGTATCTAATGTATGTGCCATAATAAAATAATGTAAAAGAAAGAAAAATGCATTATTGTATTTTTTTTTTATGAGTTCCAATATTCGAAGCTTTACGTAAATACTCCACCACAAAAAAAAAGATGACATTGGCTTGAGTGACTGTTATTCTTGAAAAGGAATTTACTCATCATTAAACCAAAGGTGTTGCTGATGGCGCTTTTCTAGGCATCTTAGTCATCTTGAGAGCTGTTGTGGCCTGCTATTGATGTCATAGTCCAAACGTATATATTCGCATAATATGCTTCTTGTGTTACATGTGGCGTTAACATCTCGGTTCTAATTGTGGATGCTCAAGATAACTATTTCGTTTTTTGATGGTTTTTTTTAAATTACTGAAACAAAATGCTTATACAGTATATTTTCAAGAGCTTTTTTGTAGCAAACAACAAGTGAAGAATGGTTGACATATAGTTCAGTGCTATACATGCAGTGTCATATACACTTGCAATACAGGATTTTAGTCTGATTCGACATGTCAACGCTGTTAAGAATATTTATGATATTTTTATTTCTGCTGTCCAAAAAAAAAATAACGCTCTCGTGCCTATCCTAATGGGCATTATAAAAAACCTCTTTATACAACCGTACGTGTACATTCAGTTATTACTGACTTGTTCAGAAAACAGTTGATTCTATATACATATTTCCTAATTTAAGACAACTTTATTGAATTGTTAGTAATACATCATCGATTTGGGATATTCAAAAGATAACACATACTTAAGAGTGTGCTTTATATGTGATGTTGTGACCTTACATAAGTTATAAAAAGTTTTTTCGAGAGAAAAGAATGTATATTTAACATGTCACGTCAAAGCTCATATTTACTATATTCTGATTTGGTGGCAATGAATAAAATAACCAAAAAATCCATTTTTTTTTCATTTCTTTCAATTATATACTATATAGTGTAATAGCTTTCTTCTAGCCAATACTATCTATTATATTCCAAATACGTAAAAAATTGAAAAAAATGATGAAAAGAAGTGGAAAACAGTCTGATAATGGTCGTGGAATCAATACTGATAAAGTCGAATATTATAGTAAATAGATGAAATCCCATTGACCACACTTTTTCTGATACAACAGAAGAAACCGAACAAGAAGTTACTGAAGATAATTCAGATGAAGATTTCCAACCGATTATGTATAGAAAAAGAACTAGTACGTCTTATTACATGACCTTTATGTACAGGTCTAATCTAACTTTTCATATACGTAAAGAAAACACGCCGTATAGTTCTGAAAATAAAAAGACTAAAATAATGTGGTCCATACCTCTTCTAATACAAGTGCTACTACTAGCTCAAGCTCCATAATAATCAACCCCAGCTCTTCAGCAGTCAAACCAAGCTCTTCAGCAGTCAAACCAAGTTCTTCAGTAGTTGAATCAAACTCTTTAGTTGCTGAATCAAGCTCCTCCAATTCAAATGTTGCCAATTCAAGCTCCCCAGTTTCTGAACAAATTAAACAAGTGATCACAATCAAAACGACTATTCAAAATATTTGGAATCAGGATCATGTACGACCTTTATACGATTTAGTCGACAATGTCAATATACTAGTTTTACATACTTATAGTTTCTCAAAATACATATTTTTGGAGGAGCTAAAGAATAGCATTGACTTCAGCTTGGCAGATTTTGTAACAAAGGAGTTTTTCGTAGAGGTGTTTCTGGCTCTGATCATTCGTCGTAATGTTCCTGGAAAGGTAAAAGATAGAACCGCTATCTATCGTGAATTGATATCTCGTCACAAATCATCGTATTTTGAAGATGCTCAATATACTCCGTTTGAGATAAAATACGCGCAACAGCTCGCATTGTACGAATGTACTAAAATTAATACGGCTTACCACAATAATATCAAGGCACATTTTGGTAACAGATTGCGTATGTTATTGAACATGCTTTCTAAAAAAGAAAAAAAGTTACTCAGTCTCGATCATCGTATGAAAGCTGTAAATGCCACGAAACAAGCTATAAAAGAAGCTCGCCGAAAAGAAGTATTTGAACTCCTTAACAGAATGAAATTCGCTGTATCAAAAAAAGAAATTCCTTCTTCGGACGTCCTGGATGAAAAAGCATTATCATCTGTAAGGGACTTACTATAAACTTACCCAAACAACTACAAATTCGAAAAGAATTCTATCTATTATGATGTTAAAGCTCACCCAGAAAAGCATTTCAATGCTTTCTACAAGATTGCTAAACTTCTGGAAACTGAAGCAGCTAAAACATTTAATTGTTTTCCAATCAAAACATCGTTTATACCATCCTACATTACTCTGGATTCCAAAATAGTTCATCATCACATACTGAAGCAGAAAACTTCCTTCAAGGCGGAACAAAAGTTTGAGATTTGGAGCAACGTCGTTAATTTAAACAAGAAATCATTCAAACCTCAAGGACTTAATAAATCTCTACGATTTCAGGGTACCATTGAAACTGATGGTATTTGTGCTTCGGTGTTAAAACAGAATATCACCACGGGTAAAAAGCAGCCAAGAATGAATAATAAGAAGACAGATACTATCGACGAGGAGTATGTCGAAAATATACTACCTGCTACACTGAAGGAAAACCAAGGCAAATACGTTTTAATTGACCCTGGAAGACGAGACCTTATGTTTTGCATGCAAGAGTCAAGTACGAAGGAGAAGCCCCAAATTCTAAAATATACAAAAATCACTAGAAATAAGCTGACTAGACATAACAAAATATTAAGCAAACAAAATACGCCAGAGTCAGTAAAAATCGCCCAACTCATTTTGTCTAAAACCGTATCTTCTTTAGTAGACATTACAAAATTTAGGGATTACATCAAAACCAGAGCCTCTGTCACACATGTATTAACGAGATATTATGGAAATGAAACAATGACGATCAATGAATCATATTTCCCTGGATCTGTCACGGAATTCTCAATACGACGAGGATGTTTATACTATGGAGATTTGTTTGTTATAAATTTTCGAGGATATTATCCGCAACCGAAAGACACTACTAGCACCACTACTGATTTGAATTTGTATGCGACTTATTTGGAAATCATGTTAAAACAAAAGCACATCGCACAGCGTCTGACTGCAACAACAAAAAACTCACTAAATGCACTGATTAGTAACATGTCCTTAAGTAATGAAGATAATGGGTTAAAACACAAAGCAAGCACACAATTAGAAAAGTTGCGACTGTTACCTTTCAGAAAGATAAAATTCAACAGCAAGCTCTATCACGATCAAAATGATGCCAATTTGGTTCAACGGCTAAAGCTAAAGTTTGGGAAAAACTCGATTTTAGTGATAGGTAATTGGTCTGCTCCGAATACGAAATTCCAGGAGCCCACAAGAAGTAAAGGCCCAATCAAAATGTTGAAGAAGGCAGGATTTACTGTTCTTTTAATCGACGAGTTTAAAACGTCCTCATATTGCCCTACTTGCGAAAGCGAACTGGAGACATTCAAGACTGTTGTCAACCCTCGCCCATACAAAAGAGCCGATGCACCAACTGTTGAATGTCACGGTTTATTAAGGTAGACGATAATAATAATTGTGGAATGGAGCTATTAATGACTATAACCACTGGATTATTAGATGTCAAAATCTTAAATGTCTTGATAACGGCGAAAAACAAAGAAGAAAACTCTGGAACCGGGACTTGGCCGCAGTGCTGAACTTTAAGAAGATAGTTGAAAGCTTACGAGAAACTGGTCGAAGACCAGCAATATTTTGCAGAAAAATATACCGAAACTATCCACCAAGGTTAACGCTTTGGTTATTTAATGCAGGTACCTACTTTTGAATTTAACATAACAATCGTTTTCCGTAACTAAATTTTCATTTGTCTAATTTCTTTTTTTACTTCGTCCAAAAAAGGTAAGCTAAACATCTGAAAAATAATTTTGATTCGTCCAAAAAAAATTTAACATCGTCTGAATTTGAAGTAGAAATACTGTAGCTAAGACAAGATTTGGAAAGATCTATTTGTTTGTGAGGATCATCTAAGTAGGTATTGAACGCTGCTTTCACATTCTCAGAACCATCAGAAACAAGCTGAGAGCCTAAACCAGAAGTGGTTAAAAAACTAGCTTTATAGGGTTGTTCAGCAGCAATTTGAACCCTTTGAGGTATATGAGAAGGAACTACTAATAAGAATAATTGTAAGCATAATCCGAGTATTACTATCGAATGCATTCCTGACGATTTTGCATATTAGGGTAGATAATAATGGTAGGCTCGACCCGTTTCAAGAGATGCATGTGCTTGCAAGATGTTTGGTTCCATTGAAAATCAGCACAAGAACAGCCTGTTATGACATCCTTCTCTACGGCAATCTTGTATTTTACCTCTTCTGTGGTAAAGGAGGCAACACTGTAGCATCTTGGTCTTTCTAATGCCACCATTAACGCCAAGGCATTATCGTTAATGGCTTCAGCATCCATTTCTCTTCTTCTTCTTCTTTCTTCAAGGCCCATTCTGCCCACATTCAAGAGCAATCTTGAAATGCTTTGTTAGTAGTCCTTTTGGATACAGTCTCTGGATGGAAATTCTGGCGCCTCTCTTTCTGTAGCAATCTATCCTCAATTAAAAATTTGGTGCTTTTAAGTAGAGAAAGATGTTGGAAATCTTTAAATTGACCAATTGCATGATTATACTGCTTTGAGAACTAAAAATCAATAAAATACCTTGATTTCCTTGCTTTTTTTTTTGCAAGTCTCTCTAGTCTGGCCATTGGCACTGCCTTTCACAGTGTCAGCCTTATTTACTTTTCTCAAGATCTATGGCAGACATAGTCCTTTGTATTTCTTGGTGACACGTCTTCTGTAAACCCATTTGACACCAAAAACTGCTTCAGAGTTTTCAGTCTCTTCCTTGCAGTTCTTGATGGTATAAATTACAGCGGTTATAGGCAATGGTTAGTACTTCTTCATAATAATACTATTGGATATTTTTTAATAAGATTGAATGATTTTTGAAATGGAATGTTTATTTAACGCGCTCTCGACAAATGCACTTTTGTTAACTATTTTAGAAATTCACTGAACAAAAGCCACAAACTTGGTCGATGTTACTTAAAGTGGGGCGATATAAGGATGTGCGAAATCAGGCTTGACGTCATCAAATCCAATGAAAGTGTTCCTTATATGGTGATGTTCCAAATGTGCCAGGCCATCATAAACAAAATAAATTTTTTTTATTTATTTTTTTTTCGACATCTTTCAACTCAAAACGATTCAACCTACTTACACTACTTGAATTCAATGTGGACTAAAGCGCGACACTTGAATCACTCACAAAAGCAACGTATTACCAACAATTTGTTTGTCGCCGTAGCTGTGGGTGCTGTCTTGACAGTAGCAGGTCCCACTTTACTCCCTTGTCCAGCTTATGACCAAAATGATCGATCCGCATTTCTAGAGCAAGAAGAGTCAACGCATACAAAAAAGAAAGTCGTTATTGTCAAGAAGAAGAGAAAAGATACCACACAACAAGTTTAAATTATATCCCCCCTTTTCTCTCCCCCTTTCTTTTTTGTAAATAGACCCTCTCTTTCTCACTCATAAAACTGCCCTTAAAAAAAATAAGCTTTTTTTTTTATGCATTTTGTGTTTAAGCATGACTTTGTTAAATAAAGTAATTTCACCCTTTATTAGTTACAATGGGACACTATTCATGTTTGACATAATAAAATAAGTAACACATATTTATTCAATGTCAATTGATAAGACCCTATCTAAAGACGACAACTATACAAATTGATGTTTTGATTCGATCTGAGTAACATTAACTTTGATCAACATGAGAAAAACACAGGTTGTTATTCGTGTATTCCATTTGCTCAAATGTGATTTCTTTGTTTTAGCATGCGTACATGGATTGTAGCACTGCATCAAGATAAGGACAAAGGTATTACCTTGTCAAATACACACATCTATATAAATATCCTTTGCATCCTAGGCACTTTTATATTATTATTATTAGTATTATCTTTTTTTTTTTTTACTATGAAGCTTTCCTTGTCTGTCCTTACTGCTTTTGGTCTTCTTGCTGGTGTTCGAGCAGCTGCTAGTTGTAGTGGTAAGTACATTTGATGGGTGATTTTCATGATAGACTTACACATAGGTTAGCCAATGCCTTGTCTTGTCATGTATCTGGTACTGTAGATGCCTGTTGTTCACCTACTTATGGTCTGGTTGTCCTTACCCAACAATGGGCTCCTGGATATGGTCCTTCTGATGAATTCACACTTCATGGTAAGTGCATAATCCATCTTTTTTTTTTTTTATTTCTAAACTTTTTTTACCTTAGGTTTATGGCCTGATACTTGGTAAATACATAGAGATAATACATGAAAAACTTATATGCAATAGTTCTGGTGCCTATGGTCCTTCCAGTGGCTGTGACTCAAGCAGAAGCTCAAGCGCCATTGCTAGTGTCATTCGCTCGAAGGACAGTGCTCTCTACAACCGTATGCTTACTTACTGGCCTAGTAACACGGGCGATAATAACAGGTAAGATGATGAAACTCATCTATGTTTACTTATCTTGTCTGTTAGGTTCTGGTCTCATGAATGGACTAAACATGGCACTTGTGTCAGTACACTTCGTCCTACTTGTTATGGTTCATCTTATGAGCAATACGACGATGTGGTTGACTACTTTAAAGTAATTATACATACCTATAGACATAAACTGACATTGATATGGTAGAAAGCACTTGATCTTCGTGACCAATATGATCTTTACGGTGCTCTCAAGTAAGAGTTATTTACACACTTACAGACGACTTATCAGTTTAATAGCTTGAACGGTGTTACTCCTGGTGGCTCTTACGATGCTGATACTATCCGTAGTGCTATCAAGAGTGCTTTTGGTGCTGAACCCAAACTAGACTGTATCAGTGGTAGTTTGTCTGAAGTAGGCCTTAACTTTTATGTTAGAGGCACAAGCAACTATGAAATCACAGATGTCTTGGACAACGGCAACTGTGAGGGTTTTATCGATTACCCTGAAAAATAATTATTTATTTACACTATATTAAAAATCATAATCATCGTCTTCCATGGCATCTCTTCCACGTTTCATTGGTTCTTGTTCTATTGTTGTTGTTGTTGTTGTTTCTTGTGTATCCATCATACTAGGATTTCTTTCTAAGCTAGGCTTAGGGGGCGGTGGTGCCTATAAACTACTTATTCATCATCATTATCATCATATCTTGAGCTTACATCAGGTACAATAGAGAAATTAATGCCTGTTAAACAATGTTTATCTGCTGGTAATCGAATACCGTATTTCTCTGGAATTAAAGGCAATGGTTGTTTGTTTTTTTCTTGAGCAAGTTCAAGCAAGAACTAGTATAGAGATAAGCATATAGACAAAAAGATCAAGTTGGCTTACTTCTTTAGGTGGTGGTGTTGTGAATGAATGGTTGACGCGTCCTTGAATAGCAAGTTGAATATCGTCCAAGTCAATTTCGTTTTTATTGGCATGTTCAGCATAGACAAGGGAGTCTTGAAATACGTCTGACGTATATCCTATAAAACAAGCTTTAGATTAGTCTTATGTTCATCGACATATGTTCTTTTTTTTTTTTTTTACTATGAGCAAATTCTAATAGTTGATGAACTACTTTTGGGTCATAATCCTCAACACCTAGTGATTGAAGAATAAGGGAAACAATACGTGCATCCCTTGGTTGAACAGGTTGTTTTTGTCCATTTGTTGTTGTCTTCATGATGAATAAAAAAAAAAAAAAAAAGAAAAAAAAATAGATTTTTAACAGTCGCTTGCTTTAGTTTCTTAATTTATTTTACTACATACAAGACTCTTTCTTCTTTAACAGAACCATTCATGAGTTTATACAAGAGAATATGTTATCAAGACAGGGATAGGTTGATATATACTTCTTTTTTTTTTTTTCCTTGAGATATATATAAAAAAAAAAAGCTGTACAAAAGATAAAAAAAAAATTATTTTCTTGGTGTTCCTGTTGCATTTCTTTTTCTTGCAACAGGTGATTTCACATCACTAGCAGTACTATTTCGTTTGCCTATCATAATAGAAATGAGAAAAATATTTGTATTGAACCATAACTTACGTGAGACTGGGCTTTGTGGAGTAAATTGAGAAGGGTATGGCTGCTGGTATGACAATGGATGACTTGGTGTGGGGGTCCTTGCATCTGTTGCTGATGGAATTGTATCTGTTGCTGTTGATGAAACTGGAAAGCGGCTTGCTGTTGTTGCCTCAGAGCAGCTTGTTGTTGTAAGGGCATAAAGGGTTGTTGAGGTCGACCTGTCTGTGTCTTGACAATAGGAGAATGTGCTGCCATCATGCCTACAATAGGTGTATCCATCTGTTGAGACTTGTCTTCATTTTCTGTCTTTATCGATTGTTTATCAAATGCAATAGCACCTAAACTTTCTTTAGGTGTAGATCCTGACACAAGTGAATGGAATATAACTTCACCTGCTCTAGGAGCAATATCAGACATCTACTACTTGTTTAGCAATATATATATACACATATAGTACTTGTGTATTTACCTGTAAAATATGATAGATACGAGAAGGAACACCCCATTGATTGATAGGTGATTCAGGTATAACAGATTGATGCGGTGGTATCTTCTTTTTGTGTTAGGAATAGGCTCTGTTCTTATGCTGGATCGAATCACAAACTCTTCTCTTTGTTCACATAAGAAATCCATATGGCCCATTTTCCACACTCCATCAGGCGTCATGACAAATTGAGCCCATAATGAACCTGTGGAAATGACCAGAGTGCCATTCTTGAACCTGTAGATAATACTTGCTCGAGGACATTCAACATGCATCACTCCCCCAGGTAAAATATACTCCATTGTTTTCTCCAAGGTGAGTTGAATCGATTTAATACCACACAGGTACTGAGTATGAAAGTACTGTGCTAAAAGGGGATGATTGATCTCTGTGACACTTGAGTAAAAACTTTCTTTGTCATTCATTTCTTACCAAAAGCTTTTTGTTCATTATCTACAGTATTTAATAATCCAAGCTTGTATACACTTGAACTTGTGAAAAAGGTATCTACAAAATTGTCCCAAAACGATCGATTTTCAGCCTAAGTAAAAGCCGTGGTTAGTTTCTCCGAAATCAAGAACACGCTAAAAAAAAATGTACCTCTTTCTCGCCTGGACTGAGTTGTTCAGCGAATTGAAGTAGACGAAGAACAGCTTGGCCACTTGATTGACTATCAGAGGTATATATCAGTTGATCATGTAACCTATTTTTTATTATTGTTATTATTATTACCTTGGTGCAGCAGCTATCATGGTTGAAGTATTGAGTTTAGAAGGCAGCATAGGCGCAGGAGAACCCTGTGAAGTCATGATAGGTGTAGATGAGTGCATGTTGACTGATCGAGGCGTTTGTTGTTGTAGTTGAGGTGTTCTTTGTGATGTATGAACAGGTGGTGGATGTGACTGTTGCTGTAGCAACTGTTGTTGTTGGTGATGTAACAATTGATGTTGCTGCAATTGTTGTTGCTGTTGTTGCTGCTGCTGCTGATGTTGTTGTTGCTGTTGTTGCTGTTGCTGTTGCTGTTGTTGCTGTTGCTGTTGCTGATGTTGTTGTTGCTGTTGTTGTTGCTGTTGTTGTTGCAATAATTGCTGTTGCTGCTGTTGTTGTTGGGCAATATGCATTTGCTGTTGTTGTTGCAAGTGCTGTTGTTGTTGAAGATATTGCAACTGCTGTTGTTTTTGTTGCTGCAATAAATGAGGCTGATGAAAAAGATGTTGTTGTTGTTGTTGTTGCTGGTGTTGAAGTTGTTGCAACTGTTGTTGCTTTTGAGCCATAAGTTGTTTTTGTCTAAATAAACTTTGGGCTTGGAGTTGTTGTTGTTGTATTTGTGCTTGAGCAAAGGCTTGAGCAGGACTTGCTGGCACTTGGTTATGTAGACCTGTTGGTTGTGGTGTACCAGCAGTAGAAGGAAGGGCAGTTGACATGTGTTCTTTTTTTTTTTTTAATAGGAAAAAGTGAGAAAGAAAGAAAAGAGAAAAAATCGAATAAATCGGCTTTTCTCCCCTCCCTTCACTCTTTTTGAACTCCTTCTTTTGTTCTTTATGGCGGTTATTTAAAAGTTTAAATGGGCGTCGTTTAGCGATCAAGGCTTATTTACAGTGTTGAAAGAGGAGTCCACCCCTTCCTCCTTCTTAAGATGGTTCCTTTAATTCAGGTTGTGCACTCATGCTATCCATGGCATTTTTAAAGAGTTTCGATAGATGATTCGAGTCAATGATAACAAGTATCATCCGGTATATCTGGTAACGAATCAAAATGCATTGGTAAAACAAGTCCTTTCTCCAATGACAATTCTTTTTTGTTGCGGTATAAAACTCGAGAAAAAAAAAGTTTAAATAGTCGTACAAAACTTGAAGCCATGATGCAACCAGCATCTCATTAATAACCAAGTAGTCATTGTTTACCAAGAGGCTAAGAAAATGAGTGAGGGAATGGTTCATCAGAACTCCTGGTTTTTTTTTCTTCATAAAGACATGTCAAAAGTGAATCCCGCTATAGAAACAAGGGAAAGCTAAATCAGCTTGAAAATGTCTGGTATACTTGACAACTGCTTTTAGGTTGGACAAGAAGGTCAGTTGTCTTGAACTACACAATGTCAAAGACCTGAACCGGAAAATTTATTTGAACAATTTGTCTATTATATATATATATATAATAAAATACACATCTGTACCTCATTCGCTTGAGACAAGACATTTCTGATTCATTTATTACCTAACCAACTTGTTGTAAATGTGTTGGATAGATCAGAACTTAAATCATAATCTGTAGAAGAATTGAGGCCTAACGTTGACCTTTTTCTTTTCACGACGTAGTCAAGTGCAGGTTGTGACTTTCTGGACGTACCAGCACTTTGTGAAGCTCTTAAAAGTATAGGGAAGGCTGGTTTGCCTGTAGGTGAAGAGGGTGCAAAATTGACAGTGGAACGACGTGGTTTCTTTTCATGACATCCTCCAATAGCCATTGCAGGAGACCGGTTAGACGCATGGCGGTCGAGAAGGTCACTCTTTTTGCGGCGAATCGTAATTGTGGTTGTGTTTGGCTTAGAAAGAGGATGAATAGGTCCTGAATGAATACTGATATCACTTGCATTGGCTGCAGCAAGAAAGCGTGCATGAAGAGAGTCTTGTGACTGAGATAATTGTACTTTTCGCTTGTCTAGTTCCTGATGACGACGACCAAATATGCTTGTAAACCAAGTAAATGGACTGGGGGACTTATCTCTCTGTTGTTGTTGTTGTTGTTGTTGTTGTTGTTTTCTCAGCAGTTCTTCTTCAAACCGAACGTCACTTTCTTCAATCTTTTTTACATACTCTACTTGGAGATCATTCATTGTGCTCCTCAGCTGCCCAATCTCCTTCAACATTTCCTGCACTAGTCCCATGATAGGAAAAAACTCGATCATAGAGATATCTTGTATCCATCGCTCTTGTTTTACAACAGACTTGTCTTCAATCCACGAGAACTGAGATTTGAGACTATCGATGTCTGTCACAATGTTTTCGATGATTGAATTACTCATACTGCTCAATTCAAATATATCAAATGCTCGCCTTAGGCGTCTATTTAATGCTCGAATATCGGTCTGTTGTAATCGCTGCAACACAATAGTGACTTGGTGATACAGTTGACGAAACGGCGAACTTGAGTCAATAACTTTAGTGGACGAGGACGAAGAAGAAGGCGAGATGGCTAAATCCTATAGGGTAGGTTATCATACAATGATGCTTTGAAGAAGTTTACTTGCCTCGTCAGTAAAGGATTTTTTTGTATTGAGTTTTCCTTTTTCAGCCATAATTTTGTTCTTCATGTAGTAATGATAATGATGGTGAATGACAGGATTGTTTTTCAATGCTTCGTTTGGTTGCACAGTTTCATCTTTTTTTTTAGATCTTTTGGACTCTGTTCGTCTTAGTCGCGGCACTGTTTCTTCATTTGACTGTGGTGCTGAAGTACTCAGATAGGCAGCATCGTCCTTGTTGTTTATATGATTAAAGAGAGTCTTTTTCAACTGTCCGTCTTCTTCGTCCATCTCTTCTTGGTCTTGTCGGTGTAAATCACTGCGACACTCCATTAATAAGTCACTGCAGTCAAGTAAATCTGTTTTCAATTTATTGTTCGCTGATGCTAATTCTTTTATAAGCTCGATAAGGTGATTTTGATTGCTATTGGTTATCTGCAAATCAGCTGCAGCATTAGGCGAGAGTAAAGCATATGTAAGCTGCAAATCAACGGACATATTCAAGAGTTAATTGTCGATAGACATCATCCTCTGCTTACCTTCAATACGTCTTTTCGCAGCTTTTCATTTGATTCTCTAAGCCAAACTAAATCTATCTGATGATCGTCTGCCATTCCCATTGCTTTCTGATCCGTCTTGAGTTTCTCAAAAGACGCACACATGGACTCTATGCTATGTTAGAGCATGCGTTTCTCTCATCATATGTATGATTACCGTATTTCGCTTTCAATTTCTTGTGTTTGTTTTCCAATGTGAGTTCTGCTTTTCTCGAGACAGCCAATTCTTGCTTCAAGTCTTCCAACTACAGGCACTGAATTTAATTTATACGAAATTGGATTTGTTTGTTTATTTACTTTTGTCCTTAAAGTCTCTTCCCTGACATCTGCTTGTCTTGCCATCAATTTAAACACTCGTAGTTTTTCAATTTCGCCTATTTTTGACTTTAATTCTGATCCGAGCTGTAAACATCGACTGTTGCTTTGATCTAAATCAGCTGTTGTTTCTTCCAATGACTATAAAGAAATATGGTTTAAGATTCAAGCATGTCAAAATGTACACTTACTTTTTGTGTTCGTTGACATTCCCAAATCAACTTGGTTTTCTCTTCTAGGTATTCTTGTTTCAAGTATTCTGATTCTGTTAATGATTGTTCTAGTTCGCGTATTTTGTCTTGTAATGATTCCACCTAGTGTATTGAATATACTATGGAAATGTGTGTCATTATACCTTTTGTTCAAGTTCATGCTTGATTTCATTTGACTCAGTAACGTACTGTTCATGCTTTTGTAACAAGCTTTGTCCAATCACTATAGATCATGATGTAATTTTTTTTTGTTAGTATTCAGGAGTGGTATAGGTTTGAAAGGAGAAAATGCAAAAAGGAGGGAAGAGAATTACCAGCAGCTAAACGAGCGTCACTTTCTAGTTTCCGCATTGTGCTTGAAATTGTCTCAAAATATTCGCAATCATTGTGCCCACAACATCGACACATATCGAGCGACAAAGAAGGTGATTCTGGTGGTATGCTCCTTGAAAGCCAGTCCTGAAGTGATTCCTCGATGGAAGGTAAGAACAAAGGTGCTGTGTCGGTATTGACTGTGGTTGATAATGAAGGAACTATGCTTGCCCTATTGTTGTTTGAGCGGTAACGGGGTCTTTGCCTGGTAGACATAAGAAAGTAAGAAAAAATATCAGAAAAAAAAAAAAAAAAAAAAAAAAGAGAGAGAGAGAGAGAGAGAGAAAACAACATTTCAAAATACAAAATGCTATGTACACGCATAGATGAATGTGCATCTTACACAGATACACAAAAAGAAAGATACAGTGCCTTTTGTAAACAATGTGGCACTTTTTAGCCAATCATCGGCTCTCAAATACGAATTGTATTTTGCATAAATTTAACGTGAGCTATGCTTCAAAGTACATATATAAACATAAACTTTCTAACAGAGAGAATTGGAACAAAGCAATTTTATTACTAAAATGACTACATATAAAAATAAAAACATCATTTTTACTTGTTTCTCGGTTAGGAACATATCAAACTGTTTTGTGATTTGATTTCTCAGGCAAATGATAGTTTGCAACTGATTTTTGTAGACTAGAAGATGTGCATCTAAAGAAAGCTTAATTTATACTATAATAAAAGTCTAAGACGATATTCATATATTTCTATTTGAAAAGTTTCTTTCGTGATACTTTCGTTTGAGGCATGTCCTTTACAATAAGTACAACTTTTTTCTTTTCCACTTCTTTAAACACCGGCAGCCATTTCTTGATCCGGATAGTTTCGAGATGCTGAGAAGTCTTAAAGGTTCCTTTATCATGTTAAGAAACATTTTGTGAATAGGAAATACACCATTCACTCCAGTGTTTATATCAAAAAGAGGTAATTTCTATATAAGCATATGGACTTTGTGAGTGTAGCTGTAGCTATCCTTTTGTAGAGGAATGAAAAATTATGTCTCAAATTATTTCATCAGTTGATCATAATGAAACTAGTAATTTATCAAATTTATGTAAATGATTTATTTGTATCAAGAAAGAACAGCATGGACTAAATTGAGTAAGAGGTTGCATAATGCAAAGCCTGTTGAAACACTTGTTACAGCTATATTTTCAAACACAACATGTTTATGCAGAAATGGCCTCTTTTTTTCTGGAGTGGGCAGAGTGCTTCAGAGTTTAATTTTTATTTCTAACATCGTAAACTGTAGGCTCATACTGCTCTTAAATTTTGGTCTCCTGGACGATTTTTTTTCTTTTAAAAAAAGGAAATGAGTTGTTCGAGGAAAAGCGGAAGAAAACCCAATGTCTATTGGATTCATGCGTAATAGGCCTTTTAAATAAGAAAGTTTAATCCATCAAGCTGCCCGCCATGTGGGGTTTAAATTAAAAACGATTGGTTTATCATTTTGTGAAATTTTAAGCCCCACCTCCCTTCCCTTTAGCTTTATGCGTCTTTAAATAGTCATTTTCCTAAATTGTATTTAGCATAAAAAGGATTGCGTTATGGTAACATTAGTTCATTTCTTTTCCCTCTTAATTTTTTCTTTGTATATATGCATTCGAAATTTATAGAACATTTTAATATTCAGCAACAGCAACTGCAATTGAATAATCAAGACTACTTTTCTAAAGAGCCACTTCCTTCACCAATGAATACATCACCTATCAATACCAAATGTAAACTAAAAAGAAGAAGCCGAGTTCAAACAAGGCGTTGTAGACAAGACAGTCCTGACTTGAGTAATCGACATGGCACAGTAGCAAGTTGGTGCTTAAAGCAAAAGCATAAGATGACCAAACTCCGTCTTCAGCTGTTGTAAACACTTTTCTTTCATCACTTTGTACATATGTATCATACAATGTAAATAAAGCAATTTAGACTTTTATGCACACATCGTAAGTTGTTTGTTTGCATCACTCCAAGAAACTTTCAATTCTGTAACCAATTGGAAGAAAGCCCGGCTACTTTAAATAATACGTCAGAGTTTTTCTATCTATCAGGAACAAAAAGCTATGTAATACAGTACTAGACGATAAGCTATCTCTCTCTCTCTCTTTCTCTCTTTCTGTTTCCTTTCTTTCCATTCTTTTAATTGCTTTTTTATGGCAGATTTGCAATTGCCTAAAAAGCAACTATTTCTGATATGTGCTTGTCGATTTGCAGAAAGTATACTTGCTTCAAAAACAAGAAAATAATCAATTTTTTTAGGAGCCTGTTTCGTTCAGCATACGTGCACCTTTTATTTATGTGTAAGCTCTTATATGGAATGGAATTCATTTAGATGATACGTGACTTTAGATTGACAGACGAGCTGCATATTGGTTATTATGCAAGTTTGATCACTTCCGCTTTTGCACTTGCACAATTTTTTTTCAGGTAAAGAAAAAAACAAGTAATTTTTTTTTGACAATGCGTTAGGCATGCCATGGGGATTATTATCAGACCGAATTGGTCGTAAACCAGTCGTTTTAATGGGACTTGGTTCGACATCCATTGGAGTTTTATTGTTCGGTCTATCAAAATCATTTGCTTGGGCATTAGCCACAAAAATATTCTCAGGTTTATTTGTAATATACAAAAAAAAAAAAAGGAGAATGACATGATGACAAAAATGCATATTTATAGAATGGAAACATCAGTGCATTGAAAAGCATGATAACAGAGTTAACTCAGAATCATCCTGCAGATAAAAAACAAGAGCATTCTCACTACTACAAGTTACATTTGGCTTGGGTAGTATTGTGGGTGCTGCTTTAGGAGGTATTGTGAATTCAGGCTTGTGGTTTGATTTAACATGTTAACTAGGATATCTGTCGAATCCAGTATCAAAGTATCCCAGTGTGTTTGGTAAGATGGGATACATGACTCGATTCTTGATAGAATATCCTTATTTTTTACCTTGTTTCCTTGCCACTTGTCTCTCTACTGTTTGCTGGCTAATGGGATTCTTTTCCATGAAAGAGACGCTTGAATTGAAAAAGACACTAGAAGATGAACAACCTTTGTTAGCAGAGCAGCATGAGGAGTACCAAACATTTTCCAGCCAAAAGTCGAAACGCAAGTTATCAAACATTCTTTTGCCAGAAATATTGGCTATCAGCATTTTGTATGCAGCTGTTTCATTTGAAATGCTTTATTTTGATGGTATGTATGGATATAAATAGATTTGGCTTCTGATTTTATTCAGAGTTGCTTCCGACCTGGTCAGCTACACCTAAAGAAGCAGGAGGTCTTGGTTTCGATTCGAGAGAAATCGGAACCATCCTTTCTTACGCAGGCCTGGTAATGCTTTTATTCAAGTCTATTTGCTTCATCATCTCGTTGATCTTTTTGGCTTGCTTCGTTTGTTTCAAAAAGCATTGTTTGCTGGTGCTTTTGTATTCTTGGCTCAAGGCTTATGTCGATTGTTATATCAAGTACCTCATCTTTCAGGATATGACACTAAATTCTGGGTGTGGACTGTATTAGTGATGTGCTTGACTATCAAAACGTTGGCGCAGACAATTGCCATCACCACAGCTGTCATTTTGCTTAATAATTCTGTCTCGAACTATAACACCTTGGGCTTTGTGAATGAATTTTCTCAATGTAAGAGATAGTAAAGCTTTGATCATTCAACTGTTTATATACGTTGTAATGCAGCTATGAGAACACTAAATCCCACTGTAGCTGGCTACATTTGGTCAAGGTTTGTAACCCCATCATTCTGTGTTAACATTCAATTCATCACTTTTAAGATCCATTATGATGGAATGGCTACCTTTAGGAGTACGTGCTTATGTTAGCTGGTTAGTCTCTTGGGTATGGTTGGTCTCTTCACGTTTGTTGCGAGCATGCGATTGAATCCCATTCATTACAACAAGAGATAAATTATGTGATAAATTATTTTTAAACTGTACAATTTTTTATTTCTTTGGAGTGAACGAAAAAACTTGTGAAAGTATTATATATAATTTTTTTATGTTTTGTTTGCAAATCTTCTACTACAAAGTGGATGTAGGTTGCCTTTTTTTTGTGTTATTTTTGGTATGGATATGTATTTGTACATATATATATATATATAAAAGAGAGATATTCAAATTGTATACTTATTTTCATTTACATGATGAGACACTTGCTACCCTTATCTTCAGAAGACTTGGAAGATTTGGGAGATGAAGATCTTTGTTCGGGAACATGAGCTTCAGGAATTGCTGTAGTGTTAACAGTGGGGCCAGCAGAAGCAGGAGCGGCAATGGGAGCAACAGCAATGGGGGCAGCAGGAGCAACAGGGTTGACTTCGCTTGAGGCAACAGGAACAGCAACAGCAGGTTCGGGCTTCTTGAGGTTATCAGTCTCTGCGGCTTGTTGAGAAGCATCAGAAACGGATTGCTTGACTTCTTCCTTAACAGCAGGAATTTCTTGTTGGACTTCCTTGGCCTTGTCTTGAGCGGCCTTCAAGTTGTCGTCAATACTCTTTTGAATGACAGGAGCTTGCTTGTGAGCTTCTTCAATAGTGGCATTGGTAGTATCTTTAACAACTTGAACATTGTCAGCCACAGTTTGCTTAGCTTGATCCACCTTGTCGTCAATGCTCTTTTGGATGACAGGAGCTTGTTTGTGAGCTTCTTCAACAGTAGCATTCACAACTTCCTTAGCAGATTGGACATTGTCAGCAACAGCTTGTTTGGTTTGGTCCACCTTATCGTCGATGCTCTTTTGAATGACAGGAGCTTGCTTGTTAGCTTCCTCAAAGGTAGCATTGGCAACTTCCTTGGTAGCTTGAATGTTATCAGCAACAGTTTGCTTGACTCCTTCAGCCTTATCATCGATCTTTTGTTGAATGACGGGAGCTTGTTTGTTTGCTTCTTCAATAGTAGCATTGACAACCTCCTTGGCAGCTTGAGCATTTTCAACCACGACAGACTTGGCTTCTTCTACCTTAGGTTTAGCTTCAGCTTGTGCTTCACGAGTGACGTCAGCGGCATTAGCTTCAATAGGACTAGACTCCTTTGTCTCTTCATCATTTTTAGAGGCAACAAGAGAGGCAGCACCAGCAGTGGCAGCAGCACCAACGGTAACAGCAGCAGTCTTGACAGATTCGGTTAATTTGAAGGCTTCTTCCTTGACGTCATTCACTGAGGCAGCGTTGCTTTCAGTCACAGCAGACTTGACTGTTTGAGCTAAATTTTGAGCTTGGGACTTGACTTCTTGAACAGTGGAAGCAGGTGTCTTTTCTTTGTTGACACGTTCAAGATAGCTGTAGACATCAATAGCACGGAAACCAACCACAGTCTTGATACAGTATTTAATAGCAGCCTGCAAATCAACAGAAAGAGGCTTAATCTCAGCAGCGGTGGGAACTGATCTTTCAACAACTTCCTCCTTGGCATCAAAAGCTTCTTCCTTAACTTGGTCTTCAGCAACGGGTGGTACTTCGGGGACGGTTTCTTTGATTTCTTCCAAAACTTCCTCCTTAGCTTCTTGATCATCAACAGCGGCAACCTCAGGAACGGTTTCCTTGATTTCTTCCAAAACCTCTTCCTTAGCTTCTTGATCATCAACAGCAGCAGCTTCAGGAACAGTTTCTTTGATTTCTTCAACGAGATCATGCTTAGCATCAATGGCTTCTTCTTTGACTGAATCTTCGACAATAGGAGCAGTCTCAGGCACGGATTTTTTCACTTCTTCAACAACTTCTTCTTTTGCTTCAACAGCATCTTCTTCGTGCTCAGGTTCGCGAGCATGGATCTTTTCTTCAATGTGATATTTTGCCTCAACAACCTCTTCCTTCACCTTCTCCTGTACCTTTTCAACCTTTTCGACGGTTTCTTCAATGATGCTAGATTTATTGTTTGTCTTTTCCAAATAATCATGGACATTGACAACAGGTGCACCAACAGCAGAACGAATAGCGTGTTGAATGGCGTCATTCAAATCAACAGCAAGAGGCTTGGGTTCAGCAGCGGCGACTTCTTCCTGGACATTATTTTGAGCGGCAGGAGCAACCTCGGGAACAGTTTCTTCAAGTTCTTCAAGGACCTGTTCCTTTTGATCAATAGCTTCTTCCTTGGTTTCGTCTTCAGCAACAGCATCTATTTGAGGCACAGTTTCTTGGAGTTCTTCAAGAACTTCTTCCTTGTGCTCAGCAACTTCTTGAGTAACAGGGGCTTCTTCCTTTTGATTTGATTCTTCCGTTACGGATTGCTTACAGTTTTCAAGATAGGCATAGACATCAATTACTTTACTACCAACAGCACAGTCAATAGCAGCTTGGACGTGAGGGCTTAATGTGTTTTCAGACATGTTATAAAAAAATGAGATTTAAGAAAGAAAGAAAGAGAAAAAAGAGAAAAAAATTTCTAGGATTAAACCTTATGATTTTTAATTATTGTGACGTAAATTCGCGTATGTATTGTTTACAGTTTTTAATACACCAGTAATTTCACACACAGAGATAAAATGCATAAGCAGATACGTATCCTATATAGACATATCCATACATATAAACTCATTACTTATGAAAAAGACTACCTCATATATCTCTAACTCATAGTCTTTATTGTTCTCCCTTTTTTTGACCTGCTTCTTCGGAGTTTACACGTAAGAAAGGATGTAATCATATTCATGTGATAAAGGGTTTCCTATTTTAAAGAAACTCTATAATGCATCATGTCCATATAAGTTGTATGAAGTCTCAGTTTTTTTTTTCTTCTTCTCTTTACATAGATACATGGGCACACACACACACATAGGGTGGTGTAAACAAATAAATAGATATACCCTGGCATATCTTTTGAAAAAAAAAAAATTCAATTGTCTAACGTTGTACTTACCGGAACATCGCAATAAGTGTGTAAGACATAAACGACAATCACTATTTTTATCTGTTAATCTGGTTTCTTGATTTAATCTATTTATGTGTATATCAGTAGCTAAAACAGCAGTATATTGGCTTTATTCGTAATTAATTACATACCCAAAGAAATCAGGATTTAAAAATAGAGAGACGCTGTATTTCAATCCATATAAAATCCAGCAGCTAAACTGGCCGGTTATCTTTTGTTGCTCAGCATAGGACTTTTCTTTTTGAAGACAAAGAAAATTTCGATCTGATATTTCTAAAGTGTACTAGAGAAAGCAAAAGAAAAAGAAAGGAGTCACCTATCTCTAGGATTGACATTCACGACTGGAACATGTTCTGACATTTTCAACACCAAAATATCACAGAGTCATCGCAAGGTTAAAGCTTTGGTTTATGTGTCATCTTCCCTTGTACATAGAGAATTAACATTCGCTTTCGGTTCGTTTAAAGTAGTTCTTACTTATTAAAAAAAGATTCGATGAAAAGAAAAGAGAAACATAAATCCCTCTGACTGACAAGTATGTTTATCATACACTATATCAGTAGTACAAGCCTGCTTTTTGCATAAATTAAAATGAACCCAATGCTTGGAAAACACAAGTATTATTGAATGATTCTTTCAATACATAAGCATTTAAGCTCATCTTGAAGCTAACTGTTCAGTCTAGGACTTGAACGATTTGACTGAAGAACATTGACACTTAGATTTAGCATATTTATATCTAGTGCCTTATGAGCATGAGCTTATTGGGAGGTCATGTGCTTTTCTTTTTTGTTTGTGCAGATGTGAATTGGTGTTATATGAGAAGATACGTTTCTATAATTGTGATCATGCATGGCTTTATTCCTAGTAAAGCAATATACTTTTTATACAATCAAATTTCGGCCAAATTTGGTATATACTTCAATGCTATCTTTTTGTACTAATCACGCACAAGTACCATTTGACTATTGCCTCTTTCAATAAGCATTGATTGTCACTAGTTATTTTCTCCTTTTCTCCATCCAGCATTAAATTATAAAGTAGCGTTCATTGTAAGATTCACATGTCATCTTTTTTATTCTCAAAACAAATTAGGAATCCATCGGTCAAGGTTACGCAAACTAGGAACGCTTGATACGCGTATATGTTATGTAGACTCAAAACTATACAATAGGATAGTAGCAATGCACAACAGACTAGCTTGCATATCGTAAGGCAAGATCATTTGTAAAGGCGCATTACTGCGTAATAGTATGTTTAGTATAGACACTCTTTTGTGTTACTAGCGTACACACATAACAGAAAGATATGCATAATTCTTGTCAAGAAAGATTGTACTTTTCTCAAAAGTAAGTGTAGAAAATACGAATCATGAGTGAAATACGATTCTTCTCTTAAATTTTCACAAATGACCTTTCACGGCATGACTTCAATTTCAAAAATGTAACCTGAAAGTGTCAATGCGAAGGCGAATTTTCGTAACATTGGCTTCTTGTTATACATCATAAACATATAAAAAGAAGCCCTGAATATATAAGAGAATCCAACATTATCCTATTTTTCTCAATGCGTCTTTCCTTTGGTTCTTGTGCTATCATTGCACTCAATTTAGTAGCTGTCACTCAAGCCCTTAGTGCCTCCAGTATTGACAAATGTCCTTCCTTAAAGTCAAGATCTACTCCTGCTACCAGTGTCTCTGATCTTCGTCCTGATGATATCAAGGTGGTTGCTGCCCTTGGTGACAGGTATATTTTTATTGATTGCATTTATTTCTGGTGTTGAATTGATATGTAGTATCATGGCTGGATTTGCAGCTAAAGGTATTCAAGATGATAATATTCTGAATATTAAAAGCTTGAATGAATACCGTGGTGTTAGCTATGGTGCAGGTGGTGATGCAGGTGCCGTCACTATTCCAAATTTCATCAAAAGATATAATTCAAATCTGAAGGGTGCTTCTAAATCTTCACATCTTGTCGAAATTTGCTATGGACTTCTTTGTCCTCCCTTTCAGTGTAAGTCATGGCATCATAAAGGAGAATCTTGCTTATGCATTGTTTAATAGACAAGCCATCTAAGGATGTATTAAATGCAGCACAAAGTGCATCAATGGCTCCTAACCTTGATCATCAACTCGACTATCTTATTGCAGGTAATTTACATGAATGAACAACCTATATATTCTAATTGATTATCTTCAAAAACATATAGCTATGAAGCTTTTGCCTGGTATTGACTACAACAAGGACTGGAAGCTCATCAATATGCAAATTGGTAGTAATGATCAATGTGCTTCATGTATTGACGCATTAATTCCTACCTTAACACCTACTCTATACGGAAAGCATGTCACTGATGCAATTGAACGTATCAGAAAGAACATACCTCGAGTCATTGTTAACTTGAGTAAGTAAAGTAGACCCGTGTTACATTTTGCTAACATTAATCTTTCTATAGTTGGTACTTTTAATGTCACTCAGGTATATACTGTCACTGCTGGCCAGGATTACTGTAAACCTTTCCAACACTCTGATTTAATCATTAATACTCTTGAATGCCCCTGTGCCATTGATCCCAAAAATCGTCCCAAGATAGATGAAGTAGCTGCTGGTAAATATGGAAATGACAAAAAAGTATATTCATTGCCTTGTAGGATACACCAAACAATTGAATACTATTGCTAAAAAATATCAATCCTTGCAGACAGACTCTTTTGGTGTCATGTACACTCCTGCAAACATCAAGGTTGATACATTTCCTGTACAAGGCCTTAGGTAACAAATCCAAATTTCATTTTTGTTTGAGACTTATTCCATTTACTCAAAATAGTAACATTGATTGCTTCCACCCAAGTGAACTGGGTCATCAATATGTAGCTAAGGTAAAGTAACTATTTAAATGAAATATGAATAACCTTTATTGTGCTCTAGACATTATGGAACAGTTTCTTTCAGCCCTTAGCAAGCAAACCAGATGTTTATACTTGGGACTCTGATCTTCCCGTTTATTGTCCTACAGAAACAGATCGTATTCAATTAAACTAAATAAAACGAGTATATGTAACGTGTTTTATTATAAAATTACAGAGGACAATGAAAATGACAAATAGTGGTGTGGTATTATTCTAAAGGAAATTATAGTTTCTTTGGTGTACTGGTAGCGCCCAAAAGTCTAGGGAAATAACGAGCCCATCCCATCTGATGTAATTTACGCACAATAGCAGGTGTAATTGCAGCTGTAATCGTCAATCGAACGGGAAGTAACAATGTCTTGTGAATGCCATAAGCCAAGATGAACACAGAAGCAAGAGAGGGGGTATCATCCTCAACCTTCACCATATCACCATTGATTTCTGATAAATCAGAAGGTTCATTTACTTGCGCAGTAACTGGCTTTCGTTTCAATCCAAACTTTTCTCCTGTATTGTAAACCATATCCAACGCACCCTGTTCTAATGCCTTTACTTTGTCTAAGCCAGCCAATTGAATAACGCCAAAGGTAATACCTAAATCCACGCAACCTACACCAAGGTAGACCAAAACACCTACAACACCATACTTCTTAGTTAATTCTTTGAGTTTTGATGTCTTGGGCTCAGTGTTTGTTGTTTTTGCTGCTTCAATGATTTTTGGAGATGATGCTAGAGAGTTTATTTTAAGTGTTTGTTGTTGTTGCTTGCCTGCCTTTGAAGAAGAGGTATAAAAGCGGTGAGCTCGTAAAGACCTTGTAAAGTGTTGTGCTGAAGGAGTCAGAGGCAAGCGTGGTAAAGAGCGGAAAGCAAAGGTAGTCCTTTTGGTAAAAGGCATACTACTTTTTAAGACGATGGCCCGAAGTGACATGGTGTATGTTTTTTGACAGTTTTTTAAAAATAAAGAGAACAAAGGAGTAGAAAGAAAACTTTTTTTTTTACTCTTATTAGGGACATCCGGCCAGGGTCGGAATCAATTTGACACATACAGACTTCCCGAGTTTTTTAACGTGACTTATTACGCTCATTGTCTATATAGACAAAGGACAATCAACTCAATTGAGCATTGTCAATAGAACCAACAATGACACCATTGTAGTGGTAAAAAAAAAATTAAGTCAGTAGTTTGAATGGACGCATTTAAGTTATATGTGCAAGGAAAAACGAACTTTTGCTATCAGAATTTGAAGTGGTTTTTTTTTTTTTTTTTTTTTTTTTTTTTTTTTTTTTTTTTTGCTTTTAAACAAGCTTTTGTTCTCAATGCGCCTTGCAATGTTAGATTAGCATTTATGCTTATATCAATGGAAACTTTCTGTATTGCTTGCAATTGTTAATTACCGAAATGAAGAGAATCGCTATAGCAATACTTCTTTTTTAACATTGAGCTTTAAAAGAGCCATTGAATACTACCATGATTGTATTGACAGCTCTTCATTTAAATTAGCTATAAAACTTAATTCATTTTGCTTTTTTTATGAGGCAAATGACCTTTGGATGATGGTCTCTCGATCAATACTAGTACAAATCTACATCTTTTTATATTAACAAAGACCCCTAAAATGGAACTTTCGAATGCAGTATCATTGGTACTGATCTCCCTTCCATTGGGGGGGGGGCAAAAAGTGCTGCTGCCTAGAACAAATAAAATGTTTTTACAGCCAAAACGCTATAATTTCAATCTTTGAGGGCAATTATCTTGCATTTTTTGTCACTTCGATGTAATTTGAGTATTGTGTCATATATCTAGAGCGCAATGGCGATCCAAAAAAACACTTTTTTAGCACTTTTTGTTTTCAAAGATGTTTTGACTATTATTGAACTGAATTTTAATGCTAAAAAAAGGCTGTATTATGTTTATTAAGAATATTTATGGTCTAACGCATAAAATACAGTATTTCTACTTTGAATCCAGACGACGTTAGTTTTTTTCTGGACGAATCAAAATTAATTTCCAGACCTATTTTGGACGAAATAAAATGGAAATTAAACAGAAAAAGAATTAGCTTTTTGGATGAATGAGGGTTTACATTTAGACATTTATCTGTAAAGGGAAATCAATTGTTAGAGAAGCAATATCAAAATGACTGGTTATTGTGGTGTTTTGGGACGTTTTAAATAAAAAAATTGAATATAAAAATTATAAAAAAATAAAGAGACGTGTAGGAAGTACTTTGAGACCGTTTATAAATATTCATTAAGGTAAAAGTTCGAGAGAGATTTTTTATATTCTAGGTTTATATATGATTTGGATTATGTCCTTAGATGTAATCTGAGATAGGACTTGATGAGCTGAAGGTTATATTAGATGGAACAAGAGTATTGACTTTTTCAATAAAATATACTTTGTGAACCATCTTTACAGTTATTTATCATTCAAGATGAGATCTGTTTATTGGTTCCTGGATTATATGACTCTATTCCGTAGGAGTGTAAATGTTGATTCAGCTATATCATTGTTTAGAATGAACTCAGTTTTATTGCTATCAAACTATGACTAGCTGGCATAATAATAATAATAATATATGACAAATGTTCTTGTTATGAGAAAAGACTTATTTGTGATAATATGCCTTTTTTTATTTATTTAAAGTCATTTATACCAGATCATCAACAATAGTTAGATCGACTTGTCTGTTATAATGTTTTTTAACGAAGTTCATCTTATTAAAGAAAAATTAAGTTTTCCATCTGCTATTGGAGGAGCTAGCCAGTGCATTACTGAGGCCTGCGAGGAGCTGGCAACCACCTACGAGAATGCAGTTGTAGAAAGACTTGAAAATATATTGAGAAGATTTTTGCAATATCAAATTCAAATTATGTTTGTTATAAGAGCTAATAATCACATCCATTTACTCTAAATACTTAAATATTATGTATATAGTCCATGGCTCCGAAGGATGTCGATGATATTGTTATAAAATATGGATATCAGTATGTATGCTGTGATGTTTGGGTTGTGAAATGAAAATAGAATAGAATAAAAAGAAAACAAAGAAATACAGTGAGACTGTTCAGTACTTCTTTATTACAAAAATAATGATTATCCTCTAAAATATATCTTTTCCAGGTTGTCTTTTATACTACCTGATTTATTGACTAATTATGATTACTGATTATTGATTACTTAACACCTTGACAGCTTGTGCCTGGGAATTGGTTATGTAAATTCTCCTTTCATTCTTGTGATGATCTGACATTAAATAAGTCTTCAATTACATACTAAAATATATCATAATCAATTTACGTCAGAAATATACATAAAAGAACCTCTTGTACTGAATAAGACAATGTATCTTTTAATAGATCAAGACTTATAATCGAAGTCCATAATTTACATTATTTAATTAATTTAAAGTAGTCTATGATAATAGAGACTCAGTCATTTGCATGAACTCTACTACTACTTACTCCGACATCTCTTCATGTATAAATATGCTAGAATAATTTGTAGTCAAAAAGGATAACAATAAAATTGTATAAAACAGTCTCAAAGTATCTACCTATGTCTCTAAATTATCTTATCATATAACTCTCTATTATCAAAACATCACATCTGCTACAACACACAGAACAAGAACAACCATTACTCAGAGGGTGCTTTAACCCTTACTATGTACGCCCACAGCAAAGAAGCGGTACGGACATAGGCAAATTCGAATCGGAATACTTGCTTACGCCATTACTTTTGTTACTTTAAGTTTAATAATAATACTTTAAATTTTTTACGAATGACAGTGATGATATGTGAGTTTATAGAAGAATTGAAGCAGATATTCTAGAAGTAAGATAACCGATTAATCACTTATTACACACGAGCACCAAGGAAAGACTGTAAAGAACCTACTTCGAATGTAATAGCACCAGATTTTCAGGTAATCTCCTTCAAAAATATCCTTTTCAGAAAAGTTCGATAATTTTATTAGGTTTTGCTCATTCAGCTTTTATACAATTCAACGGAATTAGATAGTAAAAATATAATGTACTAAGATACAACGATAAGAACATAGATAGGTACAGACAGATAACGGGTAAAAAAAAGGAAGTAAAGATAGTAAAGGTCTTGATTTGCTTGCATAAGAAAGAGTATAAGAAAATAATGGGAATTAACACTGTTGAGAAAATACATAACCTGTATGAAATGAGCGATGGCTTATTGTTTTGCTTGCTAGTATTCTTGTTGGTCCTTAGATCCACATGTTCACCACGAACGCACCAGAATCATCACCAACACCTGTTACAACACCCAGAACAAGAACAGCCATTACTCAGAGGGTGCTTCACCACTTTACTACGTACACCCATAGTATAGAAACGGCACGGACAAAAACAACTCGGATCGGAGTAGCTGCTTACGTCACCACTTTCTTAGTATTTTTAAGTCAGACACAAGAAACATTTAACTTCTCACGAATAAGCTAGCCATTTTAGCTCTAGTGGTAGAGCGTGTCTCTCGTAAAGACAAGGTCGCGTGTTCGAATCGCGCAAGTGGCATATGTTTTTACTGCGCCCGATTTTTGCAAAATAGGTTGTGTTTTTTGGACTTGTCCTACTTGTTTGTTGATTTCTTCTGATAAAATACTTTGATAAAAGATAACTCGTTGATATCACAATATCTAATAACAAAAGCAATCGATGATCCGACGATGATGCGAGAATTGATTTTGTGATTGGAGGCTTATTGCGGATCAAGGACAGATTCAATGTTTGTGACGTATAGAATATAACAAAGTCAATTATGTAATTAGCACCAGGGTTCGAATTGTCCGAACACACGACTTTTTATTAGATCGACTGTAGGTGATGACCAGTCATATTATCATAGTTTCTGGTTAAAAAAAGAGAGGTTCTTCTTTACATTTGCAATGAGATCAAGAAAACATATACCTAGGAAAGATAGGTACAACTTGAGCCTTTTTTCTTTTAAGGATCATACGTGGTGATGATCATTTTTGGAATTCTGGTCAAACTTAAATCCATGCTGCTCTTAACACTAAGGAAAACTGATTTTCCGAAGGAAATGCTCATACTTGATCAACAAAAGACGTCTTGATAAAAAAAGGTCTGACATGACTCTGTCCCACTTTAATTCATTGTTCCCGCTTTTTACACTTGGTGCATTTTTCACATCATACTTGGAATCGGTTTATTTACTTATTTTTAGCATAATAGACAAGAAAAAATAATAATAGAGGGAAAAGCAAGTTTCAATTGAAGGGGACTCAATTGCACCCCACTAGACTAATGATCCATTGTAGACTACATTCATCAAAGTTGTTAGTAAGCTATACCTACCAAACAAACAGTAGTGTGAGAATAGGCGGTTGTTGAATTGCCAAAATGATTTTCCTTTGATATACATAAAGACCATAAGGGCAACAGGAATTAGTTTTCATAGAAAAACCAAAGAAGAGAATAGAGTTTGCAGGTAAAGACTAAAAAGACAACCAAAACTAAAACATGTTTAGTACTGTTACCAACAAATTTCTGTGGGACTTTTTTCCAAAATAAGAACTCAAATTCTCCACACACACACACACACACACACACACATCCCAGGTATTTTTCACTACTTTTTCTTTTTTCTTTCTTTTTTTTTTTAGTTCCTTTCGGCATAGCGAAAAAGACTACTTCTGATGTATCATAATGTTCCTGAAAAACAAGCTAGTACCTCGCCCGATAATAGCCAACTCAAACGGATTCTGCCAAAGCAATGTAACGTCGAGATCCCTTTACCCCACACTTTTTAACATTTTTTTAATTGGTTAGGTAGACAATGTGAAGAAAATCAGTTAGAATGCAATTGTAAATATCAAATTAAAGCTATACAACAAATTAATTAATCCCTTCATGACAGCCAGTATTCCCTGTGCAAGCTGTATTTCCTCTGGAAAATCGGATATTTGTACAAACAATGAGGCTACTCAAGTAACAGAATACAGCAGTAAACCCACTACGACGAACAACAACAACAAAAAATCTACGGCAAATAAAGGCTCAAAAAGAGGATACAAATCGCATGTTCCAAGTGCCTGTAAATTCTTGACTATTGTAATATGAAAACAATATTCATTCTTCTTCTTTTTCATTAGGCATTAATTGTAAAATAGCCCACTTAGCATGTGATGGTAAGAAGACAATGTGTGTCTAAATCTATTTCTTAAACAGATATTAGTCTCTCGGCCTTGCAAGCGATGTGTTTCGCTCAATAAGACAGATACTTGCCAAGATATGCAACATAAGAAACGAGGAAGACCAAAACTTCGAGAAAAGCCAGCCTATTCCTCCAATGAGCATACGTATGAGATCTTATACGGCACAATCCAAACTCCCACAATTACCATGAGAAACAGGAGTATTATACCAAGCCAACAAGTGCCACCTTTTAAATCAAAAACTACTTCGCATTCACCCAAGAAACGATCTTCGTCTGTCATTTCTTTTATACATGAACCAATTGAGTCGTTTCAGCAACAACAAGTAGAGCAAACACCAATATCAGTTGATGCAACTACTGCCCAAGGCTTAACTATAGAAACCGTTATTCCTAGCATATCGTTGTCAACAAGCCCTCCATTATCATTTATATCTCAACCATTACCACTCACTCCTCAGCAACAGCCCATGATAACAGAGACAATCAGTCCTTATACACCGACTAGTATCAATAGTTTCGTTCCAGTAGTTAGTAACAGTGTTTTCCAACCTACAGCTGATAGTCCAAGTTTGTCTATTATTCTGTCTATGGAAGTCTGTTGTGCCAAAGTATCAGATGAGACAATCAAATGTTGGGGCTATTATCCTCAAGAACTTGCTCATCGCTCATTGTATGATTTCATTTCTTCAAAAGACACAGACCGCTTAGCTAGACTACATAGACTATTGATTGATAATTCCATTGAAGTCATGAAAGCATCTTGTCCTGTCGATCAAGACACACTTGCATTACCGCCTACAGAACGAACAACGTCTGCCTTATTTAGCAATGCAAACCATCAATCGCTTTGTACCATTGCTAATGGTTCTCGGTCTTTTTCTGATACAATTCACATCAAGAAAAGAACAGGCGAATATGAACTGTATGAAGTGATTGTCTATATTGGTGGAGGTTTGGGTGCAGACTTATACAATGTTTCCAGTCTATCGAAGCAATACATTGTTGCTCAATTCAAAAAGCATGAATATGAAGTGAAAACGCGGTCAAGTACAGTAGCTCCTACAATAACAATACAACCACAAGAATTTAGTAATTTACTACAGGAGGAAGATTTGTATACACTACAACCATTTGCTGTCTTCTCACCCATATCACCTTCACCACCTACATCGCCGCCCAACAATACTAAGTCACCCAAAACAATCACCAAGAACCGTCTATCTTCCATTCAGAAATTTGCACCTCAGACTTCTTCATATAAACCATCTAATACGACGTCTCCTAAATTCAACATTGCACCCATCACAAGTAAAAACGTAACCAGCCCAAGCCCCCTATTAAGTCGGTTTTCCTCTCCATCAGCTGGATTTGGATCGACTTCTTTGATATCCTCGCCTGCTTGTATTCGCATGAGAAACACAGGTTCAGTGACTGTGACACATCCAACGCAGCAATATTTCTTACAGACATCCAGTAGTACTTTGAATGCCGCTGCTTCGGCCGCACAGAATAAATCAAGGCACACAGTCACACCAGGTGGACCAACGGCCGAGACGACTGTTGTACCAGACAGAAAGATAGAGATGTCTATTCGATCTTTGTTGTGCTAAAATAAAGCCATCATGATAAAGTGCCTTTTCGAATAATCTAGTAAGCGACTTGTGTTTTTATTATTTGGGGATCTGCAGGCTTTATCAAAACATCAAATCTTGTCGTCTATATCCGAATTGATCTTAAAATCAGCACAATTGAATCTGACATTACGCAAGTTTGTGATATACTGAAATTTTTCTAGTATTACTTCTTAACACAAACAAGTTTTTTGATCTATACGCATTCGAAAAAGGCATCGTGAAGCTGAAGGGTCTCCGCTATGCTGTTATGAGCGTGGTTTAGTGAGTTTTGAAGGATGTTTGTTAGCTATGTCAACCAATGGGTTCAAGATCTCTTATATCTACAGCAGATGCAGTACCAATTGTTTGAATAGCTTATCACTTATGAAAGGCCAGAGTGCGCTTGTCTGTAAAACTTGTAATACACTGTGATATCAATGCTTTCAAGAACATCAGTAGCACGAACTTTGACAGCAGGTAAACAAAGCCACATGGACTGGCAATCGTTTTCGAATCATATAAATAAATTCGATATTTTTTTCCCTCTCGACTACTTTATATTGTTATTATGTTTAAGCGTGCACACAAAGAGTTGGAAAAGCAAAAGATTGAAGAAAACGAGTTTGACGCCGAGGATATGCAAGAAAAATTGGACGGTGTCTTTTCTGACGAGTCTGATCTTGATTCCAATACCGACGATTCTGACGATGAAGAAACTAGAAGATACAAGAAGAAGGCACGTAAACAATTAATTGAAACATTCAACAAGATTGCCGATGAAGCTGGCTCTGATGATGATGATAGCGAGGGCGACAATGAGGATGAAGAAGAAGATAATGGTAGCGATGAAGAGGAAGAGGGAGAGGAAGGCGAAGACGAAGAAATGGAAGAAAAACTTGTGTTTGCCTGTGAAATTTGTCCTGATAAACATTTAAAGACTGAAGAACAAGTGAATGTTCATTTGGAGAGCAAGGCTCACCTTAGAAGAGTTAGATTTTTAGAGAAACAAGGAAAACTTCCAGGCCAAGAGGAATTAAGCGAAGAGGCTAAGGCTGAATTGGAAGCCAAAAAGCAACGTGAAGAAGAAGAAAGAAAGGAAAGAAAGAAGGCCAAGAATCAAAGACTTAAAGAAAAAGCTAAAGCTCGTCGTGAATTGATTAAAAAAAGAAAATTAGAACGTGAAGAAAAGAAGAAGAATAAGGCTGAGGCAGCTAAAGATAAGAAAGAAGACGAAGAAAAGAAATCTACTGACAAGAAGCCTACCGAAAAAAAGGTCACTGAAAAGAAGCCAGGTAATAAAAAGCCAGGTAACAAGAAAGCAAACAAGAAGCAATAAAGACAACTGTATATAAAGAAGCATACCAATAAAGACTTTTCTTTTTATTATTATTATATTAATGTAGAAGACTTGAGACTGGACTCAATATCAGCAACAACCATTTCATTTACCAGTTCATCAAAAGAAACTTTGCGCTTCCAGCCCAACTTTGTGTTCGCCTTGGTAGGATCACCCAACAACAAGTCAACTTCAGCAGGACGGAAATACTTGGGATCAATACGAACACGCACCTTGCCAGAGTCTTTATCTCTGCCGATCTCATTAACGCCTTCACCTTCCCAAACAATAGTACGGCCAGTGACCTTGAAGGCCTTTTCAACGAAACTTCTCACTGTGTGTGTCTCACCAGTAGCCAAGACAAAATCTTCAGGCTTGTCTTGTTGAAGCATGAGCCACATACCTTCAATATAATCACGAGCGTGGCCCCAATCACGCTTGGCATCAATGTTACCCAGATACAGACATTCTTGACGTCCCAAGTGAATGTCTGCAACAGCACGGGTAATCTTACGAGTGACAAAAGTACGGCCACGACGAGGGGATTCGTGATTGAATAAGATACCATTACAAGTATACATGTCATAAGATTCACGGTAATTTACCACAATCCAGTAACCGTAAAGCTTAGCAACACCGTAGGGAGAACGAGGGTAGAAAGGTGTAGTTTCTTTTTGAGGAGTTTCAACAACTTTACCGTAGAGTTCAGAAGTAGAGGCTTGATAGAAACGAACGCGGTCAGAAAGACCACAGGTACGAATGGCATCCAAAAGACGGAGTGTACCAAGAGCATCTACATCACCTGTGTATTCAGACATATCAAATGAAACCTTGACATGGGATTGTGCTGCCAAGTTGTAAATTTCAGTAGGTTGTACCTTAGAGACAATATGAACAAGACAAGTAGAGTCAGTCAAATCACCATAATGAAGGAAGAACTTGACGCCTGTCAGGATATGATTAGCATAAGCCTATAGACGTGTTTTGCTGTTTACCTGTTTCATGCCTGTCTCTGTAAATATGCTCAATGCGACCTGTATTGAATGAGGAAGAACGGCGAATGATACCATGTACTTCATAGCCTTTTTCTAACAAGAACTCGGTCAAATAAGAACCGTCTTGACCAGTAACACCTATTCATTATATAAGAAAATGTTGTATTGACAGGTCAATTTACCAGTAACAAGTGCAACTTTGCGTGCTCTGTATTCTTCAGGGCTCAAGTGATGATAAGTCTTGGTTGCAATAGTAGTTTCGGTCATGGCTATGATATAAAATACAAGAAAGAAAAGCAAGAAAGCTGTATACATCCGATCGCTTCTTTTTAAAAAGCCCCGCTCAGTTTTTTTAAGGCTCTAAATACTTTTCAAGATCAGACACTTTTAAATCAAATAAACCGGGCCATCCCAGTTTAGCATAGATAAATATATAGATCCTTCTTTTTCTTAACTAAAGCATGGCTCTTAAACCAAGTACTATTGCCCTTATTTCTACAGCTGTTGCTGCTTCTTTTGGTATTGGCTATTTAATCTATTTTGATCATAAACGCCGCAACGACCCTCAATACAAAAAACAGAAAAGTAGGCTCCCATTTTTTCTATCAATCCACTCATCATGCTATATTAGAATTAGAACGTAAAAAGGCAGCCAAGCTCGAGAAAGAATTCAAACAAAAAGAAGTCCAGTCTGTGGAGACCTTAATTAAGTATGTCATTGATAAAGTCAATGCAGAGACGTTTCCTACGACAGCAGAAGCGGTTGAAGCTTATTTTGTGGATCAAGTAGCTTTGGGTGAAGAATGCATTAAACAAGGCCAAGAAGAAGCCAGTGTTGAACATTTCTATAAGGCACTCAAAATTTATCCTGCACCTTTGGAACTCATCATGATTTATCAAAAGACAGTGCCCGAAAAGGTATATCGTCTTATTGTAACTATCATGGCTATGGAGGTAAGAAAATGGAAAAAAATATATACAGTTTGGGATCTAAAATCATGTGTAGCAACAACAACGTCAAAATAAATTTTATGAAGAATTTCCTCCTTCGGAAACACGCCTCAAATTAAAAGAAGTATCTAAAGAAGGCGAAAATAGCATTTATGGCCTTGTGGCAGAAGAAAGTATTAAAGCAGGAGACGAAATCTATGCCGAAAAACCACTTGTTGCAGCTCTTTATCCTCAATTACAGGTAAAAAGGATTGCATAAATTAAAAAATAGTACTTATCCTATATCAAGGGCTCTTATTGTAGCTATTGCATGAAGAAATTGAACGATCAACCAGTTGAATGTGCCAATTGCGATCAAGTCAAGTTTTGTAGCAAAGAATGTGAACAAACTGCTACTCAACAATACCACCAATTTTTGTGTACCAATAACAAGCTCTCGCTTGATCAAAAAGCTTCCAGCTTTTTAAATTTTTCTGTCGACAATAAGCTTCAATATCCTCAAATGATCGCTCAATTCTTGTCTGGTATGGTAGCTGAAGAAGTAGAGAAGAACAAGACGGGTAAACCTACTTCAACTTATACAAATTGGGACCATATTGAACGATTCAAGAGCGAGCCATTGGAAATCTCTCAAGCATCTATCAAAGAAGCTACACTCATCAAAGAATTATTGAGCTCAAAAATCCCTGGTTTGGACGAATTCTTGAAAGATGATATCTATCTCTTGATGAAAAGCAAATTGATTGGCAATTGCTTTGAGGTAGCTACAAACGAGCAAGGATTTGTACCCGTAGAGGTAAGGCAATCACTGAAAATCAAAAGCTAACAGTGTATAGAAATCCGACCAAGAACCTATTCGTGTACTAAACAACCATCAAAAGGGGTTGGGTAGTGCCATTTACAAGATTTCTTCTTACATTGGAAGTGATAAAGAAGGCAATGTAGATGTGAACTTTAAGGACAATACCAATGTTGTTGTTGTTAAAGCTACTAAAGAAATTGCTCAAGGAGAGCAAATCAAGGTTTCTATAACAGATTCCGTTACACCTTACACTATAGAATAAACTATATATATATATCTTTTCAAATGATAATGATTTTGTTTCACTGTTTGACAAATCAATTGCAGGAACAATGATGCTCAATTTCAATACCAGCTTCACTCGAGCCGGACTTGTAAAACGGAAAGGGAATGCCACTTCAAGCCATGTGTGAAATAAGCACAAGCGTACTGCACAACCATGAACTACCTCTTTTCTTCCTAGAGTATGTGTCACAGCCACCACCATCACTATCATCATTAGAGAATGGATGGATTGAATTAGTCAAAAAGATGGATGCGGGAAGATTAACATTTTGATAGATTTAACAATGGGTCGTGTTATTCGTGCTCAAAGAAAGGGTGCTGGATCCATTTTCAAATCCCACACCGTTGGCCGTAAGGGTGCTGCTCAACTCCGTGTTTTCGACTTTGCTGAACGTCATGGTTACATTCGTGGTATCGTCAAGGAAATCGTCCACGATCCTGGAAGAGGTGCTCCTCTTGCCAAGGTAAAAAAAAAAAAGACAATGATGAGTGTGATGATTAACTTTTTTCTTGTTCCATAGGTTGTCTTCCGTGATCCTTACAAGTATGTATCATTTCGACATGTGTGTATATCAACTTGAGAAAGAATGGAAAGAAAAGAGAAAGAGAGAGAAGATATACGCACACAACAGCAAAAGAAAAGGGAATGCATGAAACTGACATATCTTTGTATAGGTACAAGCTCCGTACCGAAACTTTCATTGCTACTGAAGGTATGTACACTGGTCAATTTGTCTATGCCGGTAAGAAGGCTTCTTTGAACATTGGTAACGTCTTGCCTTTGGCCTCCATGCCCGAAGGTACCGTTATCTGTAACGTCGAAGAAAAGGTCGGTGACCGTGGTGCTATTGCCCGTACCTCTGGTAACTATGCCACCATCATTGGTCACGGTGAAGACGGTAAGACCCGTATTCGTTTGCCCTCTGGTTCCAAGAAGGTCATTCCCTCTACCTCTCGTGCTGTTGTCGGTATCGTTGCTGGTGGTGGTCGTATTGACAAGCCCCTCTTGAAGGCTGGTCGTGCTTACCACAAGTTCCGTGTCAAGCGTAACAGCTGGCCCAAGACTCGTGGTGTTGCCATGAACCCCGTTGATCACCCTCACGGTGGTGGTAACCATCAACACATTGGTAAGGCCTCTACCATGGCCCGTGACTCTCCTGCCGGTCAAAAGGTTGGTTTGATTGCTGCTCGTCGTACTGGTCTCCTCCGTGGTACCAAGAAGATCAAGGATGCTTAAACTATTTGTAATAAATCGTATTAAAAAGAGAGAAAGAGTGTATATTCTAAACGATTCAAGTGACTGTCAACCTTTTTTTTATGTTCATCTTTGGAGGGCTTTTATTTTTTCTCTTTCTTTTACTTTTTTTTTTTTTTGAAAATGCTTTTCTCGAGAATTGCTCGCTCTATTCCTATCCGCCGTGCTTTTTATACCACAGAAGCTCCTTCTGGTTTAACTGAGGGAGAAAAACTTATTTTCACTAAACTTTCAGAAGCATTGAACCCTCATAAACTTCAAGTAGCCGATGTGTCAGGTAATTTTTTTTAAGAAGCAATACAAATAATTGAATATGGATTTTAGGTGGGTGTGGATCCATGTATGCTATCAACATTGCTGCAAAGAAATTCGAAGGCACAAGCATTGTTAAACAACATAGAATGGTCAATGAGATTTTGAAAGAGGAAATCAAGGGTATGCATGGTTTACAGGTAAGCGTCTTGCTTCTTCATCAACATCACATTCACAATGGCATAGCTCAAGACCTCTGCTAAATAAATAAATAAACTGTCTTTTTTTATTAAATCAAACGACTAGCGCCAAACTGTCTTCGAGTGACGCAATCTACTTGGAGTTCAACAATACGATCTTCTAGTCCAACAAAGATAGTTCTGCCATCAGGCGAGAATGTGAGACCAGTAATGGCTTGATCTTGATGTTCTGGTGATAAGCGTACAATTTGCCTTGTTTGGAATGTGCGAGTATCCACAATATAGACATGTGAGACATGTTCAGCATACGCTAATAAATCCAATGTTCCTGAACTGAATTGTATACTTCTCGGTGCTTTCTTAGTTTTTCGATTCTAATAGAAATAAGCAATGGATTGTGTAGATAGTTTACTTACCTCAGTAGAACCTAAATGGTATAGTCTTTGTGTTGAGTCTATAGAATAAATGCTGACATATCCATCTTGACTAGTGATAGCAAATAGAGTGGATGATGGATGCCATGCACAAGATAAGCTTGGTTCTTCAGAGACTAAGGTTGTTTAGTTTTTTCCCCCATCTTTGTCTTGTTTATTTACCTTTGTATTCCAACTTGTTTGTGTAATATCCTTCTTTGTCAATTGTATAGAGATAAGCAACGCCACCATCACTCACCATGACCATATACTGTTGATTTGGACTAACACTAGCTATAAAACAGTATCAACACAATTAACAAGCAAGACACACTTACTAGCATTAATGGCACTAGGCAGTTTTAGTGTTTGTATCTTATCCATCTCTGGTACTCGCCATAATGTAACAGTTTGATCATTATTACAAACTGTCATTCGAATATTTTTTCCGTGACTAGACAAGTGAACCGAGTTATTTAGACCTCTTCCAACCGACCAAATCTTGGACCAGCCACTTTCTAGTTGTTTAATCATTAACATGCCTGTCTGTCCTCCCGCAACTAAATAGCCGCATCTATAGAGCGATAAGTAATACATAATCGCTAAGAAACTTACTTTGTGTGAATGGAAGTGGGTGTAAAGGGTAAACTATCTTGAAAGCATGTATCTTTTTCTAATCTTGTATCATACTGCATAACATTTGTTAGAAACTATTGACTGCCATGTCATCTCCTTTACCATATAAATAGAATTTCTTCTTGGATGCATAAGTGTGAATTTACTGGAAGCGTAGATCAAATCACGCAATTGCCTAGACTACAATAAATACAACAAAAAGATGAACATGGACATATTACCAATGCTGTATAAAACTAGTTGCATAATGTGTCTTTTTAATATCGACAAAGACACCATTATTTTGACTATATAAAATCAATCAGATAAAAATCTGTACAGACATGCATACTTTACATTGAATGTTTCAAGCAGAGTAACTGGCTTGAATGATTCTTTTTTTCTAACAAATCACTTTGACCTTCAGTAGGTATTAAGAGCATGAAAAGAGATAGAGATAGAGATAGCAAAGAGAAAGGGATTGCTTTTTTTTTTTATATTTAAAAAAAACTTTTTTTTTTTTTTAGTAGTAGCTTTATTTGTTAATTGTGCAGTTTTCGAACCAATCATTAATAAATTACTTCCACATATCGGCAGCACTCATTCTTCCTTTGTTTTGTACTAAAGGTTCTTTTTCTACCCACATAGCATCCAATAATTCATCTTCAAATTCTTTTGAATGACGGCTTTCTTTTCGACTTTTATGCGATTTATGCTTCTTTCTTCTTTCTCGACTTGGGCTACGTTCTCTTTTTCTTGACTTGTATTTATGACGATGTTTACGTTCTTCATCATCCCGGTGTCTCTTTTTATGGCTTGATTTTTTACTGCTATTCTTTTCTATCTTATCGTCATCTTCATCTTCATCGGATACAGAAACATGGCGCCTTTTATGTCCACTTGTTCTAGGCTTAAATGGTTGAACAATCACTTCTTCCGAGACAACATGTGTTAATGAACCCGCCTCTTTTCTTTCTGAGGCACGCTTAAACATTGGGCGGAAGGATTCCGTTGGCTCTGGTGTGTTTGTAGTAATGGGTATGTCTGCTGTTGGTGGAGCTGGTGGCAGTGGTGGACCAATGAAATCCAGATCCATATCTGGTGATTTTTCCACTGGCGATCTTTCTTCCGGCTTCGCTTCTTCCTCTTCTTCACTATCCGAATTATCAAAAATAGCTTTAAAAATGTCCATAGAGGGTCTTTCATAATCTAAAGAAGGACCTGCATCTTCTTCATCCTGGTTCTCCGTCGTTGTTTGTTGTTGTTGTTGTTGTTGTTGTTGTTCTTCTTCTTCTTCTTCTTTCCGCTCTGAGGGTTTTGGTATAATTGCATTCATGATAGGATCATCATTGCTGACAATAGGTTCACTAGAAGTGAATTTGAGCGGTATTCTTTCATTCAGCATGGTCTCCATAGCATCTTTGCTAAGGGCATCTTTGGATCCTGCTTGTGTACGACCTGCATCAGCGTCTGTCTTTTGATCATGGTCAGGGTGTGGGTTGCGTACATTGAATCGTTTACAGACAAGTCTGTTGGGATAAAAGGGTTTTATAGTTCTGGTTAATGCACCAAACATCTTCATAGCAGCTGCTTCTGCTTCTTGAGACAACTACATGAATGTTGAGTCTTTGTGTTGCATACTAGCTTGACTTACTTGTTTCTTTTCAGGTTTGGCTTCTAGTTTTGCCATTTGCTCTTTTTCTTTTCGATATTCTTCTTCTGTCTTTAGTCCTCCTTCAAATTTAAGTGTTTCTACATGCTTTGTCTCTGAAGAAGCAGATGTAAATCGACCACTCATCATAGCACTAATGGGTCTAAAGATACGTGCTGCTTTTGCAAATTCATCCATTTCTTTCATGCCAGATTCATATGTCAAACCCTCTGGGATAGGCAACACAGTTAAAGGAATACCATCCTGTGTTAATTTGCCTGCTTGATTCTCCAGATAATGTCTGTATCTTGCTTGTTTTTGAGGATTGTCTCCAAATGGCATGAATCCCTTTAAAGCCAAATGTGCTACATCTTTAGGAACAGAAGGGAAATCCGAAAGTTGCGATTTGTCCTTGCCACTATCAACAAAGAAACTGATGGCTTGATTGAGCTTGTCTTTTGAGCGTTGAGGCATGTAGTCAAAAACAGATCGCTTCTCAATCGGTTGTTCGCCTAAGATGTGTCCTCTCTCTTCAAATGAAAACACACTTTCCTTGTTCACTAGTGATGATGGTGGTAGTGTTTCGTTGTTGATAGGTGCATGAATGCCCGTAAAAGTAGCAGGTACTTGAGGTGGAGGATACCATTTTCCAATACTGTCTTTTGTCTTTTCAGACAAATGGAATCCAGTCAAAGGCGGTCTTCCATCTGAGCATTTAAGATGATTGATAGGTTTTGATTCTGTCTGTCTTTTTTGAGTGATACTCTTTAGCTGATCTCGTGTATAGCCTTCTTCATCATCATACAAGGCTGTATGATAATTACTGAATGAAGTGTCATTTCGGTATACATCATCATCATCTTCTGCTTCTTCAAAAGCACCTAGTCCAAATACTTCTTTACTTTTTGCCGATGGATCATAGACACCAAACATGGATCGATTTGTATTTTCGCCCTTCTTGGCAGCTGCCAATTCCCTCAAACGCTTCATTTCTGCTACTTCAGGCACATAGGTTGATAGATCATATCCCAGACCATAAGTATCTCGCTTGACTTGATAATTTTCAATAGGCGTATCTCGAGGTGCAAACGTAACATCTCCAGGCACATCTTCATCCTCATCGTCGTCACTAGCTTCTAATTGACGTCGTTTCATACGGGGACCAATGCCTTGTCCAGGTCTCCATCCCATCTTTCTTAATAGCCGAACACCTACAGAATCCTTTGGTGGCCCAAACATGCTGATCAGACTACTGCCTAAAAACTCAAGTCCACCGCCTCGACCTTCGTCTTCTTTCATCAATTGGCGCCGTGCTGACAGTTCGCGTTCTGTGCCTCCCAAAATATCAAATTCCTCTGTTGCCACTAGTTTGCGAGCGCCCGCTAAATCCTTTCCATGATGGATGAGTAAAATAAAACATTTGCAGATAAAAGACATACCTGGAGATCTTCTTCATCCATGTAATCTTCAGGTCTTGCCTCTTTCATTTCATTTCTAGCACTTCTTGAAGAAACATAATTACTGGGCTCCCAGCCTAAACAGTATCAGTAAAACCATCACTCGTAAAGTGGATTTACCTTCTTTTGATCCCACAGTATTAAAATAACCAGCAGAAAAACCACCCGTGAATGCACCATGAAAACGGCGGCGTCCTTGTTCGTCTCTAGCTTCTTGTTTCCAAACGGGTACAAATTGTCCAGCATCGGATCTTCCTGCCCGTTTGTCTTTTTCTGTTTGTTCTGGAAACGCTGTACCAAAAACTACAAAGCTTTCTGTAGCACCTTTGCTCATAATTTTTAAAAAGGGAAAAAGCGGATATAGAGACCATGGAGTGCACCGTGAATGGAATACAGTATTTCAAAGTTGAATTTGATTGGATGGCAAGCCAAGGGTTTTCTTTTCATGACAAGTAGCAGGCAACTTCAGGCATGAAGCGCTTTCATTCTTGCAGTCTCATCAGAGGATTAAGATAAATGAACAGAGCTGTGTGAGTGAGATGTTAATAGGAAAAACGCCTATACATAATGCAACTTTGGCTTGGTGTTCACTATGCTTTCCTTTTTTATTGTTATGTTCTCAATGGGACTGAGATATACTGGCCCCATATTATAGACTTTCTGAAGAAAGCTTCATGATTTGAGCTTTAGGTTCGTTGAAGACGCATATTTGGCTGTATACAGCAGATTTGAAGGCAATGCTTAAATGAAGTCGGCATTTTCGTCTTAGTAAGCTTGTTTTCTTTTCATCAGAAGTATTTAGAGACGATTTTATCTGATTTCGGTTGGATCAGACCTACATTGGGTCATTCCAAAAATTCTCGGTCGAGTTTTGTTTTTCTCATCTTCACGAACCTCTGTGGATCCTATGATCAAAAAAAAAAAAAATTCATCCACAGGTCAAACCAATGGTACCATTCGGTACCTGGACTCGAAAGAACATGATTTAAATAAGAAACGGGTTGTTTTGATAGTCTGATTGTCGAGTAATGGGCCATCAAAGAATGAGTGTTTAAGCTGTGCTTTGAGCATTTTTGAGCATTTTTGCTCTAGACATATTATAAAACTTGTTATCGATGGACCTATAAAACTATTGTATGCTGCTCAGAGTGTAAAAGAGCATACAAAAGTGAAAATATAGACACTTATGATGTAAATGTGGGGGTAAATGAAGATGAGACATACGGGATGGTCATGAATTGGAGATCGAAAATGAACGCAACCCTCAATTCTTCATCCAACCGCATGAAAAATCAAGCTTTTGCAGAGAACTGCATGAAGACGCAGTTATCGGGCTTTGGTGCAGTGACAAAAGTTATAGACCTTTAACTTCTAAATCTGTTGATATAAAAGTCATAGCAGCCTTACTGATAAACTATTGATAGAATATGTAAAAACATTTTTGAAATTTTTCACTTCTATTTCATCATTTCCATAGTGCAAGTAGCAAGCAAACACTTTGACCAAAAACTGCAGCAACTGGCGGTTATTTTGAGTATTTAAGCTTTTTGATATCTTTATTTTTCATCTTGTAGTGTCAAAAAGAAGACCAAAGAGTTGCCAAGTTCAATCTTTTCATCGAAAGGCATATTTTGGCCGTTTTGGACATGTCACTTTTTTTTTTTTGGTCCAAATCAACTCCAAAGGTACCTCATATGTTATTGAACTTTGTTTGTAAGTGTTTGAAGCATTCATGTCTGTATAAACAGGCTTTATGCTGCCTTTCTGTTGTCTAGATGTACCTCTTGATGTGGCCACTTTGTTCTCAAGCCAAACAGATTATTTAAAAAAAAAAGGCAAAATCTTTTTGATTCTATTGATTTTGCTGTTAAATAAAGAGAAACCAAGATTTGCGATAAAAAAGAAAATGAGATACCCAGCAAAACTTTTAACTGACTCATTGTTCTATCCTGAAGAATCTTTTTTTCTTTTCTGTTCTCTCTCCTCACTCTTTTTCAAATCATATCCTATCGCATACGCATTGAAATATACTGTATGCATCAAGAATTGAAATCGCAACATTCACTATCGTTTTCATCTTTTGCTTGTGATACTGCTATTTCAGCTACTCAATGCATTCCAAGTTTAAACTATTACATAACAGTAATACTCTTGACTATTCTCTTTTAGATTTACTTGATAACTTTATGGAACCAATCATCTGAAAACTCAAAACGGATAAGTTAAGCAAAGCTCATCCTGTACCTTACTGTCGGACCCACTATGAAATATGAGAAATCTCTTTTGCTCTTTTGTATCACTTTAGCTTCCAAATTGGTTTTGCATTAAATAAGTGAACTTCAATTTGATTCTGTCATCTTATTCTGACAAATACAAGACAATACGTCTAGTTCTCAACATGCAATTAGTTGATATACAGACATGAATACCAAGAAATTGAAAAAAAGGTATATCTTTTATTTTAAACCATAGACTCCACTGTGGGCTCAGCACAAATAATCTTTTCCATCTGTTTAGCCCTAAAATAATCTGCCAAGGAACGAATAATGATAAACCACCCAATGATCATCAAGAAATAAGCGACAATGTCAGCATCCACGTTATCTTCCGATTTACTGCTTGAGGATGTTTGACCGCTTGATTCATTATTGTAATAATACTCATCATCTTCCAATGTCCCACCTTTTATAAATATAGAAAAATCAATACATGTGTGTAACTCAACTCAACTCGACTTACGGCTACGAATATAAAATCCAGTCTGAACAAGCGATATGCCAAGACCAGCCCGTGATCCTTGCTGATATGGGTATAAGTCAATGTGGCGATGATTTTTATGGACATACCTTGGATGCATGCGATGTATGTAATAAATAAGTCAGCATAAACCCCACAAATTGAAAGCTTGCTGATACTATAAAGAGAAATGCAAGTGGTTAATGAATCAAATGTTACATTGCATTGTATTGGATATACTTGCTCATTAAGTTCCAGAAAAAAGAGAATATGTTACCAACAGGCATGCCTTCGACTAACACAATATCACCCATGCCTGCTGGAGCAATAATGGTAGTTTGCCAATAAGGCGGAGTGGCATCTGCTGCTGCTTCTTCATATGTCTATTTATATACATACAATTAATTACAAGATTAAATTAAGCAAATACACATTACAGGCGGTGTCTCTTCTAACTTGTTGCTATCACTTTCTGGCTTTGCTGACATGTTTGCAAATACACCGTCTGTAGATATCGGCAGTATGGCTGGTGCATTGTTTCTTGTTGCTACAGATGGTTGTGGCTGAGGCATAAACGCAACATGATCATCATCGTCTTCATCGTCGCTATCTTGGTTGCCAGGGGCGTTGCTATGGACGTTACTATGGTGATCAGAAGAAGATGGTAGTAATCTATCTGTTGCTTCGGCCTCTTCTTCCTCGTCGTCCTCAAATGATTCTCCAAATGCATCTTGTAAGTCAGTTTGTTGTTGTGTTGAAGTAGATGGACCTTCCATTAAGACATGGTCTTGATCATGAGTAGATAACTAGTATACAATCTTATTAACCAATGTCATCTTGTGATTCAATGTACCTTTGAATAACGTGTCGACATGATTTAAACTATAGAAAAGAAAAAGAGAGAAAAAAAAAGGTGCATTGATAATGACAGTAGCTATTTTTAAAATCCGTTCTCTCTCTTTTCTCCCTTCTCTTTTTTTAACAAAATAATGTCAACTAAACCAACTCAAGAAGAAGCGAATCCATCAACAGTTCCAAAGACTTTACCAGATCCCAACTGGTCAGTGCTCGATTCATTCAACGTACAGGATGACACAGAGATGTTTGAAGAAGCCCTCATTCCTCCAGAAAACTTCAACATGGTCTGTGAACATATCTATCGCTCTTCCTTTCCAAAAAAGAAGCATTATAAGTTTCTTGAAAAGCTAAAGCTAAAAAGTGTTTTGTAAGTGTAGAAACCCTTTTTCAATTATGTAGCCTAACATGTATGATAGAACATTGATTTTAGAAGAATATCCAGAACAAAATATGAAGTTTTTAAAAGAACAAAATATTCAGTTTCTGCAGTTTGGTATTGCAGGCAATAAGGTAATGCAAGATTAGGTTATATTTCCATCTAACAAGTTGACTATAGGAACCTTTTGTTCAAAGTAAGCGAGAATGGTGTAGATGATATGCTTATCCATTAATTTAGTTCCAGAAGATAAAATCAGTGCAGCTTTAGCAGCCTTACTTGACAAAAGAAACCACCCAATTCTGATTCATTGCAATAAGGGAAAGGTATATATTTTTTTATTTACATTTTATATTGACTTTCTGCTTGTTAGCATCGTACAGGTTGTCTTGTAGGCTGTTTACGAAAAATTCAAAATTGGAGCCATACTTCCATTTTTGATGAATATAGACGATTCTCTCACCCAAAATCACGATCCATGGATCAACAATTTATAGAGCTTTATGACGCTAAACAAGTCTGGCCACTGGTCGATAAAAAATATTTACCTAATTGGCCCACATTAGCAGATCCATTCTAATAAAATAACACCGCTGCCACATGGCAAAAAACGAAGTCATTTTTATTTATTTATTCTCTGAGATTCTTCAGGAGAAAAAGAAGTTTTTTCTCTCTCTTTATATTATGTCGACACTCAAGACAAAAGAAGGTAATTCCTTTCTTATCTTTGACGATAAACCGACATTTGTTTAGCAAACACCTACGAGGATAGCAGTGATGACGATATCCCTTTAGCCAAAAGACACGCTATTCAAAACAAGGATAGTGAAGACGAGACTCCCTTGTCTCAACGTGTTAAGAGAGTCAAGGAAGAATCAGACAGTGAAGATGACCAACCTATCTCTTCTCGTAAAACCCTCATGAAAAAGAAACCAGTCAAAAAGGCTGTTAAACAAGAAAATGGCGATAATGATCATGTTTCTTTGGTAATTAAATTCATGACACATATGTGTGGTATTCATTTCGTTTTGATAGACAAAGAAATTGAAGTCCAAGACAGAGGCAATGGACGTGGATATGCCTTCCAAAAAGAGACCTTTAGAGAGCAGTTCCAGTACAACCATCAAACGCGAGAAGAAAGTGAAAAAGGAAGAAGATGATCCTACACTTTATAAATGGTGGGAAGAAGAGAATCCTGTCGAATTAGAAAGCGATGATACTATCAAATGGACCAAACTCCAACATAACGGTGTCTTGTTTCCTCCTGAATATGTGCCCCATGGTGTTAAGATGAACTATAATGGAAAGCCTATTACGTTAACTCCTGAAGCAGAAGAAGTGGCCTCTTTCTTTGCAGCTCTTTTGGAAACAGATCATGCTCAAAACCCTGTCTTTCAAAAGAATTTCTTTAATGATTGGCAAGAAATCTTGAAACAAGATCCCAGGGTAAATTTGCGTTTTTGTATTTCATTATATATAACCTTTTTTTGTAGAATCCTAAAATTACAGATTTCAAAAAATGTGATTTTAGACCCATTTGGGAGAAATTTGAAAAAGACAAAGAAAACAAGAAACAAATGACCAAAGAGGAAAAGTTGGTATGTTTTTTAAAAAAAAAAACCATTGATATATAATGACTGTGTCAATTAGCGTGCAAAAGAAGAAAAAGCAAAAGCTGAAGAACCTTACCTCTATGCTTTAGTAGATGGTCGTAAAGAAAAAGTTGGTAACTTTAGAATCGAACCACCAGGTCTTTTCCGTGGTAGAGGTAGCCACCCCAAGACAGGCAAGCTCAAAAAGCGTGTCATGCCTGAACAAGTCACGCTTAATCTTGGTGTGGATGCCAAAATTCCTGAACCTCCTCAAGGCCATAAATGGGCTGCTGTCGTTCACGATCAGACAGCTACTTGGTTAGCTACCTGGAAAGAAAACGTTAATGGTTCTATCAAATATGTGTTTTTGGCTGCCACTTCTGCTTGGAAGGGTCAAAGTGATATGCAAAAGTTTGAAAAAGCAAGAGAACTCAAGGTAAACTATAGAGTATCTATTCAAAACTAAATCTCTCACGCCAATTAGAAACATGTAAAACGTATTCGTGATGATTATACTGCAGAATTAAAGCATAAATTAAGTGAAATACGTCAACGTGCTACTGCCATGTACTTGATCGATCGCTTAGCATTAAGAGCTGGTAATGAAAAGGGTGAAGACGAAGCAGACACAGTAGGCTGTTGTTCTCTTCGTTATGAACACATCACACTGGAACCCCCAAACACAGTTCATTTTGATTTCTTGGGTAAAGATAGTATTCGATATCAAAACAGTGTTCAAGTCGACTCTCAAATCTACAAGAACATCAACATTTTTAAGAAGCAAGTAGGCTTACCTGGCCATATGATTTTTGATCGTCTCAGCACGACCGGTTTGAATAAGCACTTGAATAACTACATGAAGGGTCTTTCTGCTAAAGTGTTCCGTACTTACAATGCTTCCATCACCTTCCAACAACAAGTAGACCTCTTGACAAACCCTAATGACAGTGTGGCAGATAAACTCTTGTCCTACAACCGAGCCAACCGTGAAGTTGCCATTCTCTGTAACCATCAAAAGACCGCTTCCAAGACACACGAACAAATGATTTCCAAAATCGGCGACAGGATCCGTGCCCTTAAGTATCAACGTATGAAGCTCCGAAAGCAACTGTTTGCTTTGGACGCCAAGTTAAAAAAGAAACCCGAGTACGCTGAACTCGAATCAGATCTTGATGAAGAATGGATTGTCGAGCACGAAAAGGATTTGGTTGAAAAAGAAAAGGAAAAGATCAAGAACCGATTTGAAAAGCAAAACGCAAAATTAGCTGCTGAGAACCAACCCATGTTGCCTGCTGCTGAATTACAAGAGAAATTGAAGGCTGCTGATGAACTCGCTAAGCGCTTAAAGAGTGAGCACAACAAGCAAGTGATTGAGCCCAAGAGCAGTATGACAGTTGATAAATTGATTGCACAAATCAATAAGATCGATGAGCGTATCAGTGCAACGAAAAACCAAGCTACGGATAAGGAAGAAAATAAGGAAATTGCTCTTGGTACATCCAAATTGAATTACATTGATCCTCGTATCACAATTGCCTGGTGTAGATCAAATAATGTTCCTCTAGAAAAAGTTTTTAGTAAGACTTTGTTGGACAAATTTAGATGGGCACAAAATATACCTGATGATTGGGTAAGACCCCTTTTATTGTTTTATGCAAAGAAAAGATAATTTTATACTAAGTTTTTTTTTTACAACAGAAATTCTAGGCTCTCATTCTCTCCTCCTTTGACTAAAAAATTGCATTTCAACCCGAATAATAATAATAACTATAATAATAAAAAGCACTATGTATCACTTTCTGAAAATAGTGTACATTCCGCAAACGGACCGAAATAGCTCATAAAGGAATAATTCTCCCTTTTGTGAATAAGCTCAAAGATGCAGTTCTATTTAGGCAAGAGAACGGCCTTATTTTCTTACTTATTTTCTTACTTATTTTCTTACTTATTTCGATCTTAATTACCATAAGATATTGCTACGCAAGAATGAGCTTTAATTGACATTTGCATCTGACAGATTCTACCCAGATTTGATACATCTCATTTGGGAACGATGGAAAGTCGTACATCGTTCCTTATAGTCACAAGCAATATTCATGCTATCCCATTACCCGATTCATCTCAAACCCCAGTTGCTTTGAAATTGATTTTCTTATGCAATTAGAATCATAATAAAATTGGCCTTCAACGGACGTTCAATAAGAAACATGATGAAAGTCAATGCCTATCAGCAATATTCATTCATATTTTCAAGGAGCTAGTTGGAGGAGTGAACAAATACAAATTAAACAGTTTTCGGCGAAAATATGAGTTTTTAGTTAGCCATGTCGGTCCGTGAGTAAAGACGAGACCAACTATTCATTCTTTAATTCAAGGGCGGTTTTATGATCCCCCCCCTCCCCTTGTGTCGCTAAGAAGACACAAACAGTAAGAAATCTTTCTTTTTTGAGTAGTCGACCAGATTTCCATTTTTGTAACTCCACAAACGGACCGAAATGGATATCCAAAGTACATCTAATATAAATAACAATGAGGGAGATCCATTATTCCCTCCCTCTTTTTCTTCTCTTTGTACATATTATGTTAATCACTACCGATCATACCAGCACTTTTACCAAAAACACACACATTCTCGATATACCCTCTACTATAGTTTGGTCACAAACACTAGAGACAATTACATTGAAAATAGACATTGTAAGTCTATCTAAAACAATTAGCACAGACACACTCATTTTGTAGCATCATGTTGAATTTAGAATATCCGAACGATGCTTACAACTCTGCAATAAAAACAAAACAATTACATTACCGCTGTATGGCCATGTACATGTACAACAAGTAAAATGATAACAAGAAATACTACGAGTATACTCATTTATGATAGGAGCACAATGCATTACGAATAAATAACATGATAATCACATTAAAGAAAGAACGCTCCGTGATGTGGCCACATTTACTTGTTCAGCAGACAGACAAAGAGATCGAACGCTACTTATTAGAAGCCAACTTTCTTGTCCATATAGACTATCAAGCGAGCACAGACATGTATGATATACTTGACTTTGATACAGTGATCAATGGTCATGGTGAAAAGACAGGTCTTGAATAACTTCGACACGGACTTTCGGACCGATCTTGTGTTTTACTAAAAAAAGGGATGTTTACCTAATCGAACAAGCCAAAATAAAGATACCAAATAAATTTGGTTAGACAGCAACTATTTTTATTCTTATAAAATGATGCCTGCATCTTTTGCATGACCTAAATATGTCTCTTCTTCTTCCATTCTGGTGCATGTGGATTCAGGCCCTTTTTTAAAGGTACAAGATATTGTGGTGATCCAATATGAGTTGTAGGAGGAGATACCAAGAAATCTTGTTGTTGTTGTTGTTGTTGTTGTTGTTGTTGTTGTTGTTGTTTACGGTAGATGTTATTGTGTGACGGTATCTTGACTCTACAATGTGTTATTTCGCCATTCATGTTGGTAGAATCAAATATGAGATAGCCATCTTCTTCTCTATAAAATGGTTCATCTTGATGTTCCTTTTCGTTCTTGAGAGAACAAGTCAATTCATCAATTGTCTTTTGATAATACATTTCTTTTTCTTTATATTCAAGCTGTAACGAATTATATTTTTCTAATAGAGCATGGTATAAATGCACATAATCTTTTGCTTCTTCTTTTTTTTCTTTTTCTTCCTGTTGATCAGGTTTCATAGGTTGGCCTTGTTCTAATAACTGTAGCCGGTACTCAAACCGTCTCTCTGAATCTTCTAGTGCTAACAGCCTTAATTCTAAACTATCAAATTTCTCTTGTTTTGACCATAAATGATCCAGTGATGTGCTGGCTGTAGGTTGTGGTGGAGATAGTCGCTACGCTAGAGTGAGTAACAAGAAGAAAAAAAAGGTTTACCTGTTGCATAATGATGGGTGAAGCAGGTATTCTGGATGAAAGCATACTGTTCTTTATTTCTTTTGGTTCTATATAAAAAAGAAAAAGAAAATGAATATCAACATATTATTCTTTCTATTGTTACCACTGCTATCGCTGCTACTAACACTGGCTGTACTGCCAAGATGATAAAGTGTCAAATATTCATGCGTTTTATAATAAATAATAAACAAACCTCATCCACATATTGATAAAGAAGAGAGAAAAAGAAAGAAGAAAAAAAAGGAGAGAAAAAAAATAGGCTTTAAATGTAGGAACATACTCTGAATACGTAAATGATCTCTCTCCCCTTCTCTCTTTATTCTTTTTTTTTTTCTCATTTTTCGTATCCCTTTTTTTTTTTTTTTTTTTTTTCTCTCTCTCTCTCTCTCTTTGTCTCTCAGTCTCTCTCGCTCGTTTCTCATATAAAGTCAGCCACATCAAAACATGCAACAAAATTTTAATTGCCCCTCATCTTTATTTTTACCTTTTTTTTCCCTTTATTATTATCTACTTCATCCACCATGTCGATGTTCCTTTCAAAGTTTCTTTCTGGAAGGAACGTTACAAAGACAAAGCTAGAATTACTCTCAGAAGCATGGATAAGCATTCAAAAATATTATGAGACAGCAGCAGGTAAAGTGTAGGTTTTTTTTTGTTTTGTTTAGAAAGGGGATAAAGAAAAAAAGGGGAAAGAAACTAAAATAGATATAGATCCTTTAAAGGACGCAGTTGATTTGACGCCTATTCCCTGTAGTCTACAAAACATTGTCAAGTTAATACAGGCAGAAGAAGTTGAATATCAAAGAGCAACAGGCAGTTTAGAAACAGGTCCTTGTTTGGAATATTTGTTACAAAAGCGTGTGTTGGAAGAACTCGCTGAATTCGCTAAAGTGGATGTAAGTCAATACAATTCAGGAACAAACCAATTTACTGTTTTAGACGCCTTATGGTATGCGTGTTCATTGTTTGAGGTTTTTCTGTAGTCTGGTAACCAATGTTCATGCTCAATTGTTACCGGAAAGAGCAGTTCATGTTCCGCTTCAAAAATTGATCACCTCCTCACATCGGCTGATCAGTCGTCATTACGAGGAACTGGCGACAGATGCTGAGGCTTGTTCTGAGGAAAGATTGGCTGCTATTTCTGAATTGTCGCTTGAATTAGTTAAATTAATGCATGGTATCTTTTCTCATTTTAAAGGTGCGAATGCTGCCCTGATGGATTTGTTTTTTGAGCGAGGCTGGTGTCGATCCCGTGGTGAAAACGTATGGCGTTGTTCTAAGGATGGCAAAACATTACACAGGCGTCGAGAAAGCGCTGAAGAAAAGATTGCTTGGGATATGTTCTTGACTGTAAGTCAATAGGGCATACATGCGTGCATTGACTCATTCTAAATACATAGCCTCGATTTGACATGTTTCAAGCCCTGATTGACTTTATGAATATACCAGGCGAAACAGGCGAAATTGCAAGAGAGGCTATTTTGTTTGCATTAAGATTATTAGAAGACGATCCAGAATATGTGTGTTATATTGTAGAATACTCCAACTTATGTGAAGTGATGGTAAAACAGACTGTTTGACGATTGAGGTTTGCTGATTGATTTTTCTTAGGCTGAACGACTTGCCTTATTCTTTGCTAGTTTGCCTAAAAATACAGGCGCATTTACTATCTCTAGCAATAACCGAATTACTTCTGTTAGACCTTCTCGGCGTCATATTCGATTCTCTATACCAGCCATGATAACAAACAACAGCCTTATTATCACAGTCAATGCACAAAGTAGTTTTAAAAAGAAGCGTAGAAAGCGCAGTCCATTCGATGTTAATTTTGTACGCACACTTGAAAGCATTCAAGAAGGAGAGCGTTTGGTAGATGAATTTTATAGTTTTTGGGAATATCTTAATGATGTGGCTCGTGTGGCCGAAAAGCGATTAATGACGGCCTTGATGGCACAACTCATCACAAGCTTTTGGCATCCTGTGATCTGTACAGCACTCAGTTCACCTTCTGCTGAAATAGCTACTGCAGCCACAGCCTATACGACTGAAATGATACGTTCATTAACAGATCAACGGTTGCTTCATGTCTTTCTTGTCGTCTTGTTGGGTGAAGATAGTGGTATTGGCAAAGATATTGAGCCTGAAATCAAAACGAACATACCCATCATGGATTTGGTAGACGATGATCGTGACGATAGTGATGAAGAGTCTAACAAAGAAGAAGAGGAAGAAGTCAAGAAAGACGATCCTGATGAAGGATTGACATTAAGATTGCTTTTGATTAACCGTATTGATTCAGACAATCATGATCTTGCCTTAGCTTCATTGCGTTTGTTTGATACTATTTTGGAAACATACAACCAGTTTGCTATCTATAACCTTGTACTCCGTAATTATTTGGATATTTCGCCTGAAGGAGAATACATTGAAGATGATTTGAGGGATGCTACAGACACTTCTTCTCTTGGATCCAAAGCTATCGATGATCGTGGCAGTGTGACTACAATAGAGGAGCCTAAAATAGATGACCTTGCCGTAGGCGACAAAGACAGCCTGGCTAAAAAAGACATCAAGACTGAAAAAGTACGCTGGCTTGTAGAAAGGTAAACTCAGCATTAAAAAAAAAATTGAAGCCAATACTAATGTATCAATCAGGGTCTTGTCCTTATTACCTCTGGAAGATGAATTAGAACGCATGAAGTCACCACCCTTATCTTCTGTCATCCCTTCTGATTCATTTGCATCTGCTGTACGTGGACAACAATCACCCGAAGAAAAAGACAATCCTTATGCTGTTGTTCCTGGCAATAGTTATGATGATTACTTTCATGAAGCACAAGAACGATTTCATTATGCACTTTTGGCTAAGAATTTCTGGCAAGTGCCTTATCCTCCTGTAAAATCACGCAAGGATTTTGAACGCGAAGCCGAAGATCGTCATGGTCGTCCTGTGCGTCCTGCAAGCAAATCCACAGAAGCAACAGCAGGCACCAACAATGACCCTTCCACTACAGGCGATCAAGCGAGCATCACCAGTACAGCAACCAACAACACAACCACCAAGAAACCCGAGGCCTACGAAGGACTGTTTCTCAGTCGTATCTTTGATCAATTCTATAAGATGCTTGAATTGCCTATGGAACAGAACTTATTGATCACCAGTATTTTACAAAAGATTGCAGGCGTAGTCGATAAACGCATGGATGGTGTCATTTGTGATTGGCGTGCTGTTCGTGTGGGTGTGGATGGTGCACTTTATGGTGGTGTCTGGGTCTTGCCTTCGGCCAAAAGCAATCGACGTAGTCTGTATGCTCTTTTAGAACAAGTCACTTTTGAAGCCCTTAAACGAGCTCAGCTTGTGCCTAATTTCGAGACACGTATTTCGATTGCTAAAAAGAGAGGCATTTTACCTGGAACTAATGGTCTGCCTCAACCATCTACTGACCTTCATTATCGAACACAGGCAAGAAGAGAAAACCTACACAATTTGATAATTAACCATCAAGTGACAAACACAAACACAACTCACCGATCACCTGTGTCTCCTAGCGAACGAAACCCTCATCTATCCAAATTAGTCTTTCAAAAGGGCTCGAATTCAACCTTAATGCCTACTTCTCCTCGAAGTCCTACATCACCAGTGGGTACGAAATCAGCTGGCTTGTTACCTCTGCGTATTAATCGTGATATGGGCCTAGGCGGAGGCAGCGGTGTCTCGCCCAATGGACCCAATTCACCTTCTTCTTCCTTTTTCCAAAACACACAAAGAACACCTGTGACCATGACAAACCCTTTTGCCAAACTCACGAATTTTGTCAATTCTTACATTGTGCTGCAGGAATTTTGTAAAGAACTCGCGGCTGTGATTCTTGTACGACATGCAACGAACTATAATGAAATCGGATTTGTTCGATACCAAGAACAACGAGAAATGATGATGATGGATCAAGCCTTGGATGAGATGATGGATGAGGATGAAGAAGACATGAGTTACAAACAGCGCAATTTTGATAAATGGAAAAATCGCATTTCTGTCGTCTCAACCATTGCCGATTGGCGAAGTGTGCGTAGTCTAGATACCATTGATGAAGCTATTACTGCCCGTGTACCTTCGAGAACAACAGGTTCAACAGAAGGTATCAAAAGCTAAATTTTATTTATAATAAAGCAGACAAAACAAGTGCGCCTGCTGCCACACCTACATTTAAACTATCTACAGACCCATTGAAGCTTGGTGGTTGAGCACTGGGGATACTCACAAATTGGTTGCATGCACTTTTAACATTGGTGCGTAGACCAGTACCTTCGTTCCCTAACACTAAAATAAGGGGATGTTCAGAAGCCTTGTACCGAAATTGGCTTAGCGTCAGGGATGGATTGGCTTCACCTGCAGCACCAATAATCTCCCAACCATTGAGATGGGACTCTTTCAGGAATTTAACAAGATTGGGTGTTGAATAAATATCCATCAATTCAGCTGCACCCGAACTCACTTTAGAAACAGTAGGACTGATGGGCGCACTATTCTTACTGCAGAGTAAGACGCCATCTACGCCAAAAAAATAGGCCGTTCTTAAAATAGAGCCAAGATTCTAATGCACCTATTTGAGTATTTCGTTAAATTCATCTTAATTTCTTACCTGAGGATCTTGAACTTCATCTAGAGCAATCCAGAAAGGCTTTCTTTTAGGTGCTGTTAATTGAATACTGGGTAATACGTTGGTATGATTTGGATTGCCTCGTTTATTGATCCGAGGAAGTGCTTGATATGTATTTGACAGGTCAAGTCCAGTCAGACTGCTGATCTCGATAGGATCTCTAGGCGAAGCAGACAACACAACACCTTGATGAAGCTTATTATCTGTCAAGTTGTTTAGTCGGCCCTTGTCTACTGATACCGTCTTGAGTTGTGTTTCTTTAGCCAACTCGAGAATATTGCTCATCAGTGACTGATCTTTCTTTTTCGTAGACGGAATAGCATAGTAATATAAAGCGTCTAAATTAGTGCGTTTCTTGGCTCTCAAGGCAGCCAAGACACTAGAGATACCATACACGTGTTCTAACGTCTTCTTACTCGCCACCTTTGAAAACATTAAGAAAAAAAAAAAGCAAAATGCCGAGTTTTAAAGTGATTTTTTATTTTAATAGAGGATTTCTTATTGCTTGCGAGTGACAGTGGTAGGAGCCTTCTTCTTGTTTTTACAGATACAGATACCAGTAGAACCACATTCACCCAAGAGATAACCAGAGTTACCACAGTATTTTTTGCAGACAGCATTTTCACGAGCATCTGTGATGGTCTTACAAGCCTTTTTGCTAGGTGCGGCAGAGACTACCATAAGGGCAGCGATAAACATAGCAAGATAGAGAGCAAACTTCATATTTGGAAATAAAAAGGAATGGAAAAAAGGGGGTAAAGAAGGGAAAAGAGAAAAGAAACAACGAATATGAAAAGACACGCACACTTCAGAGATTCATTTTAAATGAATTTTTGCTTGGATAATATTTCTATTTTAGTACTTTAGACAGATGTGTTCTATTTGTGGACACAGGGTTAATAATTCATCGTACAACATCAAACATTTGTTCTGGACATTGTCGTATCATCAAATTCGATGCAGAAAAAAAGTAAAAAGGTCCTGCTTTTTATGTGAAATGCCTTGAAATAATGTCAAACAAAAAAACTTTTTATTTGCTCTTTTTTATGTGTATTGACTTCCGTCTAAGGAGATACGTAGAAAAATGATCTTCTTGTATTCAATTGTGTAACAATAATGCCATTCAAAAACTACCGGTATATGAAGCAGCGTAAATGTAAAGTTTTCTTGGCTCAAACTAATTATTTGACATTACACAGCTTCTTGTTCTTTCTTAATTCGAGAAACTTACACTTACCAAGGACCTAAACGTTGGTTTTGTCGAAATTCCTTTTCTATTTCAGCAGTAACATAGTCTTTATTTTTCCCGGACATATAAAAGCATCACAAGTCCTGCTTATATACGCATGAATGCTCTAACTACCTACAAAAAATGTACTAACTCCCATTATACCTTTAAATCAGAGTTCAAAATGGCCAAATTTTACAAGTCGCTCTTTTTGGTCTAAATCGACTCCAAAGGTACCCCATATTGTTTGTAGGTAGTTAGAGCACTCATTAGTGTATAATCAGGCTTCGTGCTGTTTTAATCTGCCTAAAGAAAACGAAGAAGGTGTACATGAATAAATTGTGTGATACTAAATTACTTGTTCAAACAAAATACCTTATCAAAAAGGCACATGTTCCCCCTAAATCAAGGAAAGGAAATGTTTGCTTATAAAAAATGTCAAAATGCTGGGAAACTTACTTTAAATTTATGATGCACGATATATGAAAGGTGGCCTTTGGCACATGGATTAAAAATGGTATGAATTATCACATACTCACAACCCTAATTTGGTTACTGACGTTTTCTATAATAAAAGATACATTCAGTTCAAAAATTATATAGTCGTTTGCATTATTTGATGAAATCAATGGCATGTATACATCTAGGTTAGAGTGCTTTCTCTTGTTACCACATTATCTTATTGTCTATCAGATTTATTAAGATGTATATGTATAGCTACAATACTACAGCGTAAGCGTTTGCATTTTTCTTCCATATTTAGGTAAAGATTTGGCCAAAACTTCCCATCTCTGAGCACATAATTCTTCCATCGCTTGCGCTGCAGTACAAGGCCAACAACCACAACATTAGATAAACTATGAAGATGCAAATCTAACATGTAATTATATTTGGGGCTATAACAATATGCTCTAAATCAGAACAAATCAACCTCAAATAAAAAATTCTGAGACTGTACACCATTCAAGGCGTATCACTCATCATTAAGTATCATTTAATAGCAAGGATGAGTGATACAATAGAAAGAAATGCATGTTTTTGGATTTTCGAAATCAATTTGCTCCATAACGTAATAGACTTATAAAAAAACCAAAAAGAAACAAAGTTTCGTTGGTTTTTTGACAGTATTTTTGAAAACATCTTTTTGCGATTTATCACAATCTAATTTTTTAGGATTAAATTTTCCATCAAAAATAGAAATCTTCTAGAAATTATAGAAGAAAAACACACTCACTTACACTGTGGTGAGAGTGTATTTTTCTTTTAGCCTAAGAATAATTGTTCTCCAAAAATGTTTTTCTGTTGACACAAACAGCACACCTGCGCATTGGTGTTAGCTTTGTCAAATTCATACTCAAAGTCTGTTGTTTTGTTGACTTTATAGAAAATATCCTATCAAACACATAGTCCAATATGGCCTTTGACTGCTCGAACTTGATCAATTCATAAGAATGATTATACTAAACTAAAAACACCTTAAGAGAATAAGAGCAAAAAAGGAATAAAGAAGAAAGTGTTGACCTAATGGTATATCTGGGTATGGGTTTGTAACCAAAGAAGAAATGAAAGCATCTGGTTGGATGTTGGAAGGAGTAGATTGTTTGTGATAGCATGTTGCATAAAGATGATTTGGGATAAAATTAAATGTAGAGGTTTATTTAGTACTCCAATAAAGTAAAGAGCGGCCAGGAGCGACTTGTAAAATTTGGCCAAAAATCTCTCAAAATCAAAGGGTACTACTCGAGAAAATCATCAACTTGACAACTCTTGGATCTTCTTTTTGACGCTACAAGATGAAAAATAAAGATATCAAGAAGCTTAAATACTCAAAATAACCGCCAGACGTTGTAGTTTTTGATCAAAGTGTTAGTATTATAAGAAAAATGAGATATGTATAAAAAAAACCTCAAAAACATTTTTGAGAATTTGCTCAATTTTGTAGCATCAAAGCTGCTATGTTTTTTACACTAGTGTACTCAGAAAGTATATACATACAACTTTTGTTATTATGTCAAAGTCAAATAACCGCGTCTTCATGTGTTTCTAAGCTAAAGCTCAATTTTTTTTTTATTTGCCGCACGTATTTTGTAGCACCATAGGGCTACAAGAAAGAGGTGTTTGACAATGATTTATTGAAACAGGAACTGTGTAAAATAAAAGAAAGAAAATCATGCGAAAAAAGGGGGGAGAAGGAAGTAAGAGAGATGGAGGAATCAGTCAAGACAGTTTATCTCTTTAGCAGCGCGGCGGCTAACTGCCCGGAGGGTTTGACTGAAGGCTATACTGGCAAGAAAGGGTTCCCTTCAATGGATATTAGTCCAATGGGTCTTCCAAAGCTTTGAGAGTGCAAGAATAAGGAGCGTTTCAACTTCAATGGGACAAGACTTATTGACGTTGACTCTCTCAAAATTCAGGGATTGAAGAGTAGAGGAGATATCATCGATAGAGGTACCAGGCCAAAGGAATCCACGAATAATAGTGCCCCGAAAAATGAATTTTTCGGGGCATTGAAAGAAAAAATGAAAGGCAGTTTCAACTTCTTGACAAAAGGAACAAAATGGGGTAGGAGTAGTAGAAAGTGCCATGTTGAAGAGAAGGGATCTGGTGGGGACTTTCCCAATCATCAAACGATAAATGGTGTTACGCTGTATGCTGGTAAAAGTCATGCACCAAAAAAGTTTCCAAGCAGAAGGAGAGCGTCGAGCATATTGAAAGGTATTAAATTTAGGGTCTGTGATTGGTAAGTGCAAGGCATGGATAAAGGAATAAAAGTCAGTAGAGCGCTGAATGGCCGGTAGTCTTTCTTGGAAAAAACAATTGTTCTTGTGGCAGGTACTTCGCTTAACTGCTGAGGAGCAAGGACAGTTGGGGAAGTATTTGCTTTAGAGGGACTTATTCCAGTACGTTTGTTAGGCGGAAGTCCATTACCATGGCCTCTACGAGAACAATCTCTGCTGATATGGCCACGCTCGTTACAATTGAAACATTAGCGACTGTCAATCAACTCAACACAGTCAGCTCGGCAGTGATCATACTTTTGACAAAAACGACAGAAGGGGGGCATTTCATCCCAAGTAAGAAGAATATCTCTCTCTTTATCCACCCAGTCAATAACTCTGCTAAGAATATGAGGGTCGGTAGGATGGGGCTTGTTCAGGTTAAGGACCACATAGCCTTGTCCGAAAAAGACACCACCACCCATGTGAAGCCCAGCATTCAAGACTTCACCAAAATCGGAAAAACGTTCCATCATTTGTTCAGCAAATGTAAAAGATGAATCAAAGGAAGGCGCTCAACTTTTACTCTGACAATCTTTGCGTCTGTTGAAAGACTGCGATAACCTTTAATTGCTGTTTTGTCATCAAGAGTCAATCCTTCGTTCAATAATGACTGGCAGATGGGATACTCAAGATCCCAGCAAGTTTCGGTAAATCTGCGTTGCAAGTACTTTCGCTCTACAAGCAGAGTGCCAAAAAATGATCATTGAGATTCCAAAAACTGTTTCAGGCGGTTAACATCTCGAATGTTGATGATGTCGATCAAGATGCTATCTTGTTCGAGTCCAACAATAAAAGGTGTAGTATTGCTGGTAAAAGTAACACCTACGACTGATGCCCATCGAGAGTTAGATGAAGAGGATGTGTTGTTAGTGGTTGATGGAGAGTTCGTGCGAGGCGAAGGGCTACGCCAGGACACGATGTTACGAGCAGCAACTTGTAACTAAGCCTTTACAGTGTTTTCGGTTCGACGACGCCCCGTGTCAAAGGGAGTCATAGTATGGGTCTGTTTTTTTTTACGTGAAAGAGCCATGAAAGCTTGAAAGCTCAATTTTGAAGAAATCAAATTACTTTTCTTTTCAATCTCCGCATACAGTCATTTTGTAAAATACGCTCTAAGGAAAATCCTTGGATTCAAAGCCGCGTTTTTTAAAAAAAAGTTGATCATGGCCTTACCAAATAACAATGATGACCTTTTTAAAGCTCCTCTGCCTACAACACCTTCTCATCGTCAAAATATTTCCTTAAGGAAATCTAGTAGACGCTCTACATTCCTTGTTGCACCAGAAGATCTTTCTGAACCACCTACAGAAAATCCGAATAACTCTGATCTTTACAATGAGCAACTAAAGCAAGAATACGAAACCTTAAGGTCACTCAACGACACCCTTCAAACAGTAATACAGGGTGTGAATGATACATATACAAAAATACAAGACTTTGGAGAGTCAGTGAAACAAGCAAGCCATCTATTAGATGTTTGGATTAATATACAAAAAAGAGCGCAAGATACACATCATGTCTTGGAAGACATGGGCAATGAAAAATCAGTGAGTCTTTTTGATCTATAAGCATATAGATATTAAACTTATCCTTTAGAGTAAGAGAAGTAATGAATCAAATGAGTCCAGTGCAAGTAAAAAGAAAAAAGACGATTTATTATAAGTGTAATATAGTTGGACCTAAGCAATATTTTCTCAAAACAGTAGCAAGATCCTTTTGCATTAAAGGCTTTGTAACATAATCATTCATACCAGCATCAAGGCAATTCTTTTGTGCAGTTATTTGAATATCAGCTATAGTAATAAACAAGTATAAGAGAGGTCTTCCATGTATGTATATATATATAAACTTTACCTGTTAATGCAATGATTGGTAAAGCAGGGCTGTAGTTCATTTCTTTTTCGTACTCACGAATCTTTCTTGTGGCTTCTAATCCATCGCAACCAGGCATATGATGATCAATCCAAGCTAACACAAAATAGCCAGGCCCTCTTGCCTTCCACGTATCAAAGCATTCAAACCCATTGTTGCATTTCTCTACTATAAATCCTAATCGACTCAATTGCTTCACAATCAATCTTTGAGCAATAAAGTTGTCTTCTGCCACAAGAATCTTTTGTCCTTTGAAAGCAGCAAGTTCTTCAGGCGAGAATGCCTCATGGCTTTTCCGAGAGTAAGGCGGAGTTACCAAGATAGGTGTTGAATCTGGTTCTTTTTGGTTGTTTTCTTCGTCTGCTTTGTTACTGGTATTTTGAGTGTTATTGGAAGATATTAATTGGAACGCATATTGGCTACTTGCTGATGGACTAGGAACATGTTCATTTATAGTCGAGGTGTTGAGAGCACCCACAAGAGCATTGAGCAATTTAATAGTCCTAATAGGCTTAGACAAACGTGCGACTAAAGGATAAAAAGCGTAATGGTGCACTTGTCGTACAGTTTGTTCCTCACCAGTAGCGATGGAACTATTTTTAAAATGACGACGAATATTGTCTACAGTAGGTGCCAATAAAAGTAAAATACGCATCTTACTCAATCCAGGTGTTTCTTCGATTGTCTTGATTAAGTTGGATAAAATGTCTGGTTTGGGTGTATCAATAATAACACAGTCATATAACCCCTTTTTGGTCATCCCAATGGCTTCACTTGCATCGGTTGTATGGTCTGTTTGTTGTATCCAAGGAATAAAGGCTTTAATCATCATTTTTATCCTTTCTGATGACAATATGAGTAAACGAGGTTGTCCTAGTTGCTCTCTGAGTTCATTGATTGTGCTGCATCTTGAATCATAACTAGCATCTACTTCCGCTACAGTATCTCCATTCTTTACTTGAATCGTAAACGTAAAAGTAGACCCTTCTCCTACAACAGAATCCACATGAATATTACCATGCATTAGTTTGACAAGTTGCAAACAAATAGAAAGACCGAGACCTGTTCCTCCAAAATTACTAGAAGACATAAATATGCAAGGTAACAATACATATTGCTTACCGAGTTGTCGATCCATCCACTTGACTAAAAGGTAGAAATAGCCCCTTGATCTCTTCTTCAGACATACCAATACCTGTATCTTGCACAGATATCTTTAATGTGATACTGTCTGGTTCAGCTAATTCAGCTGGCTTGTCTAGCCCACAACGAACCACCACTTCACCATGATGACTAAACTTAATTGCATTACCAATCAGGTTCATCAAGATTTGTCCAATGCGATTGCCATCACCAAAGACCATAGAAGGTACATCATCGTCAATAAAATAAGACAATTCCACATTCTTGTTGGTTGCCAAAGTAATCAAAAGCTCCATTCGATCTGCAATCAGGTCTTCAATATGAAATAAGCCATAAAGCAGTTTGACTTTATGTGCCTCTAACTTTGAAAAGTCAAGCAGATCATCAATGATATGTAACAGCATCTCACAGCTTTGCTTAGCAATCGATACGAATTCGCGTTGCTCTACATCGAGATTGGTTTCGCTCAAGAGGGATATCATACCATAGAAGCCAGAAAATGGCGTACGCAGTTCGTGAGACATGTTGGCCAAGAAGTTGGATTTCATCTTCGTTGCATGCAATGCTTGTTCTCGACTCGCTCGGGCTTCTTCAAGGGCCTTAAGCTGACTCTCTATCATGAGCGAATTGGCTTTTGTTGCTTGTTGGACTGATTTAAACAATAAGGCATTGGTGATGGAAATACCAATTTGATCACACAAGATTGAAAGGACATTGGCATGTTTGCGAGTAAAAGCATTTAAGTTGGCTTGAAGATAAAGGACACCTACGAGTGTATTTTTGTGCATGATAGGCATACATATCACAGCAGCCTTCTTCTCGCCTGTAGAGAAACGTGGATCTGCTTGGACATTGGATATAAACAAACTTTTGTTAGTATGTATCACATAATGTACAATAGATGTTAGGATCTTATCGTCTTCATCATCACCGAGAGGAAGAGGAGGTTCGTAAGTTTGGCAGGTGTCGGTAGAACGAACAGAATGAGCAGCAATACCAAAGCAACCTTCTTTGACAATGATGACACCAGATTCAGCACCAGAGTTAGCCATAATAATGCCCATCATCTTCTTTAGCAATTCATCGAATGAATTCATCTCGTTTGAAATGACTACAACACCATCTTAGACATATATAGTTTCCGATAAATACTTACCTTGTGAGCTTTTAATGATTGAAGTCAAATCAACCATATCAAGAGAAAACAATGTATCTTCTCGCATAATATTCAAGTCTTCAGAATCCACAATCGCATTGTTGTTCATCTCGTTGTTTCTACTTGGACATTCTGAAGTATGTGTAGAATTGTCTTCAGTAAACACTTCTTTTAATGAAGAATCATGACTGATTTCATCACTACTGGTATTATCCCACACATTCATGTTTTTTTCGGCTACTGTAGTCGTTCCAACAATGACATCTTCTGTTTGAACAGCAACATCTTCTTTCCCAGACACCGTTTGACCCTCTAGTTCTTTGCTATATTTCTTCTTGAGGTATTGCACTTTACCAATAGCTCCCCAACGACCATAAAATTCAAGTGATCGACATAACGTAGGCACAGCCAATTGTGTCAGACCACAGCGCATGTAATACTCAGAGGCTAATTCAAATGTCAATCCTAAAAAGGAGTACCATTTTCCTTTCAATGCGAGTTCCATGACTTCATTATAAAGACGTAGTGATTGAGCCATGTTATTCAAGTCCAATGTGGATATTTGTGCTTGCTAAAATTACAAAAAAAAAGTAAACTAACGCTGTGTCTACGTTATGAAAAGACTTACCACAATTTTATGATACATGCGATAATTAACTTCTGAATGGGTTGCAAGTTCATTTAGTTTCTGCTCGTTCTTGTGTAGTTGTTTTGTATATTTGGCTCGGGTTTTTGGATCTAAAGATTCATCTCGAAGGCTCTCTACAATAGCAATACAATGATAATACATGGCAATACCAACATGGCGATGTCTATACAATACTCATGAGTAGATTCTATACAAACTGACAAGTTTCTACTTACACAATCTCATTGAAAGAATTATCAAAGATTTTAAACCCAAGTTCAGAAGCAGCTTTTGTAAATCCAAAATGAAATAAAAGGATCATTTTGAAACTGTAATGCCTAAAGCAAAAATGGTTAGAAAAGAGCACATAGATTACTCACTTACCAATTCAAAGGATTACCAGAATTAACACTTTGACTCTTCAAGTCTTCCACAAAAGAAGACTCATCAAAATTGCTGTCTGGATCATTCATCATTTTATCAGGATCTTGTGTAATGTCTGTCTTGCCCTGGAAAACAAGCACAGATCGCCAAAGAGATACATTTAATATAAGCACGTCTTTAGAGCTACCTTTACTGCATTCTTCCAAAGAATGACTTAAATGCCAATGTAAATCAAACAAATTGCAACTTGTCCAATACAGCGTAGTGGCCACATGAAATAAAGCCATGGAAGAAAAGAGCTAAACATGCACCATGAACACACATTCCTGTCAAGCGATTGCTTACCTGATCTCCTCCAGCAATAGCATATTTGTAGGCTCTTTGGTATTGATAGATATAATCTCGTACATGAACACCCGTCCATTGAGCCAGGAGACTATGATACAAGATAATAGCTCTCGCGATTTCAGAATTGGCTGCATATTTCTCACAGAGTGCTAGACCAAACTTGCCCAATTCAGCAGCAAATGCAAACTCAGTAACACGGCTGGCTGTACATCCTACCCAGATAAATCCACCGCCGCTTGAAGGTGTATATCCGTACTGAAGCGATAATTCGCATAACTTAAGCGCAAAGAAATCAACCAAAATTGGATTGACCCAATAAGCACCAGAACATGCTTCATTCAACAGCGTCATAACCGCAATTTGCTTATTGTCTTGACAAGGGCCTGCGTTGTTCAATTGTTCAAAACCAGGCTCCACAATACTTGCTTTGATGATGTGATAGTACTCAAGTACTTCTGCTTCAGTAATATTGGTATCTACTACAATGCCTAGCTCTTCTAAACCTTCCATGATGTTCTGAATACCTTTTCGATACTGAGATTGTTGAAAGTAAATGCGTGCCTGAATTCGCCAAGCTTGTGCTCTTTCATAAGGATGGTTAACTGTATGTTGCATGATCTGTTGAATTATATCATCTCGCATTCGATCGTACATAATAAATGTAGTTGCTGTCACTAGCTTGTTGCCATCAGCCACAATGGATGTAGTAGTATCCATGATTTTTTCGTTATCTATCATGGCTTGTTCTTGCTTTTTATTTGTTGTGGTGACATAACCTTGGTTGATATCTTTGTTGTTTAACAACTTAAGTTCAAGAATCTTCATGTAAAGATTCAGTGTCTCTGAAAACGAAGTATCTGGACCATCTTGCCATCGCCTTTCAGTATCTTGGTCTAACAAAGAAAGTGCGCATTCAAAGTAACTTGCTGAAATCTGCAAAGCCCCCGACAAGGCTGCTTCATTACCTGCTCGAATCAACATATCACGATAACATTTACGCTTTTCCATTAAACGAATCAATCCAGCACTTTTAAGAAAATGATCTGCAATCAAGAACACATTATCGTCTTCTTCCAACTCTTCTTCTTCTAGCATCAACATTTGTCCAATCTTCAAATGCATACTTTCTCTCTGTGCTGAATCAATAATCAACATGGATGCTGCTTGATAATATCGATCATGAATAAAGTGGAAGTCATTACCAGCCTTGAATTGAATCACACCTTCATTTAAAGCCACTTGCAGACCCAACATGGCTTGATTTGTACGTTCTTCTTCTTGTTCAAATGCGAGTACAGGCGAATCAACTGGCTTGGGATTATCACTTGATGCCATCATGAGCCATTTGATTCGCCTAAAATTAAACACATGGCCCAACAAACTAGCCCACATCAAGAAGCATTGTGCGCTTGGATCCAAAGAACGTAAATGAGAGACAAGATGGCGTACATCAAAGATAGGTTCATTATGTGCCTGATGACTGGGTTTAGTATCTGCATCAAGCATAAACAAATCATGATGGCTTGGTCTCTTGGAAGTCTGTTTAGTGTCAAATAGTTTTTTAATATTGTCCAGTCTAAACTTCCAATGTTTTTCGTTCCAATCAAACCAAATGTCGTCTTTTCTTTTCATCATTTTCAAAAACTGCTTCGCATAAAACGGGTTTCCCCGTGTCCAGCTATAGATGATGTCAACAAGAGGCATAATAGCATCAATTCGTTCTTGTTCTCCTTTTCTTTCTCGTTCTTCTTCTTCGTCATCCATATCAGTGCTGGACGAATGATGTGAGTTGTAGAAAGTATTTAATACTAATTGTTGGAGCACTTCGATGCCCAGCGCATACAGTTGTATTGTAGTTACTGGATTACTGCATTTCTCAAGGATTTCTACTACTTTTTGAGGTGTCTCATTGCCATCTCGAAATGTCAAGATAACCAACATGGTTGTTTTTGAAGAAATGAGTGCATTGATCAATCGAATAGAAGGTTCGTCTAATATCTAATCAATATACAAAACTATCGTTTTAATATGCCTCTACCTGCTTCTTGTAAATCATCCAAGCACTAGAAAACAAGTTAACATTCACTCTTTTCTAATTTTTTCTGTATTTACCAAGGTCAATAACTTTCTTCTGGCAATAGTTCGAATGATATTCAAATAGACCTAAAAAAAAAAGATTAATCATGATACAATCATCATATAAAATCGTTTTCTCTACTCTTTACTGAATGAAATCTGGTCTCTGTGTTTAGAATACTTGAGATAGCATCATCGTCGATTGTGTTGTTGACTTCTAAATAGTCGTGCAAAATCGGCTTTAATTCAGGCACCATATTAACCATCAATCGAACATTAGAAAACTGAGGGCCCAAGCTCTCTTTCAAGTCCTTGTAGAAATCACGCACAACATGTTCTGATTCCGTCAAAAGTTGTCGTAAGATAGAAGAAAGACATCGTAATAAACCATTGTAAGGTCTTTTTTGATTCTTGTCAAACTTAGCAGAGGCTGTATAACCACATTGTCTTGCTTGTACATTGAGCGTAGATACCAAAGTGGATTTACCAATACCACCAGGCCCCTTTAACACAATCACTTCACATATTGTGTTGTCTAAGGAAGTTGATGAATTGACACGCAGTAAATTGTCGGCTTGTTTTAATGCACTTGAACTATCTGCATTGCCATTGGGTTGTGTCTTCTTTTTTTCTTTTTGATGTGCATGGTAAACGCTTTGAATGATCGAACTAATCGTTTCTATTTCTTTATCTCGACCATACATAGCATCAGATATTTTAAAAACAGGATTGATATCTCTTGAGCCTAAGGGAAAATAAGCCAATTCCTACTCAAAAAAAGGAGACATAAGCATAGGTTGGCAAGACTCTTACTTACTTGACTTGAATCAACTGTCGCTAGCCTCTTTTTACACTCTACTAGATCTTCTCTTAGTCCATAAGCACTGTCATATCTTTCGTCCACAGTCTACAGAAATATAAGATAACACTCTCAAAGATCATGTTTGACTTGCCTTTCTTGTTAATTTGTCAATGATTAAACTGATCACAGGAGGAACATCTTTTCGAATCGTATGGACAAGAGGCACATTTTTAGACAGAATAGAATGAATTACATGCATGGCTGTGCCTTTAAAAGGAGGGCAGTTGGTAAGCACCACAAAAAACATGATGCCGAGTGAATACAGATCGGCTCTGTGATCTAATGCATTTGAGGTTCGGCCTGTTTGTTCTGGACTCACATACGCAAGTGACGATTTAAATTCTTTAGGGGAATAAAACAAACTTGGGTGATTATTCTTTGTGCTGGCATCATAAGGTTTTTCCTCGTTTGACATAAATGATCGCCATCGGGAAGTTGTTAACAATAATTCTTCGTATGAATTTAACCCTCCGCCAAAATTCCAAACTTTAGCGATTAATTGTTGTTTGTTAGGTGTATATCTAAACTGGAAGGCAGAGGGACGTAATTCACCATGAACTACACCGTTTTCATGAAGAAACTGGAGTGCTGAACAACACTCAATAGCAAGCAAGAGAAACACATCCATGTTGACCTGGCATCGCGGTTCTGGTTGATGGTCTCTCCATACATTGACATGTGTCATTTGAGTAAGCGAATACAATGTAAAATAGTTGGCTGTTTGCTGTTGTTCAATATAAATATAGTCGTTCGGCTCTATGTCTGTATATAAAAGAGCAGCCAATCCATCTTGAACGAGTGATACGTATTCAATGGCATTGGGCACATATTTATCTCCGCTAGGTAACGAATAAAGGCGTTTGGTTACATAGTATTCTCGCTCGAGTCGAACTGAATGAGGTGAAATCTTTGCCAATACTACTTTGTTGTCCTTTAACCTATTATACATGAGAGGATTGTCTACATGATCTATAACTTTTTTTCTTTTTTACCTTTTGCCTATACTTACAGCGATTAAGCCACCGGCGCCCACTAATTCCACTGCTTTACCAAAGGCGTAGTTGGGTATCTTGATTTCAAAAGAATCATAGTCTATATCAAAGTTTCCAGGAGGTGGTGCTCTAGGTAATGGTCTGTCCATGATTGATTTCTTCAGCTTTTTGTCTTTATTAGAAAATTGATTAAGTATATGAAACGGAAAGGACATGAAGAAGAAAAAAAAGAAAGAGAACAAAAAAAAAAGAGTTACATAAATAGTAAAAAAAAAAAAAAAGTTGCGCCTAGACCCCCCTCATTTGGCTAAAGTACGATCTCTGTACCGGTCACCATGGGCCCACCTTGTGTAGGCATGATGCTTCCCATCATAGGAACCCTTAGTCCTTGATTGATAATACCTTGATTATACATCATCAATTTCAATTTGATTCTCAACTTGACGCTGTAAGAAGTCAAACTAATGGCCCAATAACCCTATGGCAAATACATCAGCAACATATGATATATATATACCGTACTTACATAAACAAGAATCATGACCAGAGTAGAGAGAATGGTAAACTTGAGTTCATCTTGCCATGCTCGATTACAATTATAGAAATCATTTTTGACGATTGGGAGTTGGTAATTTTCTAGTATCAAATCCAGACTATCGGATGTTGAAATGCACCATTCCACATAGTGATCGCGTTGTACAATAAACAAAATCGTATTGATTAACGTATTTATCAAGACAACAGCTACAGTAAAATTGACCACACTGGCCGCTGTTCTAATGCCATTGGTTGATTTCTATATCCATTGAATCAATACAGTATATGAATAAACACTACATACAATATAAATAGGAATCAAGGTGCCGAAGCAGATTCCAAAGAATACAAGGTTGATTGCTCCAAAAATGTATAGAGCTGTATTGTTATCCATATGTGAGAAAAAAGCTAAGAACAATTTAGATGAACTTCTTTTTTTTCTCGACATTATCACACTCACGACTCTTTGCTTGAAATGAAAGAATAGCAAAGTAAAGAGATAGGCCCTGAACATATATAAGGAAAAGCTCTGTTATTGTGCTTGCACGTACCATCCAAATCAAACATGCTAATGCCGCACCGGTTCTTAAATGTATGCAGCCACAACATTTATGAATATAAGGATTTCTCGAATGGATAATTTGTTCTCTTGGTATATAAGTTCTTATCATTATATAAACTAAGAGAAGAAAAAAAAAGAGAGAAAGAATACTGCTTTCTTTGTCTGTTTGAAAACATTGTCTATATACTGGCTATTGTATCACATGATTATACCCCCTTATATATCACCATAGCAGCCATCGTAGCAACATCAACTCCGCTGTACTTCTTTCACTTATACGTTACTATGCTATCGCGAACATCGCCTCTTGTGTTTGACACTACAACACTATCACATTTTAGTAGGAGGTTGCTCAATTATCCTAAACTTAAACTAAAATATAAATCTGATGTCAAAGAAGCAGCTGTCCTTGTGCCTTTATGTATTGATCAAGGGAAACCAAGTGTGTTGTTTACTATCCGAAATATGAATATGAGAACACACAAAGGCGAAATAAGGTAAGAAACCATTCAGTTCATAGTATTCTTATGTTCGCTATAATTAGTTTTCCAGGTGGAAAAACAGGTTTGATGGAATATGTATAAAACAATGGGACATTAAAATAAAAACATTAGATGATACAGATCCTTCTACGGAATATACTGCGTTAAGAGAATCACAAGAAGAGATTGGTTTAGAGCCTAAAACTGTAGACATCTTGGGCAGATATTCAGCATTACCTAATCAGACAGGTTCCTTACGCGTGCATCCTTATGTAGGATTTATCAAGGGACAAGTATACTTGGATCGATTCAATCCAGACGAAGTATCGAGTGTGTTTACCCTACCTATAGAATACTTGATCCGGCCTGAAGTACGGGAAATAAGGCAATTCCGTGAAAGTAAACATAAATATACTGTATTTAAAGTACCAGAGCACTTTGAAGGAGAAAAAGAGATATGGGGATTAACAAGCTTCATCTTAGACGGTAAATAGATCCATGTAAAAAAGTATAGACAGCTTATGTATATATATATAGGGGTTTTTCGCAAAATGATTCCAGAGTATTATAAATAAATTCCCCCCTTTTTTTTTATTAGGCTTCAATCATATTACCAGGTGCCTTTGGATCTCTCTTGAGATCAAGCATTAATTCCTTCATTTTAATCACATCCTTTGTGTGATAACCAGTCTTTGCATTTGAAATATCGATTTCCTTCACAACACGATCCCAAATATTGGCTGAAGAAGCAACTTGTTCATTGTTCTGCTTATAGTTTTCTTCACGCTCTCTATAGGAAGAAAAAAAAAGAGAATGAGATCAATAAGATGCGAATTATTTTTTATACCTGTTTTCTTCAATAGCCTTTTGCTTTTTGTCGTTGTAATCCTCATAGAATTTATCTATATCTTCACGAGCATGCTTAATCTTTTCTTCCTTCTTGGCTTCTGATTCTGCATCACGCTGAGCAATAATTTCAGCTTGCTTTTCACGCCATTGACTATAAGAAATATTATTTACCCTGTTTATGATATAATATATTTACCGAACAGTTTCGGGTTCTTCTTCAGGCATCAAGGCCTTATGGAAAGCCTAATATCGTGTTAATAAATGAAAGAAAGAGGTGTTTTCTAAACTTACTTGTGAAGACTCCAGCTCTTCAGCTTTAGGATAGCTTGTTTCGAAAGAAGTCAAAGTGTTTTCGGCAAGGAAACCAACAGCTGTTTCGTGACCGAGTTGAGGAGAGTCGTTAAAGATGGCAGGAGACATGGGCAAAGAGGTAGGAAGAGGAGGTGAGGTGAGGTCATGAGATGAAGAGATGAGACTATCGTCATTGGTGAAAAAGTCGGCATCTTGACCTAAAGCAGCTCTTTCGCGTGCAAGGAAATCGGCAGTAGGGTCCTCTGATGGTGTATTGAAGTCGCCAAAGTCAGACATTGGAATAGAATGAAAATAAATGGAAAAAAAAGAAATGTGACGTAAAAGGGTGTGTTTGTGTGTCTTTGTATCTTTGAGTGTTTGTAGGCGTTTTATTCTCAGCTCAGCTTGCCCAATGACTGAATCAAGGAAAACACTCTGTCCACTCTAATGTCAACTCCAAAAACAATGACTACTTTCGCATTAAGATAGTGTATATCTGAAAAAGAAACTTAATATAATACTCAAAACATATAGAATCTTTTTTGATTTATTTTAAAAGGCTCTTTTCTGTTGCCAATAAATTCGAATTTAAATGCATCTGATGAATTACAAGCTCCTTTGTGTAGTAGACAACAATCAACTGATAAAGTACTTTTGATTGATAGAATTACTCTCTTTTTATTTGAGTCTTTATCTAAAGTTTACAGTGACTTACGATCTTGAAAAAAAAAAAGAGTATATTTGTGGCCTGATTCAATGCTCTAGAGAATTCATAAGCATTGACACATTTAACAATTGATGTAGTAAGAGCAAGTTAAAGTTTTCAACTGTCAAACCAGCAAGAAAATTAGGATCCCACGTAGCTGAGTATTAAGAAAGTTTACTAAAACAAGATGCATGAACGCTTTCGGGTTGCTTGTGTGCTCATGTTGCAACGCCAATGTCTTAAACCCAGTTATTTTTCTTCATTGTGAACCTCCAAGCTTTCGTTTGTTACGAATGGACCTAATTCTGCAATTGGCGAAACAAATTGCCAAAGCTGATCCATTCGTCATACCATTGTTTCTAGAATATACATCAATATGAGCAGAATACAATTGTGTCATAATAGTAAGAATTCAGTAAATGTGCAATCTAAAAATTGCAATCTGGTGTATACAAAACAAGAAAAGCAATTCTTGTTTTTCTAGTGAGCTTTTTATAAATAAACGTGTAAATAACCTTTCAATTATGATTGTACGACATGAATTATTTTTGGTATCAAAATATAAATTGAATCAAATAACAAAATTTTTGTATTTTCTTTCTTTTGGTATAAACAAATAGAATATAAAATATAAAATGAAGGCCATTTTAGCATGCTATCTCGCTTTACTGTTTACGCTTCAAGTTGTCTTTGCTGATGTCTTTTCTCAACTTCAATTCATGAAGATTGAATCGCCCACGAATAACCAAAATGTCAAAGCAGGCGAAAAGGTTGTGATCAAATACGCTATGCAACCCTTGATCTACAGTATGTATTTTGTATTCTTACTTTCTTACTTATTCCTATAGACCATGTCTCTGCTGGTCTTGCAAAGTCACTTAAAGTTAACTTCCACAAGAGAAGTGGAAACACTAAGCAAAGCTTGATCAAGGAAAATATTGTTCCCAATTGGTAAGAGAATAAGAAAGAGAAAGAGGCAAAAGGGCTAACCGATTACTTTACTTTTCTTAATAGCCCTATTACTGCTGCTCAAGATAAGTTCAAAACTTATAAGACTACTTGGACAGTCCCTGCAAACACTGCTCCTGGTTCTTATGCCTTTGACTTTGTTGAACTCGTTCAACTTCGTCGTGGACAAATGACTGCTTCTGAAACTGTCAAGCTTAATGTTGTCAACTAATAAAAATGTATAAGTACTGTATTTGTTAAGTTATTTCGTATTTAATAGTGCATGATTGCTTTAGTATTAGTGCATTCATGTAATGAGCAAACTTCCTCAAATGGTACTGTCCTGGTGATGGATATTATTGGTTACAAAAAAAAGTAACTGTCGGTTATAAAAAAATGACTGTTGGTTGATTGTCGAAAAACAAAAGCGTGTAAGGTAATACTCAATTACTCTTTTAAAAACTTTATTAGGTGCATTTACCCCTCATTCCATTGGATATTTTAGTAAAAGGTATCCGAAAAAAGAAAAAAAAAGCAATCTTTATTGAATTTACATGCAGCTATTGCTTCTTTGGATAAACTACTTGCGGTATTATAGGCAATAATCTAAATATCAATAGGCAACATGAAAGTTTGTTCTACTAAAACCCCAAAAAAAACTTTACAGCGTACCAGCAGTTTAAGACTAAAGGTAGAAAACATAAACTCTATGTCACTTATATCCTGGATATTATAACTTATTGCAAACAATATCAAAGCGCTTTGTTTACCTACTGAGATGCACCAAACAAATTGAGAATAAGTTATTCATGTCAATTCGTATATTTTCTTTTGTATAAAACAAGAACAACTGGTGTATTTTCGCACAACAACTAGGAATGCTTACACTTGTATCTTTGAGGATCTTTTTTTCTTTGTTTGGTAGCGCTTGAATGTCATTGCTTTATTACATAATATGTGGCTTCTACTTTAAATTTAGTCTACGGGGACCCCAAAGAAGATCAGTGAGTATTTTCTTCCCTTTTACTTTTCTTGAAAAAAAGATGCCCAAAACAAGCACTTTGTTTGCTGGTATTGCACTTGTCACAGCACTCACCTATCAATCTCGTATTAACTTGATCACGCATACTGCTCAAGTTCAGCACCAGATCGATCAAGCAAAGGAACAAGCTGACTTGATAACGCGAAAGAAAAACGAAGTACTTGTTCGATTATCACTCGAACGCCCTCCCAGTTCAATAGAGCGTTTTGTAGATAACACAAGTTCCTATTACGAAAAGCGTCTTGTACCTTCAGGTACGTTATCAATTCTCCGTTACTGAATTGACCTTTTCTTTTTTTAATAGTAAAAGAATCATGGAACGCACAAGTTATGCAACTCACATCTATTATCATTCAATCTGATTTACCAACAAAATGCAGCAAGTTTATCATGAGAAATGTGTTTGGATGCAATTAGAAAAAAAAGTATACCAACTGTACAGTAATAGAGAGAGCATTAAAAAAAATAAAAATATAAAAATATACATGTTTATATAGTCTAAGCTTCTATGATTTTGGCTGCAGCCTTTCTTAATCGGTTCATGACAGCCATTCCTTCTCTATCTTCAGAAATACCTTCAACAAAAATGAGATCAACTGTTCGTTCATCCAAGTCACGCAATCCTCTAAACATGCCACGGGCAACTTCTTCAGGGTGGCCATGACGACCCATTTGTAAAGAAATACATTCAATGTCGTCCCATTTGGACACTGTTTCCCAGACAGCTTCCTGTCCATCTTGTGTTGTACGAAGCACACCAATTTTTGAGATACCCACTCCAGACTTTTGTACAATATCCAATTGTTCTTTGCATATACGATCAAAAGCATCATGATTTCCTTCAATCAAGATGACCATAGCTTCAGGTGAATAATGGCGGTACTTCATGCCAGGTGTTGTAGGTGCCATTTCCAACTCTTTATCGACAAAATGCTTTCGATAGACCTGTAATTTTTCCATGCCTTCTACTTGTGAGATATCCTCATATGTCAATCCACCAGGTCGTAAGATAGCAGGTGGAGTTCGTAGTCCATCCAATACTGTACTTTCAACGCCTACATCGCATGATCCACCATCTAAAATGTAAGGAATGCGACCTTGTAAATCGTGATACACATGGCTGGCAAGTGTGGGTGAAGGCTTGCCTGATGAATTGGCTGAGGGTGCTGCCAGAGGAAATCCGCATGCTTCAATTAAGCTTCTGGCAACTGGATGAGAAGGAAATCGGACAGCTACTGTGGGATGTCCGCAAGTGACAGAGGTTGGAATCATAGAGGAAGCAGGAAGAATGATAGTCAAAGGCCCGGGCCAGTACTTGTGAATCACTGGTAAATAGACCTTTGGAATTGTTTTATCAGGTAAAACGCTCTTCAGCATTTCAAGCGAAGAAACATGGATAATCAAAGGGTTGTCTTGAGGTCTATTTTTTGCAGCAAAGATCTTGGCAACAGCATTGGCATCAAGAGCATTGGCTGCAAGGCCATACACTGTTTCAGTAGGCATACCAACAGCTTCGCCTTGCTTTAACCATTTTGCTGCTTGCTCGATCGCATGTTGATCGTCTTGATTTGTAATAATACTTGTAGCATTTTGTTCAGAGAATTCGGAATCAAGTGCCTTTTGAAAGGCAAAACTATTCACATTGACCTTTTCGACTTGTGTCTTAAACATGGTTGAATACAAAGAGCGCTGGAATAGAGTTGAAAAAATAGCAGTTTGAAAAGGAAACCGCATGTAAAAATGCTCTAATCCAAAAAATAGAAAAAAGACTTTTTTTTTCTACTATCTCAATCTCTAGTTACACCAAAAGGCTCTAAGCCACTTACATGCACTCGGACTTTTGATGAGCTTATCAGATTAAGGCTATGCTATTTGTAATGAAAGTCAAGAGCTATAGGGACTACTTAGAAGGGTAAGCTATCGGAATGCAAGCTTAGACTTGCATGAATCAAGTGGTTGCTTAGCAACACACTTCCAGGAAAAATTTATGCAGTCATTGCAACGCATTAAATAAAGGTGTATTCCAAGAATATGAGCGATAAAATAATTGGAAAGAAATGGTTGTAGTGTACCTGTGCATTGTAAAAGCATACATTTCAATGTATTCTAAAAGTCCATATATTTATGTCATGTTGCTTTGGCTAGTAATCTATAGTTTATTTCATTCTTTTCCGAAACAAAAATGCATAACAGCTTTCGTTTTTTTTCTCTTCAATTAAGCAAATTATCTTTTTGTGCCTGATTGCCATGCTGGCATATCAATTATTTTGTGCTACATGGCTGAAAACCAAATTTAAAGAAACTGGAGTCCACAGCTTGTATTTTTTTTTTTTTTTTTTTTTTTTTTTTTTTACTTTTTTCTATTCGGGTTCAAGAGATGGTGTCAAACTCTTTTCTCAAAAGATTCCGAAAACTAGATGCTTATGCAAAAACACTCGATGACTTTCGTGTTCGAACAGCTACTGGTGGCACTGGTAACTTGTAGCCCCATCCTGAATGGGTCTGACCTTTCTTGCTTTTAGTGACTTTAATAAGTGGATTGACCATCTTTGTGCTTGTTACTTTTGAAGTGTTTCGATACTTGACACCTATTATGCAGTCTGAGATTATTGTCGATGGTGGCAAAATGGTACGTAGTCAAGAAAATGAGTACGCGTTCTAATATGTGGATAGGAAAAACTTCCCATTGCTTTTGATATCACTTTTCCACATGTGCCCTGTTACAGTAAGATTTATGATGAATATATGGCTATGCTAATCTCAATTTCTTCTAGTGCTCAGTCTAGATGTCATGGATGAAAGTGGAGAGCACATTAGTGAATATGACCATGATGTCTATAAAGAAAGATTGGATTCAAATGGCAACAGTATCATTAAAGAAAAGTCAGAAGGTAAAAAAAAAAATAAAGATGAATGATGGACTAACTTGTGTTAGATTTGCGTAACAAGGCAGCTAGATTGGCCATGGAACATAATGGTGAGGTACCTGAGAATTATTGTGGACCTTGTTATGGAGCCAATGTCAACGATGAAGAAAACCCTTGTTGTAATACCTGTGAAGAAGTTCAACGTGCATATACAGAAATGGGTTGGAGTGCTGATTCTGATAATTTTGAACAAGTAAGCATGCAATTAAGCAAAGAGTTGTTTGCTTAATTTTTTGTTAGTGTGTAAGAGAAGGTTGGAAAGAAAAAAAATTGGCACAAGCTCAAGAAGGTTGTCGCATGCATGGTACTTTATCTGTCAATAAGTTGCGCGGTAACTTTCACTTTTCGGCTGGACGTGCTTTGAACAATGGAAGATCGCATATTCATGACATGTCTTCCTTTGTTACGAACGAATATGGACAAAACTTTATTCACAATATTCATCTTTTCCAATTCGGTTCACAAGAATACAACTTGCAGAAACAGAAGCGAACAAAATCAAGTACCATCATTCATCCTCTTGAAGAAACCATGTGGGGTTCATCAGAAGGTAAGGGGAAAAATAAGCTGATGATATTTATAAATAATGAATAGCTGCCATAATGTATCAATACTTTTTGAAGATTGTACCTACAGAATTTGATTTCCTTAATGGAAAGCACCTTAGAACCTTTCAATATTCTGTCAGTAAGCAAGAGCAGTTGGTAAATCATGGCGGAGGTCTTCCCGGTGTTTTCTTTATGCTTGATCATTCTCCTATGCGCATTATTTATTCAGAGACAAGACCTACATTCGGCAGTTTCTTAACCAGTGTTTGTGCTATTATTGGTGGTATCTTTAGTGTAGCCAGTATCATTGATAGTGCATTATATAGAGCTGAAAGAATCTCTAAACAAAGAAAGCAAATGTAAATAAAAGAAGAAAAAAAGTCATTTTTTTTTTTTACATATGAAAGAACAAGCACCGTGTAACCATTCTAAGAAATAGATGCGCGAAAACACCCGGTTTGTTCGGAGCGATCAGCCCCTTTCTTAATAGCTCATAAACAGAAATTTTCATAATCATACCACTCTTTTCACTTAAAATAGATGGAATAGACAGATTCAATTGTTATGGTTACTTGCGTTAAAAAGTTTACTTTTGAATACACCAAAAAGAAAAGAGATAATGACACGCTTGGAAGCAAATGGTGTCAAATCATACATGTATTTAATGAAAAATGCATTTTTGTGGAGACATCGGATAAATACGCTAACAACATGTGAGAAAATTTGATGGAGAAAAGTTATATATAATGAAGTTTATTTTAAGAACAACATCTTTAAATCAATTCTTTTCCTCGCTTACTACTTTCAATGTCTGTTACCAGAGTTCACGCTCGTCAAATTTTCGATTCTCGAGGCAATCCCACCGTTGAAGTAGAGGTCACTACTGCCAAGGGCGTTTTCCGTGCTGATGTGCCTTCAGGTGCATCCACTGGTATCCATGAAGCCCTTGAACTTCGCGACCAAATCAAATCTGACTATTTAGGAAAAGGTAAAAAATGCACAAACAACCTAATCCAGTGACTCATGTGATGTGTAGGTGTCCTTAAGGCCGTCGAAAATGTCACTCAAATCATTGGTCCTGAACTTGTTAAATCAGGACTCAATGTGGTCGACCAAAAGGCTATTGATCACTTCCTTCTCGAACTCGATGGTACCTCCAACAAGAGTAAACTTGGTGCTAATGCTATCTTGGGTGTCTCCTTAGCCGTGGCTAAGGCAGGTGCTGCTGAAAAGGAAGTTCCTCTCTATGTTCATTTTGCTGACTTGGCTGGCTCCAAGAAACCTTTTGTCTTGCCAGTTCCTTCTTTTAATGTGATTAACGGAGGCAGTCATGCCGGCAACAAATTAGCTATGCAAGAATTTATGATTATGCCCACGGGTGCTTCCTCCTTTTCTGAAGCCATGAAGATTGGTACTGAAGTGTATCATACATTGAAGAGTGTGATCAAGTCCAAGTATGGTCAAGATGCCACTAATGTAGGTGATGAAGGTGGCTTTGCACCCAATATTCAGGACAACCGTGAAGGTCTTGAATTGCTCGTAACCGCCATTGAAAAGGCTGGTTATACTGGTAAAGTCAAGATTGCTATGGATTGTGCTGCTAGTGAATTTTATGTCGATGGAAAATATGATTTGGATTTCAAGAATCCCAACTCCAATCCTGAAGAACGCCTTACTGGACAACAACTCGCTGAACTCTACACATCCTTTGCTGAGAAATATCCAAGTAAGTAGACTCAGTAAGAAACAGGCATTGACGCTTGATAATAGTCGTTTCTATTGAAGATGCTTTTGATCAAGATGACTGGAATAACTGGGCTCATCTTTTGAAAAATTCTGATATCCAATTAGTGGGTGATGATTTGACTGTGACTAACCCTAAGCGTATTGCTACTGCCATTGAAAAGAAAGCTTGTAATGCTCTTTTGCTTAAGGTCAATCAAATCGGTACTGTGACTGAATCCATTCAAGCTGCTTTAGACTCTCAAGCTGCTGGTTGGGGTGTCATGGTCTCTCATCGTTCTGGTGAAACCGAGGATACCACCATTGCTGACCTTGTTGTTGGTCTCCGTACAGGTCAGATCAAGACAGGTGCACCTTGTCGCTCCGAGCGTCTTGCCAAATTAAACCAATTGCTTCGTATTGAAGAAGAATTAGGATCACATGCCCTTTATGCTGGCGAGAACTTCCGTAAAGCTCATGAATTATAATCCCCTTATTTATTTTATATGTCAACAGGAAAAGTGTACTCTACTTTTGTAATAAATACGTTATCGATAACTTATAAAACGTTTACGCTTTATGGCAAGTGATCCTATGACTGCTTTTATGCTTGGTTGTTGTAGCGAAGCAAATACTTAATTCACTAAAGAGATACTAAACTCTTGACCAATACACCGCTTCTTATACAGAAGGCTGTCGTTTTCAAATTTAGTTCAGTATTGGAGTGACTGACGCTTGAGGAGAAAACAGGAAGAGCTCTATGAAAAAGCAAAATGATGATGCCTAAGATAGCAATGGCTAAAGCAGATATCTTAACTCTTCCACTTATACTACGACCATTCTTGACTGAGGGACATTCAGGATTATAACAAATTAAAGGCAGACACCTTTCATGTTTCTGTATCTTGTTGTTCCCTGCCTTCTGACCAATCGCTTAGGATGTTAAGATTTCTGGAAACAGTAGACACAAGTCTGATATGTACCTTTATTTTAGTGCCAAAGTTGCCATTATTATGCGCCTTGTAGCTTTGTCTCAGTTCTACTTGCCACTGCTAATAACAAAAGATGATAGTAGCCGAACTCTGTGTTGAGACTTAGCTGCAACATATTTTTCACTACTTCAATCATATTTTGCTGCTATAGGATAAGATAAGAGTTTCCTAAACCTAAGCAAGTCCAAAATATAAACGCAATGGAGTATAAATAATTTATAGTGACACAAGTATCCATGCATAAAACGTTGTTGAACACAATTGTGTATTATAGAATTCTTCTTCAATAAGTCATAAACAGTAGTTTTCATTAGAGACTACGCCTAAAAACACAAAGAAGAGGAAAACTATGATGATAGCCTCGGTCAATAGATCTACAAACAGGCCTGCATACTTTTAGTGCTCTTGTTTTATCATTGCTCCCATCGAAAATAAATGAAAGTTAACATATCGCTCAATTTCTCTTTGCTTAGATCAATGCAAATGAATACATCATAGCTACATTTAGTCTTATTTGTATGTTCACATCGTAGATACCTACACTTTGTGTCAAGTTGTTCTATTTCATAGCTAGATGGTTAGGACTGCTAAAATTTCAATACGTTTAAAGCTGTCCGAAGTAAGTAGCGACGGAGTTTATATGAAACGTTTCGTCCTATCTTACCTTTCCCCCTTCGAGTTGTGCGCGATACTCTTTTTTCTTCTTTTTTTTTATTTCTGTAACTCTTTATCATAATGGTAAATTATCTCTCCTGAGTCAGTTATTGCTCGAGAAACACTGCTGATAATATAAAGTGGTCATATATACTCATCTTCTCATAGTCTACTGCCAACTCTCAAGGTATCAATACTCTCTTGGACGCTGAACGTGAAGCTGCTAAAATTGTCCAAAAAGCCAAACAATGTAGGTAGAATAAATAAGGGTCGCTCCAAGTCAAACTAATGCAACCGCGTTAGACCGTGTTCAACGTTTAAAGGATGCTCGTTCAGAAGCAGCCAAAGAAATCGAAGAACTCAAGGCACAAAAGAATGCTGAATACCAAAACTTTGTTGCTCAGGTAAGTTTATTTCACCGAAACATGTGTGTGCGTTTGTGTTTGTAACATTATTTGAAAGCACTCTGGACAATCAGATCAAAGTCTCAGCAAAGTTGATGAAGAAACCGAAGCCAAGATTGCAGAAATTCGTGCTGCTGCTAAAGAAAAGAAGCAAGATGCTATTGACAAGTTGCTTAAGGCTATCACGAATGTTGAAGCTAAACCTCATGAAAATCACCGTGTTTAAATCACCGCTTTCGTTGATTGCATATTCCTCACTCTCTGTCTCACCTCCAATAAAGTAAACGATCAATCTTCAAGTTTAATTTTTGTATATAAAATCATCTTTTGTTTTTTTAGTAAGATGAAAGAGGGGGAGAGTGTGATTAAAGTCATATAATTAGTACAGTAGAATTATGGGTAAAAACTAAATGTAAAAAAAAAAGAGGGTTCATAATTTTTAGGGTATGTATATATGTAAAAAAGAAAAAAAAAAGCATAAAAAGAAGAAAAAGTGGCAGTATACATAAAAAAAAGTAACTTACGCGTAATATGTATGTGTTTGTATACATATATATATATATAAAGAAGAAAGATTGGAATAAGGAGGGTATAGAGGAAAACGAGAGTGAATTAACAAGCTCTAGTATTCGAGTGGCGTCGAATATCCTCGGGACCTTTCAAGATACTGATCACGACAGCAGCTGCCAATACGCTCAAGAATCGACACCATTGAAGACCTGAACAAGTAGCTTGATACACAAAATCATTTGAGTATTTGATACCTAATCGATACCAAGTGCTTGGCTTCAGTAGTTGGATCACATCTGCAAGATTGATAGAAGCATTTTGATTCTCTTGAAGACGAAGTTCTTTCATTGTTGTCTCGATTTCTGACAATGGACGTCCACAGAGTTCTGGATTTTGAAGTAACAGATAAATGTCTTGTTCAAATCCACCATCATCGTCATTTTCGCCAAGACCATCCAAGAAGCTCATAGCTTCATCCAAAACATTTCGTTGAGGATAAATGCTCTCGTACATCCAAGACTCTTTCTTGTGCAAATCGTCAGATAACCAGGATTGCATCGAGTTTTCAAAAAAACTACCTGTGCAGTGAGGAGGAAGAGGGGTCGCAGGCGATAAGGGATGACGAAGAAACACATCGTTTGTATAGTGATAGCTGGCTATGTTGGACAAACTAGAGACAGAAGACAAATCTTCAGAAATAACAGAGTCGGTGTCATTGTGTTGTTGTTGTTGTTGTTCTAAGTTTTGTCTGTGGCGTTGTCGGCGTTGTCGGCGTCGAAGACGAATTTCTGCAGCATTACGGCCTTGTACTGGAAGAACTACAGGAGGTAACTCTTGTTGATTGTCATGGTAGACACTACCACAAAAGCTGCCTGCTCTAAAACTGCGTTTTCCTGCCAAATCATAAAAAGGATGATCGTCCTCTAAAGCGGACTTTTGTTGCCAATCAGCATGAGTGATGCTCTCAATGTGAGAAATATTGTCATCATCTTCCAAAGCATCCAAGCTTTCGTGTAACAAGTCCTCTTTTTTAATAGAACAAGTATCACTGATGCTGGTTTGACTACTAGCACTAGACCGGCCAAAAATAGAAGACATCAGAGACAGAGAAGAAAGTCTTGACATCGGTGTTCCATTTGATTCGACCTTGGCTTCATTTGACACATCGGTTGGTGTGTGTTGTAACTGAAATAGGCCCAATTTATGCGATTCAAGTCTTCTTTCCAAAATATCCATTTGTCGGTTCATGCGTTGTGTACCCTCGGCTGTTTTTGGCTCTTCAAGGATATCAGATACAGTGTCAATGGTGGTTGCTGTCTCAAGATGCAAAGTTTCCAGCTGAGTCTGTAGCGAAACAACTTGGCGCATGACGTCTTGCAAGTCTTGTTCAAGCATGCGACGTCTTAAGCGTGCTGTTGCTCTCTGAATCAATTCTTGACGTAGTTGCTGCTCATTAGCATCATTCAAACACCAAGAAGTGCGTTTTTGATTCTCATCAACATTCCTGACTGAATTGCTGTCAAAATGAGATGATTCCCAATCAATATGACTGTCTTTTGACATGAATTATAAGCTATAACAAGACAAACAAAATTTAATAACTTGTTTCAACACATTCAATTAAGCACACACGACCATTATCGTTCACATACCAAAATATAAAAAAGAAAATGAAAAAAAAATATAAATAAATAAACAAAAAAGAATATAAAAAAGTTCCGGTTAGAAAGAAAGAAAAAAGAGAAAAGAAATGATAATATTAAAAAAGGGAATAAATAACCTTGTTCTCCCCCCCCCTCCTTCCACTCTCTAACCCCCTTTGAATGAATTGTCATCAATTGGACCGAAGTCAGACGCATACTTTATGTGTATAAATACTTTATTATTATTTTTATTATTATTATTGTTGCTGCTACTTCTGCTGCATTAACCGTCATACAACCTATTTAGGACCGAATTGACAATATGTCACAAGAAACAATACACGTTTTTTCTATAATTACCCCATGTTTTTTTTTGTTTTATTTTCTAAAGGAAATTATAAAAATGCCCCAATTATTTCTCCCTAAGGTTATGTCAAATTGTAAAAGCTGTCATTGTATAGAAGCATATTTAATTAATACATTTTGGTATACACAAAAATCCCCTGACCTATTATTTACCCCACTTTTTTGTATATAAAAAAACTACAGACGTCTAGATTACAGTAGCAAATGATCGTTGTGGATGACAACAATCATTATCTTTGTTGGGGATTCAGGAGATTCAAAAAAAAAAAGCACAGACAAATTTGAATCTATAAAATGCTATTGTTATTATTTATTATTTATTATTTATTTTTTATTTTTTATTTTTATTTTGTTTATTTATTAAGCTTTTTGTGAAGCATTCCTAACAAGTTTGTTAGATAAAGAAAAAACATTACTATCTATATGACTTACATGGCATCAAGTTGTTCTTTGTATTGTTTGTTGATGGCATTACGCTTTAATTTCTGTGCAGCTGTCAAAAGACCCTAAACAAAAATAAAAAAGTTAATTTGTGATCCATCACTCTTTTCATATTTACATTTTCAGATGACCATTCCTCATGAGTGAGATAAACATCATGTACGATTTCAACAGGTTTGAGACCGGCTTGATTTCCTTGTTTCTGTAATTCCACTAAAAATGCCTTTTTGATGTCTTCATTGTCACACAACTCTTCAAAGGACTGATGGATATCAAGACGACTTGCCAGCTGCTCAAGTCCAGATCGAATAGGCATTACGATAGCAACTGGACGAGGACGGAGAGAATCGCCATAGACACAGATATTACCAACACCTAAAGCCGTCTTATAGACCGACTCTAGTTTCTCTAAAGCAATGTATTCACCATGACTGAGTTTGACCAAGTTCTTGATACGATCAATCACAGACAATGAGCCGTCGCTGTTCCATTCACCTACATCACCAGTGCGAAGCCAACCATCTTCGGTAATAGCCTCGTTGGTCAATTCATCTTGCTTAAAATACCCCTTGGTCACAGGTGATCCGCGGACCCAGATTTCTCCTTGAGGTTTCTCATTGGTGGATAGGTAGTTGGCTTCAGGTACATCGACTAACTTGATCTCACAGCAAGGAACAGGACCTCCGACTGAACCTAAAGAAAAGTGCTCAGGTGCCATAATGCAACACATACTATAGAATATTAGCCAATCTATTCTCCTTGTCTTTTTAATGCATATCACTTACCCGCAACCTGATCAATAAAAATAATACGCCAAAAAAAATGGTTAGTACATCTAAATCACATCTCAACTACTTACTTTCAGTCATGCCTATCAACATATAAATTAGATCGTGGTTTACATCTACATTGACTTACCATAACCGTTTAAAATAGGGTTCAATGTGACAGATAAAAACTTTTGTGTCTCAAGAGCAAGAGGTGCACCACCAGCTAAACCTAGACGGAATCGACCACCTACTTGTTCCTTAACCTTATTGAAGACCATGGTATCTAAAAAGCCACTAGGTAAGCCACGCTCCATTAACCAAGATTTAGTAGCAAAGGCACGATGAAAGATAGCTTGCGCTGCAGGACTCATTTTGGCTACATTGGCTAATACACCTTTTCGAATAGATTCCCAAACAGCAGGCACACCTGTCATTAACGTAGGCCTGAATTCCTTGATGTCACCCTTACAGTTACGAACAGAGGTATCGGTCAGTGTACGAGGTGAGCCATATCCCAACACGACGCCCCAAAACAAACAAAGGTTTTCTACCAAGAATTCAAGTACATGTGCTAAAGGAAGGTAGGCCATCATATAGTCTTCACCATCATTGATAATATGACCGAGAAGTGTATCCACACCGGCAACTAGTATGCATAAGTACATCTTATATTTATTTCGATACTTACTTGCTCCGACTAGATTGGAATGATTCAAAATCACACCTTTGGGTGCACCTGTACTACCTGAAGTATACATGACACAACATAAATCATCACGTCCTGGTTTGTTAGGCTTAGTAGGATGTTGTTGACCCACAGTCTTGAGTTGGTCAAGCGAAACAAGGCAGTCTTGTCCTACGACCTCTTGAATCTTTTTTAAATCTTCTGGTTTAGCTTCACCGGTATAAACAACAAGAGAAACCTTCTTTTGAGCATCGGGTAAAACAGTGGCTAATGTCTTGAGGAGTTCAGCAGATGTAAAGATCGCTTCTACTTCAGCCTCATTCATCGAATGAAGTAAACCCTCGTGACCCAATGTTTCATAGGCAGTAACAATAGCAATGTTTTGTGTAAACGCACCATGCGCTATGGACATCCAATCCATACTATCGATTGCCATCAGCCCTCATGATGATAAAAAATTCAACACTTACCTTGTAGGAGCAAAGATTTCAATGCGAGATTTCTCTTTCAGACCATAATGAATTAAACCAGCGCCAATGTCATGAGCCATTTGAGAGAATTCAGCATAGGTCACATAATGATAAGGAGATAATTGAAAGTATTTCCAGGACTTGGTTTGTTTTGTTTCAACACCATCTACCATTTTGGTGATCTCTTTGTTTTCAGTCACAATCTTTTCTACTTTACGGTAACCCATTGCATGATTGTCAGCACGTCTTTTGACACAGTATTGAAGGACATCGTACAAAGTATGAACACCTTGAGCAGGTGTATCCACAATCTCTTCTTCAGCCAAGACAGAGCGACGCACAGGTGTTTCTCCTTGAATGTTAGGACCAATCGATACAGAAATAAAATCAGACATAGTATATATGAAAGTAGAAAAAAGGAAAAGGAAGGAAAAAAAGCTGGTTTATATGAACACAGTCCAATGCGGAGTTTCTTAAAGTGCTCTATATTTTCTCACATGTCAATTGTTTATTTTGTCTTCACATGACAAATAAAAATCTTAAATCTTCTACTGTTAATTTATCGAGCGCTTTTTGGTTTTTGTCTAATCATGGGTAAATAACGCATGTATGAGTCAGCTTAAATTTACTTACCCACTGTACTTTCAACCAAAGCCGTCTTCTTTTCTTGTAACTGAATAATTCTGCTTTCAATACTATTTTCAATAATCAATCGTGTAATTCGAATAGGTCTGTGTTGACCAAGTCGATGAATACGATCCATAGCCTAATATGAGGTGAGTTACATAAACACATGGTTTATTTCCTTGCTTACTTGTACTATAGAAAAGAAAAAAAGCTTAGTCAATATCAAAAGTAAACATTTATCAAGACACTTACATTCTGCAGCCTAATATCATATTGAATCAACAAAGGAAAAAGAAAGAGAGTTAAACACTATCCTGGTTTGTAATGCACAGTAAAAAAAAAAAAAAAAAAAAAAAAAAAAAAAAAAACTTACAGGGTTCCACCAAGGATCACTATGGATATAAAGTCAGCACATATTCTAATCTATTCTTCTTGCTTCACTTACCAAATAAATACACGACTTGCTTCAGTCAAATTCAGTGCAACACCACCTGCCTTAAGACTGATAAGAAATACAGTTACCGTAGGCTTAGTCATGAAGCTAATAAATATAAGTATCAATGTCCATAAACCATCTATATGTTATACCTATTGATAGCAGCATTTCGTTGATCTGGAGTCATTGTACCATCAAGGCGAATACACTCAAAACCAGCACGAGATAATCGCCAATAGACAAGATCCAGAAAATTAACAAACTGAGAAAATACAATACTATAATATCTGATGAGCAACAATCAAACAGAATCATGAATTTACCTTTTAATAGTTTTATCTTCCTGTCTTAGTTTGGATAATTCTTCAACCAAGGCTTCAATCTTAGTAGAACTTCTCCAAGTACTCATATTAATACGGTTGACAATACTTGACTTGGAATAATTGGCATTCAAACCATGGCCACCTTCTACTTCAATAGCAGGTTGAGAGAGATCGACACTGAATTCAGCATAACAAGAGGGACAGCGCGGCTTTTCATAATTATCGTTACTATCAAAACTGTCATAGTATTGAACACAACATTCTCTACAAAAGACGTGCTTACAAGCAGCAGCAATAGCGTCCTATATATATATATATATATATATATATGTGAGTCAATTTGGTTTTGCATTGATCAACACTTACCTCAGGAGGGTCGTTACACAACATACAGACCAATTGTTTATTGTCAGAGCTCTTTTTTGTGACAAGATCAGGATGGTCCGCTATAAGACAATGAGTATAAAATAAACTATTTTCATTCAAACTTACCGCATTGACGCATCTTCATCAACAATTCAAAGATATTGGCATAATTATTAAGCACAGTACCTTCTTCTACATAAGTCGTAAATGTGCGTTGAACATCAGAGTAAAGAGAAGTATAGACATCTTCTTCTTCTTCAGTAAACATATCTCGGCGCACAATAACAGTACGAGGAGGTAAACCAAGATCATCAGCACATTGGATCTTTGTTCTTCTCAACATGATCTTGTCTAACAAAATACCCAACTTTTTCATAGCTTCACGGCCTTCTTCTAAGTAACCATGGTATTGAATAGGCTTGAGTACTTCATTGTTCCACCAACAGGTGTGACTACAATGAATGAATAAAAGAAATGCTTTTTGTTATCCACTTACTTCATAGGGGTATGACCACAAGAATCACAGTTTCGCTTGTTGGAAAATCGCCAGGTAATTTCTTTACATGGACATTGTTTACAGTAATAATAAGAAAATGGATCTGCTTGCATAAAACGAATCAAGGAGTACAGTTCACCTACACGATTTTGCAAAGGCGTACCAGTTAAAGACCATTTGTAAGCACCTGAGATATTGAACACAGATCTTGCTGTATTGCTTGATCTATCCTTGATATTATGGGCTTCATCAAGAATAATACGATGCCACTTGATTTTGTGTAAAACAGACTTTTCTTTACGGATAGAACGAGTGGCTTTATTGTGTACACCACTTTCTTGACGTCTGAAACTGGATTCCATAATCGAATCTAAAGAGGGTTAATTATATGCATCAACTTAAGTAACGACTTACATGTAGACAAGACAACATCGTACTTTTTAAGATCTTCCACACTACTCGTACGCTTGTTACCATGGAAGACATAGACGGATAGAGCATTGTTTGTGTGACGCTCAATTTCATCTTTCCATTGAAGGATAGCAACCTAAATTAAGATTAGCTTCATTCTGTCATTTACATATTACTTACAGTAGGAGCAATCACAAGATTTGGCTTCTTTCTATCTGACAAAAGCAAAGCAATTGTCTGAATTGTTTTACCCATACCCATTTCATCAGCCAAAATACCACCCTTAAACTATCCAAATTATTAAATTGGGCAAAAAAAAAACTGTTATATTGACTTACAGTGTCCATGTTTTCTTGTCTTCTCATCCAACCAACACCATATCTTTGAAAAGGTAAAAGTTGCAATGTAAGTTCAGGAGGTTGCTCAATAGGAACAACAGCTTCAGGTTCAACTTCTTCAAGGTCTTTCCAAATAGTAGTGAGTTCCTTGTGATGCGCCAAAATCTTCAATTGTGTTCTTTCGTACTACATACAAAACGCGTTGAATTAGAAAAAAATTAGCATTAAAGTATGACATACACTTCTTAATCGAGGTTGGTTGTTGACACTTCTTCTTGTTCTAGCAGGACGACGAATTTGAACAACTTCTTCTTCTTCGGATGATGATGCACTATTTTCCTCTTCTTCCTCCTCTTCCTCTTCCTCTTCATTGTCTGAGTTGTCATTGTGTACAAACTCTTCTTCATCACTGGGTTTTTGCTGCGAATCGGAATTAGGCTCCGCTTCAGGAGAATTGACTGCGGAAACCTCTTTAGAATTGTCGTTCGTAGTTAAAGAAGTACCAGAAGACTTGGAGGATTTGCTGAATGGAGAAGGAACATCGCTTGCTGCTTCACTTTCTGAATCAGACACAACCAAGCGTACAGGCTGCTTTCCTTTTTCTTTGCGTGTACGTCTAACCACAACAGAAAGAGGTTGAAAATCGTCACTGTCATCCCTAAGAATATCCACATCCATAAGATCAGAAGGACTGGATTCAAGCTTGGGCTTCTTTAAAAGTCTTTGGGAAGTACGACGAGGAGCCATAAGGTAAAATTGAAAGAAAATAAGAGAAAGAAAGAAAAAAGAAAAAAGAAAAGGTCAAATTGGTTTTGACGCTCTTGCAATTGACAGTCAGATAAGCATTGACCATTCATGTCCCTTTGGGACCTATAAAAATTTTCAAAATTGTCTTAAGAAGCACCAATCATTATGATTTCGTAGTCGATTTATTTAAACAACTAGCCATTTGCCTGCTAATTCTTTCATGAGGTTACAGTTTCTTTGTTCATCCGTATTCCAAAAGACACCTGTTGTACCCGCTTCTCCTTCTGATTCAACCTCTTGGACAGCCTGTTTAATGATTTGTCTTGAGCGATGATCATATTCAATACCATTCAATGTCATTTCTTCTACTAGATCCAACATGCCATACACATCACACCATGATTCCCAGCGAAGCATAAGCATGGCATTATAAGCATCAGTTGTACAGCCCATGATATAACTAGCCACACTCTTATTCTTGGCTAATTCAAAGATCGACAGAGCCAAATAAGGATCTGTGCGTGAAGCATGTTCAATGGCTGTCGTAATAATGCGTGGATAATAAGCGGGGTATGTTTGATCTAGTCTATTGATTTCTTGTTGAACAAGTGCTAAAAGATCAGACGGTGTCTTTGTGTCGAGAATGTCTTGAATGATCTTGACTTCTTTTTGTTTCGTGGCAATACGTTCATCCTCAGCAATGTGCTTCATATCCCAATTGCTCTTTTTTCTATAGTCTGTGTTGAAAATATCGAGTAATTCTTCTTGATCATCTTCTTGTTTGCGTTTACCATAGATCTGAGATATCGCTGAACGAGGCAATGGTGATTTGGATTTATAAGGTTGTTTGTTTTTCAAGACCATGTCTAAAAGTCTCTTTTCAATAAGCGAACCGGTTGATTTGTTTAATGGAGCGACAGGTTCTACAGCTTTAGGTGTTTGTGTCGTAAATAAGCCTTCCAATAGCTCTCTAAAATCTCTTGTGTCATCTTGAACAGATTGTGTTGAAAATGGCATATCGTTTGGTTTCTCTTTGGTTTCTATTTCCCAAAAATGAGGTTCTTTTTTATCGTAATTATGTCTCGAGCATGAAAAGGGCCGAAAAGGTGCAGTTTTTTTAATAGCTATTTTATTGTGAGCCATCATTGTATTGTGTCGAGCAGTATTACTATAAAGTCGAAAACGCCCGAGCATCATGGCTTGTATTGAATTTTATTTAGATGTATATGCAAAAAAGAAAAAAAAAAAAAAAAAAAAAAAAAAAAAAAAAAAAAAAGAGTGTACCCTTGAGCGTATTTACATAGGCCGAAAAGAAAAAAAAAAAATAGTCACATTCAATCATCTTCATCATCGTTGACATTCAATGCATCATGTCGAAGATTCTCAAAATATTTCAACATGGATTCTGCTTTTGTTCTACTATGTGTACTTTTGCGTAATCCTAATGAGAGTACAGAGCCAAGTTTCTTGTAGAAGTTCTTGAGGTTTTGATCATTACAGGTGTTTTCGTTTATAATGTATTTCAGTAATTGAACTGTATAAATCATGTCTGACTCCTTTTTATAGTCTCCTCTTTTGATTATCTTTACATCTAGAGATAGCATAAGTAAGTTACAAATACATATATAAAGCAATTACCTGGTGTATGTTGAGCAGGTATACGAATCCAACCTTTGTCCCGTAAAGGCTTTGGCTCATCTAATAAGACACAAGACTTGAATTCACCAAAATAGAGCCCACCATCTGTTCCAACACAAATACTCTTGGGTGAAATATTTACAAGTCCAATATTGAGTGCATGTGCATCCACTAATATTGAAAAAAGTGTAATGGCCATTTGTATAAAATAAAGTGGCTCCAAGACAATCTCTACCGTCCATGTTAGGACAATGATACGACAGCATGGAACTTACTTTTGGATTTCTGTAAAGCCATGTATTCCTCTAATGTTTGGTAAGATCGCTTTACAAAGAACCAACAGGTAGCCTTTTTTGAACCTTCAGGTAACTTGATACGCATATGTTCTGCCGTTGATTTGAATCTACCAATATAGGTTTCCATGTTACGACAAGCACTCAGCATTTGGGACATGGCCCATTCATACTGAGCTCTTGTTTCTTCTTGAGGTTTAATACATGTGCAAAGAATACCCAATTGCCTGTATTTTCCCTTATAGACATAGGCACTATCATCGGAAGCAACCATAGTGGGATCTAACTCGATGTCCGATGGTGATAATGTTAAAGGAAATAAGCTCTCTAACGTAAGTAAACGAGCATTCTTTGGGTCATTGCTTTGTTGAGATCCTTTCTTTTGACTTTGTTGCTCTTGATCTTCTTGGTCTATTATCTTATGTTGTTCATGAGGTATAACTGTCAGTTGGATTAGCAAACGAATAACGAGTATGCGTTTACCTCTTGTCTTTTCGGTGCGTTCTTGGTCTTTAGATTTTTTAACGCGTTTCTTATCAACTGGGTTCTCACTAGCTTGTGTATCTCTCTTTGCCATAAATAAAAGAAAAAAAAAAGAGAAGGAAATGCGAACGGGATTTACGCATCTTATATCAGCTGCTTTGTTTTGCATATCTTGGATACAGAAAAGCATTGAATGATCCTATTTACGCTACTAAACGATAAGTCAAAAGGTTTTTAGTTTGAAAAGTGCTCAATGTACTTTATAGAAAGCCAATTTAGCTTTCTTTACTCCTGTGGTCTACTTGAATGTTTGAGTACTTTTATACCTTGAAAAGCAGATTGAATTTGCTGCTTAGATGGTCGCTATGGTATAAAGAAGACAAAAGGAAGAGTCGTTTCTACTCAATTTCTTACTAACTGACTATCCTGCTTTAAGGCTTTAAAATGGTGAGAGACCTACAGCTATGCCTTAGCGAGCCTTTGAGTCGTGGATTTGGGACATCATAGCAAAAAGTGAGCTGAGCTGAGCTGACTTTTTGACCTGTTTAGCCCAGTATTCATTCAATGGAGGCCACTTGCAGTGTGGAGTTTGAATCAGTCAACCCGGAGCTTAAAACATGCAAACTCTGAAGGCAAATATCTCCACGACTTTTGCAGTAGAAAAGTGCTGATTTTGCTTGCAGAGTTTTATGAATGTAAAAAACTGTCCTAGCTAGTTTTATAGGCTTATTAATGATGTTGTGATTTCAAATCCCGGCTAAAGGTGAAGTTCACGGAGTCCTGTGATTTGACATGCAAAAAAGTAAAATAGTAGTATGCTTATAAGTGCAGAAAAAAAATAGAAAACGCTTAAAGACGTAATAACAAAGTTGTAGAGATTTTATGCTGCATTTAATGGTATAAAGAAAGCAACTACCTTATCAACAAAAATCTGAATAAAGTGTGAAAAACCTTATTTTATGGGCGCTTTGATGCTAAAGCCTACACTTTTTAGATTCCTTTTGTAAAATAAGCACTTTTAGATGATTTGACTGTATTATACAAACATCTCTTACTATATAATAGCATAGAAAAAGTGTACTGTATCATTGTCAAAAATTGCATGAATTAAATTTTGGCACTCTATCCCGAGTAATAGTAGTTCTGACTCTCTCTGCTTTAAGAGGAGTAGACCAACAGTGTCAAAATGGGGCCAAATGTTACAATTTTCGAGATCTCCATCATCTCAATCTATCACAGTAAGATAGTGGGTAAAAATGGATTTTTTCTGTTTATAGAGGCTATACCGTATCTATGTATGCGCATAAACACTAGAATAACTACTTTTGCTTTTTTTTTAAAGAGTTTGTTGTTATTGCTACTGTATTATTGAGTAATAATAACTAGAGAGTAAAAAGAGGTGCTGTCAAACAACAGCCCAAACAAACTAAAGCAACAGAGATAGGATTGAATATAGCATAAAAAGCTATATAACTGAACTTCTACTAATATCAAAAAAGAAACTGATTTGTTGGAATGTATTGAGTCATTTTTTATAAGTTTTTTTTCTAATTCACGCATCTTATAATAACTGATTGATTGAATAAAGACATTCATTTCAGTAAGTTAAAAAGTGATTTACAAGTGTATACTTTATTTCATTGCGTTATTCTCAATGATAAACCACCAGTCATTGGTTTTCAAGAACTACTTTTTTTATCAATATACAACTATTATGTGCTCTTTTGCTAATTTGTTGATAAACGTCAATCAGTTTTTTGCAATGGTCCATTGATCCTTCAGTCTCCAATTCGACTTGCTTTATTTCTTTAGAATCTTCAGGGTTACGATCAACCAAGAATAAAGTGCTCTTGAGGCTTTTCATAAGATTCATTGTCTCGTCTTCTAACAATACATTGTACTTGTTGGTGGCTTCCTTCAGACCAGACAAGTCAGCCTCAATGACTTGAAGCAAATCAACCAACTTGTTTTTTTTCTCTTGAAGATATTTTTCACTAACGATACCAAAAATACCTGTGGCAGCAATCATAGTTATATGGTATATGGCCGACAAGGCAGATACCTCCTTGAGATTATGGACAACATTCAACAAGACAAAGGCGATTACAACAAGGACCAAGATGATAACACAATGTTGATACCCAGTGGCTTTTGAAGTATTTTTAGTCTGATTGAAATCCATCTTCCATTGCTTTTGGCAAGTGATAGGTTCAGGTATTTTCTTATCAGCCTCTCGAAGTGCATCTGCATTATCCAACAAGTCCTTTCCTGCCAAGATAACTTCGGATGTCTTCTCACTTGAAAGAACGTCAATACCCTTAACGAAATAAAGCCTTTTTTGAATTCCTTTCAAGACATGTAAACGTTCTTTACAGACACAGTCAATGGATTGCAGATATCGGTAAAACTCTTTGTGGTTATTCAAGTTCTGTAACTGGAATTTTCTGATGACACTGGCCTCATCATCATAATTCCTTATAAGATGTGCTGTGATTCTGTCAATCGCATTAAAAAAGCTATTTAAGTCTCGAGCATGATCCTTGCTTTGGTATCTTTGTTTACTCTTGTCTACAAATGTATCTTTCTCGGCTTTTTTGGCTTTTTTTTCTTGTCTTTTGGAAGAGGTTTCTTGAGACATATTGTTAGGTGAAAAAAAAAAAGAAACTGAATTGATTACAGCTTATTTATAGTTTTGTATTTAATTTATCTCTTTTTGATTAAACAAGTAGTTGGCTTGTATTTGTCTTGTGCTAAATATGATTTTATTTTGTTATAAAGAGGAGATCTTTGTACAATAATTAAAAAGAGAGAAAAAGGTAATAATGGGTAAATACAATGCAAATATATATATATATATATAAAGACGTAGACTTCTATTCCGTCTGAAGTGAGTCATAATGTACTGGACATCCTCTGCCTCTTTGTAGCCATGATGCTAGACAATGTTGATGATATGAACATAAACAAATCATTCTTGAAATTTGATCACCTAATATAGCATGATGAGATACAAATGCCTTTGTTGTCTTTCCTTACCTTGTTCAAACTCGTCAAAACAAATAGGACATTCATCTCCAATCTGTGTTGATTCAGCCGATAATTCATACACTAACATACTGTCAATAAGGGTCATGCGTTAACAAGCAACTTTACCAATATAACGGGGTGATTGTACAGGAGGACTTCCCACATTTAAACATCGTTGTAAATGTGCTTCTTGTTCGCCCTTTTGCATACCCAAAAATGTCTGTCCACACACAGGACAGTCGATCATCAAACTCTGTGCACTATCTGTTCTTCTCATGTTTGATCCATAAGCAGCTCGGCTGCTTCTCCTTCTATATGATTCAGACGAACGACGAATGGGTTCTCGAAAACAAGTATCACAGACACGCTGTGTTTGAGAAGCCAAATGTGGGTATTGAGAAGGAGGTATCATGGGATCTTCAACAAGCTCTTCTACGGGCAGCCTTAATCGATTTGAACTACACTTGTCGCAGACAATTTGTCCACATCGACTAGACTTATGGATCAGCATAAAAAAAAGGAAGGTATTTATTTGGTATCTTACTTACCGACAATGATGTCTACGGACTAGGAAATTAAAGCGTCGATGACAACGCCTACATTCAGGTGCCTGTCTGTCCATTTCCCATACACGTTGTGAGCGAGGCAAGATGCCGGTGTGCTGAGTACCTGGATGGACGTTACTTACACTACGTCCCCTTGTGTTTATCGTAGTCGGGTGCACATGCTCTTCTTGATTGACAGTGCCATTCGTAAAAGTATCTTCACTTGCAGTATTATCTAACTGCTCTAGTGTAGCATGAACATTCTCTTCTGTTACGTCTTCTTCTGATTCAGAATCACGCATGTTGTGTTCTCTTTCAGGTGAAGATGGTTTAGGTGGATCATTGACAACATGGGGAACAATTTCAGTAATGTCAGCTTCTTCAGGTATATTTTCAGCTGTATGTTGATGAATATCAATGTGTAATGAAAGTCTGTTTGTGTCTGTCATTGGAAGAAGTAAAGAGAAAAGAGAAAGAGTAAAAAAAGGGAATATATTAAAAAAAAAAAAAAAAGAAACGTGACCTTAAAGCACTATTTTGTGTTATTCAATTAAAAAGAGCTTATTATTTATCATTATGTTTTCTTGTCTTTATGTTTAGTTACTCTCAAACTCTTTTTTTTTTCTTATTGTTGTTGCTGTTGCTCTACATTGATCCAAGTGTAAGTAATTTCATTACATCGTTTGTTACACAAATGACTAAGACTTGTACAACTCACATTGGTCGCCTAAAAGAAAAAAGCTCAAAGTAATGACTTGATTGATACTGTTTTTATCATGTGCATGTTATGACTATTATGTTATGTATACTCCATACTCAAAAATGAATAACTCTATTATGTGTTGATACAATAAGCAACACATTGTACTGTCAAGAAAAGAAGATTATTGTCAATAGAGACGGTCATTGAAAACATGAGCATTGACCAGGTTAGCATCATTCTTGTTTTGTAGATAAGAAAATTCTCCTTTTTTTTTTTTTTTTTTGGTCTAAACAGAATTATGAATTATTATTGCTGGAAAGTTTTGATAAAATCTTATTAAAAAAGATAAACCCTTATGTCAGTGCTTATTTTCTGACTGCTAACTTTAAATATTATAGTTAAATGCAATATGAGATCTAGACTAATATGCCTAAAATAATAAACGGTACTTTGTCCTGAAACAGCCAGGAATTAGATCCCCCCTCTCTTATACTGAATAGAGCAACTCATAAATTTCAATTCGAATTGTCCTTATTGGCTCTTGTTTCAATCTCCCTTCTTTCCTTGTAAAAAAAAAAAAAAAAAAAAAAAAAAAAAAAAAAAGGGACCGGAGTTGATGTCTTTTTTTTTTTTTTTTTTTTTTTTCAGGGACATCCTTAAATGTGTTTGAAGTTAAATGAACTATAGAAATGCCTTCGTTTACGGGGCAAATAGAATTTTATGATGCTAACGTTGTAGTATTTATACCCTATTTCTATCTCTATGTATTTCTATTATCATGAGATTTGTCTTACCAGAAAAAGAACACAAAAAGAAGGAGGTACACAGTGAATATAATCACAATAAAAAGTTTTTTTCTTTTTTTTTTTCTTTCTTCTTCTTTTCTTCTTTAGATAGCCTTTATGACCACACTGAGTGAATACCCTGAACAAACCACTCTTCCTACCAACACACACATAGAAGAGGAAGGGGAAGAAATAGTGGTGGTATTAGAAAACCAAGATGACCAAGATCACAATACTTTTTATATTCAGCAAGAAGAACAAGACAACAACAACGACGAAGCATTCTATTTAGCCAACAAGACATTCTATACCACATGCTATAAAATTTCGCGTCAAAATAGTCCTTCTTACCGAAAAAAACCGCCTTATACTTTCCTTGAGAATTGGTTGATCCATAGTGTGTTTAGTAAATCCCAGCAGATTCTGCTTCGATTTCCTGTGATTCACCCAAAAGTAATGATGACAGAAGGAGACTTCATCTATACACCACATCAAATGGCAACTGAGAACAATCAAATGGAAAACAATCATGACATGTATTATCAAAATAATAATTATGATTATGGTGATGAAGAGGATTATGATTATTATGATGATGCTTTTGTTATTGGTGATGAAGGTGTGATGATGATGAGTGCTTCTGCACCTGATGCTTCACAGTTTATGGCAGAAGATGAAGAAGAACAAGAGGATAAAAGATCCTCGGTGGTCATGGATGAAAATATGTGGATGGGCCATAGTCGATATAATACAAATGGAATGACACTTCATGTTGTTAATCCTGATACTAATCCCGAGAATAATGAGGATGAAGAAGACCCCATGTATCGTAATGTGACAGCTGGTAATCCTTATAAATCCAATATGGTGCGCCATAGTCAACTACAGATTGTAGAAGAAGAAGACGAAGAAGACGGAGAAGACGAAGATGAAGAAGAGGCAGAAAAAGAGGCAGAAGAAGAGACACCTAATGTATCATTATCACCTGAAATACTTCATTGGTATCGATCGGCTGATTCAAGGCCTATCACATTGAATCATACGCCTATGGTGGTCGCTAAAGATACTATGGATTCTACTGTTGAAAACAATCTTGAAGGACACAAAATCAACGGTGAATGTAGCAGCAGTTGCAGTAGTATCAGTAGCACTAGTTCATGTAGTCAACACACAGATATTCAAAACACCACGCATTCTGACGAGAAATCCATTCATAATTCCAGCGCATCATACCAGTCTTTAGCAGACATCATTGTGGGTGAAGATGAACAGAGAGCACCCGTATCTTATGGTACCATATTACCACTCTCTCATAACCAAGATCGGTCTCTATCACCTACTGTTCATATGAGACCCATGTCTCCCCTTGTACAATTATCTGAATGCTTCGTGGATGCTGCTTGGGTGGCATTAGATTTAGCACAGAATTATACGGAAAGCCCTGCTGATAAAAAGGGCCTGACTAGCTTTGTTCGTTGTGCATTTAAAATCTGGAAAGTGTTATTCTTGGGTGCAGAAACCATGCTAAGCTTGAAAAGTCATCGTATGATGAGACCCCAAGCTGTTGTTTGAAAATTTATCAAAAAAAAAGTTATTAGATTATTTATGCATATCTCTCTCTTTCTATATATATATAGTCTTGTTTTTATGATTAAAATACTGTATTTCCACTGTTCATTGGCCACTTTTTGTTTTAAACTGCGATTGTTTTTCTTTGTGAACTTCATTTGGCTAAACAATTTGAGGGCTTAAACTACAAATAGTAAACTTTTAATGACTACTAATTCGCGGTTTTATACTGAAGATGGCTGCGGAAACATCTATGATGATAGCAGGAGAGGGTTGACGACCACTGATGAATAACCCTTCTTTCATCCTGCAAAGCAATCGAGATTCAAAAAAAAAAAGAAATGACCTATTTTTTTCAGTAAAGTAGTGGAAATACAGCAAGTGGTACAAACATACAAAAGTAAATGGCATTCAAATCCAGAAATCGACCCATTCTACAAAAAATCATGCCACAATTTCATGCACTGCCCTGAACTATATATATATATATATAAAAATCAGGAACTATTGTGTCGAGTCTTTTAACGTTTTTCTTTATGGTTACTTCAGACACTTCTATTCCCGCACCTCCTGCCAAAGTTGATTTCCTTATAGTGGGTGGTGGACCTGTAGGTTTATTAGCAGCCAATTTGGCTGTTCAAGCAGGATTCACTGTTCGTATTTTAGGTAGAATATCGTTCATATACCATCTCGGAATAACTCATGTGTTCTCTAGATATCGAGATGGAACCTAACCATTGGGGTCGTGGTGACTGGATTCATGGACGTACGATTGAGCTGCTAGAAAGAGCAGGCTTGGAATCCGAATTATTAAAGACGGGTGTCAAGGTAGAGAAACTGACATCGTATATGAATGGTCAACTTCAAAAAGAAATTCCATTTGTTCCAGAAGAAACGGAATCAAAACACCAGTAAGTTTCCTTTATCAAGATACCTGTAGACTCAAAGTGTTAGATATTTGCTTTGTGTGGGTCAACATATTACAGAATCCAGCCTTCAAAACAAATTAGCTCAGTTTGATGTTCAGGTGGAACGTCCTTGTACGGTAGTCAATATGGACCGAGATGAAGATGAACATGCAGAATATCCCATCAAGGCTACCGTGGTGCACCTTGACCAAAGAAAAGGGTCCGAACTAGTCCAGTGTAAATATTTGCTTGGCTGTGATGGTGCTCATAGCGATATTCGTCAACAATTGGGTATCAAGAATGAAGGCGAAACAAGCGAGACACATGCTGGTGTACTAGACGCTTTGATCAGAACCAACTTTGCTAGTCGAAAAGAAGTTTGGTAAGTGCAAAAACCTCCTTCATGGTCATGACTCAACGGAAAATCTAGTATTGTACAAAGTGACCATGCTAAAACGATCAGTATGTTTCCACGTGAAAATGGCTTAACGCGTATCTTTGTCCATTTCAACGAAAACGAACATGAACTAAGAAAAGAGCAACATAATCGAAACAAGATTCAAGTCGAAGATATTCAAAGAGAAGCCAAGCGCGCTTTATTGCCTCATCGTATTGAGTTTTTAGGTATTTTGTACTGGACAGTGTATGTTGTCGGACAACGTTATGCTTCCCGGTTGAATTCGGAAGACCATCGCGTGTTTCTTTGTGGTGATGCTGCTCATTCTCAGAGCCCAACACTTGGTCAGGGTGTCAATACTGGGTTTGGCGATGTGTTCAATTTGGTAAGTTCTCGATGGTGTGAGTAAGGTGATGTTCTTATACGGCTCTTTAGATTTGGAAGATCTGTATGGTTGAAAAGGGTCAATTGAACCGTAAATTCCTATCGACTTACCATTCAGAACGATGGCTTGTGGCTCAAAACGTATTGAACATTGATAAAGTAGCAGCCAAAGCTGCAGCAGGTCATCAAGCAGCCGATTATTGTGAAGTCGTCGAAAAGAACCGCTTGTTTACTTCAGGCTTTGGTATTCAATACCCTTATGATCCTAAAGAACAAGTGTCGTTACTTTGGTCACCTGACGATGATAAACCAGATGAAGGCATCGACCTTAACAGTGCTAGTTATGTGATGCAGCCGGGTATGCGTGCTCCCAATTTCAAAGTATTTGGCTTCAAGTCTGGCAAGAAGACTCGGTTGTTTGATGCAATTGCCAAGAATGATCAAGTACCTGACTGGCTTACGTTTACTTTATTTGTGCTGGCTCATGACTTGCGTTCCACCCATGAAGCAGTTGCCAAGTTCTTGAATGAGACAAGCAAGGCCACTGTTCGTTTACCACCTACCAATGTAGTTGTGATCACTACCAGTACAGCTGATCAAGTGTCTGCATTCAAGGGATTACTGGATAATGACCGTATCGTGATTGACAAGTTGAACCAAGCACAATGTCATAGAACTTATGATAAAAAGGTAGACGGTACTCTAGCTGACGATGAAAAGATTCATGTTGCTGTTGTAAGACCTGATGGATACATTGGGACCATTGTCAGAAGTGACGATGGTACTCTTTTAAGTGATAAGGTGTGCCAATATTTCTCCAACATCATGTAGTATAAACAGTACATATATAGTATATAGAATCCTCTTCCTCTTCAGATAAATAAATCTGGCTTATGTATACATTATTTTTGCTTACAAAAGGACTTGTTTACTTGTTGATCTAGCAGAAGCTGCTATAAATGAAAGAAGAGGATCTGTTTTCTCGTAAGAAAAAAAAAAAGCTAGAGATGGATATCATATTTAGCTTGATTTCCTCTATACTCTTTTTCAATTTCTGAAACATTGGATCACTTTGAGGTATCCTTTATTACGATAGACATAAAATATACTCTTTGTTTCGTTGATTATATCTTAAACCAAACTGTTTGTTTTTTCTTTCCCTAAGGCACTTCACGTTAGACTTAATCGAATATTATGCAGGATATATGGTACCCTTTTTGGATACATTCAGGACTGCTTCTATTTTTTACGGTCACGTCACGTGATGATTAAATTTCAGGTATCTTGACCTTGAAATGCACTTTTCCCTTTTCTTTAATTTACTTTTACAAGTGCATTATTATACCTGTCTTTCCTTGCAAAATTCACGCACAATTGCCTTTCTAATACAAAAAGCGCAAGCCAAGAAGAACACAAGCACAAATGACAACCCTACAAGTCTACGCGCATAGACTAAGTGACCCCAACTTGGGTAAATTGATTGGACTTTTGCTTTTTACGTATTACCTAACCTTCTTCAATAGCTCCAGGGCTCAAAGTGACTATTGTCAACGAGTTGAGAGACCAAGTCGAAATTTTCCAGACACTTGAATACTCTCGTTTCCTTGCGACCTTGATCCCAGTCTTTGTCGACATACTTCAGAACGGCAATCCCGTCTTTCAAAGCAACGTACCAGAACAAGTAAGAAAGATATCATTCCTTGACATGTTTATAATACATACAATAGAAACTTCGAAACACTATTCTAGAAATCATTTATAGATTGCCACAGACAGAGACTCTGAAAGAATATGCGCCCGATTTATGTCGAATGCTTATGCACCTATTAAAAGTCGAAAATGAAGACAATGCAGTTGTGTGCGTAAAGATCATTATTGATCTTCATCGAGCATTCAGAACTGTATTGGAGGATCAAGTTCAACCTTTTCTTGACATTGTACAAGAAATATTCAAAAATATGGAACAGACAGTAAAGGATGTATTTGATGCTCCAAGTACACCTATTGGATCAGCCACTGTAAGTAACAGAAAAAATCATAACAAGTACCTCATAGTATCTCTAGCCTGGTATCAATCCATTATTAGCAACCTCGCCGCGACCTAATTCACCAGCAGCTGCAGAATTACCAGAATCGCCATCAAAGCCTTTATCAAAAAGCATGTTCAGTTTCAAAGTCTTGACAGAATGTCCCATTATAGTTGTATTACTCTTCCAAACACATCGCCGCTATGCTACTGAAAATATCATGAAATTTGTCCCTCTAATATTCCAGGTACAATATGCATATAACGAATAAACAGAAGCTGATGCTTGTGATAGACACTAGGCCTTCAGGCAAGACCTCAAGCTGAAGCTGCTCATGCTGCGCAGGCTCGTGGCGAAGTATTTGTTGGTGTCAGTCCTGAAATCAGAAACCGAACTGTATATAATGACTTTATTGTCGCCCAAGTAAAGACAATGTCGTTTCTCGCTTACATCTTAAGAAGCTATACAACATTTTTACGACCATTTCAAAACCAAATACCAGATTTTGTGCTGAGACTATTGCGAGAATGCCCACCTGAATCTTCGGCTACTAGAAAAGAATTACTTGTTGCCACAAGACACATTTTATCAACAGACTTTAGATCTTCTTTTGTGCCCAAAATTGACTTGTTACTGAATGAGAAAGTACTTATTGGTACTGGAGTTACATCGCATGATACATTAAGGTATACAAAGTTAGGATAGCACTATGATTAACTCTATGTCTATATAGACCTTTGGCTTATAGTATGCTTGCTGATCTTGTTCATCATATTCGATCAGAACTTTCGCCTCAACAACTCTATAGAACCGTATATATCTATTCACGCAATCTTCATGATGCTACTTTAGCACCTAGCATTCAAACCATGTGTGGAAAACTCTTGCTTAACTTGATTGACTGTATTATAAAGATTCCCAACAAAAAAGACGGCAGAAACCTGTTAATGCGCATATTAGATGCATTTGCTTCTAAATTTGCTGCCCTCAATATTCAATTCAAGACATGTTCAAAGCAATACCTTAAAAAGAATGCTAATAACGCAGAAACAAAAGACGCAGCAGGCGATTCAGAAATGGAGCAAGCAGAGAGTGATGATTTTGATTTTGAAAAAGCTCGATCAATACAAACCGTTTTATTTTCGCTTGATCCACAACAAGATGGCATTAAAGATGGTCGTTTCTTATTCAAGAATCTTGCCATTGGTTTAAAACCTTTGTTTATTGGCTTGCGCCATTGTAATCCACCACCATCTACAACAGACACAAATCCTCAACTTTATGCTCAATTTGCAAGAGGGTTTTCTCAAGAAGACTTACGGATATTTTCTCGACTCTTCAGAGAAGGCCTTCGATGCTTTGAATATTACAACATTGATAACTATGGTCCTAACGGTTCCTTACCTCATGAAAATGTTAAAGAAGAAGACATTGGAGAAAACTCGATTGGATGTAACGAACTATCTCTCAAAGTAGGTGCACAAGTGGGTGTTGAGAAAGAGATTTTGGACATGTTCGCCGTTGTCTTTACAATTTTGGATCCTGCCGTCTTTCAAGAAATCTTTGTGTCTCAAATGAACTTTTTCTTTGAATGCATGCTTGTCAATACTTCACTTGCACATATTGCTCAGTATCTCTTAGTCAATGATGTATCATCTCAAGGTTTTGCTGGTGTTTTGTTTCAATTTTTGATTGACCGTATTGATCAATTGGGTCAAAGCAATATGCACTATTCAGCAGTGATGCTTCATTTATTTCGCTTAGCATTTATGGCTGTCAACTTGTTTCCAGATGCTAATGAATCCATCTTACAACCTTACCTGGGCAACCTTGTTACATCTTGTTTCAAACTTTCCTCAAAAGCAGAAGAACCAGCCAATTACTTTTTGCTCTTGCGTGCACTTTTCAAGAGTATAGGTGGTGGTCGATTTGAATTGCTCTATAAAGAAGTGACGCCTCTTTTACAAGTCTTGTTGGAAAATCTAAACTCGCTTTTGATTCTAGCACATCGTACCGAGATGCGAAATTTGTTTGTGGAGCTATGTCTAGCTGTACCTGTTCGTTTGAGCACATTACTGCCCTATCTGCCTTATCTAATGAGGCCATTGGTGATTGCTCTTCAAGGAGAACAGGAATTAGTATCACAAGGTCTTCGCACCTTAGAGCTCTGTAACGACAATCTGAATCCTGAATTTTTGGACCAAATCATGTCTCCTGTGATGGATGAACTTATGAATGCATTATGGAACCATCTTCGTCCTTTGCCCTATAGTCAACAATATTCTCATGTCGCTTTGAGAATCCTGGGTAAATTGGGTGGTAGAAATCGACGCATGGTTGGAAATGCTCCTCATCTCGACTTCAAAAAAGAAGTTGAAAGTAGTGTGTCTGTTGAGATTTTGTTCGATCCTCATTCGACGCCTCACGTATTGCCCTTGGATGAATGTCTTGATATTGCGTGTCAAACCTTGGAAAAGCGTACGGCTGACTTATTTTATCAGAAACATGCTTATAAGTTTCTGAAGGCAAACATTATCATGATGTTAGAACTAGATGAAGGCCCTGAAGACTTGGCACAATCATTGTATCAACGTGTAAAGGAACATCTCTTACAATCTTCTGATACAGCCAGTAATACCAAGGAAACAAATGATGAGAATAAAACATCTTCAGGAGCGACAGATATGGATGTTGATCCTAAACAACCGACTGAAGAAACAGAAAGTACCATTGTTGGTGATACACTCAATGAATCTGGCTTGAAGCCAAAGCGATTTGCAGGCAATGGCTATACAAAATATCTCTCTAAGCGTATTGCTCAAGAAAAGGCTCTCAAAACCATCCTTGTTGCTATCATCAAAGCCTCTACCATGCATGAACTCTCTGAGGATGCTTGGCCATTATATGAAAATATTTGTCGACATTTCATGTTGTTGCACATAGGTGAGGCCATTGATGCTAAAGAAACTGGAAACAAGCCATTGTCAGATATGATGGATGAACGATTGTCTGTACAAAATTTAAATACAACGATTCTTGTGGACGCCATTGTTGAAGTGATCTGTTCTGAAGATGTCAAGCTCAGAAGACGTGCTGAAGAATCTTTACAACTTTGTTTTGATACTGCTGCTAGTGTACTGGGTAGCAAAGATTATGTTTGGCAATTACCCATCTTCCGTGTCTTTGCTTCTCAATTTGGCTCGTGCTGTTACAAGCAGGAATGGTTTAATAAGCGAGGTGGTTGTCTAGGTATCTCCATTATTAGTTCTCAACTTGATATGGGCACCAAATGGATGCGTGAGCATGAACTTGACTTTATCCGCTCATTGCTGTTTGTCTTAAAAGATGCATCACCAGAGATGGCTAATATCAACACAACAGAAGCTACTCAGACACTCTCCCATGTTCTCAAAGTATGCAATCGACTAGAAGACGAGGAATCACCCGAGGTTCAAAAGAAATTCCAAAACTTGATTGCTTTACTGCTAAGCGAGCTCTCCAATTCAAACAGTATTGTACGCGAAACCATTCAATCTTCGTTCCAACTTTTGGCAGACCTGACAGGCAATGAAGTTACTGAACTTTTGGCCCCTGTTAGAGAACGATTAGTAGCGCCTATCTTTGCCAAACCTCTTCGTGCACTTCCTTTTGCCATGCAGATTGGCCATATTGATGCTATCACCTATTGTCTTACTCTGAGACCACCTTTCTTGGAGTTTAATGACGAGTTGATTCGTTTGCTTCATGAAGCTTTAGCTCTTGCTGATGCCGAGGACCAAGCCTTAGTAAGTCGAAGTTCTCAGTACAAGAATGCTACTTCGCTCATGAATCTTCGTATTGTGTGCATCCGACTTTTGTCAGCTGCTATGGCATGTTCAGATTTTTCAAATCAACGCCAAACGCATACACGTGCTCGTATCATTCAAGTCTTCTTCAAATCATTGTATTCTAAAGCACCAGAAGTTGTAGAGGCAGCCCACCGTGGCCTTAAGCAAGTGTTGGCTCAACAGCACAAGTTGCCCAAAGAACTTTTGCAACAAGGCTTGCGTCCTATTTTGACTACTCTTTCTAATCACAAGACACTTAGTATAGCTGGTCTTGAAGGGCTTGCTCGTTTGTTAGAGTTATTGACCAATTATTTCAAGGTGGAAATTGGTAAAAAGCTTTTAGACCATTTAAAGCAATGGGCTGATCCTAAAGCTCTTCAAGAGGCTGCAAGCAAGAATCTCAGTGAAAACCATGAAGTGAAGATCATTGTAGCTATCTTGAATATCTTCCATTTGTTGCCTGCTGCTGCTCATATTTTCTTGGATGATCTTGTTTCTGTTGTGCTGGACATGGAAGCTTATTTGCGACGCTCCATCTCAAGTCCTTTCCGTCCTAATCTGATCAAGTATTTAAACAGATATCCTACCGAGACAATCAATTATTTCTATGAAAAACTCGATCAACACAACCACATGCGTTTGTTTATCGATGTCCTTGCGACTGAAAATGCAACACAGATTCGTAGTGAAATTATGAAAGCTCCCAAGGATTTGATTGACAAGACACTAAATGTAGCTGGTAATGATAACATACACTATCAAGGTGTATTGGTTATACGCGAAATAGTTCGATATGATTCTGATTGGCTAACCTCGCATCCTGAACTACTTGAAAGCTTATTAACACTCTGGCATACTCCTAATCGTTTTGAGATCATGAAGAAGGATGACGAACAAGGCTACCAAATGACTCGTGAATCTCTCTATATTTCACAGATATTCATTTCTTATCTTCGTACCAATCCTGACAATGTTGATCTAGTATTTGAAGTGGCTACTTTATTTGCTCAAGAATCTGTAATGGACTTGTCATATCTCCGTGAATTCTTCCTTGTCAATGTTGCACTTGGCTACTCAGCAAAAGCAAAGCGACTTGTATTGGAAAAGTTTCTTCAGCAATTCAATGATGTCTCCACTTCAGCTTACCTGCGTATGATGATTCTTCGACATGTCATCAATCCTGCTCTCTTGGTTTCGATCTCTCTCAAACATGATAGCTGTGCAGAAATTCTCGACTCTAAAATGATTGAGCAACTGAACTCCAAGATATGGGCACACCTTACTTCGGACTCTTCTGATGAAGATCAATATGCCGAAGATTCACTTCGAATTGAACTGCTTCAATTAACGGCTATGATTGTACAATATGCTCCTCAATTGTTAACTGATTTAAGAAAAGAAATCATCAAATTTGGCTGGCATTACTTGCGTCTTGAAGATGCAACATGCAAACAAGCTGCCTATGTTCTGATTGCTCGGTTTATTACTGCGTTTGAAACACCTAGCAAGATTGTCATTCAAATTTATGCTGCCCTGCTGCGTGCACATCTGTCTGAAGCACGCTCTTTGGTCAAACAAGGCTTGGATATTCTTGCTCCTGTACTTCCTAAGCGTGTGCCTTTGGTAGGTAACGAGAAAGTACCCACCTGGGTTCGTTTGACTCGCAAAGTGATTGTTGAAGATACGCATAGCATATCACAAATGGTCAATGTCTATCAATTACTTGTTCGTCAACCTGATTTGTTTTATGATTATCGCGAGCATTTTTTGCCACAAATTGTGAATGCTTTGCCCAAACTTGGTTTGCTTCAAAATGCTACTCCTGAAAATAAGTTACTTACGGTTGAACTGAGCGAACTGCTCCTAAAATGGGAACAGACTCGCTTGCAAAATCAACCTAAGACTGAAGCTCCTACTTCTCCTCTAGGCAAGAGATCAGCCGAAGCTCTGTCAGAATCTCCTGCAAAGAAATCAAAGTCTGAAGGCGCTGATGGGGAAGTAAAGAGTAATGCTTCATCTTCAACGACTGTACATGATGGCAAAGAGTATATTCCTTCTTTTACTTTACGAGAAAACACGATTGGCTATCTTGTCCGCCTTGCTTGCACCGTCTATAATCCATCCGATATGATACAGAGAAAACTAGTCCAACGTGTGTTGGAACTTATCAAGCGTTTCTTGGATCCTGCTGTATGGCCTGATGTTCATGTCAAGTTTGCTCATTTGGAACGCACTTTGAGTATCAAGGAGATGAGTGAAATCTTGATTTCCAGTGTCTGTAGTGCATTGGAAATCTTAACAATTGATATTGCCCATAAGCCTGTTGACTGGTTCGTTGTCAATATGAATCAGTTATTCCGTTTGCTGGAAAACAGCATCAAGTCAGACAATGTCCGTATCCATACTGCACTTCAACCAGTTCTCTCTTACATCTTTGGGTCTATCAATCAGATCACTAATGCTGAAAACAGGGAGGAACCTCAACATCCTGATGTTGCTGCTTTTGTGTCTTTGGTTGATTCAACCATTACCGATGGTATGGCTAGCATGAACAATATCTATGTTGTTTTGAAATTGCTTCAGTCAGCAAGTACCAATCGTAGTGAACAGCTTGATCCATTTGTAGCTGGTATTGTTAAGCTTCTTCAAAAACTTACCAAAGAACACATCCTTTCGGCTCATACAACGTCTGCTGCTGGCTATGACTCCCATGTAAACCTTTTGGTTTTGGGTCTCAATCTTTTGAAAAAGAGAATATCTTATCTTGGTGATCAACGACGTTGGTTCTTAAGCTGCTTGATCCAGTTGATCGAGAAATCTCCTGAAGCACAATTACTGCATGCCATTTTAGATATGGTCTCTGAATGGACACTTGATAAGAAAGAAGCTTTTCCAACTGCAAAAGAAAAGGCTGGCCTTTTAGTCAAGATGATGACCTTCAAAGCTCGCAACAACAAAAGACTTACTGAGGACTTTCTGAATTTAGTTATCAAGATTTATAGCAATCCTTCTTTTGCTCGATCTGAATTGACCGTGCGTCTGGAGCAAGCCTTTTTGATGGGCACGCGTGATGAAAATCCCAACATTCGTAGCCAATTCATGCGTATCTTTGACAGAAGCACTAGCCGTAATCTTTATGCTCGCCTTAACTATATCTTGGGCGTCCAAAACTGGGAACCGTTGTCCAACACTTTTTGGATTCATCAAGCTTTAGATATGTTGTTTGGTGCTGTTAAAGTGAATCCACAAATATCAAGTCCTCAGACTCTCAAAATCAAATCAATCAAGACTATTGCAAGTCAAGCCGAAGTGACAGAAACAGATATTCCAGACAAGCTCAATGAAATTGTTCAACAACACCAACTCTTTTTAAAGAATTTGCAAAGTTCTGATATCAACACTACTGTCACAAGCACACGTTATCTTCAATATTTGAATGCTGAAACAGCCTTCAAGTTATGGGTCGACCTTTTCTCTATGTGCTGGAATAGCTTGTCGAATACCGAACAGCATGATATGTCAAAAGTGCTTATCAATTTACTTGCTAAGGAGCATCACAACAAACAGGTTGATTTGCGTCCCAATGTTATCCAAGCTTTATTGACTGGTATTGCTCGAACTGGTTGTGATATAAAGCTTCCTCCACATCTGATTAAATGCTTGGGTAAGACACACAACGCTTGGCATACAGCTGTTGAGATCTTGCAGCGATCATCCACGACAAGACGACTTACAGAATCATCCAAGCATGATATTAACAACCATGAGCGTACATTAGATGCCTTGGCAGAATTATATTCTAATCTCCAAGAAGATGACATGTTTTATGGTCTATGGAGACGTCGTAGTACCTATGTCGAAACCAATGTCGCTATCTCGTTTGAGCAATGTGGTATGTGGGCTCAAGCCCAAACCATGTATGAAAATGCTCAGATCAAGGCTCGTAGTGGTGTTTTGCCATTTGCTGAATCTGAATATATGCTTTGGGAAGACCATTGGTTGTCTTGTACTCAAAAGCTTCAACAATGGGACATTCTTTCTGACTTGGCAAAGCATGATGGTAACAGCAAACTGCTTCTGACATCTGCTTGGAGATTATCTGACTGGGCTTCAGAACGTGAGTCTTTAGAACAAACCTTGGCCTCTATTTCAGACCCACCAACACCACGACTCAAGGCAATGGAAGGGTTTTTGGCACTGATTAAATCTCAAACAATGGACGATAGACTTGCTGAATTCACTCGTGTTTGCGAAGAAGGCGTTCAACTATCGCTTAAGGAATGGTATACACTGCCTCATATTGTCTCTCAAAGCCATGTACACTTGCTACAAGTTTTTCAACACTATCTGGAGTTGCATGAAGCAAACCAAATCTTTATGAGTTTAGCTGGTACGACTGCACAAACACTTGAACAACAGTCCAATAGTTTGCGTAGTATTTTGGGTACCTGGCGTGAACGTTTGCCAAACATGTGGGATGATATCAATGTATGGAGTGACATCGTTTCATGGCGCCAACATGTCTTCAATGCAATCAATAGAGCTTACTTGCCTTTGTTACCTATGCTTCCCAATCAAATGAATTCTCAAGCTGGAAATTCCTTTGGCTACCGTGGTTATCATGAAACAGCTTGGATCATTAATCAATTTGGTCATGTGGCTAGAAAACACCATCTCCCTGACGTTTGCGTCAATCAATTGACCAAGATATATACTTTGCCCAATATTGAGATCCAAGATGCATTCCTTAAGCTTCGTGAACAAGCCAAATGTTACTATGAAAACCCCGCTGAAATTACTGCTGGTCTAGATGTCATTACCAATACAAATCTTGCTTATTTCACCATGCAACAGAAAGCCGAGTTCTATACTCTCAAAGGTCAATTCCTCGCCAAGTTGAATCACCACAATGAAGCTAATGAAGCCTTTGTCAACGCAGTACAGATCGATCTGTCTCTTCCAAGAGCTTGGGCTGAATGGGGTAGATATAATGATGGTCGTTTTAAGGAAAATCCCAACGATTTGAGCTGGGCTAATAATGCTGTTAGTTGCTATCTTCAAGCAGCAGGTATTTACAAAAATGCGAAGGCTAGAAAATACCTTTTGCGTGTTCTTTGGCTTTTGAGTTTGGATGATACCAATGGCACTATCTCTCGTGCTTTTGAAGGCTATAAAGGTGAATGGCCTGTTTGGTATTGGGTTACTTTTATTCCTCAGCTTCTGGTAGGCTTACAGCAAAGAGAAGGAAAACATGCACGTGCTATTTTGATTCGTATTGCAAAGCAATTCCCTCAGGTACGTAGATAATATTGTTTTGTAATGACATTAATATCACTTTTTAACAAAGGCACTTCACTTTCAACTTCGTACTGCAAAAGAAGATATGCTGAAGAGAGCAAATGCTGCTGCTGCTGCTGCTACTGATGCTGCCAAAAATTCTAGTACTGACTCAAGCAAAGATACTATTGCAGTACCAAAGGAGACAATACCTAATGAAGACCAAAAGAAGGAGTCTTCTAAAGTAGGAGAATCCGATGCTACACAATCAAGTGATGATAGAGCTACGGCCACTGCTAAAAATGGCTCGGAAAAGGATGATATGGATATCGATCACAAGGAAGCGTCTAGCACAGCTAAGATGGAGGATACCAAGGATAGTGACGTGCAGATCAAAGTGGAACAAGCTTCGCAGCAGCAGCAGCAACAAGCATTTGATGATGCCAAGGCCAAGGAAAATGAAAACGCTAATGATAAGCTGCCTTCTTCTACTGCACCAGATGGTAAGACATCAACACCTGGTGCTGGTGGTCCTCATGCGCATCCTTTAGATGAAATCATGGCAATGCTAAAAACAGGATATCCTCTCCTTGCTCTCTCTATGGAAACTATGGTTGATCAGATCCAATTGAAGTTCAAGCCTCAAGCAGATGAAGATATGTATCGCCTAGTAGTTGCATTATACAACGAAGGTGCACAAGTAAGTCAAATGTTTAAAATGATAATATATTTATCTATCTTATGCTAGCAATTACTTTCTCGTCTCATGAATCCAAATGATGATCTTCAACTGACTGGTTCCACTATTCTCAACATTGCTCGTTTTGCTGGGAGTTTATATCCAGGCCATATGAAAACAGCATTTGTGCATGATTTTGCGACTACCAAATTGAACTTGGAAGAATATGTAGTCAAGTTGAGGTTATGGCGTGATAAGTTTGAAGCTACTCTAGATGCAAGACCTCGCAAACAGAAATTAGAAGCTTGTAGCCATTATTTGGCAGAATTCCAGCACCAGAAGTTTGATGATGTCGAAATTCCTGGGCAGTACTTATTACTAAAGGATAATGCAAACGACTTCTTGCGCATTGATCGATTCTTGTCTGAGATCGAAGTCGTCCGTAGTTATGGCAATTGCTTCCGTCGACTTACAATTCGGGGCCATGATGGTACGCTTCATCCTTTTGTTATTCAAAATCCTGCTGCTCGGCAATTCCGCCGAGAAGAAAGATTGATGCAACTGTTCCGTATCTTGAATGATGTACTAGAGCACAAGAAAGAAAGTCGTATACGTGGTCTTAAATTCCATCTTCCTGCTATTGTACCCTTAGCACCTAATGTTCGTATGGTCGAAGATGATCCATCCTACTGTACTTTGTATGATATTTATGAAGATCACTGCGATGGTATCAATATTCATAAGGACGACCCGCTTAATTTTTTTGTGGAGAAGCTGAAGAGTGGCATTAGTAAAGACACTGATGTAAGTATTTTGTATTAAAAATAGCTTGTTAACCTTTTTTAGACGACCAATTTGAAGGCTGAACTACTGAATCTTCGCATGGAAATCAATGAAGAAATTACAAAGAAATATGTCCCTTCAAACATATTGAGCAAGGTATGTCTTCTCTATATAACAAAAGGATATTGGATTAAATCAATGAGATATAGTACATGCTTCGTACACTTGGTTCTTATACTGATTACTGGGCACATCGCAAGCAATTTATATCGCAATATGCCACTGCTACGTTCATATCGTATTTGCTCAGTGTTGGTCATCGTACACCTCATAGAATCACTGTTTCACGCAGTAGAGGTAATATCTGGATGACAGAATTACTACCAGGTAAGACGACATATGCTAAACATGAAAAATCCTTACTGTCGACTAGGATGGAACCAAGTAGGCTCTGCCGACCCATTACTTGGTAATGGTGAATCAGTACCTTTTAGATTCACTCCCAATATTCAAGACTACATCACCCCCGTTGGTATTGAAGGCTTATTTACTACTTGTTTGATGGCTACTGCTCGCTCTCTTACTGAACCAGAATTAGAATTGGGTCAATATCTTAGTCTTTTCGTCAGAGATGAAATGATTGCATGGTACATGACTAATCATTTACCAACTGTTGATACTCAACTTCATGATCGTGTACAAGCAAACGTATCTCAAATAATGGCAAAAGCACAGTTCTTGGCTTGTAAAATGGAAAATGAAAAGGTAGATCATATATAACCGCAATTCAAGGTACTGACCAATAAATAGGTTGTAAATATAGATAAACCCGTAAATCAAAATATTATTGATTTGATCTCTCAAGCAAGTAACCCACAAAAAATGGCACAAATGGAATGTACATGGATGCCTTGGTTATAAAGAAAGTGCTGTGTAAAAAAACACCTTCATTTAAAATACAAAGATGCAATGTTTATTCAAGTTTTATGTACATGCGTTCAAATAAATATATAACAATCATGTTTACCATTCTTTACGAACGAATTTACGATCATACTTCTGGTTGTAAGCAGCCAACTTTACTTGGTCACCTTGATTGACTTGCTGCCAAGGAGTTTCGTTCTTTTTGTGGTCCCAAACAACATCAGGAGCACGAGCTTGATGTAAACCCATGTATGCAGCAGCACTGAAAGCGACACCTAGGACACCGACAAGAGGATAGATTTCTGGTTCGACAAAACCTTTCTTCAAGAATTGAAAAAATTGACCCATTTTAAAATAACAATAGTAGTAAGAAACTATAAAGTGAAGAAGCCTGTTTGCCATTGAGGCTTATATATCCAAAAAAAATCACATACACCTCTATGACATAAGAACTACATATAAAAACGATCTTCTTCTAATCATTGGATAAACTTAATTGTTGTTTCATAATTCACATGAAATCCATCATGATAGGTGGTAATTTTGCATGATTGTTGAATTATGCTTTAAACTCATCATCGATTTTTTTCGATTTTCTGATATTGTTGACAGTTTTGATTTTATAGTCATCAACGATTTGATTAACCCGGGATTTCGATTATACTAGGCTGTCTATAGAAGATACGTACTAAAAAAACCTTTTTTTTTTTTTGTAGTATAAACAATTGTTTAATATAAATAGCTTGTCATACAAAGCTGCATTACATGTCTAAGTATTAATCAAGTAATTCCACTGACATTTACAGAATCAGTCAATTATAACATAAAATCATTGCTCATCCCTGAGAATATGAGAGTTAAACAAACCTGGTCCTTTTATTACGTTCGTTCTGGTGTTTACAGTGAATGCAGTATCGAACTGCGGGTTCAGAGTGCGGCTTTTTCAATACTCGATTTGCGGATTTCTCGAAAATCAATTTTTTTTCTTGAACCTAACAGGCACTACAACCGATCACTATTTAAATTTCAATTATTACAAGGGGAAAGCGTCTGTTGATGAAGTGATTGGTGTCGTCCTGATGGCTACCAATGCATTCACACGGACTACAAATGTAATGATCAATCGCATTTCCAGCAATAAGTGCTGTGAGTATTAACTTGGTCATTAAATCTGTGCCGGGTCGATGATTGCAAGGAATAACAAATTGTAAAAGAGCTTGATTTAGAATGAGAAAAAGAAAAACGAGCTAGTAAACAGTTATCAACCAGCGGAATGCCTATGAAATTAACACCAGACATTTTGATTACAATATTTCCCGAAAATATTTTTGGCACAGGCGATTTGGCAAAAAGTGTGCCAAACTTAGAGGTTCTTTCTGAGACAAGTTTCAAACTTTGAAGCAAAAGTCTTTCAACTTGTTAAAGCGAATATCTTTGCAAGCATTTGATATTCTACTGTTGAGTGCCTCATTGTCTAAAAGACGCTCTCTTTTCAACTTGCTCTTGACTACTGACTAAAATTGTTCGATTGGATTCAGCTCAGGAGAATAAAGTGGAAGATAAACACGACTCTCAATATACTTTTGGATTTCATCCACTGTATGAATTGGAATATTGTCCATTGCAATATAATGACCTTTAAATTCTTCATACTTATTCAAAATGTTAAAAGTGCAGGCAATAAAATTGAAATAATAACCAGTAACTGTACCCACCGTCTTTTTGTACTTAGAGCCGTTTGCTTTTCTTTTCTTTGACCAGGCCTTCGTTCTTTTCAAGTTGATATAAAATGCTGATTCGTCAACGAAAACACAATTACCCTCGAAGCCTAGATCAGTTTCACCCATCTCTGGACCCATTCGAAACGCTTGAAAATGTTTGCGGGGTGAGTTTCTTTCCTTTGAATGAAATGAGCTTTTTAAAAGAAAAAGCACACTTCTCAGTCATGAATCTATGGATTGAAGTCTTAGAGACTTTCAAATCTTTGAATCTATTTGTCAGACTCTCCATAGCTCGGTCTAAGGTTGCTGAAGGGAAGTCTATGAGCTCTTTTTCTAAGAATCGCTAATGCTCTTTGTTGAAATTAATTGGTCGACCTGGTTTAGATTTGATTTGTCTAGAAAAGTCCTCTTTTGCATATCTCTGCCCCTTCTGATCTTTCTCACATCAGCTGTAAGCAGTACGACGAGCGATATTAAACTGCGTGGCTGCTTTATCAGATGTCAGGCCTTTTTCATAAATTAAGTAAAAGAAGCGCTCCTTAGTATCGTTACCGTGCTTAACATACGATCCTTCTCCAGAAGTTTCTGCTGCTTGAATCTTTTTTGGTACCTCTGGCTTTAATGCTTCGCGCTCAGGAGGCTTTATACCCAAATATTGATCGAAGTTGGTGATGTTGTCCAAAGGATATTGTTCTTCACCAACCTCCATTTCAATAGACTCGTCAACAACATTGCCTCTTCCATTTTTATAGTATAGCTGAATATTCATTTCAATTTATTTTTTTGTAAAATGTGCCAAAACTTGAAGTTGAAACGTGCCAATCGAAAGGTTATCGTAATAGAGACGAAAGATGGGGTACTAGCTCTCTGAGTCATGCTTTTTTGTTTGTAGCTTGAAATTCTAATAATATATTTCTTCATAATATTCTAGCCGTGATCCAATTTTTTCTGAATATTGAAATATATGTGTTTGTATGTATATATATATATATATATATATTTGGGAGGGTTATATATCGACCAGTTTGCATATTGTTTAACACTTTGTATGTCGTGTGAAGATAATGTTGTTATGATACTGATTGTTACACATATTAAATTACAGTTCCTGACTCTTGTTGTTGTTGTTTGTGTAGGTCTGGATATTGTTTGTTGAGGGAAAGAAGCTTCTATAGTCTATCCCTCTCGCTTGAAAATGCCCCTTATGGTGATATTGTCTTGAAAACCCTCTTTGGTTTCCTCTGAAGGGTCCTCTGCTAAATATTGAGTGATTATATACATTGTTGTAGTTCTGGCTAGACGTAGAACTTGTAATGATTCTCTGTTGGGATATGGCATGGTGTATATGCAATTGCGCCTTGTATTCCCTTTCTAAATGTTGTGTTTCGATTTTCGGAGTTGATTTTTAATCTTGCATGATGTATTTATTTGCGGATGGTCGTTCGTATTTTGAGTACCTTTTTTATACATCTAACAATGAATATTAAAAGCATTAGCCCCGAGCACTTGGAAATGTTGAAGAAAGAATGTCAACATTCTAAAGAAACAAAAAAAATTAAAAAAGAAGAGGATGACAAACCTAAAAATCCTAACACTAAATCCCAAACTAGTGATAGGAACACCAAACGTCAACACAGATCTTACAAAGAAGAGCAAATAAAAGAACTCAAGGATATTGTAGCTCTTAAACAATTTTCAACAACACAAGCCGGCTTTATAGTAGGTATAAACGAAAGGACTGCTCGCTACTATATGAAGGAGTACAAAAATGACGAAGCAAAAGGCCTTCCAGGCCGAAAAAGCAAGAATATAAAAACAGGAAAGCTTGAACAGCTTCACAAGGAGTTCCTCGATAGCTTTTTTGCTAATAATTCTGAAGCAATGGCCTGGCAAGCAAGAGATGCATTACTTGAAAGTTTCCCTGAAATTGGATCGATTAGTCTCTTAAGTCTTTACGAATACCTTGATGAGTCTCCTTCGACTTTTAGAAATTTGAAATCTGTAGTAGTACCAAGAAAAACTCAAATTACTTTGGAGAGCGAACCCAAACCCAACATAGATTGGAATCAAAGCTGTGTCTTCATCAGTAAAGCAGGTTTCCAATTACACACTGGCCAATCCAAGAAGGGCATGTCTGTCAAGTCTAAAGCGACCGTTTTTAAGGCAACTTGTGAAAATGGTGTTATTGAACCCACGCCTTGTGGAACAAAAAAGCCCGAGAAAAAGGCAGATGCTCGAATGCGTGCAAATGGTAGCAATTTCTTCGATTTCTTGAGTAGTCTGTTGGACACCTTGGATCGTTCTGGGCTGTGTGGCCGTTATCTTGTTATGAATATGGCTGCTATTCACAAGACCAAAAAAGTTCGAGACTTGATAACATTGAGAGGCTATAAGTTTCTATACCTTCCTGCTGGCTCACCATCCATGAACCCCATGAAGTCTTTCTGGTCCCAGATTAAAGAAAGTGTCAAAGGAGAATGTTTTAGTGATTATGACAACCTTCTCCTCAAAATCGCTGATGCAGCAAAAGAAGTGACTGAAGAAGATATGAAAGACTGGATAAGCTATTCCAAATCATTTTATAATCAATACCGGGTCCTTGAGCAAAAGATAAAGCTTATCTGAAAAAAAAAACAATAAATGAATAAACAAATCCCCAAATTTGAAGGCAAAATCCATATTGCATCTTTTACTACTTTGAAACTTCATTCTTTCGCATATTTTTTTATTTCACACTTCTATTTTTGACTTGTACACTTCAATGCATTATACCTGTTGGAATAGTTCGGTTAGTGCAATTTATTGTAAATCAGATTATTTCAGATCTCAAATTTAAATTGGCAATTATCATTTCAATAAACGAGGATGTAAACCGCTCAAATAATCATTCAAGTAGTTTACTTTACCTGTATCTTTCATGTTAGCTTACAACCAATTTCTATATTTGAGTCCTTGGATTTTGACTTGGAGATGATAAATTGATTGATCTTCCATTAGGTTCTTTATTCAAAATCAATATAGCTGGACGATTTCGAATCTGATATTAAATCCATGCAATTATTCCTTGTCCTAAATTTTATTATTATTCTTGTATCGTGCACTAAAAGTATTGTAACTATTTCATACTTTATTCTTCTATACATATTTTTCTACTCATGTTTGAACTCCTTATTATCCAACTCTAAATTCTGACAGCTATTTGTGTCACAGAATGCTTATTCTTTTACTTTGAATCCTAATTATTGTATTACTCTATATCACATTAGACTTTAGCACATATTGCTCATTTTACTTGTTAGTCAGCAAACGCTTGGCATATTGTATCACTTTTACAATGGCTTATAAATTATTATACTTGGATTGTTATAATTGCACTTTTGCAAGTCCAACATGAATACTTTAGAATAGGTATAGATACTAGAGCAATTCAACTTAAATAAAGACATCCAGATTTAGATTCATAATCCATAATTTTACTTTAGACTAACAACCGTGCCTTACTTGTATTGTCTTTTACTTTAAACTAAACTATTCCATATCATTTGTCTAATTGGGTACCTTGATCTTGCATTATATTTGATCTTTGTACGTTATATTATATTATATTATATCTTTGTATCTTCTTTTACTTATAGTCGAACGACTTAAACCTGGTGCTCATTACATATAGCTTGCTGCCTATTGTTCTGCTATATTTATTGTTCTATATCTCTACGAGTTACTGCGACATCAACCTTTGCCCTGCAGCACAAGCTTTGCTACATATACCACAAAGTTAAAAAAGCAAAAATCATGTAGTAGCATCAGTCCGTTTCGATCGGACGACCTCAGGGTTATGAGCCCTGCGCGCTTCCTGCTGCGCCATGATGCTATTGAATAATTTGAGAAGCTATATGTTTTTGTTGTCTAACTCAAAAATATTAAAAAATGCTGACGTAAGCAAATACTCCGATCCGAAATTGTTTGTGTCCGTGCCGCGTCTATACCATGGGTGTACGTAGTAAAGTGGTGAAGCACCCTCTGAGTAATGGTTGTTCTTGTTCTGGGTGTTTTAACAGGTGTTGGTGATGATTCTGGTGCGTTCGTGGTGAACATGTGGATCCAAGGGCCAACAAAAATACTAGCAAGCAGAACAATAAGCCATCTCTCATTTCATACAAGTCATGTATTTTCTCAGCAGTGTTAATTCCCATTATTTTCTTATACTCTTTCTTATGCAAGCAAATCAAGGCCTTTATTATCTTTACCCGTTATCTGTCTGTACCTATCTATGTTCTTATCGTTGTATCTTAGTACATTATACTCTCACTATCTAATTCCGTTGAATTGTATAAAAGCTGAATTAGCAAAACCTAATAAAATTATCGAGCTTTTCTGAAAAGATATTTTTCAAGGAAATTACCTGAGGATCTGGTGCTGTTACATTCGAAGTAGGTTCTTTACAGTCTTTCCTTGGTGCTCGTGTGTAATAAGTGATTAATCGGTTATCTCACTTCTAGAATATCTGCTTAATTCTTCTATAAACTCACATATCATCACTGTCAAATTTTTATTTTATAGTATAAATATTAATGGGCCACGTACCTTTCACATATGAGGCTAATCAAAAGGGAGTATATTGCCTTTCCACTGTGTTTGGCCCATCTATTTAATTAAATAAATCCATGATGTAGTGAAAGTATATAAACGGTTTGACCTTAGCAGTCAATAAACAGTTTCTAGCCTGCGAAATGCTATGCTACCAGTATATTTTTATGTTAAAAGATTTGGACACTATCGTATACACAAGCTAGTTTGAATTAAGATTGTTTATGTTTTTTTTTCTTTTGGTCTGTTTTTGTTAACGCGGCAATGAAGCGTCATCACAGTATGCCTAAGATGCTTATCATTGAGACTATGAGAGTTCTTTTTACTGAATTCTTCTTTACTTTTGTATATTACTTCATTTTGATATAGAGCAAGATGAGGGGACTTTATGCTCGGAACTGCAATTTTCATTTCTTTTGGTAACTGAAAAGTAAAATTTATCTCGTTTATCTCAGCAATGTCAGTTATGCCACTCACACCTGGTTCACAATCAACGCTCGAAGATACCAATGACGACTTGCTTCACTTGCTTACCGACAACTGGAATAGTCCTCTTAAGGAGACTATCAAAGACGCTCGATGGATCCGAGATTATCTAACGCGTCTCACTTCTCTTTCACTCGATGCACTTTTACATGAACCAGTCGAACTTAAGGAAGAACAGACAAAAGCTATACAGGATGCACAACTGTTAGCTTTTCGCGAGTACCCTTCTTTTCTTCATGCTCAAACTTGTCGTCAACAGGTGGAAGAAACAATTGACGGCCTTGATGTCCATTTAGGCAAGTTCATCTCGTCTGTACCTGAACTAGAAGAAGCTTGTAAAGTATTTGAAGAACACGCAAAAACGATCAAGGAGGAACGCAACAAGATAACAAGCGTACTTGAATACCAAAATGTCTTGACAGATTTGCTTGAAATTCCTCAATTGATGGAAACATGTGTTCGCAATGGATATTATTCAGAAGCGATGAACTTGGCTTCGCATGTTCGATTACTGCAAGTGAGATACCCTCTTCCTGTGATCAAGTCAATACAGGAACAGGTACAGGCGTCTTCCGATTTGATGCTCGTACAATTAATTTCACATTTAAGGAAGCCTATCCGACTAGCAGCAGCTATGAACATGGTTGGGTTTTTGCGACGTATGGATGTATTCGAATCAGAGACAGAGCTACGCATGGTGTTCCTAAGATGTAGACATGATTGCTTACAACAAAGACTGACACGCATTAAAAGAGATATTTCAGAAGATAGTCGACAAAAAAGCGTAGATGCATTTGAATACGTCAAAAAGTTTGTAGATGTGATGCGTGAACAAATGTTTGAAATTGGTACACAATATGTGTCTATCTTCTCAAATGAACAAAGCACTATTTTATCTGATTATATGGTGCATATCACACAGTTAATCAAATCAACATTGGACACTTATTTGCCTATGGTCGAAGATACTTCTTCTTTGGCTTCTTTATTGACTCAGTTGCAATACTGTGGTATGTCTCTGGGCCGGATTGGTCTTGATTTCAGAAACATTTTTGTTGGGTTGTTTGAACGCGCTTTACAGCCTATGCTCATGCGATGGGTTGATGAAGCTACCGAAGAACTCGTCGATCTGATAACGAAAGCAACATTGGACGGAACAGCCCCAAGCGCTTGGATGTCTTCCAAAACGGCTGTTTCTAATCAAAATGATCAAGTACAAAGGCGTGTATTTCAACCTCCCATGTTACTGGTTGGATATCCCTCACTTGCCATCTATACAAACGGCATTTTGTCTACATTTAATGCACTTAGACTACTTCCTGCTATTAGCTTGTTTGATACGATCCAGAATCATTTAGAAGCATGTTTCTTAGACATTGGTGTTGCGCTAAAAAAATACTGCGATTATGCATCGAAACACATACCTGACGAAATTACCTTTCTTCAGTCTTATACAGCAGCTTATGTGCGTTGTGTTCTTCCTTATCTAAAATCGTGTCTTGTAGATGGTATTTATGGAAACCTATCTACTCCTAGTATTGCAGATGAAGATATGGAACGGCTACTTGAACCTTATTTGCCTGTCATGACAAAGGATATCCAAGAAGAAGATACAATTACAAAGCCGGAAAATGAAGAGAAAGAACAAGAAGACATGGTTGATGCAACTAAAGAACCAAACCAAGACGATTCCACAAACAAGGGCACAAACAATGCCATTCAAGATGAAGAAATCAACGAGGAAGAAGCTACAGTGACTGAAGATAAAGAGAAAGAACCAAGCAATCATACTGTTGATAAAGAAATTGACACAGTCTCAGAAACCAACATGGAAAAGGAAGCCAATACAGAAGAGCAAGCAGTGGAGGCTGAAGCAGCTATAGAAAACATTGAAGGAGTGAATGATAATGATTCAATAACGCAATACATCATTAAAAAAGAACCTAATACAGAAAAACAAGCTGTTGAGACTGAAGCAGCTATAGAAGACGGTGAAGAAATAAATAATCATTCAACTATACAAGACAGCAATGAAAAAGTAATTGATAAAGAAGAACAAACGGTTGATAAAGAAGAAGCAAATGATGATTCAATGATACAAGAGACCAAAGAAAGTGAAGAACTAGCCAAGAATGATTCGAATCTAGAAGACACTAATGAAAATGCTGAATTGAACTCAAATAAGGTTGATTCAACTTCAGAAATCAACAGCGAAAAGGAAATTCATGCAGATAAAGACACAAAAGATAGTCAAGATGTCGCCAATGAAGTCTCTTTGGCAGATACCAAACAACAAAGCGACTCTAAAAAACCTTCTAAAAAGCAATCCAAAAAGCACAAGAATAAAAAAGGAAAGCGCTGAGAGCAAATAACAAGTGCTTATCTAATGTTGTATTTTTTTTCTTTTTTCTTTTTTTATTTCTGACTTTCCCCATCCCAACTTGTCAAAATGGAAGCTGTTATCTGGCTACTATTAATAAGCATAGCCATGTTTTTTGGCAGCTATCTCTCAGGTTCTTTACCACTCACCACTAGTTTATCGGAACAGAAAATTCACATATTAAACGCACTTGGAGTTGGTTTGTTGATCAGTACCAGTCTTGTTGTAGTTATTCCAGAAGGTATTGAGACAATATACGATGATAGAGTAACAACAAGCCAAACAAATGTGACCGGGAAACGCGAGCTCAGTCATGAAGGAGAACAAGAAGGGTCTGAACACACTGCTATTGGACTTGCATTGATTACCGGATTTGCTTTAATGCTTTTAATTGATCAACTCAGTTCTCTTCATGTATCAAAACCTTCTGAACAATACTCTGAATTAAGTACAGCGGTAGGAGGAGGGTCTCTTGAGATGGAAGAAGAAGCTACTCCTCATACTCACCAAAAGCCTTCTTTGACACCCACGATTGGATTAATTGTTCATGCAGCAGCAGACGGTATTGCGTTGGGTGCAAGTGCAAATCACCCTGATCTATCTATGGTTGTTTTTCTTGCTATAATGCTTCATAAAGCACCTGCATCATTTGCACTTGCGTCGGTATTATTAGGAGAAGGACTATCGCATAGGATGATCAAGAGAAATTTATTTTTATTTGCTATAGCAGCTCCAATTGGTTCCCTTTTGACTTATTTTACTTTGCATTTCTTTTCTTCAGCATCTTCAACAAGTCTTGCTTACTGGACTGGTGTCTTGCTTGTATTTTCAGGTGGCACATTTTTGTATGTAGCTATGCATTCTCTGCAAGAAATTCAGCATACATCAACCAAATTAGACAAGACACAGCTACTTTTGATTTTATCTGGCATGACAATTCCTGTCCTACTTGGAATAGCACACTCTCATTAACTTTATTTTAAAGACGTTTATAAACCATCTGTTCAATCTTATTCACTTGTTCCTCAATTGTCAAATGGCTTGTGTCCAACACAATGGCGTCTTTTGCTTGAGATAGAGGTGCAACCTTACGTGTACGATCAGCCAAATCACGGGCTTCTAAATCCTTTTCTACTTGCTCCAGAGTCTCCTTCAATCCTTCTCCTTGTCTCTGCTTGAGTTCGTCGAATCTTCTTTGAGCACGGACACGAACATCAGCAACAATAAACACTTTGAGCTCTGCATCAGGTAAAATGACAGTACCAATATCACGGCCATCCATAACAATACCATGGATATGCTTTCCTTCTCTCTCAAACCCTGTTGAACAGGCTCCTGGGATATCTCCTTTAGCCATAGCACGTTGCTGATCAGCAAGGATCTCACGTACTTGCACATTAGATGCAACAGGACTGATGTTGCGAGTAATGTTTGAAGTTCTAATAAGCTCACTGACATCGTGTCCATCAAGCTCAACTTGTCCGAGCAAAGGGAAAGCTATTTTGACACTCTTTGCAATACGAGCTACTTGTTCTTGATCATGGACATCGACGTGTTGTTGTTGGCATTTAAGTGTGACCTAAGCATGTGTGAATGGCATGCATAATGATAGCAACTTACTGCTCGAAACATGGCGCCCGAATCGATATAGCCAAAGCCGAGTTTCTTGGCAAGTAGTTTGGCTGTAGTACCTATGCAATATCAGCAACAGAAATGCACTTGGTTCGGCTTACTTTTGCCTGAAGCACCAGGACCATCAATAGCTATTCTGAATAATCGAGACATAAAGCAACTTATGCTCACTTTAAAGCCCTGCGCTTTCTTTTTTTTTAATGGCTATTTTAAACTCAAATTTATCATGCAAAAAGACGTTTATTTATCATGAGCAAGAAGACAACATCGAGTTTTTACTTTGAACTAGTATGTGCAGATCCTTTACCTGTGTATTTGCCTGTTTTGGCTTGAGCAGATTGAATAGCAGCAGCTTCAGATTGAGTGATAAGTCTACTGCTAAGTACACCAACACCTTGTTTCATCGTATCATCTTTGGAGGACTGACGTGCAAGTCTATCAGCAATACTTTGCATAGCTGCACTAAAGAAATTTTTGCCTGAGCAAATATGACTTGACTAACGTCAGTGTGAGTAAGGGAAGGAGTGTGCTTTTCTAGTTGAGAGACATCTTGAGTAGCCTTATCAGCAACACTTTGAGCTTAGCAGCAAAGGAGCCTTTACCAGTATCTTTGCCTGCTTTTGATTGTCTGGATCCTATGTTGTCAGCTTCTTTGACGAGATGCTTTGACGTTAAGTCAGTAGACATGATTTAGAAAACAATATAGCAGAGAAAAAGAGAGAGAGAGAGAGAAAGAGCTGTATCATCTTAGTATAGGTTTATGCGAAAAAAGCATACTGTGATGTAAAGAAAATACAAGTATTGCATCAGTTTGAACTAGAGATTTACATTACAAAACAGTGTTTTATTCAAAAAAAAAAAAAAAGAGAGGTGTATCTCCTTATTTCATAGACTTTAAACAAGCAGAGACACAAAAGAGTTACTTTTTGGGTTGTGGTTGGCTTTGAGTATTGGTATTGGCATTGCGATCAGCAGCAGATTGAGCGCGAGAAGAGAAAGAACCCTTACCGGTATCTTTTCCAGTTTTTGCTTGGGTGCTTTGGATGCGAGAAGCATCTTGTTTTGATATAGGAGTGTGAGGCATATTGTTGAGTTGATAGGTAAAAACAAGAGAAAGCCCAAGGTTTTTATATACAAAGCAAAATGCTCCCTAGAACTGTATGATTTGCATGAATTTTCACAGGAGCCAGACCTAAACAAGTTTATCAATATCTCTCAAACATGTGATAAAAAGACTTTCAAAGCATTGTTCACAAAAAAGTATATGTGACTAAAAGACTAACATAGTTTTGTCTGTACAAAAAGTGGATTGAATATAAGCAACAATGCATACAAATGCTCAAGACATAGGACCAACTGAAAGAGAAATATTGACTTCACTATGAAGAACAAAAAGATACATTAGTTCAAACAAAAAGAGTCCATGAAGCAACTCAATATATAAACTAAAGCTATTTTAGTTATAAGGTTTATAAGCTTGCATAATCAATAGTTCTGTGAACCCAAACAATGAGTTTTATTTTATGTGATTTCATGTAAAACATAAATTGTGCTGACATAAACACCTATCTTTTTTATGCTTCTACATCGAATATCAAAACTTAAGAGACTTTTCACTACTTTGGCCTCATTATAGACACGATAATCGGATTCAGCAAGTCGGTCCCGGCTACCTATATAATACTTTTCACCTTTGGTTGTACATAACCTCATAAAGAATTGGTCGCTATATCTCCTGTGTTCATCAAGAAAAGAAAATGTGTTAAAAGAAGTGTAAGGCATGTCAACAAAATAGTGATTGTTTGAATCAGGAATATGTTGACCTTCACTGCCACAATTGCTCCAAATATCAATTGTCAAATACTTTAAGACAGGAAGACGAACTGACAGTTGAAACAAAACATGTAGGTCAAATCTAACCAAAAAGAACTTGACTGTCTCGATAGAATGATTAATGCCGGCTTCAGGATTAAGCTTCATTAAGGTAGTATCGTTCAGTGTTAGACTCTTCAGCTTGGGACAAGAAGTAAAGATATCGTCCAAGAAATAACCATAATATAAGTGTCTAAAGTCCATATCTTGACTGATAAAATCAGGTTCATCCAGTTTTGAGCATTCGATTTTCAAGCTGGTAAGCACGTTTGCTGTCTCACGCAAAATATTCAAAAAATTCAATGAGTGATTGCCAATCTTTGATACATAGTTCATTCTTGGCACAGGCTTGAAGCCTAATTTGATGCCTAATGTATCTATGGATGATCCAGTGAATTCTTCTTCAAATAGCACATCTACCACTAGCCGAATTTCATTCGCGTTTGCTTGTAAGCAACGTACAACATCAAGCAAGTTTTGAGCTTGAATATCGTCAATATGCACACTTTCCATCTGCTGTAAATAAGCAGAGAATGCTCTTAAAAATTCAGTGGTATAGAATGGCTTGGGTTCTTGTTCTACACCCAATTGCGAAAACACATAGAAATAGTTAATATTCAGGTGCTTGGCATTGGGGAACTTGTACATAACATAAGGGAGTGCATCTTGTGAGTTTAAAAGCATGTTTAAAGTAAGCTGTTTCACACTCTTCATTGGCTTGAGTTTCTTGACATTGACTTGACTGGTTTCTTGTGAGAATGGTTCTGAAGCAAGATCAATAGGATGTAATGTGATGCTGAGGTCCTCTAGTTGGACGCATTTGTCTAGCATTGAATCAAGTTCAGTCAAAGGACTATTTGTATGGTTTCTTATATCCAGCTTGTTAAGCTGCTTGAATTCATTCAGTTTGTTCATCATCATGCTGAACTGATTGGTGTGGAAATTAGGTGCTGCGTTAGATAAGCTGTCACATATCATGAGTTGTTTAACTGTATCTCGAATGGCTAATACTGTATAGTTGTATGATTCTATCTCTTTATCATCAAAAGGATACTGTAACATATTTAAATACTTCCAGTTGCCTTCATATCGTTCTCGCATAACTCTTGACCAGAAAGCACCACACGTATCTGACAGTTTGATTTCTTCTAGGTTTGGACAATAAATGACCAACTGTGTAAAATAGTCTGATTTGTCCCAGACAATATCATTTGGATCAAATACATCGTTGATATACAGCCGTTTCACCAGTCTTCCAATAAAGGTTGCGTTGGCTATGGTACGTATGAATGTCGCGATCTGGTGAGTGCTGTTGATAACTACTTTGCCATATATTGCTGCTTGAGAAGCTTTTGACCAACTACGACAAGTGAGTTGAGACTGTATTAAGTCTTTATAGTCCAAATAAGTAAGTATAGTAGCAAATACTTCATAAGGCAAAGAAGACATTAGAAATAAAAAAAAGAAATTAAAAACACTACCACAAAAAACTAGTTGAGTTCGTATTTGGCAGTCATCTAGAAACTTCCTTTTTATTTATTTATTTATTAAAAGTCTCTAAGAATCATAATCAAAGTGTCAATTCTTGACTTTGCAACTTCCAATCGTTCTACAATTTTATCCATGTTGGCAATTTCTTTCTTTTCACCTTCACTCAAGAGATCAGGGTTTTCCACCACATCCTTTCTGTTGATCTTATCAATCAATCGCTTACGGATACTCAATTCGTATTCTTTACGTTGTTGCAAGTTACAAATAGCACGATAGGCATCCACAAGCAATTCTTCATAGCATTTATCCAATGGCACATACCACAAGTGGAAACATCGACTGGGTGCACGGTCAGCAGAACGAGGAATTTCTTGAATTTCAGCAAATCCCTTTGTTTTAAGCAAAGCGAGTTTTTCTCGTGTGTCTTTGGGTGGCAGCATGGCAAGTTTTTGGACTTGAGATTCGTCTAATTTGCCTCTTTCAATCAAGATACGCATGATACGACAAGTGGCTACACCATAACGTTCGCGTACAAGACCTTCTACCATCTTTCGTTTCATTGTGTTACGTAGTTTTTCAAAATTGATGGCGTATTGATTAGCACCTCGTTCATCTTTTGACTTGACAAAGCCAGCAGCATCTGTCTTCAGCAGTGTGATATAGCCACGCACTGTTTCTTGTAAACTAGGGCCCTTTTTAGGCTCAAGAGGATCTTTGGGTAAACTGATATCGCCTCTACTCACAATATCTGTCTTGGAAACCATGTTGGCAATGTGAATAGGTGTAGCAGAAGCTATGTATGGTCAGTCCATGCTTGTATCAATAATGTCTACTTACGAGAATCGTTTTCTTTCAACATCTTCATTTTGTCTTTACCGTATTCCAAGAACGCCTTGACAATTTCACCTGCAGTACGATTGATACGCTCAGTAGCAAAATCAACAATGGAGTCATTTCTAAAGACCATATTGAATTTGTCATAATTGACAGCAAAAAAGACCTTTTCGTCCACTTGATCTTGTTCGATGCTATTGTTTTCTTCATCAAAGTTGTCCATAGCAGCTCGTTTACGTTGATATTCTAAGGGATCTAATGCTTTTCTCTTCATACCAATGGTTTCAATGGATCCATATTCAGCATCCACTTGTGCTTTTGCTGCTGATTTGACATTGGCGAGTTCTTTGGATGTCATAATAGTGTATTTTTCTGTTTCTTTTTCTGTGGCAGCCAAGTAACGATCCATGGTTGATCTGCTGTGTTCTGGCATGACAGCTCGAATGTAATGTGTCGATACGAGTGTTGTAAATGTAGATTCATATTTATTGAGTTCTAGTGATGTTCATTAAACAGTCTATCTATCATGACAACTTACTTGCTTTACTTTCGTTTTCTTCAATCCATTTCTTGACACCCACAATAGTCATTCTACCGTTTGTAAACAGTAATTTACAAATAGTACCTGCCTAAATAAATAGTTGGTTTGTCTATTGTACAATAAAAAAAAAATATTACCTCGGGTCCAAATTGATCAATGACTTCTCTAAGAATAGAGCCCATTCTTAAACGCAACATGATTCTTTCAGCGTCAATCGAATAAAATGTAGGTTCATTTTTACCCTCAGGAGATTCTGAGAAATAAGCAATACCATGTTGAATAAGTACAATAAGACTTTCTCGAACTTGTTTAGCAGAAAGTTTTGTAAAACGAGCAATGTCAGATAAAGTCAAACGACCTTTCAAAAGCATTTGACGGCCTACTTGCTTATTTAAAGTCAATACTCTCTTCGTCTTTCACTTTTTTTTTTTACTGTTATTTAAAATGAATTACCGAGACAAATGGACCAAAATCTTCTAATAATATTTCTTTACATAATCGAGACTGAAAAGACATAGTATCTAACTACTTTAAAAAAAAAGAAACCCTAATCATGGACTTTTTTTTTTTTCGAATCCTATCCATCAAGGAGGCTTAGGCTGTGACTGTGCCAATTTGGTGCCTGGATTTGCATAATTTTGTTATTTACATAATGCTTTTTTTTTTATTCTAATAAGGATGCAAGAGTTATTTATCATTAATACCCAATTCAGGAAGTCTTTCAATGGCATATTTGTGGTTGGCAATGTACATAATAGGAATACCAGGAATTTTACGAATACGACGCTTTAAATCACGATCACAAGTAGCTACAATGTAACATTTGTGTTGCATGACTCTGTTGACAAGACAGTCATCTGCATATGTACCCTTATGAGAACAAGGAAGACGCTCAAAACGAGGGTCACGCGCAATTCTAAATCAAGCATGAGTACACAGATACACAAAGAATCAACTTACTTTAATGCAATACGGTATTTAGGACCCAATTTCTCTAATTCTGCTAAAACACAATCTGTGATACAAGGTACAGCTAAATGAAAAAAAAAAATATGAGTATTTGAATAATATGCTTCATTCTACTTACATTTAGCATACAGACAGTCCATCATGGACTTAACAAGTTCAAGCTTGTTTTGAATAGAAAAGTTGATAAAGTTAGTATCGACCAAGACATGATAAGGTGGGCCCAATGCAGAATTGTATTGAAAGAACATGGATGAAGCTACTTGGGGACTATTGAATCAATAAGCAACTATACTCTCTATGCATATACTACTTACACATGGCGAACAGCCTTTTCTTCTTTTTCTGTTTCCTTTTTCTTTTGTTTTTCTCGGTTCTCTTTTCTATTGTGGCATGAGTATTGAAACATGGAGATCAGGTACTTACAATCGAGTGTCATTTGTGCTGATCATGCGCTTCATTTGCGCAAACTTTCTAGTTGTTCTTGCTTTTCCCTGGATTATATCAATATCCTATACATTCTAACCCAACGCAACTTACCATTATGCTACGAAAATACTAAACAAGAGAAAGAAAAAGAGAAAAAAAAAAGATCCCATTTTTTATGATCGGACTGTCAACATGACTGTTATTTTCTTATTCTTCCTTCACCTGCATTTTCTCGCTTTTTTCCCTTCATGTTTTCTTTTACTAATACCAAAGTAGCCAATTATAATAAACCGTCTTTAGCTCATTTCAACACACTTGAAGAAGCAGAAGAATATGCCAAATCACTAGCAAAGACACAGGGATATTGTCTCAGTCGACGTTCTTCACAACTCAACGCAGCCAAAGGTGGGCGGAATATCATGTTAAATTGTGTCCAAGGTGGTCATTATCGAGCCACACGCCAACCTTCCATCAAACCCAAGAAACGCGATAGTCTTAAAGTAGGCTGTAAATATTCCATACGTATCAGTGAACATGAAGATCAATGGTATGTCAGGCCACCCAAAAATGAACACAATCATGAAGCCAAAGGTCTTTTTGATCCGCCTGAAGATACATTCAAGCCAGAGAAGCAAGGCGATTTGTTAGATCAACGACTGTGTTTAGCATTATATCAAATTGAACACCATATCAAGTCATCTAATGATATCAACAGTCTAAAAGAATTAGAGGCTTGGATTGAATATAAATATAAACATGGTGGTCTATATCCTCAATGATAAGTGAATAGCATTGTATCATATCTTTATTAGGGAGAAAAAAATTGTAAATAATAAAGCTGCCATTTAATTTATTTTGAAAACTTTTTTCTTTTTCTTTTCTATACCTATGAGAAGTGCTTTAACCTTCAAGACAATAGCCACTTGTTCTACTACAAAGGCTCGAGTGTCTTTAATGACTTTGCCCCATGGCCCTGTAGATACACCTGTTTTTATGCCAGTAGGCACTCAGGGCACTATGAAGGGTATGTTGCCTGATCAACTAGAAGAACTCAACTGTCAAATTCTGTTAAACAATACATATCACCTTGTATGCATTCATTCTATATATGCAAGCAATTTAATATAAGACATAGGGATTAAAGCCAGGTAAAGAAACACTTGATCTTATTGGTGGTTCACATAAATTTCAAAGTTGGAGAAGAAATATCTTGACAGTAAGTTGAGCTACCCTTATTCAAAAGCTCATCCAGTCTAACTAGGACAGTGGTGGATTCCAGATGGTCAGTTTACTAAAGTTGGCAGAAATCACTGAACATGGTGTTCAATTTGCTTCTCCTCATGATGGTTCTTTGATGATGTTGACACCAGAACACAGTATGGAACTTCAGAACACAATTGGAGCAGACATCATGATGCAATTGGACGATGTTATTTCTTCCTTGACCACAGGACCGCGAGTAGAAGAAGCGATGTGGAGATCCATTCGTTGGCTTGATCGATGTATTAAGGCACACAAAAACCCCGAGACACAAAACTTGTTTGCTATTATTCAAGGTGGCCTAGATGTCGAATTAAGAAAGAAATGTGTAGAGGAAATGGTCAAGCGAGATTTACCTGGATATGCTGTGGGTGGTTTAAGTGGTGGTGAAGAAAAGGATGTCTTTTGGCGAGTGTAAGTTTGGGTTTTCTATCTTGACTGACCTCTTATGATCCAAGTTAGTGTCTCTCTCTGTACTGACTTATTACCCAAAAACAAGCCAATTTATTGTATGGGCGTTGGGTAAAGTAAACACATAAAAGCTATGTTTTATTTACAATCAATAGGTATGCAGAAGATCTTGTTGTTTGTGTAGCATTGGGTGTGGATATGTTTGACTGTGTATTTCCTACTCGAACTGCTGTAAGTAACTTGTTCAATAGGCAAAAAAAAAAAAAAAAAAAAAAAAAGCTTAGCATCCAAATCTAGAGATTCGGTAACGCATTAACCATGAATGGCACAATTACATTGAAATCAGGTAAATATGCCACTGATTTTGGACCTATAGAAGAAGGCTGTGATTGCTCTACCTGTAAAAACTATACTCGATCTTATGTCCATCTAAATGTGACATCTAAGGATACAGTGGGTTGTCATCTTGTGTCTATCCATAACATTGCATTCCAACTTCGACTGATGCGTAGTATGAGACAAGCCATTGAAAAAGACGAATTCCCTGCCTGGATTAAAAACTTTTTCCATGGCTATTTCGGTGATGCATCTAAATATCCTGCATGGTGTGTGAATGCTCTGCAAAGCGTTAATGTGGACTTATCAAAATAAAACGAGCTGCATAAATTTCAGAGACTGCTTTTCGTTGCTACATCGTGGCTTGAGACTTTACTTTTTTAAGCTGTTTTTTTTCTTCTTTTTCTTTTTGTTCCTTAATCAATTTTTTTTTAATAATGGGTAAACGAAACAGAGCTGCTCTTTTGCCTACACACTTGCCTCAACTTCAAAACTTGATTAAGAGAGACAGCAAGTCATATGAAGCCGAGTTTCTTCAACAGTGGCGACACTTTCAATCCACTTTATCTATCTTTTGTTTAAAACCTGACGAAGAGTCCAAAGAACTATGTGAACTTGTTACTTTTATGAGTCAAGTAGCTCAATGCTATCCTGATATCACTAAAGATTTCTCTCAAAGCATCATGGATCTCTTGAAAGAACATTGTATGGTACTTCATCCCGAAGTCAGAAAGAGTTTGGTTCAAGCATTGATTTTGTTGCGTAACAAGGGCATTCTCGATAATACCAGGTAAATAGAAGATATACTTTAGAAAATCACTTACAGATACATCTTAGTCTTTTACCCTTGTTTTTCACTTTGTTCAAATGTAAAGATAAGCATTTGAGAGAAATGCTTTACAGTCATATTGTGAATGATATCAAAAACTCCAATGCCAAGGTAAAGAACAACAAGCTCAACAAAACACTTCAATCGTTTATGTTTACCATGTTGGCCTCTGCTACTGCCGGTAACAGTGAAGAAAATGCGATTGCTGCTAAAAAGAGTGTGGATGTCTGTGTTGATCTTTATCACAAGAATGTTTGGAACGATGCTAAAACCGTCAATGTGATTGCCGAAGCTTGTTTCTCACCTATCACAAAAATTTCAGTCACAGCTGTCAAATTCTTTTTGAACAGTAATGATCATCAAGAAGAAGAAGTAGAAGATGACGATGTATGTATATCTTTACTGATAAAAAAAATAGAAATACTAATGACATCTCATTAGGTTCCAGACCTTAAAAAGATGCAAATGGCCAATTTACATAACAAGAAATCGAGATCTAAAGACCGTAAATTAGAAGCAGCCAAAAAGAAGATTAAGCGAAAATCCAAAGCCAAAGAAAAAGCAGAAACATTCAATTTTTCTGCTCTTCACCTGATCAATGACCCTCAAGGCTTCGCCGAGAAATTGTATTCTAAATTGACTACAAAAGATGATCGCTGGGAAGTACGTCTGATGAAGATGAACTTGGTCTCTCGTGTGATTGGTATTCATCAATTGATTATCTTGGGCTTTTATCCTTTATTGATGAAATACTTGCAGCCTTCACAGCGTGATGTGACCATGGTCTTGGTCTGTGCTGCTCAATCCACACACGCTTTAGTGCCACCCGATGTACTTGAACCTGTCTTGAAAGCCATTGCCAACAACTTTGTCACAGATCGTGTGGCGAATGAAGTCATGGCTGTGGGCATCAACGGTATTCGTGAAATATGTAGTCGTCAACCTTTAGCTATGGATGCTACTTTGTTGCAAGATTTGGCTCAATACAAACAACACCGTGACAAGGGTGTCTTGATGGCTGCTCGCTCCTTGATTGCCTTGTTTCGTGAACTCAATCCTGAAATGTTGGCTCGTAAGGATCGTGGTAAGACTGCCACGATTAAGATGAAGGATGGATCTATCCGTACTGTTCAGTTTGGTGAAGCCGTTAATAATGCTGATGGTCTTCAAGGTCTTGAACTCTTGGAAGAGAACACAGAAGAGAATTGGGATGATTGGGAAGTGGAAGAATCCAGTGAAGAAAGTGACGATGATGACGAAGGAGGTTGGATTAATGTGGCTAGTGATGATGAAGACTATGTCAATGTAAATTTGAGTGACGAAGAAAAGGAAGAAGAGACTGAAGAAGAGAAAAAGAAGCTTCAATACAAAATGGGTTCTGATGGCGAAATCCTCAAGACTCGTCGTATTGGTAAACGTCAACTCAAGAAGATGATGGATGCTGAAGAACAAAATGAAATATCAGAAGAACAACGTCAAAAACTATTGGAAGCTGTGAAGGCACGTCGTGCTGAAGAACAAGCTAAACAAGAAGCCGCTCTTAAATTGGCTACCACACGTATTTTGACACCTGCTGATTTTGCCCGTCTAAATGAGCTCAAGGTCAATAAGGAAATTGAGCAAACTCAGGGCAAGAAGCGTAGTGCTAATGACGATGAAGAAGTGGATGAAATGACAATTTTAGGTCCTCGCAAAAAGACCAAGCAAGATTATGAACAAAGAATGGCTTCTATTCAAGAAGGTCGTGAAGGTCGCGAGAAGTTTGGTTCTAAGAAGGGCAAGAAGGATAGAGGTAGCACAACCAACCGTGAAAAGGCTAGAAATAAGAACTTTATGATGGTGGCTCATAAACAATCTGTCTTGTGGAAATCAAAGCGCAGTTTGTTTGATAAACAAAAATCACTGCGTGCTGCTATTGATAAGCAAAAGCGTCTCAAGCATTAAATAGTCTACTCTCTCATTTTCTTCATTTATACAATAATAAAAATGCAATCATTCTAGAATATTTTTTTTTAAAAAAAAAATACTCTTTGCTTTAAAAAACTGAATGCTCTTTCTGAAGAAGGCTTATTTAGTTTTGTCGATACCAAATCTACTTTTTGATATAGGAAAAGTAGCTTCTAGCAAAGACATCAAATATGCTACAAGCTACCATATATTATCATATACTCAATGCCCTCATTTTCTATAGCAAAGATACATTCAGCTTAAAAAGTGCAATGCCATTTGCTTGATTGAATGAAACCAATGCCATGCTCGTTTGAGAAAAGTTCCAATCATTAGTATACATTTATATGCCTAGCTTCAATACTAAAAAAGACTGACCTTTCTTTTTTTTTCTTAAGCACATAAAGGAAGCGTAAAGCCTGTTTTTGCACGCATGCATGCTCCAGATACCCACAAACAACGTTTAATAACAGCTATGTCACCTTTGGAGTTGATTTGGAAAAAAAAAAGCGACTTGTAAAAAATGGCCAAAATGGCCTCTAATCCAAAGGGTACTAGTCATGGAAAAAGCTCATTCTGACAGTGTTTGACCTTCTTTTTGATGTTACAGAATGAAAATAGAGCTAGCAACAAGATTGCGTGCTCAAAATGAGCGTAAAAAGCGCTAGTTTTTGGTCAAAAAACTTTGAAAACGTTTTTTTTTTAAGTCGACGCAATATCTCACCAAAAATAACGTTATGTTATATTATTTACGTCAATAGGCTTAGGAAGCAAATACATAAATTTCTTTTTATTACGCCAAAGCCAAAGCTCGATTTTTGATGAAGAATTAGAGTTGTTTCCCATTTTCAAACTCCAGACATTTATGCCAACTTACAAGTATGCCACTTGTGTACTCAAAAAAAATATTTTTTAGAAGGGCATTTCTAATTTTTTGTTTGAAATTATTAAAAAAGCCCCTTTTTCAATTTTTTTGCTTTTAAAAAAATTAGATTAAATCAAGAAAAAATTGATAAAAAATGATAAATCGTGATAAGAAATAGTAAATCATGATAAAAAAGATCAAAAAACTACCAAAGAGTTGCAAATTATTTTCGAAAATCCGAAAGACATACATTTTTTTTATTATCTCGCCGTTCCTTGCTATTCCTTGACAGTCATTTTTTACCTCTAAAGATCCTTCCTTTTAAATAATTTTTTGACTACATATTGTTTGAGATTTTTTCTGTATTCTTTAATGTTTATAGACTTAATGGACAGCTCTCGCCTCATATATATTTCTTCATAAAAGTAACCGGAATTCTCAGAAAATTCACTTAGCCCAATTGTGTCGATTCTGTGATTCAAATCATGAAGTGCAAAACATCAAACAACTCGTTGGTAGAATCAAGCATATTTTAGCATCACAGTAGTGTTTTTTTTTGTTTCTTAGGTATTCTGTTGTAAAAAGTACGCTAACTTTGATGATAAATACTGAGCAAATAGGCAAAATCGTTTATGGCGCTCATTTCGAGTATCCAAACTTGTCAATAATTCTATCTTCGTCCTGTGAAGCCAAGGAAAAGAAAAAAAGTTATCAACTTGGGTGTTTTGATGTGTAGTACTTTTTGGTTTCGAGAGATTTCTGGTCCAAATCAACTTTAAAGGTACCATGGATGCTAGTAGACATTGTTTATGTGCATATGTATATATACGTGTAGTGCTTCATACTACTTTTATGCAGTTATGAAATGCCATGTGGATGTTCTTTTTTAAATGGATGCTTTTCTGATCTACATTTTTGTTGCTCCAACCTCGTCTGATTGTGATACCTAGGGCATTTTATATGTAACGTATCACGCAGCCTCCGTAGTGCGCCGAATATTGTTCTCTTAAAATTTTTTTAGTCACGTGTCAATTTATCTAAAAAACCTTCTTCTTCAGGGTAGGGAAATACAATACTTGTCGAGAAATAAAGGGTGGGCTAGCTGTAATAAAATCACACAACTTTTTTACTGTAAATGCTATCGGATATCTGACAAGCGATGAGGGGACTTGACTTGAGTAATTGCTGACTTTTCAAGTTGCACCAAAGCCTATTGTTCCAGTTTTATCTTTATATCCTTCAGAATTAACCACTATGCCTTATCAATATTTCTCTCTTTTGAGATGTATTTCAATACTATATTCATTTACCCATCTTTTTGTTGATTTGTACACAAAGTGAGATACAGTTTAATTTAATCTCCAGTAATGCTGCGCTTTAACTTTATTATTTTCGTACGTAGCACAATGTCTCCAATGTTTCTCACAACTTCTCGAATTCGTGAGAAATCAAACGTCAAAACTATATAGAATAATTGCAGATCATACCTATTTGAAGTAAGAAACAGTATATGATCAACGCTGATGATTTGCTTTATAAGTCGCTTTTATTTATAGTTTATATTTCTTTTCAACTAAAAAGCGCTTATTACTCAAGTCTTGAATCATCTTCCAATCGTAATCTAAATATCGGAAAAAAATTTTCATTATAGAAGAAAATTTTTTTTTGCTTAGGCTCTTCTCTTTCTTCTCTTTTTTGTATATAGAATACATTTAATGAAATCCTTATTCAGTGCCTTTAATGGTACCAAGCCATCATCGTCATCAGAAAAGGCAAACTCAATTACTTCTGTTGAATCCGGTATTGTCGCACGAAGCGTTCGATCAGGCGAAGAAAATGCTGTTGTTCCTCACATGGGTCTTCTCAGCAGTTGTAATATGGTAAATATAACAAACCCCCCTCATTGATTTGATCTAATGCAGCGATAGATTGTTGGCCTTATCATTGGTAGTGGTATCTTTGCTTCTCCTGGCCCTGTCACACTTAAAGTTGTAGGTGTTGGACCTTCTTTACTTGTCTGGGCTATTGGTGGTATGCTCAGTATGATCGGTGCTCTTTGCTATGCTGAGCTAGGTACTATGATCACTAAATCAGGTGGTGAATACCAGTACCTTAAATCAGCCTATGGCCTTTGCTTGGGTCTTACTTTTACATGGTCTAATTTATTACTTACAAACCCTATTGGTACTGCTTCTATTGCTACCGTCTTTGCTCAATACATCATGCAAATGGCCTATTATAATCCCAACGATCTATCTGGTGATGACATTGTCATGCCTGGCTATGCTGTTAAATTAGTGGCTATTGCTTGTATCTGGGTAGTTGTATTCTTTAATGCATTTGGTAGAAAAGCAGGCGCTATGATTCAAAATGTATTTACAGGCGCTAAATTACTTGCTCTTGCCATGATTATCATCATCGGTTGGGTCTGGCTCGGAAAGGGTCACACTGAAAACTTTCAAAACGCATTTGCCAACAGCTCCACCAGTGCACTTGATTACGGTACCGCCATGTATATGGCTCTTTTCTCTTACAATGGTTGGAACAACCTGAATTATGGTATTGCCGAAGTCAAGAACCCAAAGCGCAATGTACCTCTTGCCATTACTATTTCTTGCTTTATTGTCACCATGGTTTACGTGCTTGGTAACATTGCTTATTTCGCTACACTTCCTATCAAGACAGTCGCTACATCTTCTACTGTAGCTATGCAAGTAGGCTCCGTCTCTATGGGTACTGGTGGTGCTTACTTTTTTGCTTTGATGGTTGTCTTGTCTACTTTTGGTGCTGTCAATGGTAATGTTTGGGCTGCCTCTCGTCTTGTGATGACAGCTGCCAATGAAGATGGTGTCTTCATGCCTCCTATCTTTGGCAAACTCAATGAAAAGCGCCAAACACCCATATTTGCTCTTATACTTGTCGGCATCATTGCTACCATTTGGTGTATTCCTGGTGATTTTACTTACCTTGCCAAGATGTACAGTTTCACTGGTTGGTTGTTTTATGGCTTTACTGTATTTGGTTTGATCTTGATGCGTTTCAAAAAATCCACACGAGATTTGCCTCGTCCATTTAAAATCTGGCTTCCTTTTGCCATCTTCTTTGTCATTATTGATATTTACCTTGTGGTTGCTCCTTTAATCGATGCTGGTTCTGCAGGTGTGTATCAATACATTATCTGTATTGTCATTGGTCTTTTGGCTATTCCTATCTGGTTTGTGCGTGTTAGAAAACCTGGCATTGGTCGCTTCTTGTTTGGTTGGATTCCTGGTCATCAAGAAGCCTATATTCTTGAAACACGTCGTAAAAAAGCAGAAAGAAAAGAGCGTTTAGATGAAACTATTCCTCAACCCTTAAATGAAGGAAAGACCGAAACTTAATTATATATATATTGTATTTAGACATTCACTTTTAATACCCCCTCTCTTTTTTTAATTCAATAAAGTGTATTTACTTCTCATGCAGTCCTCTCTCCTTCCTTTACACGTGACCTAAAATTCCAATCTTAAATAGGAAAACCCTTAGATCCACTTAAAATTCAGAGTTGTATGCAAAGTATATGTAAAGAGATAAAGACATAAAGTTTTGCCTCCTTTTTTTTTTCTTCTGTATAAATCTAAAGTCAAACAGACTTTTTCTTCTTTCTCTCTTCTTTCATCCCATGCTTGAAAGAATTGATACGACAGTTCATAAGGATTTAGAGCCCATTCAAACAGGCTCTACATCAAAGACATTGACTGGAAGTGGATTCTTTGATGATAAAGAAGAAAAACACCTTGATATCACAAACGAATTAGAAGAACCAATACTAGATGATCATGATCTTTTGTCTACTATAACAGACAAGGAAGCAGAATTCAAGAAAATCACACATATCATTGATGTACGAATGCTGCCATTGTTTTGTATTTTTTATTTTATGGATTATTTGGATCGTGCCAACATCGGCAATGCAACGTAAGTTTGTTGTTGGGTGATCCTTTTTAAACAAAAGATTAGATTAGGTGGTATTCAACATGATTTGCATGTAAGCAAGAGTCTATTTATGGCTCAATCATTCACAGTCTTGTATAGTTGACACCACAAGAATTAAGTACAGCGATTTCAGCCTTTTATATTACTTATGCAAGTAATGTAAATCACTCTGTGCAAAGAAGCTAAAAGCCGAATCTCTGTAGATCATTTTCGAAGTGCCGTCAAATATCGTCTTAAAACGTACGAACCCAGTCATGTGGTTATCACTTATCATGTTGCTCTGGGGAGTCATGACACTAGTGATGGCCTTTGCTAAAAACTTTGCTAGTCTGCTCATATGCCGATTGTTACTTGGGTAAGCCATACATACTATGACAAATGTTAACATGAGCCACAGCGCTGCTGAAAGTGGCTATATTCCTGGTATTCTCTATATGATGTCTCGAGTCTATCGTCCTAGTGAATTCGGTTTGCGTATTGCTTTCTTGATCAGTATGGCGTCTATTTCAGGTATTGTGTCTGGCCCAATTGCATATGGCACTGCTTTCCTTGAAGGACAAAAAGGACTTCATGGCTGGCAATATCTGTTTATTTTAGAAGGGGTGCCTACTATTTGTTTAAGCGTTGTTTCCTATTTCTATTTGTTTGATGATATCAAGAACGTCCATTGGTTGTCCCCGGCGCAAAAGGTACTGCACCGTCAAACCACAAATACGTCCAGCCAAGAACAAACACAAGTGACATGGAGGAATATCCTTAGTGCCACAATGGATTGGAAGACATGTTTGTTTTCTACTGTGTACTTCTTGAATGCCATCAATATGGTCAGTTACCATGTCTTTTTGCCAACCATTATTGATGGATTTGGGTTTCCTGTCTTGACTTCACAGTTACTCACAGCGCCTCCTAATGTGATTACGGCTATAGCGACTGTCTTGGGCGGTTATTTAGCAGACAAGTATGATAATAAGCGTGGTGTATTGATGACAACTGGATTTTCTATTGCATCGCTTGGATACATGCTACTTCTTATACTGCATGGACGTTGGGGTAATTATTGCAGCAAAAGGTAAAATAAAATAACAACTGATGATTATCCTATAGCTCGTTACACTTCTTTGTTTATCATTCCTCTTGGTATAGGGTTGCAAGGTAAGAATGAAGAGAAAGATAGATGGATTAACAACTAAATAGCACCTGCTAATGTTGGATGGTCAGCCATCAATTTCCCTAGACTCGAAATTCGAGTGATTGCAGTGGCTGTTGTCGTCATGATAGGCAATTCAGGGAGTGTAGTTGCCTCCTATCTCTACCCTCTTCATCATGCTCCTCATTATTGTAAGTCAATTTGCTTATGTGAGTTTATTCTGATCTATGATAGATATGGGGAATACATTTAATCTATGTGTTGCTATCTCAGGAGCACTCTTTTCAGCACTTACAAGCTATCTTTTATACAGACAAAACCAAAAGCTTGAGCAAGCATCAGACAAGGAAAAAGACGTAAGTGCCAACCTTACTGATACTTCATGACTCAATTTTGCTTAGACAAGATTTAGGTATTATTATTAAAGATACATTGTATATTATATCATACAATTTTATTGATCAATACAACAGAAGAGGCTATACACAATTGTATTCGTTTAGTGAAAAGTAAAAAAAAAAATAAGGGAAAAATGTCTAGATGTATTCTTCATCATCATCAGAAATGAATTCATCAGAGTCATAGTTGAGTTGTTCAAAGTTAACACGGTATCTAAGAATACCACCAATACCACCAAAACCTTTAACGAATTGAGAACCTTCTTGAGAACGATCAGTGACAATTTCAAGAGCAGCACCAAAGTCCTTATACTTGAGTGTGAACCATTCTAATAAAGGCATAACTTCAATCACTTCCATTTCTGAGTTGGGAGTAGCATCAGCACTGTTATCAGCCATAAAGGACTTGGTCTTTTCTTCTTGAGCATTAGGATAAGCAATGACTTCATTACCAGAAGCATCACGAAGGGTGTAACGGTTAGCAGCAAGGTTTTCCCAAACAATCAATGTCTCAACAGCACCCATTTCAAGAGCCTTGAGGGTATCGTCAATACCGAAACAGTATTTACCAGTGTCTTGAGAAATTTCACTAAAGTATTCACCAATCAAACGCTTTTCTTGAATGAACTTGACATTTGACAAGGCTTCAGCAGACAATTCAATGGCTTGATTGAAACCGTTTTCACCACCATAAGAGACATCGACAATCTTGACAATCTTGGCACGAAGACGAGGGTCAAACAAGTCAGATTGAGATAATTCAGTCTTGAAATCAGCAGAACCAGCCAAGACAAGACCAGCACAGTTGACCTTGTCGTTCGTAATAAAGAGTTGGACAGCGAGTTCAGCAATCTTACGAACATAGTTGTGTCTCTTTTCTTCACGAAGACGAGAGAAACGAAGAGCGGATTGACCACCACGACCGTGCTTTTTGGGCAAGTCGACACTCAACTTGTGAATCACATCACGCACATTACCACTAACAGTACCGAAAAGGGTACCGTTACCATCCATGACAATAAAGCCAAACTTGGCATCGTTATCCAAGAGTTCAGCCAAAGGTTCGACATGGAACTTGTTATCACACAAGTAAAGAGAAGTGTTGATAGGCTTGTGGGGTTCGAAATCGATGTTGACCTTCTTTTCTTTACCTTCATCTGTGATGATAGTACCACAGTAAACAACCAAACCGTTTTCAGGCACTACATGGGAATCGTCAGCGTCATTACAGATAAATGATTTGTACCTCTTGTATATAATTTCAAACGTTGTTGAGTGGAAGTAATGGCGGACAAGACAGATAGACGGTTGACGCGAGACTTAATATTGGAGGCAGTACCGTATTCATCAGCCAACATCTTTACAACACGAGAAATTTGATCCTTGGGAGCTAAGCAGTTGTGTCAATACATATTGATTGCACTAAACAAGGTCACTTACGAATAACAAGGGAAATCATGGAAGTACCGTTACTAATAATCATGTGTAAACAACTAACTCTTCTTCAATGGTTGTAAGCTTACCCTCTAGCCATCTCGAGGTTCTTGATCAACTTTTTCATCTTCCAGATTTCGACATTTTCATCAGTGTTATCAGCAGGTGTAGACATTGTTGTTTTATTTTATCTGCTTTAAAAAATAAAAGGGAGAAAGAAAACGTTTTTAGCTTCTTTTTTTTTCGGACTAAATAAAAAAAAAAACCAGTGGCTTTGACCTCTAGATTACGCAGTCGTTGTTGCCATGCCAAATCCAACAAGATCCTCACCTAGGCAGCCATTTTCTTTCTCAATGCCTATAGTAGACCATGTCGTACCATAATCATGACCTGGATAGACAATAATACGATCATCTAATGCGCCAAGAACATGTCTAAGTGTATGTTCCATGGCTTTTCTATCTCCTCCGGGCAAATCAGTCCTACCACAATGGCCTTTACACAAAAGTGTATCACCTGCAACTAGTCTTGATTTGTTAATAAAGAGCGATTGTGATCCTGGTGTATGTCCAGGTGTATGCAGAAATTCAATGTGAATATGACCGACAATCAATTCATGCGTAATGTCAGTCAATGTAGGTACCAGACGGTTGAATTGGATGCTGGGATTTGCTTGCTGAATATAAGGAATATCGAGTGGATGAATATACGCTTTGATATGTGGTATTTTTTTCAAAAGAGCAGCAAGTCCAGATATCTTAATGGGCAAGGTATCGTAAGGTGCAGGTGGAGATCCTCCAACATGATCAAAGTGATAATGTGTCACAACTGTAGCCACAACTGTGTAGCCATGATCGTCTATGTGTTTTAATATACCATCAATATCCCAGCACTATAGATTACATGAGTTGGTTATCAGATACAAGTGAGTATTTACCGCGTCTACAAGGATACAGTTTTTAGTTTGAATATCTACAATAATATGAATAATGTTTTTCATGTGAGAGGCAAACTCGTACAGTTTGGATTGAATTGGATTCAACACACTCTTTTCAAATGCAATGTCTCTGCCAGAGACGAGTTGAACGATTTTGATGCCCATGGCATGGTTGTCTCGGGCAATCAATGCTTTAGATACAAAATGAGAGATAGATTTGGCTTTACTGGGGTCTTCCTTGTTCATGGCTGTCTTAAAGGCTTCTATGGCTTGATCAAATAAATCAAGAGCCAACAGTGCTTCACCATAGCGAAAATAGGCCTGTGTTCTCAGTCAATACTCTATTTACAGATAAAATGTTACCTTTGGCCAGTGAGGTGCAAATTGAGTAGCTCGAAGTGCGTCTTGTCTTGCTTTTTCATATTCGTATATCTTTAGATAACTAGCACTTCTATTTGATACTATTAACGCAAGGTATTCGTTATTATCAACTCCTCTGCCGACCTCTTGCAATACTTTGGTATATTCAACAATAGCCTCTGCATAGAGATGGCGTTCAAACAGGTCGTTAGCTCGAGTCGTTGCTTTGTAAAGTTTCTCGTTTGGTGCTGCTGGCAGACTCATAAAAAGAAATAAGAAGGAACAAAAAAAATATGTATCACACAAAATAAATCAATGACATGCGGAGACTCTTTTTTTTTAAAGATGTTTAAGTGGCTAAATCAAAAGGGAGGGGAGATTTATTTAGTTGATATAGACTTTTGATGTGTTCTTTATAAATCAACTTGTGATCTATTGATGTTATTAACGCCATTTGATTCTTCTTTAAGCCAAAGGTAGATTTCAAAAAACAAAGAAAGTTCATCAATTCCGGGGGTGTCATACTTTAATAAAGCGACAAGATCCTGGCTATTTAGTGTTTTCGAAAAGTATTCATGCATTAACGATTCTTCTTTTTGTACAATGAAAACAAGGAAAGCCATTACATCATTCTTCCGGCTGTCTTTTTTGGATTTTCCATCAGACTCATCAACACCAGTTTTGAGCAATAAATTTTCATAAAATACCTGAGTGAAAAAAACGCTTTTCTTTCTTTAAAGATCCATGTTGATTTCCTATAAACCATATTTTTTTCTTTTTTTGCCAACTCAATGCTAAACATGAACTCAGTAATGTTTATTGTTGATTTTTCTAAAAGATGAAAACTCTATGAGATTGGTCTTCAACGTTCATGTCTTGAGAACAAGAAACACACTTTTTTTCCCATTGAGTTTTGATGCGTGTATATTATATTACTTTATTCTATCTTATATTTGTCTGCAAATTTTATCAATAGTACTCATTTTCAGTTGAGAGATGTGAAGTTAAAATGCTATTCGACATTAAAAAATAAGAAATTGCCTTATATTCTTACTTTCTATCATCACACACACTTTTCACCTGACAATGTAGTTAATAGGAAAAAGACAGTAATGTGGCGTTTAAAAGGAATAGACGTAGTGGTGGTGACATCTTACTTTTTGTTGGCTTCTCGCTTTATCTTATACCGCAATATCAAACCCATAGCAACAACTTAAATTGGAATGAAGATAGAGAGCAAATAAAGAATGAACTTCAAGAAGGTAGATAGCAAGCATATAATATCTATCTATATACTAACCTTATCAAATAGCAATAAATCTGGTTTGCTTAGATTTTGAATCATAATGGACATACTTTTGTGGTCGTCTTGAAAGAAATTGAGAAAAGCTTGGCTCAATTGATTGATGGACAGCAGTTCTTGTCGATGATTTTGTTAAATTCTTAAAAGTCAAAGGCTTACTGTGTCAGTATTGTCTTGCTGATTAGGAGCGCTAGCATCTGATAATACTGCGCGAGCAGAGAATGGTATCATTTCGATAGGGAAAATAAGAAAAATATGCTTGCAGAGGCCACTTTGGTCTGGGCAGGAGCGGCTAGAAAGATAGTTTCTTTCTTGGCACGATACAATGTATGATACATCAGCATTGGTGAAAGACTTGCACATAAATGTCTAAATCAGCAAAAAATTAACTAAAACAGAGCTGATAGTTATACAAGCACTTAAACCATCATTGTTATCAAAAGACCATATATGTGGTTTCATCGATGTCAACTGACTCTGCCCTGTTTTCTTTTTCTTTTCTAAAGAGGTGAATTTGATTTGCACCAAGTTGCACTTGCAGAGCATCTTGACGGTACTGTACAATCACAATTTGGGAAAGCAAATGTACCACTCTATCAACACGTTGATGTCTTGTTCTAGTCAACCAAAACGACTTCAATTGATTATGCTATAATTCGATGGAATTGTTAGTGTTGAAGCTAGCATTTGATCTGAAAGCTTTGACCCAAAGAGTTTTTCTTTCATACTAGACACTCAAAAAGCAAGAGAAGAAATCGGTATGAACAAGTTAAATCAACTGGATCAGAAAGCGCTTTCAAGAAAAAAACACTTTTAGTTTTCTCTCTAAGCAATGATACATTTTTTTAGTTTATTTGCTGTATATATGCCACAAGTTTAACTGTACGGCATAATGAATGTTTTTTTTGTACACTTGAAAACCTTAGTGACAATTTTGAAATTCCAGGTCACCCAGAATCGAATATTTTCCGAAACACAGTCGAAACTGTTTAAAATAGACTCAAAGAGACACACTTGGAATATTAAAATAAAATTTTTTCATGATAATAAAGTTTTATTTAAAGATAAAAACACAAAGGCAGACAACCTATAGCAAAAGTAAGTAATCAAGGTCTCTTACATATAAAAAAAAGTGCTATGAATCCATGTATCAGGGATGTTGAGCGTATATTAACATCCTAGTTTATGGTCTTCCATCACGATTTTCGGACTGGTGCCAGCTTAATTCATCATACAAAATGAACCCATAGCACTTACAATTATAACACTTTACCTTAAAAATGACATAAAGGAGAAAAAAAGGTAAAGCATCCATTCAGCCTTTTTATATTTACTGAAAAAAAATTTTTTCTCTTTCTTTTATGACTGTTGATTTTCAAACCAGAAAATTTTGATGGAGCGACTCTGATATCGAAGAGAGAAAATCATCTTACAGAATTTCAAATGTTCATTTCTCACGAATATAGAACAGTTGTGTATGTGGAAGGATACACTCAGCACGAGCAATAAAATACAAAAAAAGAAAGATTCCTATTCTTTCTTAAATAACAAAAAAAATGTGTATGAATACAATTCGAATTTTGTTGATCAAGTTTAGAAAGAAAAGACATTCAATTCTATTGAACCAAAAAACGCTCTAAGCAAAAGCTCTTATGATTCTCAACAGAAATATATAGATAAGCTTATGTTGCAATATACACGGATCCATTGCCCTGAAAAAGAAAAAATCTGAGTTGCATTCAAAAACAGAAAATCATGTGAAAAATAGTAAAGAAGATCCCCTTTTGTCCCACTATAAAAAAAAGCATTGAGTCTCTTTTTTTTATTATTTTTTTTTTATTTCCTTTATCCTTTGATATGAAGTCTTTTACAGTTGAAATTGGTCCTGAACAACCCAATGGTGGTCGCATCCGAAGATCTATTTATGCTCCTGAAGGATTAACTCGTGTCCCTCATCACAATGTACACACATTGTATGATGTCCTTACGCGTAGTGCCAACAAATATCCTGATCGTAAAGGATTTGGGTTCCGAAAGGTAGAAAAAATGATTGATGAAGAAAAACAAGTGAGTAAGTTTATCGATGGTGAAGAAGTCAAAGAAACAAAGATTTGGAAGTACTTTCAACTGTCTGGTTATCACTATTTAAGTTACAAAGAAGCGTCTCGTTTGACACACGATGTTGGTGCTGGTCTCATTCAACTCGGTCTCAAAGAAAAATCGAAAATTGAAATCTTTTCGCCTACAAAGTAAGTTCCGTGATTGACAACATACGCTTATATTTTTGTTTTAGTATGTATTGGTTATTAACAGCCCATGGTGCTTTCACTCAAAACATGACCATTGTCACAGCTTACGATACACTGGGAGAAGATGGTCTATTGCATTCGATGAATGAAACACAAGTAGAAGCTATTTATACCACCAGTGAATTATTGTCTACAGTTCAAAAAGTTGCCACGCAATGTGCTAGTTTGAAATGCATTATCTACAGTGGCGAAGTCAAGGCAGAAGTTCTTTCTCAATTCAAGACAGCCGTGACTCAGAAAGTGATTTCCTTGGATGAAGTAGCCAAGTTGGGTAGAGAACATCCTCGAGAATCAAGAACACCCGAACCCGAAGACCTTTGTTGTATCATGTATACTTCTGGAAGTACAGGAAACCCTAAAGGTGTCATGTTGTCGCATAAAAACATTGTTGCTGCTAGTAAGTCGCCCATTTTGTTTTTGGTTTATTGACCTTGCTGTCTAGTTGCTGGTGTAAATACTATTCTGGGTCATATTGTGACAGACCATGATAGTATGATGGCTTATCTTCCTTTGGCTCATGTTCTTGAATTTGTTGTAGAAAACCTGTGTGTCTTTTGGGGTGTCACGTAAGTGGATGAAAACAAACAAACATAGAGTATTGACTGTGGTTTAGTTTAGGTTATGCCAATGTACGTACGTTGACAGATGCCTCTGTTCGTAACTGCAAGGGCGACATTAAGGAATTCAGGCCTACATTAATGACGGGCGTACCTGCTGTTTGGGAATCCATCCGAAAGGGTATTCTAACTAAACTAGCTTCTGCTTCTCCCAAAGCACAAAAGATGTTTCATAAAGCATACGCCACAAAAGCATGGTTACTAGAGCGTCATCTTCCCACAGGGTTTTTAGATAAAGTCGTGTTCAATAAGATCAAGGATCAAGTCGGAGGTCGTCTTCGATTTGCATTGTCTGGTGGTGCTCCTGTGTCTGTTGAAACTCAAAAGTTCTTATCAGTGACTGTCTGTCCTATTTTGGGTGGTTTTGGTAAGTTAAACAAGATGTATATTCGTGATATTGATTCATTGTTATGTAGGTATGACAGAAAGTAAGTTCATTTTTAGATAATTTATACACACAATACTCATATTTAATTTTTTTTCTCTCTCTTTGTCAATGATAAAAGGTTGTGGGTAAGTTGGAAGAAGTAAAAAAAAAAAAAAAAAAAGAGATTAACATGATGGATAGTATGTGTAGCATCATGACACCTGAACAGTTTGCTTATGGTCAAGTCGGGGCTCCTGTCCCTTGTTGTGAAATCAAACTGGTCGATGTTCCCGAGGCCAATTACCTCTCCACTAATCCCAAACCACAAGGTGAAGTCTGGGTCCGTGGTCCTGCTATCACCAAGGGTTATTGGAACCGAGATGATATTACACAAGAAACCATGACCGAAGACAATTGGCTTCAAACAGGCGATATTGCCGAATGGAACGAGAATGGTACATTGACCATCATTGACCGAAAAAAGAACTTGGTAAAACTGAGTAATGGTGAATACATTGCCTTAGAGAAACTAGAATCGATCTACAAGAGTTGTGTGTATGTGACAAACATGTGTGTTTATGCAGACTCACTTTATCCTAAACCGGTTGCTTTGGCTGTGGTGACAGAGCCTGTGATCCGAACATTGGCTGCAGAAAAAGGAGTGACTGAAACTGATTTTGAGAGTCTGTGCCAACATGAAGTGATCCGAAAGACAGTGTTGAACGCATTGTTAGCACAAGCAAAAGAAGGAGGTCTTAAGGGGTCTGAATTGCTCTTTGATGTTCATTTATGTCATGAAGAATGGACCACTGGATCTGTAAGTTGAGTTGATTTTATGCATTAGTTATTCATCTTAGATTAGGGTTTATTGACTGCAGCACAAAAGATCAAAAGACCAGAGATCACAAAGGCTTTCAAGACGGAGTTTGATGCCATGTACGTTCAGAATGATATGATAAACAAGTGATCTAATCGCTGTTCTTTTTACTCTAATAGGAATGCTAGACAAAAAAGTTGAACATATAATAATAAAAGAACTACTCGGTTGGATCACCGATAAGATCCGATCTATCTATTTTTCTGTATCGAATCACGTGACATAGCTTACATACCGAACTAAAGAATGAGCCAGTAATTTCGATGCATAGCAAACAAATGGTTTATAAAGTACACTTTAAACCGTATATATTTTGCTGAGAAGAGTAAGGGCCCCGCGCGATTGGAAGAAATAAGCTTATGACTAGCCCGTGTCGGAAATAAAAAGGAGGGCAGGTGCGTGACCTCAAGTCACAAAACCATAATTTTGATCCACATTATTGGGCCATTATTTATTCAAAAAATTCTTTTTTTTTCTCTTTCTTTTTTCTTTCATAATAATAAAAAAATAATAAAAATGATCACTGCCAGATATAGTACTGATTATTTGAATAATAAAAAAAGACGCGATGTCTCTTGTCATCGCTTTACTCTTGACGAAAAGAATAAGAACTGGACAGATGAAAGTAGGGATGAACAGTTTCGACATGACAAGGACAAGTTTATTGAACTTGCTCAAGCTGCGTTAGAAGAAGCCAAGATGGAAGAAGAGCAAAAAGGTGTATTTCAAGAATTACTCGAGACTTTCCTAGCTCGTTCAGGTGCTCCTGTAGTAGCTGATGTTATATTAGAACAGTTTCGAAGCCAGGATGTGATTGAACGCTTAGCAGAAGATCATTTCGAACAGCAAAGAAGAAGATCATGTCTGGATAATGAAGCCATTACACACGCATTGAAAGACCCAACAAGTGAAGCTATTCCTAATGACATGGTAACAAATAGCAACAATAATTTCGATACGATCATGCTTGTATCTGAATATCTTTGGCGCATTTTTCGACTCTTAATCCTGGCTTGTCTTGTGTGCCTAGTTTATCATTTTATTTGTACAGATCCAAATCAATCACTTTTAAAATTATAAGAATACCCCCCTCCCCTCTTCTCCTCTTTCCATCATCTTGTGTAAATACCTTAATAAAAAAAGAACTTGACAACTTACTATGCCTTTTATAGTCAAGAAGATCCTTGATTCGTTGTCTATAGCATCACTTTATTTATATGCTCTTCTTTCTGAGTTTCAAATAAAGAATCGAACCATATTTGACCGAGTGGTGGGCTAGTGGTTTGCATTGATAAATGTGTGTGCTTGTCTTTGGCAAATCATATTGCTCGGAGCCATAGTTTCTCCGTCCCTTTTTTTTTTTTATTTTTTGCAACCCTCGTTTTTTTGTGAGAGAATGGTGATTATTAATCTATATATGAGCTCATTGTGTTGTAAACATACAGCTTGTATACAAATTTATTTTTGATTAAAAGAGACACGCTCTTTTATGAATCAAGAAAATGAAATACGCACTGTTGTTGTCATGGATGTCGCTTAATTTGAACTCAGTTCTCGATGGTTTTATGACACCAGAAAAGGCGATTCAAGACGAATACGGATTGAACACTAGATAAAAAGCAATCTCTCTTTTTCCCTTTCTTCTTCTTTTTCACTCTTTTCTTCTTCAATGACAATCACAGAACAATCGCCTCTCTTGGGAAAACAAGTTGTTAAAAAACCATCACCATGGTATATTATTGCACCTATGTTTGCTGTCACTTTTGCTTTTGGGTAAAAAAAAATTAAATAAAAAAATAATATGCATTAATAATATCGTTAGTGCATTGTATGCTCCACTGATTCAGTTCTATACTGTTGTGTTTTGTTACAAGTAAAGAATAAAATAAAATAAAACACAACGATAAGGGCTAACATAAACAGATATTATGAGTCTCAAGCAAACAATAACCTTGAAGGAGATGTTCCATCTATTGAAGACTGCGCTATTCCTGAAGTTCAAGCAATTGTATCAAAATCACAGGCTATTATCATGTTCTTGACTTCTGCTTCATGTAAGCAAAAATCATGCTGGATTACGGTTGTCTCATGTTTTGAATAGGCTTATTATCTGCAAGTTATTATGGTTCTCTATCTGATAGAAAAGGTCGTCGTATTGTGCTACTCATCAGCTCATTGGGTAGCATGATGACTATGATCGCTTACATCATGACAATCCAATATACCCATATCTTTGGTATTTCTTTGCTTTTCATTGCACCCATTATTCGTGGTTTATTTGGTGGTGATAATATCCTTATCGTGACAGCACAGGCTTACATTTCAGACTGTACTACGCCCAAGTCAAGGTAAAACAAAATGAAGAAAAAAAATAGTACTCATAACAGTGATAGAACCATTGCTTTTGGCCATTTGATGGCAGTTGTCTTTTTAGGTCCCACTATTGGACCCACTGTATCTTCTTATATTCTCAAGACAACAGGAAACATCACACATGTATTTATAATGGTCCTTTTGGTTAATATCATATTCGAACTCTATGTGTATTTTATCCTGCCAGAATCTCACGATTTTACCAAGTTTAACGCTAAAAAAAAGACCACTTTCCTGCAACGCATCAATGTATTTTCGGCCCTCAATATCTTATTTACCACGGCTTCTAAGCACGCCAACCGATACGCTCTTGTGCTTGCAGGTGGTATTCAATTCTTCTTAAACATGCTTATCATGCCTCCCACACTCCTGTATGCCATGCTCAAGTTTGGCTGGACCGCTTATGAAGGTGGACTCTATATCAGTTTAGCTGCATTTACACGATTATTGGTCATGGTCCTTATTCTTCCGGTGGTTTCAAAATTGTTTCACAAGAACAAAGCTTTTGTTGATAAGGAAAGAAAGTCATCTTTTGCTTCAACCTCTACTTCATCTTCTTCTCTTGCTCAAGAACGAAAGAACGAAAAGCCGAAAGACGATCAGCCTCATACAGAACAAGACTATCAACATATAATTAAATTTGATACTTGGATGATTCGTATCGGCATGTTGGTGGAAATGCTTGGCTTTATTGCGTTTGGGTTTGTCAAGACATCCACTGAACTTGTGGTGGTCGGTTCTCTTCAGAGTTTTGCCTTGTTGGCTGGTCCTTCAATTCGGTCTCTTCAAGTGACTTTAGTCAGTCCAGCTCAAGTTGGTGAACTGATGGGCGCTATTGCTGTTGTCGAATCCATTAGCAGTAAGTTTTTTTTAAAAAAAGTCAAAGACGGTTGATACTAATCATAGCTATCTAGCAATTGCTTCCCAATTGACGATAAATACTATTTATAGTGCATCTGTCAAAACGATGCCTGAACTTACATTTTTTGTCTGTGCTGCGATTGCTGGTACTGCTTTTGTTTTAGCTTGTTTTATATACCCTTCTAATCAACAACATTCTGAGGAACAAGAAGCTTAAATTTATCCATGTACTAAAAACAAACAAATTTACTTCTTTGATTACCCCATATTTGTTGTTATTTCGATTTTATTTGGTATGAGTAAAATTTAGATGATATATTTGGCGTGCTTTTCGTCCTCAGTTTTTGCACTTTTTTTTGGAGTACCAAGCTTAGCATGAGATCTTCATTTATACACTAACTTTTCTTACCATTTCTTTTTTTGAATCAATCTGACAAGCCATTGATAAGCATAATAGTACCAAAAGTGTGTTGGTATCCTGATACAGGCAAGTGTTTTCCTAAATAAGCCATCATTTCTACCTTCTAATTCCCCTTTTTTGAGTTTCCTATGTTTGAGCATCCATAAAAGAACATATTTATGCAAAAATATAGCAAGTTTTGAAAAAATCATTTTGCCCTTATGATCCCCGGTAAAAGTTTATATTTATTTGAAGGGTTCTTGAAGACTGGGCCCTATGGGGTAAATGTCTGACCTTCAGCTCAAAAAAAGAAAGATACAAAAAAAACTATGAAGTGATAAATATAGGAAAAAAAAGGCAGGAAGCATAGACAATGATGTACTATAGTGTATACAGGTAAGAAGAGATAAGAAAGAAAGGAATAAAAGGAAAAGACAGGTGCATAATGGAAGTATAAACACCACAGGACGGAGGAGAGAATTAGCTGTACTAGATATAGCGAGGGTATCAGCCAAAGGAGAAAAGTCTGACCAGAGGTATCTTTTTCTTCGCTTGAGGAGGTCTTGTCGGGAAGATCCATACTCTCAATTTCAAGAAGTAGTTGGCAAATGATTGGCCACCAATTTGACCATCGTGTGTAGCGGTCAAGTCTTTGAGCTTGTAGGCTTGGAGGGCGTGATATTCTAGGTAACCGATTAAAGACATAATCAATTGCCTTATGATCCCCTCTAAAAATCGTCAATTTTCATTATTTTGCGATTGGTGATTGATAGAGACATTATAGACATGACATGTCTTAGTACGAATTGTTTCTCTAAGTCTACGAAACACACTCAAACAGTTGAATCTGCAAAAATACCATAAAAAATGTACGCTACAGCTCAAGAACAAAAAACACATTTTTGAAAGATATCTCACTATCTTGCTATTTGATATGCTGCGTTTTTTATACCATTCAGTGTGCCTTGTTTATATCTACCAGCTTTATTAATACACTTTTTTGGTAGCTCCTCGTTTTTAGCCACTTTTAGCCGATCCTATCTCTTGAATTTTTAAACCTTTTATTTGGGAAAATGAAATCATCGTATAAATGGAATCTAGTGTATGTGAAGTAAAATGACTAGCCATATGAAATATCTTTAAAACAATGCTCTTGCGGAAGCATTCAATACGATTGTATGAGCCTTATATAATCCCAATAAAATAGCTGTCCCTTAATATGTCCTAAAAAAGATATATTGTGTTTCATTCGTTGCTCCTTAGAGTGAGTATTCTTTATATCTTATCTTGTTCAATGCTACAGATGGTAATATCAATACCACAAGTAAAGGACACCATTCCGCAATGTCTTCAATTACTTGGCACTTGACACAATTGCTGATATCTAAGAGATACAGTAATTCACAAGGGATTATAGCAAAATCCAAAGCATCACCAAGAGTGACCAAACCAACATATTAAAAAAATTCTTTAAACGAAAGAAAGGTAATGAGTTTCTAAATCTCTTCATTTTTTGATTCTAGCCTTTGACATGAGAACATGTATTCAAACTCGGATTTTTTTTTTCTTCATTTTGGGAATACTTCACCTATGCCAAACTTTAAAAATGTCAACATTATATTCAACAATGCTCTTCCTTGATACACATGCATGATTCGTCTTCCTCAAGTCCAAAAAAAAAAGACAAATGTCATATAATCATCAAACTATTTTGTGTGAGATGAATATCAAGCAAGCACAGCGTGACGGTATCTAATCAAAAGTCCGTTACAAGTATATTCCTCATGACGTAAAATGATTCTAGGTGTGGGTTTCCTTTATATACATAATGTCCTGGCGTAAAATAGATATCGATCAATACGACGAAGATGCTTACACTGAAGATGAAATCCTTGCTGAATTTGAGACGGGACTAACACCTGAGCAAGTTCATTCGGCTACTCAGACGCGAAGCACAGACGTCCGTAACTTACTTACAAAGTAAGTGAGAGTATCATCTGTTCATGTATTGACGCCCACTAGGGGAGACTTAAACACAGCTCTTACTCGTGCTTTAGAAGAACCTCCTTACGGTCGTCATCTCGATGCTGCTAAGGTAAACATTGCGTCTTTGTTTTATTTTACTTATCAAGTCTAGTCTGAAAGTACAAAGACGGTGACAGAAGTTTTGAACTTGTTTCGTGCTTCTGACATTGCTCAGATGGTCGGTTCACTTAGTCGTGAACAACAAGATGTGTTGATGAAGTATTTATATGCTGGTTTAAGTAAGCCAGAACTATACAACTCAAGTGTTTTATTGACATGGCATGAAAAGGTAAAAGATACATATCGATATGACAAGAAAATTCATGTCTTCTCTCTTTTTTTTTTAGTTGACAGAAGTTGCTGGTACAGGATGCATTGTTCGTGTCATGACTGATAAACGTACTGTTTTCTAATAAAAAGTGTTATGCAAGTTTTAAACGGAATCCTGTTGATTCTGTCTGTCCACCAAAGATGGTACCTGCCAAGTCATCTTCTACTTCGCCATGAGCAGCTGCTGGTGCAGAGGGACTAAAAGCTCGTTTTCTAATGGCTCATGAGTAATTGATCTAGCAAAAAAAAAAAAAAAAAAGTTACTTACTTGTGTCCTGAGCCTTTGGATGGCCATGTTGGAAATAAAGAAGGATCTTTAGGTGCAGGACTTTCTTTAAAGAAGGGATGGTTCAAGGCTTCTTCTGCTGTGATTCGTTTGGATGGATCATATGTTAATAATTTCGATAACAAGTCTAATCCTGCTTGAGTTAGATTGGTGAATTTGCCTCTTAGGCTACTATAGCTTATTGCAATAGAGGTTACATTCAAAAAGTTTAGGATTCAATCAACTTACGGTTGATAAGAAGGAGAGATGTTTTTAGCATGAGGCAGTTGAGAGAAACCAGGCCAAATGTCTTCTGTAGGCGAACCCAACAATTTGAAAATCTATGGCTGATCAATGTCATACTCTACATGCTGCATTGACTTACTTTATCCAATTGGTCGATTTCACTTCGGCCAGGCAACAGTGCTTCATTCAATAGCAATTCTGCAAAAATACAGCCTACAGACCACATATCGATTGCCGTGGTATATTCTTTAGAACCCAATAAGAGTTCAGGCGCTCTGTACCATAATGTTACTACCATTTGTGTCATATTGCCCATTGGACTACCATATTTCCTTGCTAGACCAAAATCAGCTACTTTGATCTCACCACGATTGTTTAGCAAAAGATTGCTTGTCTTTAAATCACGGTGAATGTACCAGTTATCATGCATTAAGGCAACAGCAGAGAGTAATTGAAGCATTAATGTCTTGGTTTCTGATAACAAGAAAGGTTGTCGCATGTCTTGCATCAATCCTTTTAAATCGTGTTCAATAAAATCCATGACAATAAAGACTCTAGACATAACATAAACATGACGCTTATTGAATATGAACTTACTGATCCATATGATTCCCCATCACTATTTCCCTTACATTGACAATATGAGGATGCTTGATAGTCATGAGTGCATGGATCTCTCTTAAACTAGTGACAGGAAATCCACCTTTTTCAGGTATTAATTTGAGTTTCTTTAATGCGACTACTTCATCTGTTTCTTTGTCTCGAGCACGAAACACGATACCGTACGATCCTTCTTCAATATGATTCAATCGTTCATAACTATCGACATGACGACATTGACGTAAATAAGGATAATGGGATGGTTGTTTAGGTTGTAAGTTGATGATGGGTTTTGGAGCAGACGGTATAGGTGCTTGTTTCTTTATCTTGGGCTTTTTCTCGTGTCTCTTCTTTTCTTGTTTGTTGGTTTCGTCTTGTTCATCGTCGACTGCCCAACGCGACTTTTTGATGATGTCTGACATACTGAACAAATAAAAATAAAAAAATATGTCAAAGGGAGCAGTCTCAAGTCTACCTTTTTTTTCTTTCTTATGCATTATTGTTTTATCTTGGAGACATATTGAAGAAGAAAGTCTATTATGATAGAGAAAAAAGTAGTGTTTTGCTGCATGATTTTCAATTTGCTAAAATGGTATACATTTTGTTGAAAAAGCATATCAATTAAATTCTAGAAATTAAGCAGAGCATGAGATATTTACATTAGGTTATAAGGAAAAGCAGAGAATAGAAAGGTAACGGATATTGACTAGTCTATGGAGAATACTGATACGGATACGAGGAGGTAGTTAAATAATCCTGTCAGTTGCATAATGGCTTCAAATCATTATATTCATACTATTACACAATATGACCCACCAATATCAAGCTGTGATTGATGCAAATAGTGGCTATATCAAATATTTTGTCCTTGGGGAACTTGTTCAAGGATAGAAAGCATTCGAATTTTTAAGGAACCACCGTCTTTCATTTGGGTATTATGACTATCGGTACCTAAAAAACGGTGGTTGCTAAGAAACTTAATTTCATTTGGTTTAAAGATATCCTGTGTGACTATATAATCTTGTATTTCGACACATGTTGAATAAAGACGAGTACTTTTTGCTCAGAAAGTAAAATAAAGAAAAAAAAACACACATTCATAAATAGTAACTCAATGCCTATCGTTTTATGACACTGTTGGTACATATATCCAAAAAAGAAGTTTTAATATGCATTGTTTTTGTCTTTGCCCCTTGATTGTTTTAAGGTTGCACAAGAAAAAGAAAAAGACAAAAAAAAAGTTTCGCGTTTGAAACTATTCTTTTTTCTTTTTCTTTTTTTGTTGTACTTTTTTTTCCTATACTCTTCTTTACTTCTCATTGACAGAGAGTCATGTTGACAACTCCATTTTGTGGATGGCCGAATGAACATGGAAACTCAAACGCATGGCACAACTCGCTTGAAATGAATTCTTGTTACCGAGAAACGTAAGTTCCTGAAATATATCATGTCAATTTTTTTCTCTCTCCTCTCTCTCTTTTTTTTTTTTTTTTTTTTTTTTTTGGTTTTTAAATGTTTCATATTAATAAAAAAGACTCTCAGTATTCTAGATGGCTTGTTTCCTATCTTGTTTTTTCTTGTTTCATGCATTGTATTTATCTTTTCTCGCTATCAAACACCAACACATTCAAGACACTCAAGCGACTGTCTTCGATTGCCAACATCAAAAACTGTGTCTGTGTTTAGAAGAAGTCTTGTGCTTTTGATTGTAACACTACTCGAAATCAGCAGTTGGGCATTTTTGTTTGCTTGGCGACTGGAAAGTGCTATTCTGTCCAAAAAACCAAACCATTTTCCTCTATATCAACTTGTGGATCCAGCATTGGCTTGTATACCCCGAGTAAGAAACCCCCCTCTCCCTTCATGGATTCCATAAGACAAACTGATCTTGATAGATTTACATTTTACTTCTCATCATTAAATCGTTTACAACACCTCGAAATCCGCTCGATCCTTCCAGATTTACAAGATACAGCTGGCATTTCATGCTATTTTACTTGCTTGTATTTGTATCGTCTGTCGTGCGTATGTTTGATTATTTCCTGACACCCAACAACTGGTTTATTTCAGCTACAATTGAGAAATCATTTGCTTCTGTTGATGTCTGTCTGTGTTTTATACTTGTGTATGTGGTGATGACTTCACCGACTGAATTGGATCAGGCAGAATTAATGAATTTTGAAGATGAAGATGAGGGTGTTCTTGTACTTTCAGACGGAGGAGTGGTCATCAATGCAAGTAGCGATACATATGGCACACCTATCTGATTCTTTTGTAGGGACGTATGCTTAGTCTGGAGCCCTCGGCATCCCCTCTTTCTTCCGTCACATTCAGCTGGATGAACTCACTGCTTCATACAGCCTACAAATCACGATTGACAGCTGCCTCACTCTGGGCACTTCCTATCCGACAACGAGCTCGAGAAAACTTTCGTTTGTTTGCCAAAAGGGAGACCTCACGCGTCACTTCTGTCAGTATTCTACAACGCCTTTACGCAGCTAATCGTAAGATCGTATGGTGTCAGTTGATAACAGCCATAGGCGCTGTCATTTTTCATTATGCGAATCCTTTCTTTTTGCGCCAATTACTGAATTACATTCAACTACATCATCATCAAGACACATGGGTTGAAAAGGAGGTTGGGTTCATGTACTGTCTTGCCTTGTTTGGCTGTAATGTGGTGAGTACATTGGTAGCGTCTCAAACACTTTTATGGGGTAGGCGATGGCATGTAACGATGACCAACATGCTGAATTCTGAGATTTATGCACATGCGCTCAGACTCAAGCATACACATCAACAACAGCAAGACGACGACAACGATGACCTTGATGAATCCGCACACCAAAAAGCAAGTTTAATGAGCCAAGATACTGAGCGATTGGCAGAACTGGCCTCCTATCTCCATGTAAGTTGATATTTAGTGTTCTATGTTTCCTGATTGTGTAGATATTCTATACGTGTCCATTAGAAATCACAGCAGGCGTTGTGTTCTTATATCACATCTTGGGCCATTCCTTCTTGGCAGGCTTAGTGGTGATGGTGGTTGCTTTGCCTTCGACACATTACATTAGTCGACGCTTAATGATAGCACAAACACATCTGACAGATGCCAAGTCATGGCGATTAAGGTTATTACGCGAGCTTTGTGAAGGTATCAAGACAATCAAGTTTTTAGCTGCTGAGCGTCGTTGGGAACAAGCTATCAAGGCAAGTAAATGATAGATTAAAACGAGACTCATGGTCAATAGAACGCAAGAGATGATGAGCTTGTTAAACTGATCAAACTCTATACTCAAAATACATTATTGGGCTTGATCTGGTTTGCTACACCTGTGTTTGTCACCACTATTTCTTTTGCTTGGTATACGATGGTTGAAAAAAAATCACTCGATGCAAGGTAAGCACGCTTACATGAGAAAAGAATAGCTCATGCGATGATAGTACGGCGTTTGTGAGCATTGTCTTATTTGGCATGTTACGCGATCCCTTAAATGTGATGCCTCAAGCATTTATGGCCTATAGTGATGCCAAAATAAGTCTGGGGCATATCACGGCATTTCTAAATACAGAGGCGAAACAAAACAATCCCTGTGTTCCATCCGAACAAACCTACCAAGAACAAGCCAAAGTTGGCTTTGCGTCCCCACAATCCGTCTTTGAATGGAACCATACACAACAAAAACAACATCAACAACAACAAACAACAAAGCATTACAATACATTCCCTCAGGAAAGAAGAAGGTCTTCTAGAACAACTATTGAAGGATCCACCTCGTTTACGTTTGATGCTTCTTCATCATTCAAGTTGGTTGTGCCCTACACTCTTTTTCCCTCGGGTAAATTAAGTGTCATTTCAGGTCCTCCGTCCAGTGGCAAGACGAGTCTGTTGGCTGCTTTGTTGGGCGAGATGACGATGATCGCAGGTGATCAATTTCCCGTTTTACCTTCTCGGTTCTTGTATCAACAACAAGGGCTTGTCAAAGATGGCCCTTATTATCTTCACAAAGTAGCTTATGTAGCACAACGTCCATGGATTGAACATGGTACAATACGTGAAAATATTTTGTTTTTTGAGCCTTGGGATGACACTCGCTATCGATCTGTGTTGCATCAATGCGATCTTTTGCGCGACTTGTCTTTGTTTGACAATGGTGACTTGACACTCACGACAGATCGAGGTATCTCTGATTCAGGTATATATATATATATATGAAGTAAGACTCGATTGGCATGATGAGCTAACCACTGTATGGATTAGATGTCATGAAACATAAGATATCTTTGGCTCGAGCTGTGTATTCGCGTTGTAAAACTGTCTTGATTGACGATATCTTTCATTTGTTAGGAAAAGTAACTTCTACTTTTATCTATGAGAATTGTATTCGAGGTGATTTGATGAAAGATCGAACAGTTTTAGTCGCAGTGACTTATCCAGACATGTTTTGGGCAAGAGATGCGCGATTGTTTGTTCATATGGCGGAGCCATTCCATGGAGAAGGTCGTATTGAGTCTATGGAGACGGATCCTGAGTGCATTGTGAACCTGATCAAGACTCGAAGAACTGAGCAACAAAGAGAAAAGCAAAAGAAAGAAAAGATAGAGGAGCCTAAAGAGACCTGGTATGCAGAAACAAATAACCCAGTAGATATGGTAGATACTTTGTTTGAGCATACAGGAGGCGCAAGTAGTATACACAATAATACAACATTAGTAGAGGAAGACTTTTTTGATGAAGGATCTATTATTCCTGACTCCATTCGACAAGAAGATGAAGATGATGAGGCAATCCATCGAGACAATACATACCGAGATTATGCTTATGCTACTTACTATTCTGTATGTGGAGGATGGAAATATTGGATATCGGTGATTTTGTTTACACTGTTTGCAAGACTAATGAATATTTCTGAAAGTTATTGGCTAAAGGAAGGTAAACCATTTCTATTTATTTTTTTGAGAGGGGAGGGAGTGCCAGTTTGTTTATGTTACTTCCAAAGCAAGAAGGCATACGAGCATCAAGTAACGTCTTTGTTTTTCTTTTATTAGGTATGGTCCACAGCTTATTCCCGTTACGATACAATCGTTGATCTCTCATCTCTGGATGAATTGAACATTTCCAATTATTATGTTCTCATCTACCTCGGATTATGCTTGGTAACTGTCACTTGTAATTTCATTCGTACCGTGATTCAGTACAGAGGCTCTCTTCGTGCTTCTAATCGTATCTTTGTGGGACTTTTACAATCTGTCTGTCATGCCCCTTTACAGTTTTTTGATGTAACACCTATCAGTCATATCATGAGCCGGTTTAGTAAAGACATGGAGACGGTTGACTCAAGTATTGGATGGCATATCAATTTCTTGCTTCAGACTGTCTTTGGTGTATTTGGTGTTGTGTTTACGATTGGGATAATTCTGCCCGAGTTCTTTGGTGCAAGTTTAGTAGCAGGTAATTCATTATAGTAGTAGTATGCAGAATCACATTAACTTTTGATAAAGCCATGATGTATTTTTATGTTGGTGTCGTGTATATTCGAGCATCCAGAGAATTAAAGAAATTAAATACCGACAGTCGACCTCCTATCTTTCATCTTTACAGTGATACATTGGCAGGATTAGCTACGATACGTGCCTATGGCGAAGAATGGTCTATGATGAAGAAAATGTTTACTCGCTTGGATGATAACATGCGGCCTTTTTATACGCTTTGGAACACCAATAGGTAAGATCATGGTTCTTGAAATCAAGTCACCCACACCTATTAGATGGCTTTTTGTGCGAGTAGAGCTCCTGGGTACATTTCTGTCGCTTTTTATTAGTGTTTCACTTGTCCAAAAGGTCAAGACAATTGATGCAGGTTTAGCAGGCATTGCATTGACATTTTCCGCCAGTTTGCTGGAATATGTGTATTGGTTAATGCGACAATTTACTACTGTCGATATGCATTTTGAAGCTGTTGAGCGTATCCATCAATATATGGTGATGCCACAAGAACCACCCAGTATTGTAGAAGGCTCAAGACCTCCAGCTGCAGTAAGTCAATATAGACCAAAACCATGATTTTTGTTAAATTGTCTTGATTAGTGGCCAACTTATGCAGCGATTCAAGTCAGAGATTTGGTTGTCAGCTTTAGTCATTCAGAGGCAGATGCCATTTTAAGACATGTATCCTTCAATATCTTTCCCGGTGAGAAAGTGGCACTTATAGGTAGAGCTGGTGCAGAGAAGCATGCACTGGTTTCCTGCTTGTTTCGATTCATGGAACCTATGCGGGGATCCATTAAGATTGATGGTGTCAATACAGCTTGGGTAAGCTTATTTGTTTTGATGGACCATTTTGTAACATGCAAGCATTAGATTGGTGTTGAAGATTTAAGATCACGCATGACATTTATTTCAAAAGATGGCTGGCTTTTGAGTGGCACAGTCAGAAGCAATTTAGACCCATTTGGCGAATATGATGATTATGCACTCTGGCAAGTACTTTATCGTGTACAATTAGCAAAACCACCCAACCAACATGACTTAAATGAGCCCTGTGCTATCCAAGATTTAGACATAGATCTTGGTAAAGAAGGGTGTCGTTTGCCTGTTTGCGAACGACAATTGCTTTGTATTGCAAGAGCCTTGTTGCAGGATTGCACCAAGCTTGTTATCATAGAAGAAGCAAATTTGAATACAGAAGCAAGAGCACTTATTCAAGCAGTTATAGATCAAGAATTTGAAGAATCGGTAAAAAATATATGTGTATTTTTGGCAGCTGTTTATTGATCATTATCTGTTAGACTGTCATCACAATACCTTACATGCTTCACGATGTAGTGAATTACGACAAAGTAATGGTGTTTGATCAAGGCAATCTTGTTGAATTTGACTCACCCATTGAATTGTTGAATAAGCAACATAGTCTTTTACAATCCCTTTGTGAAAAAGCTGGTATTTTGGACTCGCTTACTCTGGATATGGATATTCTTACCTAATACTATCTATTTATCTATCTATATATATATATATTTACACCTTTTTTCTCTCTCTCTCTCTCTTTTTCTAATACGTTAATACACTATTACTATTTAATAAACATGTATATTCTAATAAGTAGTCGTTTTATTGTTCAAACAAAGTAGTTTTTTTTCTTCTTTCGGTACAAGTGGCTTCGTTTATTGCAATGGTTGTGGTTTGTTGTGAAGAAAGAGGGGGGTTGTAATTTATTGCTTGCTAGCTTCGAGCTTGGCGTAATAAGCGTCACGTTGAGCAGCCTTGGGAAGGTGGTAGAGGTTCCACCAAGCAGCACCACCAACAGCACCCAAAGTGAGGGAAATGGCGATATCCTTGATAACTTGCTTACGGTATTTACCAGTGATAGGGGCAATCATTATTGTAGGTTAAAGAAAAAAAAAAGTGAAAAGATGTATGTTCAAGAAAACAATTTTTTTTAATCCTCGCAAGGGCACAGCTAAGAGATGATGATGTCACCAGGAATAGAAATTATGTGGCCTGATACGCTTAGGAAAATAACCAATTAATTTTATTCGCTCACTTTGGATATTTGAAGTTTGTAGGTCTTTTCGATGCTCTTGGACTTCGACGACTTGTTTCGATTTGTTTCGTTTTATGAAGGCCTTGATGATTGTCTTTTGTTTTTCGTTTTTGAGATGGCTTGGGTAAATGCGCCATGGTGGATGAAGTACCAGCACTTATAGGCACTTGTTGACTTGTGTTGTCCTTGTTGACTGTAGTCTCGGAAAGTGCCTCTTTATCTGCTTCTTTTGGATTAATAGATGGTTCATCAAAGCGAACGTAGTCAGTGCTGGTATTGTCTTTAGTAGGCATGGTTTTAGTAGGTACATTTTTATCATTCTCGGCATTTTGTATCATGGATGTTTCTTCTCGAGATATCTCTTTCTTGAGCTCTCTCACAAACACTTCTTCTGTAAATACTCTTGTAGACACTTTTTTGTTGAGCATCTCTGTAGGCACTTGTCTTGCGATACTTTTGCTGAGTGCTTGTTCCGTGGTCGCTTTTTCAGTCACTTGTTTTCCATTTGATGATGGTTGAGTTACTTGTCGGATAGCATTCATGATAGCCTCGACAGTCTTCTTAAGTTGCTGAATATCGCTAGGAATATCAACACCAACATCAAGTATTTTAAGCTCGCTGACATGTAAAGAAAGAACTACTTGTGTAGATGTTTCCTTAAAAGTACAAGGTTGAGCTTGCAAGTATCCAGATATTTTGACATTGAACCCTTGATTCTCAGCAACATTGAAGCCATGTTTGCCAATGCTTGTGTCTACTAATGACTTTTTGATATAAAGAAGCAACACAGTCTTACTGTAAGAAAGTGAATACCTGTGCATTTGCATGATCGATATACTTACGGTACAAAAGTATGAGCCTGGAAAGTTACTATCTCATCCTTAACAGCTGAACCTGATTGCATGAATTCAAGATGGTTTGGAATAAGCAAAGCATTTGCAGCTACATAGATTTCTGAAGTAGTTGACATAATAATTAGAAAAGAAAAAAAAAGAGGCTATAACAAAAGCTGCTTTCTATGGTCTTTTTATAATACTACTGATACATGTTTATGCATTTTATCTTTATTATTTGTATCTTGTTAGATCTCACTTTCATGGGGACTTTTTGCATGATTTCTATTTTCCTTTACTCTTCCAAAGGAACTCGTTTTCTACAGCTAGTTTGTATGTATGCACCACCATTATTTATACATCAACTACTGATTTATTTATACTGATAAAGAAAGACCTGATAAATATGATATACAGTTACAATTGATTTTAATTTCTTGTATACATCCAAAGAAAAACATTTCCACTTGTTGCTGTATGCCTTTTGGACCATTTCTATGCCTCATGTTGACTCTATCTTTCGAAATCTATGCATTTTTTTTTTTCAAAAAATAAAATATATAGGCTTAAAAAAAAAGCATTCGATATTTGGCAACCAAGGCGATAGAAAAAAAAAAAGTAAACAGTAGCAAAGGACTTGCATAGTAACTAAAAAAGCAGCCATAGAGATTTGCAAATGGTTCAATCAATTCTAGATTCAAAACTCCATGCAATAGACAGGCTTTTGCCTTGATATAATATTTCGCTTGTCATACTTTTTTTTCTGCTTTTAGTTACCAACATACGTTTAAAACTGCGTAGTTAACTTTTTTGGAATGACTTAAATAGGCACTACCAATTTTGATCATCATTCTTTTATCCCTCTTTCTCTTTTTTTATATTTAAATATGGGTATTCCCAAGTTTTTCAGATGGATAAGGTACAATAGGCTTGTTAAGAAAATTGAAAATTAAAGCGTGTATTTAGTGAGCGTTATCCTATGTGTTCGCAGTTGATAACGGACAGCAGTATTCCAGAGTTTGGTACGTAAATACCAAGTCGCGCTATTAGCATATTAATATAAACATAGATAATCTTTACCTTGATATGAACGGTATTATCCACAACTGCTCACATAATAACAACGATAATGCCCACTTTCGTATAACGGAAGAGCAGATCTGGATTGGCGTGTTTAACTACATTGACCATCTGTTTTCCAAGATCAAGCCTAAAAAATTCTTCTTTTTGGCTATTGACGGTGTGGCCCCTAGAGCCAAAATGAATCAACAGCGGTCCCGTCGTTTTCGTACAGCCAAAGATGCCGAAGAACTCAGACAAAAAGCATTGTTCAAAGGCGAAGAATTGCCTCCAGAAGATCCATTTGACTCCAATTGTATCACACCTGGTACGGAGTTTATGAAGAGGTTAACTGCGGAACTACGCTACTTTATTTCTAAAAAGGTATCTGAGGATGCTAATTGGCGTGGTGTTGAGATTGTATTGTCAGGTCCTGAAGTACCCGGTGAAGGTGAACACAAAATCATGGAATACATTCGTTTGGCCAGAACTCAGCCTGACTATGACCCTAACGTGAGACACTGTCTTTATGGTTTGGATGCTGACTTGATTATGCTGGGTTTATTGAGTCATGATCCTCATTTTGCATTGCTACGTGAAGAAGTTACTTTCGGTAAACAAAACCAAAGAAAGAAACAAAGGTAAAATTTATTCAAGACAGAAGCTCCAGATGCTAATACTATGTTTTTTTTTTTCTAGTTTGGACAGTCAAAACTTTTATCTCATGCACTTGTCTTTAATGCGAGAGTACCTAGAAATGGAATTTAGAACAATAAGCGACTCTTTATCTTTTCCCTATGATTTTGAACGCGTATTAGATGATTTTATTCTGCTTGCTCTTTTTGTCGGTAATGATTTCTTGCCCAATTTACCCAATCTCCATATCAATGAAGGTGCCCTGGGTCTTATGTTCAAGATTTACAAAGAAACACTACCTCAATCCGACGGCTACATCCATGATGGTGGACAAGTTAACATGAAAAGACTCCAAAAGATCTTGGACGGTATTTCAGATGTAGTAGAGAAAGAAGCATACGAATTAGAATCCATTGACTCCTTGTATCTTGCCGGCAAACGTGAAAACAGTCAAAGTGAGCGTCAATTATTGATGGAATTGGAAAAAAAGAAGGCTATCAAGGATGGTAGAATGGTAATCACAGACAAGCAAGAGCGTATATTCCGTCAAGTCAGCAATTACTTGTTAAGCGGGCGTACTGGGAAAGGAACAACACTTCACTTTGACACACCATTCAAGGCACGCGATAAAAAGTTTATGATTCAATTGGCGAGTGATTTAAACATGTCTTGTCACTTGGATTACGATGAAGCTGACAAGTCTACTTATGTCGAACTCTCTTTTGATTCAGACCTGGAAGAAGACGATGAAGATGAATCTGAAGAGTCCGAAGACGAAGAGGCCATTGCTGCCCGTGATCGTGTCTTGGGAAAATATGAAAATGCTGAAATTATTTCAGAAAACATGACTCGTGAAGACATCGAACGTGAAGAAAGAGAACGATTTGAAGCTGGTCTAAAGGAATGGAAGGCCGGTTACTATAAAGAAAAGATGAATATCGACATCAACGACAAGAAGCAAATGGACGATCTTGTTGGCTCGTATATTATAGGTATTCAATGGGTCCTCCGATACTACTATGATGGTGTCGCTTCATGGGGTTGGTTCTATCCTTATCATTATGCTCCCAAGATTTCAGATTTGAAAGACATTGCTCGATTTGAAAATCACCAATTTACACTTGGAGAGCCCTTCAAGGCATTTGAACAATTGATGGGTGTTTTGCCCAGTTTGAGTAAAAAGTTGTTACCTGCTGCTTACCAAGATTTGATGGTCGATACTGCTTCTCCTATCATTGACTTTTATCCTCGCGATTTCGATTTGGATATGAATGGCAAGAAACAAGATTGGGAAGCCATTGTCAAAATTCCTTTCATTGAAGAAAAGCGTCTTTTGGAAGCCATGAGAAGCCGTGAAAACCGTTTGACAAAAGAAGAAAAAGAAAGAACCAAGATTGGCAACAGTTACAAGTTTGTCTATGATGAGTCTTTAGCCAAGAAGAATCCTGATGATTTACCTGTCTATCCTAGTCCTTTGCCTGGTGTCTTTCCCGATATTCACCACTGTCTTGCTCGTGAAGAAATCTACAATTTACCAACATTGACTGTACACAACTACAGAATGGAATTAAGAAAGGGCTTGTTGCCTGGTGCTAAGGTTGGCAAGGACGCATTGGCAGGTTTCCCTTCACTCCAAACAATCCCTCATACATTTGAAATCAAACACCATGGTGTTCACGTCTTCCAACAAGACAGCCGTAATGAATCCGTTGTCATCTCTATCAAGAACAAGTACCAACATGCTGATATTGAAGAGATTGCCAAATTGTTCCTGTACAGATCAATCTATGTGCAATACCCTTATTTGAAAGAAGCTGTTGTCATCGGTGTCTCTAATGCTGAAAAGAAATACTATGTTACATTTAATAACGGTAAGAAGCAAATTTTGGAACATATCTGGGACGATAAAGAAAGAGAGGCTTGGGAATCACGTATGGGACGTGCTGAATACATGCCTAGCAAACGTTTTGGTTTGTTGGTAGGTGAGATTGAAGTTGGTTTTCACGTCTGTGTGTTGAACGGTATGCATCAAACAGAAGAAGGTGCTCTTGTCAAGGAATTTGTCAATCCTAGCTTGGAAGATTTAGTACCTATTCAGATGGTTGTTATCAAGGTGGCCAATCCCGATCCTCGTTATATCGAAAAGCCTGCTCCCCCCATTCACAAGAGTTTCCCTGTCAAGTCTACCGTTTTTTTCTTGGGCAACAAGTTTTTGGGTGCTCAAGCTACTGTGGTTGGTCATAGCCATGGCAATGTTGATATTGAAATGACTGTGCCTGTGGACGAAAAATATCAAAGCGAACCTGAATTTGGTCATGAAATTACACGCAAGCAAGAAGAAACAGTTCGCTACGAACCTGCTAATGCTGTTGCTCGTGAGCTCGGCTTGAATCCTTTGACCTTGTCCAAATTGACTTCTGCTGTGAGTGTGGTTGAAAAGAATAATCAGCGCCTCAATGTCGGATTGAACTTGAAGTTTGAAAGCCGAGGTGAAAAGGTCTTGGGCTACACTCGCAAGAACCCTATTGGCTTTTGGGAATATTCAAGTGCGGCTGTTGCCCTGATTAAAGAGTACACTGAAAAGTTTCCTGAGTTTGTCAACTTGTTGAGAAACCAAAAGAGTTCAGGCATGTTGAGTGTGGACGATTTCTCTTGGACAAGTGATGGTCATGCTGCTCTTCGTCAAATGAAAGACTGGGTGCACAGCAAGAAGATCGATAATCTTATTCGTGCTACTTTTGACACAGAAGAATTGGATGATGATAGTTGTCACAAGGTGGAAGAGGCTGCTATCAAGTACCATGAAGAGTATGAAAACTTTGATTTCAAGAAAGTGGTTATCCGTGGTGTGCCTCGTAAAGTCTTATTGAAGCCTGCTGATGCTGAGGTGCGTCTTAACTATCAAACTTTTTCTTTGGGTGACCGTGTGGTCTATGTCTGCGATACTGGTTTCGTGCCCCTTGGTAATAAGGGTACAGTGGTAGGCACAAGAGAGAAAGTGGTAGACGTTATCTTTGATACTACGTTTATGAGTGGTACTTCACTTGGTGGAAAGTAAGTCCGGGCTACTCTCCTTTATTTGATGATGTACTTATCCCTATATAGATGCTCTCAATTCCGTGGTATTACCTTGCCTTATTCTACTCTGATCAATATCAGTAATCCTTCTCACAAGAATGAGAGCAATCCCCCTAACAACCGCTCTAATAACTATAATAATCATGGTCATCATAAGGGTAATCACCACAATAACCATGAGCACTATAACAATAGAGATCAAGAGTCATCCCGTGGTGGTCGTGGCGGCAATAGAGGCTTTAGAGGTGGTCGTGGCCGTGGTGGTCGTGGAAATGGTCGAGGTAATGGCAGAGGCGGTCATGACCATCGTTCCCTCTACTAGAAATCCTTTTTTTTTTAGGTAATGAATACTGTTTAATAAACAAGAATTTGCTACAAAGTAATTACGCATTATTTAGGTGAATTAATGAAGTTATGAAACATGATTGAGAACTTTAAAGAATAATAACATCATACAGAAACTTGTTGACGTATCTTATGCTATTGTAGATTCTTAGGTATGAATAATGTTGCATATAAGTCTCTCAGAGCTATATATGAGCACGGCCGTTATAAATATGTCAAACGCAATTGTGCATTGTTTTCAGAAGAATCGAGAAAAATAGCTGCATTACGGAATTCTGAAGGAACTATCTAGAAGAGAGAAAAAGGGATGTAGGTGTAATTGACATTTTGTTGAGGAAATCCGTCATATCAAGAAATGTTTTATGAGTAAATGCATGGATTGCAACAAGAGCAGATTTTATGTTGCCCATCATATAATGTAATGAATGTGCTTCGTAGGAATGGCATAGAAGAATACTATGTTATAACAGCCCACGTTTTTATACGTGCTCTCAGGACAGTAAGAATTTTCATAAAAAAAACTACAAATATGTACACCTTTATGTTTAAAAGGAAATATCCAGCCTCACTATGCGATGGTATGACAAAGAAAAATGTCAAAAATAAGTTTATTGAAAATAAACACAGCCTTCAACTATGTCAACTTGTATGGTCTTTCTCATAAGTTTATTTGTTGCTCTTAGTGCAACCTAATTATTGGATATACCAAAAACAAAAAGCACAAAGCCAACTTTACTGATACAACGAATTAAAATAAGCTTTTTATATCAATGTTATCTGTGTAACTATCTAACCTTAAAGATGGCGTAATCTACTAACAATAAGACCTCATCCAAACCCTGTTATAAAACATTATTTTCTTATGATTTCTTTTAACAACATAATAAACATGACTTGCCTTCTTTCCTTTTAAAGATACTTCCGTGAAGAGGGAGAAGTACGTGCGTGACCTAAGATATGTACCCTATTATTTGGATTTCTCTTTGATTATATGCATCAATCTATGTGCATACATCAAGTCAGCTTTTACTCCTTCTATTTCCCTAGAATTACAATTGTCTATAGTATCAAGTGTAATGACAATGCTCATGGCTTCTAGAGTGAACAACAGTGTATCATGCATCACATTATGAGATCATTTGCTTCGCGAATTGTGCAAATGTGTGAATGGTATTAGAGCGGCTACTGAATGGAGATCATTCTACAAATTATAAAATCATGAATTTTTTCTTGGTTTTCTTTATCTCTTGTTCTCCCTTTTTTCTTTTCGACATGTCTGAATCAACAAGACTTTTATCTACAGTAGAAGAAAGTTATGCTTCGACTGAATTATATCATGGAAACACAATTCTCGCAACTGGTCAAAAAACCCGGCAAAGATCTTTATTGAGTCAATCAACAGGAACCCTAACATCAGATAATTTTCAAAAGAAAACTAGTATTTACCATCATTTGAAGAAACTATATTATTGCTTCTCAACTTCACTGTATTTAGAAAACAAAGCATCTGTTGCCCGCGATCATCTCGGTAAATCCATATATAAAAGAATATTCATGCAGGTTCTTATATTTCTGACAGCCAATGAACGAACTTATTTGGCTTGGGTAAGAACAAGTCTGTCTATGATTGCTGTGGGTGTTGGTAAGTGTAGAAAAAAAAGAAGGAAAAGAGAATATATACTGAATTTATATAAACAGCAATCACACAAGTGTTTCGTCTACACAAAGATAATGCTACCTTACCAGAATATTCAAATCCGTCATTTAATGCCAAAGGTAGATCATTGGGATTAGTGTTCATCATGTTTGGCATTTGCTTTATATTATTTGCTGTCATTCGATACTTTCATTCACAGACAGCCATGACAAAAGGATACTTTCCTGCTAGTCGAGGCATTGTTGTTTTAACATCATTGAGTACATTGGCTGCTCTTATTGCCATTTTCATCATGATTTTACTTCACAGTCAATAATTATATACCATGCATGCATTTCTAGAAAAATACCATCATTCTCCATTTTTTTTATACTCTTTTGTTCTTTGTCTATCTCTTTTGATACTAAAAAAAATGAGGATTATTTTGTTCATCTCCATTTCATCATACAAAGTACTTGTCTTAAGCTCATAAACATATGTATTGGATAACTTTTTCTTTCTGTAAACAGCAAATTATTGCTGTAGACGTAATATGTTAGACATGAAAAGAAGTACATTACGTTGACTAAATCGACACTTGATCCATACTATGTAATTTGAAATGTATATTTATTACTCTATACACAAATGCCATACATTTACTCATCATGAGATAAAAGAGGAGTGCGTTCACTGTGTTCGCTTTCTTCCTCCTTAACAAAAGGCCACTTAAGAACACCGTTGAAGTAAAAGGTACCAGTGACCATTACAACAAAACCAACGACTTGAATCCAGGAGAATTGTTCCCAACCCAAATAAAGAGACACCATCCAGATGAAAAGTGTTCTATTGTATATTCAGAAGATGACAGCATACCTACTTTCTTACCTGCATGCATCAATTGTGCTTCTGGCAGTAGCAGAGACAGCGGAAGTAATGGAGAGACCAAACCAATTAAAGAAAGCAATAGAACAACTGATGGCTAAACCAGTTTGCCAGACAGTAGGGTTATCAAAAAAGTCATGGTAGCCTTGAACGATATCAAAAGAAGGATGCTGCTTACTCAAAACAAGATGGAGAATAGGCATGGCAGTCAAGACAGAAATGAGACCAAAAGAGCCTTCAAGACCAACAGCCTTCAAGGGAGTTACCTTGTATCGAACCAAAATCTTTTCTTCAATCACAAATTGAGATGCAGTAAACAACTGAGCACCCAATACCAAACCAACACCCAAAAGAGAAGAATAGTCGACTGGTTCTTCAAGTAAAGAGGCTGCATCTGGTTTCTTTTGGGGGAAAAGAACAGAAGAAAGGCCCACAATACCAACACCTACCACAACCATAATAAGGGAAATCCATTCGTAGTTACGTAAACGACGATTCAAGAACAAGTAACTAAATAAACCAGTAAAGATAACAACGGCACCACGCAGCATTTGATAAACACTTGCAGAAATCAAAAGAAGACCCACATTCATTACCTATGACTATTACTATGCAAGAAAACACACACACACGCACAGGCGTCATTGCTTACAGTTGTTCCGGCCAAATCGCATAGTGTTGGGATCCAAAATAATAAGGCTTTCCAACCCTTTAGTTCAGGCAAATCTTGTTCTACTTTAGTAATTTGTTGATCGACTTCATCAACTACGGCAGCAGCGTCTAATTGATTCACGGCTGAAGGAGGAGCAGGTGCCAGTCGTTTTTGTTGATAAAGTTGATAGAGATACACTGACCAAACAGCAAATTCACCCACAAACATATTGAGTCTAATGAATCAGTTAAGCGTAAATTCTCATCAGTATATTTTTACGTTTGCCAAATAGGTTGTTCAAAGTAAACTCTGTTTTTTGGGTTAGAATCCTCACAGTTACGAACACATTGCATATCTTGGAACTTGTTTAGGATAGTATTGCATACACCTACAGACTGATAAACATGTGTCTTTTTTTATTGATATTACGCAGTACCTGAGATAAGCATGCCTGCCACTAAAACAAGTGTAGCAGACCTACTGATAGAAGATTTTGTTGAAGAACTAGGCATAAATTGATGTAAAAGTGAAGAAAAAAGTAAAAAAAAAAGGAGAGGGAAAATGGGCGTTTGAATTCTTCAAGTGACTGTGTACATTCACGCAGATCATGGGACAAAGAAGTATACAGTATTTTCTGTTACATTTGAGAAGATTATAGTTTTTTTAGACCAATAGAAAAGTTTTTGAGAATTATACTTTATTTTTGGGAAGTCTTCAAAAAAAAATTCGAGAGCTTTTTAGAAATTGAGTTTTTTCGACGATTTCCTTTCTTTTAGATTAGACATCTTTAGATAAAAATGGACTACGTTAAGAACTTCCATTTTTCCAATCAGAGCTCTGGTCCATTTTCTCTTTTTTCAGCCAATCAAATCTCTGTATTCTAGTTCAACTGGTCCAACTGGTCCAACTGGTCCAACTGGTCCATTTTTTTCTTTCTTAGCCTAAATGGCATCTATAATCACAAGAGAACAAGCATTGTGTCTTCTATTTTGTAAGGAATACAATGAAGACAATATAAAAATGGCCCTAGAGAAGGTATCCCTTTATGAGGACCTAGAAATTTGTCATGCTGGCGACCCTCTACAGCCAATGCTACTTCCTCATGTTAGGATCCATTCGAATCCTTTCGGTTTTAAGAAATATAGCTCTGAAGCTGATACAGTCTCACAAGAAGTTCAGGATAAGACAAATGTTAACTTTAGTAAGTTTGAGTGACGTTTAATGTTATTTAGCCAATTTTAATTATTAACATTGATCCTCTTCAATAGTCTGATGAACATTGAATCGGATGCTTGCTAATATGGCTGTGGGTACAATGGGGGTCTTGTCAAAGATAAATCTCATATGAGCAAGCTAGATTTGTGAAAGAGTAATTATGAAGACTAAGTAAGTACGAAACCGGATGAGCATCAATAGTATCTTGATCATACGCCAACAAAGGATGCAGCCAGCGAAAACATAAAGCCGAGGCCTGAACCTAAATATCAACTACTTCAAGTTCACCTTTTTCTTTGGCAGCGTCCATACTTTCCAAGGAATAACAGGAAATATATTCTTACGCAAGAATCGAATGGCCTAAGATTTCAATTGTTTGAAGTCAGCAAGCGTCAACGGAGTAACCCGCAAGATATACCATATTTTAGGCAATATCAGTGAACTCAAGACAGTGGCTCGGTCAACCACAGACAATGAACGTGTAGAGTATTATTAATACTATTAAAATAGTGCACGATGCTCAGATTGCTCAGTTTCTGAATCAAGTGTATGTCCCAACTGAACCATAGAGCGGATCACTTTACATAAAAAGAAAGTCTCATCCAGGGATATTTCTTCTTTGATTATGTTATATACAACTAGATTTGATGAGAAATCGTTGTTATCTTTTATAAAGTGGTGCAACACCAAAAAAGTTTTATACATGAACCAAGAACAGGAACGAAAAGCATTGAAGGATCAAAACGGTTCAAAGGTTCGATATCGAGTCTTATGGACATTAAAAGATGAATATTTGAATGGTATTGCTTATCAATCACGGAGCATCTGCCAAAGTACCAGGCATACGTCAAGAACCTCAAGAAAAACAACTTCACAGTTGTTGTGAACATATATGAATTCATATGTATAGATCAATAAATGATGATCATGGCAAAAGACCAGATCACATATATGGCAATTGCAATGGATCTATAGTCACTGGCATTTACTCATTCTGCTAGAAGTATTACATCATCCTCATAGTCAGAGATTATGAACCTAGTGACTCTGTTATTATTAATGGCACTCATAAAGTGACAGTTAGAGATGATAAATATGTAATAGTTTATACAAGTTCAGGTCAGATCATGTACTATTGACTGAGCTGACAACTTTTCCTAAAGGCATTTCTTTTAACTGCTGCTGATCTGACAAATTAATCCGCAGTTAAGAAGCTAACCCCAAAACAATATTTTGACTGAGAAGAAAAACTATAAATACCTCGACATTTTATAGCAATTGAAAGACAACATTTTTTGGAGAAATAAAAGCCTATACAAGCTCTAACGGACTTTCTCTGTGTTCTTACCTTTTCTTTTATTTAATATCTATTCTCTCTTCTTCTCACAACAACAGTCGTTGGATACGCCAGAAAGTCTTCAGGTCAGCAACATCAGAAAGTGAGAGTGGGTTTGATTCAAAAAATGGTCAACAGATTGTATGACGCGTTGCTTGTGGATAAAGTATTTGTCACTGTGTCATCGCGGGCAAATGATACTATTACATCCCGCGACACGAATGAAAAAAATGCCCAATTGACGCTTTTGAGCCAAGTGCATGGAAACACGCAAGGTAATGAATGTAGAACACTTAACTCTAATCAAAGCACTCACAGTATCATATAGATCTATTGGAATATATTTGCACATCAGAAAACAACTGTCTAGTAGCGATTGATTTCGCCGGTCTGTCAACCAATACCAGTGATTTATATGATTTCATTGTGTAAGTCTTCTTATACGAAAAAAAGTAATCACTTCTTGCTAAAAATGATTTTTTAGGGCTCATGGTTCCATCAAAAAAATAATCATTGACCTCTCTGCGTCTACTGGGCTCATGAAGTATTATAACCGAGACAATATTATTGATAATCCTAGCATTTTAAAGGATTTTGATTGTAGAAAACCTTGTTATAGACGGTCGTAAATATCTATCAATTCTTCTAATAAAGTAGTCTTACTTTCCCAAGTCTTCACTTTCGTCTAACTTTATGTCCATAACAGAAATCCCTTAAATCTTGTTGAAAAGGTTCCAGTACAGCCTCAGTTGGACTAGAATATAGAGATTTGATTGGCTAAGAAAGAAAAAAAATGGACCAGTTGGACCAGTTGGACCAGTTGAGCTAGAATGCAGAGATTTGATTGGCTGTAAAAAGAGAAAATGGACCAGAGCTCTGATTGGAAAAATGGAAGTTCTTAACGTAGTCCATTTTTATCTAAAGATGTCTAATCTAAAAGAAAGGAAATCGTCGAAAAAACTCAATTTCTAAAAAGCTCTCGAATTTTTTTTTGAAGACTTCCCAAAAATAAAGTATAATTCTCAAAAACTTTTCTATTGGTCTAAAAAAACTATAATCTTCTCAAATGTAACAGAAAATACTGTATTTTCGAAAAGGTCCGAAAACCAAGTAAAAATTCTATATTTAGGAAAAACTTGCGTCTGCAGCGGGATGCCAATACACTTTTGGTGCTATTATGCTAATCAATGGCTTGTGGGATTAATTTAAAAAGAAAGTTAGTTTATATGAGAGGCCTATTCAAGAAAATTCAGGCTATAATCTAATATTGTATCATAAGCTTGATACTCGAAAAAGGTATAAATTAAGGACCGAAAGCATATTATGTATGCCAAATGAAATCAAAAGTTATTCATTAGCCACAAAGTATGTATGTTTTTAATATGCTGATCACTAGATGGAGTCTGTTGTTTCAATCAGATAAAAAAAAAAGACCGCTGGTGGGGATTCCCGGAGTAAGTTGACACCCGTTTGACTGTCCGATAATTCATTTCCTTTTTTTTGTTTTCTCTCTCTCTCCTCTCTCTCTCTCATTCTTTTCCTGATCTACTTTTTTTTTCTTTTCTTCGACATCATCATGGCAACCAAACGTAAAGGGAAAACTGTTCCTTGCGAAGGTATTTTTGTTGGCTTATTCAATACTCTCTAATGATAATTTAGGTTGCCGAGAACGCAAAAAGAAATGTTCTGCAGGACAGCCTTGTGAAAGGTAAACAAATAACAAAAAAAAAATCAATTATTTCTAAACACAAAAAGTATAGATGTAAAAAACTCGGTATTCATTGCCATTATCTTCAGCCTGTTTCTCCTCCCAAGACTGAATATATGGAACCCATGATCGACAGCCATGAAATTCAACTCGATATCGACTACTTGCAATTCATGATGAATACGATGGAACGAGAAATCGAATCACTAAGAAACCAACCACGCTTCATTCAAGACAAGACAGATCAACATTGGCAGCTTACTTTAAGAGATGGAAAGCTATCAATTGATACTCATATTACATCGTTTACGACGCTTTTAGAACGTATCAAAGTATGTGCACCTCTCTTGAAACAACCTACATTTCGTTTTGAAGGAGGTGTTTATCTTAAACGTCAATTTGCTCATACTGTTTTACGCAAAGGATTCTTTAAAGCAACACTCGAATGTGTCAAGAGTGTAGAACAAAGACGCTTGATTGGGTCCATTGAAACTCCCGACATTGTGTTGAACAAACCAGACCTGTTGCTCCAACTGATTCAACTCTATTTTTCTTGTCGATTCTCGAGCCGTGTTTTATTTCATAAACAGACATTTTACGACTTGTTTATCAGTCCTTATCCTGATCCTGAATCGTCGCCTGTGCTCTGTGCATTATCGGCTGCTGTATTGGTAAGGCACTGTAAACACATTATGGCCATTGTGCCTTTTGATCAACAATTGGGTCTTGCTGAATACTATTTCAACAAGGCCCGGCAGATTGTGTCTTTACGATTTGATGAGCCCTGTTTAGAGACCATGGCTGTTTATCTTCATATGGCTTATTATATGGCTCATTTACTTCGACCTCAAGAAGCGAGTAAATATCTTGATATGGCTGCTCGTATACGACACATCCTAGCCGAAACACTGTACGTGCATCCTTCTACACCGTATGCAGGTGAATACGAGACATTCAAACGACTTCATGCTGGACTCATGGATATTGTGTCATTTATTCAGTACATTCGAAATCAACGCGGTGTTCCCTTAAACAAAGCTTCCATACGTGACTATCGAACCAAGAAGACAAAACCATTTCATATGGTGTCTAAGCAGCGATATGAAACTACTCCCATGCCTGATGAACCTATGCCTATTGTCCGTGCTATCATGAAAGACCACTATATTGAATGTATGACAAAAGTGCTGTGTCCTTATTTCATTCGTGTGAGGTGGACAGAAGATGATATGATACCCATCTCTTTATTGATCAAGACAGAAACAGAACTCAAGTATGCCTATTATCATCATATACCATCCTCATATCAATTATCACCGACTATTTTTGAAGAAGGACTAAGTGATGCAGATTTCAAGCGACGCCTTTCACAAGATGAGCGTTGTGACCTTGTGTCCGTCACACTCGCTGCTCGGTTTTATCAGTCTTTGATTGCACTGCATGAACCTTTTCTGCCTGTGATAAAAAGACCATCTACAGGGATGGATCTTTCTTTACTTCAAGAAGAACAAGAAGAAACCAATGAAAAGAAACGAAAAAGAACACCGACTGAACTACCTACTGTATCTGAGCACGCCTTGAGGGCGCAACACACGACGTATCAAAGTGCTATCATTGTTGTGCGTTTACTAGAATATCAATGTACAGTATTAAATTCATGTACTATACCTACTGCTTCTTTATTATGTGCATGGGATATTTTGATGCGCAATTCATACTTGGGTATATCGGACATCCGAGATACAGAGTACCTTTCAAAAAAGACATTCAATTAGCCCGAGAATACGCTGTACGATGCATTGAAGTTCTCAGACGAGGTCATTTATTTAATGGTGCTGAACGCCATTTATGGGAATATTATGAACGCATGGAAACTCAGTTACTGACCGCACTTTGTCAATCTGCTTCTCCTACAGCTAAATATTGGGAACCTGTGGATACTTGGTAAACACAGTTGTATATTCACTTGCATTGTAAATAAAACATAATTTTTTCTTTCATCTACCAAATGGATGGCTGTCTTGGTTGAATGTTTGTGCACAAATATCTTGAAGAAAAGGTTGATGTACAACCAAAGGGACAGAAGAGGCTAAATGAACTGCTAATTGGCAAGACAATTTAGCTGCATCTTCATCTCCTGTTCGAAAATAGCCACCTGAGAAATCACTTGAATCACGAACAAATCCCCATAATAAAGGTAAGCCTGTTCCTTTTGTGCCTACTAGACAAAAGGACAAATAAGAGGATATGAGGAAAATGATAGATTATAGATCAACCTACATTGTAAAAAGATTTGCTGTGCTTTGATTTCAAAACTTCGAAACATCCAGTAGTGTCCATTGTTAGGTTGGCCTAGACATACTTTACAAGGTACATTGACATGATAGCCAACCACATTACCACTGCTTGTGTGTTAGTCTATTTTATATTCTGTTTTGTCTTACCAATTTAGACATGCAATATCTCTTACTCGACATGCACACGATGCTGCAGCATAATCACCATGAACAAATCCAGTACTACAGCCATAAGTATCAATTTTAATCATTTACCTACATACGTATTTGGCATTAAATCCGTTGAGAACAATTGGATGTTTCTATCTGAGAGCAACACTGCCTTTCCATAGTCAATCTAACTGAACAAGATTTACTTACATTCATGCCTCGATCTGTCAATACAGCAGAGCAGTCTTTACATTCAATGCGATAGACATGCTTTCGTTCATACTCTGTTGCTACTTGATTCATACGTCTGTACTCTACAAGTACTTGTTGGTGATAATCTTGTCTTTGTCTCATAAAGAAAGAAATAGGTTTTTTTATTTTTATTTCTACAACTAATTTATAAGTCAAAATATTTCCTCGGGTCATTGTTCTTGTTTGTTTTGCTTTGTTGTCCAAGGTGGAGTAGGTCCTCTCCACATGCCTTTTATGGATCCCTGAAACGGACTTGGATTCCGAGGGGAAGCAGTAGAAGTACAGGAAGGTAAAGAATAAGCTGGGGAGAGATTAAACACACCTCTAGCTTTTGTTGGATCATAGTCATTGTGTTGCTTGATCTTGATTTGGTATTGCATTGGCCGAGGAGGAGAAAGGGCTGTAGCGAATGGTTTGTGGTCTATGGTCTCTTTTGGAACAGGCGTTATGGAAGGTATAGGGACCACAATACCTTCATCTATACTATAGGTATTTTCTTCATCTTTCATGCGGTTTCCTTTTCGACAATAAAGTACAATGCTGATGACTACAATTACTATACCCATACCAATACAAGCCCATTGCCATCCTTCCATGATAAAGATAAACAAACAAAGGAAAGAAAAGAAAGAGAAAAGACAGTAAATGGATTTATAATGAAAATCATAAAATTGCATTAAACAACGGAGTTAAATTACATGACGAGTTTCTCTCTCTTTTTTTTCTTTATCATGAATACATCCTTGGACCAAAATAAAGACCAACAAATAGCAGCTATTTTAGTTGTTGGATTTCATCATGCATTTGGCCCTATCGTTGAGTTTTGTGTGCCTCCTCTTCCTCACCAAGAGACAAAGCATACTCTAGAGAAACTAGACTTGCCTGAAGAGTGGAGTTTTTTACCTTTTCTTGCCTTACCAGGTAGGTAAAAAAATAAATAAATAAACGAGACTTCGTCACTCATCCAGATCAGACGGTGCCCATCAAAAAGACGAAGATTTTGCTTATTTTCACTTACCACCTGTACCAGGTTGGTCTGTTGCAGAAACGACATTGTTTGGGATTTCTTGTAATCGACAGATTGCAGCCAAAGTATAATAATAGGGGTGTAACACAGTATAGAATTAATATGAATAGGATTTAGAAGTCAAGACACCTGATATTACTCGATCCATCGTCCAAAAAGCAGTGGTTGTATTAGCGAGACAAGTGAGTTGTTTATACACAAATTGGATTGCTGATTGATAGCCTATCTTTGGACCCCTTCGACAAAAACTAGCAGTGATTACAGCTGCTTGGTTCAATCAAAAGGACTTTACTAAGCTTGAAATACTCTATGTAAGCCCCTTCTCTTCCCCCAACGAGGGATGATGTGGTATTGATTCATTTCTAGAATTTATACAATAATCTCAATAGTACTTTTTATGGTCCCATTGATGATTCTACTCTGTATATGGGTACTTCATTACGCGAATTAGTCTACAAGTTCAAATCAAAGACACTCATGTTACTTAAGCTATTATTGCTTGAAAAAAGGGTAAATAGATACAGCAATGCTTCTTTTTGTCTCATAAACATGGTTAGTTATTGTTTTATGGATATCCAGTAGAAAGACTATGCACTTTTCAATATTCGCTTATTTCACTGATACCAGGTCTATTAAGAAACCTACAAGATTCAGGTGCACCTGTACTCGATACATCTGATATAAACATCAAGACAACAGAAGCCAAAGTCTTGTCGGATGGAAGCAAAGAGAGTTTGTTGAAATATATGGGACTGCCTCTTCATTTGTTTGAAAAAGGTTCCTTTTTCCAGCCTTATTTGCCCCTTCAACAGATAGACATGCTTTCTTCTGAACAGACTACCTCGTATGTTGTTGGCACAACCAATCAAATATTCTTCCATCATAAGAGTGATACCAAGATTGATGTCCTAGTGAATGTAGAGACAGGCACATTGGAATTTTACAATCAACAGTTGGTGTCCTTGGTCAGTCCAACATTGGCAGATAGAAGATGGATGGAGAATATTGTCAAAGTAGTGAATGATACCTGGAATCAAAATGGTAAAGAAATGCAACACTAGATAGTCAATTCATAATATAAAAAAAGATCCAGGGCGTCCATTGCAGAACACGTATCTTGGATCTGATGATTATTTGCGAGCCAGATTTGAAGAATACGTATTGTCTTTATTGTCCAGTGTGAAGCATGCACAGGCACATAATATGCTGGACCATGTTCAAGAGCTAGAGAGTACGGAGCAAGTCATGACAGATGAAGCAGAAGGTAAAAAAAAAAAAAAGGTTGTCTATTCGTCATGTATTGATCAATATCAGAACACAACTATCTAAGTGATTATGGTATGAAATGGCTTATGGTTTGGTGGGACACAAATAATTTCAAGAAATGGAATCAATACACAGATCATGAAATATATGAAATTGTAGAACCAGGGTAAACAAAGCAATCAACACATAAGCTGCGGCTGACTCTTGATAGGCATCCTGGCATGGGTAATTTGTCTATTTCAGATCTACAGAACACACTTTCAAAGTAATGTATATAGAGACCTAAAGAACGCAATCACTGATAGACCAAGTGTAGTCGCTTACGAGATCTGCAGTTGAAACAAAACTTGGCACCCATTCGAAATACTTTATCCAAAGCCATGTCGGGTGGTGCAAAGGCCGTGTCCAGTGGACGATCCAAACTGAATGCATTTTGGAATGATTTAGAACGCAGCCATCCTGAAGAAGGAACATCCCGACCTGAACCTTCTTCTCCGCCCCTTTCACCATTATTTGAAACAACAACACAACAAGCGGGGCGGCTGTTTAGTAATTTCTCATCGTTTCTTACTCGAAAAACAAAGGAATTTTCACAAGTCATGGAGGTAAATTGACTTTGTTTATTCATTAGCTTATGTTTCCCTACTAGGATTCTGTGTCAGAAACCAACAAGAAACAACTCTCAAGACAGGCTTCAAGTGATGACGATTCAGGCTCTGGTGTGTTTGTTGATGTGGGACAAATGTACCCGTTTACTAAATCAAACAGAAACAAAGAAGACGTGCTTGACATTTAATAAAAGGGAAAAACACAAACTTTAATTTTTGACGATACTTTTTGTGAGAGAAACGGATTTTGTGGGGTTGATGGTCACTATAAATAACAGAAAAAAATTGTTTTTCATTTTTTTTATTCTTTTTTTTTCCACTCGATTCCCGGTCAACTCTTTGCTCAAATGCACTCAACAGTGTGCCAAAACCAAAATTCAAGTTGCTCTTTCTGTGGTGTTACTGATCATATCGCATGGAATTGTCCCAAGAGAAATAGACCAAGGCCATAAATAAAGAACTTTTTTTTTTTTAAAGAGCAAATCGATCCAATTTCATATGTCCCAATGTCATATTGATATGGTAATGTATTAGCCAATCAGATCGTGCCTGAGCATCCACCAATCGCTGTTCCATTTTGAGCTTGAATGGCTCTATTAGAGGCTGGACTCCTGGCGTGTAACTAAAACTCAAAAGCATATGTGAATCATCTTGACTGGTCAAAAAGACTTGGACTAAATTTAATGTCTGACCGCCAAGACAATTGGTTCTTGTCTCCCATTCATCTAATTCGTCTTCTGAGCTATCTGTATCCAAATGTGTGGTATAAATAACGGGGTAGTCGAGTAACCAGCCTGTCAATGCAACCATACATGTAGGTACAATAGGTGAATAATACGTGTGTTTTGACAGCTGCAATTTCTTGATCCATGCGACAAGACCGTTAGGAAATTCAATAGGCTAAGACAGATGAGAATTAAAAACGGGATGCTTTTGAACTTACTCGGGGCTCCTTGCCTTCCACTGCAACAAACGTAAATTGGTCAGGTTGTTTCAGAGTAGTTTTGATATGCTGAGATAGTCGTTCCGAATGACAAATAAAAGTGAATCGATCTTTAAACTGTAAAAGGACAAGTGAACGACATTCTGGTAACTAAAAAAAAACGGATAAATGGTCAGGTCAATCTTGTATTGTCATTACTTTTCTCAGTGCTCTCAAAAGTTGATTTGCTTTATCTTGATCAATATAAGCAATATCAATAAGATGAGATGCTCTAAAAAAAAAAGAGAGAGAGATAAACAATCAAAAAAAATTTTCTTAAATTGTTTTTTACCTTAAACCATACGCTACACAAGTAATAGCTTCAGCTTATTAGTTAAAAAAAAATCAAATCCGCTTTTTTTTTTATTATTATTACCCTTTGCTAATGATGTGAGCTTTGTGTTGTTTAAAGATTTAAAATGAGGCTTAAGAACATCAAAGATTAACATAAAAGACAGGGGCAGAAAGATAATTTAAGGGAGAATTTTTATAAAGGAGATATAAAAAGAAGGGAGAGAGAAAGGAAAAGGACAAGACAAATAAGAATAAGAATTTGTTTGTGACACACTCAAAAATTGGACCAACCCTTTTTTGATTTCTTTCCCCCTTTTTTTTCTGGTAGATAAATCACACCTTTTTTTATATTTTTTTCTCTCTTTTTCTCTTATTTTTTTTATTACCATGTCAACTTCTTTATCAAGCATACTCAGTAAATCAAAACAAGCGTTACTAAAACTCAATAACTCAACCGAAGATGGGGATTATTACTTTGAGAAAGGCAACAATTATTTATTTGGCAGACAGGGCTACACTATCGATCCCTTCACTGCTGTCTACTATTACAGAAAAGCCATGAACAGTTTCTCACACACAAAAGCAGAAGGCACCATTGGTTTCTGCTACGAGTTTGGCTTGGGTGTTCCTAAGGACTTTTGTCAAGCAGAAAAATATTACTTGTCAGCTGCACACAAATCAAATGATGGACTCTCGATGGCTCGCCTTGCTTTCTTGAGAAAATACGGCCGACCCAATGTCAAGATTGATCGAGTCGAAGCTGAAATGTGGGCAGAAAAAGTCAAGGGCTGTCCGCATGCTGTGGATTGGATCGTGGAAGCAGCCACGCAAGACCTCGATCCCTGTGCTCAGTACGCTCTGGGTGTATGTTATCATGATGGTGTGGGCATGCCTAAAGATGAAAACGCTGCTTTTCGTTGGTACAAAGCAAGTGCAGAACAAGGCAACGCTCGTGGTCAAGGCATCCTTGGGTACTGTTATGGTGAAGGTTTTGGTGTAGAAAAAGATGAACAGGTTGCTATGCATTGGTACCGATTGGCCGCTGCACAAGGTGAGACAGTGGCTATTTATAACGTCGGCTATTGTTATGAAGACGGCATCGGAGTCGAAAAAGATGTCCAAGAGGCCGTCAAGTGGTATACGCTCTCTGCTGAACAAGGCAATGCATTTGCCCAGAACTCGCTGGGGTATTGTTATGAAGATGGGATTGGTGTCCAGCAGGATTTTGAAAAAGCAACCCACTGGTACAAAAAGTCTGCTTACCAGGGCTACCCCTGGGCTGAGTGTAATTTAGGTTACTGCTATCAGAACGGCATTGGTGTAGAAAAGAACGATGCTTTGGGCGCTCATTGGTACAAAAAAGCTGCACTTCAAGGCCATGCAAGAGCTCAACATAACCTCGGCTTTTGTTATCAAAATGGTATTGGTGTGAATCGAAATGAAGAAGAAGCTGTCAAGTGGTACAGACGATCAGCAGAGAGAGGCAATATTTTTGCATATCATTCATTAGGCTATTGCTATCAGAACGGGATTGGTGTGGAGGTCAATGAACAAGAAGCTGTTTTTTGGTACTACCTTAGTGCTGAAGAAAATCATGCACCTGCCCAACTCTCTCTCGGCTATTGTTATCGTAATGGAATTGGCGTGCCTAAAAACGAACGTGAAGCTGTCAAGTGGTTTAGACAAAGTGCTGAACAAGGCAATGCTCTGGCTCAAAACTCTCTTGGTTTTTGTTATGAAGAAGGATTAGGTGTCAAGAAAGATGCATCAAGGGCAGTGTATTGGTATCACAAATCGGCACGTCAAAACAACCCATGGGCCCAGTGTAACCTTGGGTTCTGTTATGCAAATGGTATCGGTGTTGAACAACATAATTCAAAAGCAGTTTATTGGTATCGCCAAGCGGCTGCACAGAACCATGCACGCGCACTTGATAAGTTGGGCCTTCATTTACAGTCTGGATTAGGTGTGGAAAGAGATTTAGACATGGCCTTTCATTTATTTTCGCGTGCTGCTGAACAAGATCATGTTGCTGCTCAGTATCATTTGGCGAATTGTTATGAAAAGGGTTTGGGTGTCGCTGTTGACCTTCGTCAAGCCACCGTTTGGTTTGAACGTGCTGCTATGGGTAAGTTTGAACTTATTACGCTTTGAGTCTCATTTTTTTTTTGTAGCTGGTTGCCGTAGTTCGCATGAACGATTAAGACGATTGTTAGTGAGAGTGTGTTTGATTTCACCTGGTTCCATGCCATCTTCTATAAGTGATGATGATTTGATTTGTTCAGGATTCATCAGTGGACACAGTGCGCCGGCCGCATAATAGCCTGATTATTTATAAAGGAGTCATATATCTACTTATTACATATCATATTCCCCTCTTCCTACTCCTCCTTCTCTTTGTCTAGTTTATGCTATACATGATTGTACTAATAAACAAAAAAAAAAAAAGAAATAGAATATGTGTAGTCTATTTTTCTCCTTTTTTTTCATATTTAATTAAAATTGACAGCTTGATCTCCTTAAATTTTACCGAGGAGAAAGAGTGTATTCTCCTGTTTGGTCTTTATTGATCTCACTTTAAGATATGGAGCTCCATAATGAAACCTGATTGGACATATTTAGCTTGACATGTATTTCAGGTACACTCTTTGAGAGGATCAACCAAAATCCGAGAAGGGGCCATTTTCGGATAAAGGGTTATCCTTGTCTAGGAGTTTCAATTTGCTATTTTCTTGGATGATGAAACAATCTTTGGGTCCGTTTCAATCCGATCTGCTATCGTTTTTGATAAGCAATTATGTTAAATCTCTGCTTTTCTGGCCTTGCTTGTCTTATTTCGCTCTCGGGTTATCTTGATAAACACTTTACATAAAAAGAAAAAAAGAAAATATATCCCAAAAGACTGGATCCGTAAACCGAATTGGCCAATCAGTGCTTCGTAGAGCATTGACGTTGAACGGCTAACTGTTTAAGCCGATGCAGCACCTATATAAAAAAGAGCCATTGCTCTTGTTATTTTTTTTGTTTTGTTTTTTTTGTCTCTCTATTCAATATGGTTTCTTTTAAATTACCTTTCTTTCAACACAAAAAAGTGTGTCAAGAAGACAAGATGTCTACCGCAAGTACATTAGCACCGATACCATCCAAACAACACTTAAACACATCCAAGTATACAAATGACCCTATGCGTATAACAAATCGTCCTGACATTGTTGGTTATTACTATGATCCTATGAGTTGTTCTCCAAGTGGCTCTGTTGGCTATGATGTTACAAACACGGGTGCCTAATCAATATCACTATGCTATACCTTTATTTTAGACTCTTTACTTGCATTACTCTAATAAATTTCTATTTTATCAAGATTTGATCTTTGTACAACCTTAATTTCGACTGACAATAAGCTTACATGAATTGATCCTATTGAAGCAAAGCCACACATGTATGTCATCATTAAACAAACATGCATGTATAGTCACCTGCAATCATAAAACATGTCTCAAGTTATTTATTGAACAAAAAAAAAAAAAAAAAAAAAAAAAAAAAAAAACATCGAGCCATTCTGATGCTTTTATTTGAATTCCACAATATATGCTTGATATAATAGTTACACAAACAAGGAAATCTTTCCAAATATGTATTGGTCTTTTTAATGAAGATACATTAGTAGAAAGAAACAATGTTTGATGCTGAGCTAGAGTTGCATGTTAATACTAAGAAGCTCCGCATAGATCGTATCAAGCGACTAGGAGAGTCAGTAAATGCAAAGTATCATGTTTATATCCAAAAGCGCCTACCGTTTCTCTCTGCTCTTTTTTACGCTCCTAATTCAAGAGAGTCTGTCTAAGCAGTAGTACGAGATAAATTGTGCTTTTGTGCAGCCATGTTCAATGTATTCTTGCATTTCAAAAAAAAAAAAGATGCTGTTTTTTTTCTTGATTCAAAAAAGCTTACATTGAAATGTGTATATGCAATACTCATATCAAACTAAGCCTCTTACTGTTGTTTATATGATGAATCTATTTTCAGAAAGCAGGAAGATGAGCTATCTGTAGTGGCTGTCTGCCTTTTGTCCTCATGAAAAATCACACCCAAGCAAAGACAATATATTTTTCAAAAAGTTGATTGTATTACCATAGCTTTGAATAAAAAACATAAGAAGTCAAAGACATTAGTTCTTGATCTCATAATTATTTTGAAAATACCGCACACCTTAATCAACTGTTTTTGAAGAGAGCAGCCAATGACTGCCCCCTCCTCCATCATTCTGACGGCATCTGTCAATGCCTTGGATAGCTTCACGTACAGTAACTAGTTATATTTCTAGTAGGTATGATTTTCCCTATGAATCTTGAGTGACTGATTGTGCCAATTTTTGCAAATGAAGTCTTGATAAGAACTCGCTGTTTGTTCCTGGATTGTTTTCCCATTAGCTGAGCTCTTTCTGTTCTGAATTGATAACCCCAGAATACAATATTTGTGATCAACTTGGCCTTTAGTCGAGAGAAGAACTGCAGCAAATATGATGCGCTACCATGACTTGAATCATGCCATTGAAAATGATCGATGCTGGTCCATACAGATAAATCAACTGATAGATTGATCCAAGCTATCCGTGATGCAGAAAATTGAGCTGCTCTGGTTAAAGTAGAGTGTTAAAAGAAACGAATTAGATTTTCCTGCCTAGAAGCTATGTTCTAAACCAACTAAGCATGGGCAAGGTTCTTTTCGTTTTCTCTAATAAACCTTGTTCACAGTCCCATTTGCCATTTGTCTTGATCCGTCTGATTTATCATCTGACAGCAACATTATACGTAGTAAACAAACTTTTTTTTTTCTTTTTTCATTTTTTTTTTTCATGTTTCATTCCTACTTTATACTGATTTCTTTAGTGGCCACCAGTATTGTCTTTGGGGACCAACTTGTATTTCAGAACGATGCACAGACAAGCCTGATAAAGCCTTTTACATATGAATGGACGCAGTTACTAGAACAATTTCACAATACACTTGGAAACAGAACAAAAGACGACTCAAGTTGCTTGTTTCCCATGCCTTCATTTGACTGTCCGCCTTTTGTATGGGACGACGCTATTCTCGATCGCGACGCTTATCACCTTCGACCTCACGTAAAAACACATAGAGAAAGAGTGAGATAGAATATTGACGCATGAATAGGACATTAAATCAGTGGTTGCGATTGGTGACTCGATCACGGCAGGATTTGGCATGATTTCAGGTGAGTTTACAATTTGATTTGATTGTCACTCAATGTTCTGGGTGGGTGGGGGGTTGATAGGAAGACCACCTTTTTCAACTGTATTGGAATATAGAGGCAAAGTGTTTTCAGCGGGTGGAGATAAAGGAGAATACACGATTCCTAATTTTTTATCTGTCTATTCACATCAAAAGGGTTCTTCAAAAGGTGCTACTTTGCCTCTTTCTCGAGGAAAACAGTTGAACAATGCAGTAAGTCACGTTGCACAGACTTGAATGGCTGAATTTCTTTTAGGTCAGTGGAGCAAAGACACAAGACTTGAATGATGAAATGACAAGATTGATCAAGCATATCAACAGGGAATACAAGGACATCAAGCATGAGTGGAAGTTGATCACACTCTTTATTGGTGCAAATAATGTCTGTATGCTATGTGAACCACCTCTGAGTCAATTGCCTGGATTGGCCAGTGCTGATATCTTTGAGGAGAATGTGCGTAACGTACTCGAGAGAATAAGAACTGAAGTCGGGAAATCCTTTGTGAACCTCGTGGCACTATTTAATGTAATACACACAGACTTAAATCCCGATTTTATTAAGTTGTTATTTTTAGGTCTCTAGTGTCTATGAAGCATCCAGAGGAGATCCTTATTGTCAAATGGTCTTGGATCCTTCACATCTTATGATTTGTTCTTGTATTCAAGGGGATGAAAAACAAAGAAGAGGTATTTTCTTTTTTTTTTAAAAAAAAAAGTCAAGTAGAATGCATATATTGATACAATCTCTTTAATATATATATATAGCGGCAGACAGGGTTGTCAAAGAATACAATGCAAGACTCGAGAAACTAGAGAAAGAGTTTAAATATAAAGATGTTATGCAATTGGGTGTCAGCTATCAACCAGGATTTACTGATTTCCCTGTATCCAAATACAAACAGGCCTATTTTAGCGGAATTGACTGGTATAAGAGAACATAAATCACATTTTCAATTAACTTTTTTAACAATAGCTTTCATCCAAATAAGTGTGGCAACCAGGTGATGGCAACACTTTTATGGAACGTAAGTATACAATCTATGGTGGATCTCTCCCTTTGCTAAGCATAAAATAGAATATGTTCTCAACACCATCTGAAAAAAGAAAGCCAATGGATGTCGAATCACTACAGTTTAAATGTCCAAGTCCACAAAGACCTTATATTCAATAATATAATAAAATTTTATTGCGCGACGTTTCACTAACCTGTAGAATCCGTATATAAACTGAACATCGTGTTTAAGCTCTTTTCTTTTTTTATTCTTTTTCATGTTTCGCTCAAAGAGATCCAATACATTCCCTTCTACACCTCAATCTTCCCTCTCTTCAGGCAATGCTTCTATTCAGATAGCCCAAACAGTAGAAGATAACTACTATTCTGAATTCAATGAAGATGAAATTATTGACTTGCAAGCACCTCAAAAAAATGATTCAGATGAATTGACGATTGAATCCATGTCAGCTGTTATTGCTGCTGCTGTTCAACTGTCTTCTGCAGGAGGACAACCTTCTTCACTTTCATTAGGCAGTGCATCCATCTTACAACCATTTTCTAAACTTGAAAAGAAGCAGCGCCGATTTTCTCTGTTCTCTTGGAAAAAGCCTGCACAGACATCAACATCTCCTGTTTCGCCTACCACACCTTCTACACCTGGATTGGAGCACTCACATTCTCTTGAATCTTGTATTTCCTCCAATGCTGAAGAGGAAGAAGAAGATGCTCATACACCACGCAATTCATCCTCTTCTGCTGTCATTGTGGACGATGGTCGTGACGAACTTGTCTATCGTGGTATTCAGATCAAAGAAATCAAAACTACATTAAAGCCATTGGTTATTTCAGATGAAGTGCGTAACCCAATGCCTCAAGTAAAGCTTGAGAGACCTGGCTTTGCTCGTATCAATTATTAAGTCATTGTTATTTATATACATATTTTTATATTATACCTTTTTTTATCTGCTTATGGTTGATCATTGTACATCTAAATAAATCCTTTCTCTCTCTCTCTCTCTCTCTTTTTTTTTTTTTTTTTTTTTTTTTTTTTTTTTTGTTCTGCCACACACCAATTGACATATTGAAGTTAGCTTGTGTACGACCCTGATGTAAAATACAACATGGCCGGGAAGCTCACTTTGGAGCATCAGAAATGATTAGAATTATGTATTAGACACTGCAGTTTTCAGTTGTTGTTTTTGAAAAAAAAAAACAAAATTAATTCTGTAGCTCTACTCATGGCTTTCCATATAAAAGAGCCATGTTTTCTATCTATTGTTAGATACAGAACCTAAATCTCTATCAGAATAAAACATTTGACATTGTCACCATTAAAACCCAGCGTCTCACCTCGCCAAATGCTTTTGGTCATGAATTATGCAAATCAAGGTCTTTTTCTTTACCGTATACAGGATAAAGACATTCCCGTTTAAGGGTTATGTGTATAGAGTCGATATATGCTTATCTAAACTATTCAAAGCCCCTCCTCCCACTTTATTATATATTTAAACAGATGGACATTCAATTGCAAAACGTAGAAAGAAGTAAAACAAAAAAATCATTCGATTTAATAGCTTTTTTTAAAAGCATTCTGTTTCTTTATAGTTTAGCATCCCTTCTTCTTCTAAGTGAGTAAGCCAATATGCATAATACGAAGCATGGCTTAAAACAAGAAAATCTTTGTGTGACTCGACCATTTTTCTTTTTTTCTTTATATAATGATATCACTTCGAGACATATTGAAGGCCATCACACAGTCTGTACGTAACGCGACGCCTGAATCAGAAGGTCAAGCAGCACTAGACGTGATTGAACAATATATCGATGAGCAAACAAGTGCCAATATTGGCGATGTAGCTACTACACTTGCTCATATCGATCCAGCATCTGTTGACAAACTCTCACAAGAACTTGTTCATCTGTACGAAACCACCATGATCACACCTACTATTCTATGCAAACCCGATAAACAAAACGCACAACACTTTATTCTGCTAAGTTGCTTGCGCGCCTTATTGCCTATCTTACGACCCAATAAGATATTTGATGATTGGTGGTACTTGTTACAGCCCATATTGACATTAGCTTCCTATACCAATCAAGTCAAGAAAGAGACACGCTTAATTGTGTCTGACGCATTGATTATGGAGCAAGAATTGGCTCGACAACACCATTCAGAATGCGTCTATTTTTATCGTATTGTGGACATGTATCTTGATTGGGCCGAAAATCAACATGCTCGACAACCCACTGTACCAGAAACAGACGAGGAAGCAACAAGTCAGTCGCACCAAGTCTTATTGGACTTGGAACAAGATGAATGGTCTAAAAACTTGACAACCATTTTGTTATCTGTGGGTGCTTCCGAGACAAAAGTAAGTGGATGTGGTTAGACATCTTGTGTGTTCACTTCTTGTTAGCAATTCTTTTTGCTGTTGAACAAGTATTTTTTATCAAGCAAACATCGATTACAGATTGTGTATTTATTAAGTGAATTTATGCGAAGAAGGGTAATTTTACCAGACAAGAAAACGTAGACAGTAATTGACTGATATACTAGAGAACACATTTGCATGAAATTCTTGATACCCCTTTATTTGAATCCATGCTGAAATCACTCATGTACGATAATTCAACAACACTGATTGCTATTTCAGTCACAAATCTGATCATGTTGTTACCCCGTATGTGTACTTCTTTACCTCGCTTTTTACCACAATTGTTCTATATCTTTGCCAGAGCCATTTGTTGGGATCAGTTACGAGACTTGAGAAAGAAACAGACCACAAACATGTACACACGCATAGTAGAAGATGGATGGGACTGTGTTGGTATGAACCCAAGAAGAAAATGACATTTTTTGATATTCATGTTTTCTAGACTATACCTTTTCAAAACTATCAGCACCTCCTTCGAATCCTCAAACGGGTGCTTTCTTTACATCTCTCTATGGTCTTTATCCTTGTAACTTTCTCAAGTTTCTGTATAAACCTTATGTTTATTTCAAACAGAATGAATTCAAAATACCAGAAGAATTTGATGAAGATACCTTTAAAGCCAGGACAATTGTAAGTATAGCCCGCCATAAAAAAAAAAATAACATGCATTGATTTCATTAGCCTCAAGTGACACGGCATATGCTTCATCCTAATCTAGTAGTCATGGACGCACAAACTGAATTGACCGACAAGACACGCTGGATGAAAATGGAGCCACCAGATGTGATTGCACAAATCATGAGTCTGGACTTGACTAATGCTGCTTCTCGAGTTGCTTTTTCACATGATGAAAAGAAACAACAACAGGATCTTCTGGATGAAGATTTATGGGTCGATAAACCCAAAGAAGTCATACAACAACAGACTGTGCCAGAACCATCTAAGCCAAGCATGGTCTCAAACATCGTCACATTACACAAAGCATTAAAGAGTGGAGCAGAAGTGCTTGTGGATAAAGATATCTGGGATGCTTCTTTACCTATGGAAATACAAGACAACCATGAACATGCATCTCCAGCACAAGACATGTCGAATGAAACTAAATTGCTTGTAGCTGCTTTAAAGAGAGAAGTGTTGTTATTGAGAAACGAACTCAATTTTGAATTGTTCTTGAAGCAACAGCATTTGCAACACATTGGTAGACTACATCGAGAACATGTACTTGATACTTCTGTTGAAGCAGAAAGACAGCAACTTTACAATACAACACGTATGCTTAAGGCCCAATTAAACCAGACCACACTCGCATTTGAAAAACTGAAAGCAGAATCAGCCTTGACAAAGCAAAAGCATATCAAATGGGAAGATGAACAGTCTGTCAAGTTACGCAATTATCGCGAACAACGTAAAGAATGGCAGAGTCAAATGGCCCGCACAGAGCATCAAGTGAGTGATTATGAAAAGCAGTTGAATGAACAACGCGTACAATTGGACCAAGCTCGTCAGCGTATATTTGAACTAGAAAATGAGCTCAAGACATTGGAGCCTGTATTGAATAGTGCAACAGAGAATGAGCATCGTGTTAAGCAGTTAACACAACAAATGCTGTTATGGGAATCCAACATGTCTCATATGGAAGAGCAGAAACGATATATCAAGGGATTGCTTTCTCAGTGGTGGAGTATGGAAGAGTTAGTAGCTAGTCTCCAGACAGAGAACCGAAGACTTCAAGAAGATCAAATGTAAGGCAAGTCAAAATACATATAGATCACTAAAGGCACAAATAGCCATAAAGAAGAAAATCTAGAGAAACTTAGGGTACAATTGACAGATTGTCAATCCAAATTGGAAGGCTTCAAGACATTCAGTCATGACTATGGTTCAACAGAAATAGATCACTTAAAAGATACACTTGAAGAACACAAGAAACGCTTAGAAGCACTTGAGGTAAGCACAGATACACATATGCTTTACTTATTATATTAGATTGAGAAACTGGAATGGGAAGCACAAAAAGAAACCTTTGTGCATAAAGAAATACTTGTTTAAAATAAAGCATTTGATGCTTGAATAAGCACACCTTTTGATTCCAATTGATCTAATGTGACTTGCCATTGTTTTGCATCCACAGGCTTGGTACAATCCTTGACTAATACTGTCTTGAATCCAAATTTGATAGAGTCTAAGCAAGTGAATTTAACGCAAAAGTCTGTTGCTAATCCAACAATATAGACAGTATCGACAAAATGTTGATAAAGTATCTTGGCTAATGTAGTTATTTCGTTGTATTGGTTATCAGCAAACCCACTGTACGAATCTACATATGAATTCATGCCTTTCTGTACAATGCAATCAATGGTTTTTAGGTCTAAACTCTCTGAAAATGCTGCACCAGAAGAGTGTTGCTATACATACATATATCAGCATGGTACTATCAGCATTGCTCCCTTTTTTTTCTTACTACACAATGATCTGGCCACATTACTTGTTTTATGATCTGACCTTCATATTCAATTTGCTTCACATCAAATACGTTCACATCATCATGATTAGAAGCAAAACTGATGTGATTTTGTGGATGCCAGTCCTAGTTGACATTAACACTTGAGATGCATAATAATGACTTGCCTGAGTTGCAATCACTAAACCGTCCTTTTGCTTTATCTGTCTTATCAGATGAAGGACAGGTTTCAAAATACTGTTTGAATCAGGTACAGCAAGCGATCCTCCTTCTAGGAAGTCATTTTGAATATCCACAAGAATAAGAGCAACCTTTTCAGACATGATGATAAAATCAAAAGGGAAACGCGCTTTTTATTTTCATTCTTTTTTTTTCATAATGGAAACACAGGCTTTTTTCACAGAGAGTAGAGATATTCTTGACGCTCATGTAAGAACCATTTGATTCAGGAAATAAACTTATGGATCTTGTTTAGCATGATAGACGCGAGCGGATCATTAAAGTATCAAGGTAGATCAGTCAACAATCGTCCCTTTTATATATATATATATATATGTAACATACGTGTGTAGAGATATTACAGCACAAAGTAAAAAGATGATATTTGCACTCCATAGGTAAAAGAAGGTCATTCAATGTATGACTTATGGTGATAATATTTAGAGCTGTTCAAGGGAACAAGAAATACAAAGAAGTCGACCAAAAACAAGCAGAAATATTGAACTTGTTCAAGAAACTGTCTGAGGATATTCAAGGCACAAACTATCATAGGCAAGTGGTTGCATTGTAATAATGTACATTGATGTTTTATTTATCAGATATTCGAGGAGTTTCTCAGGTGGTTTTGAAGAATTTGTAAATAGCTATTTTTGTATGTATGAGTTGATTGATGATTTCTAGATTGAAGCTGTTGCCTTTTATCATTTTATATTACATAAACAAGTGATCACTAAAGAGCAAATCAATAATTACTTTAAAGATGAGCAAGGCAAGATGGTAATGTTCAAGAAAAAAAAAAAAAACTCGATTCACTAACTATTTTCTCAGTGGATTCAGGTCAAGCATGAAGATTATGTAACATTTGGCACAAAAAGAGAAAAATACTTATTTGACATAGATTTTGGGTTTAGCTGATTTTACGGGTGAATTAATGAGACATGCTATTCAAATCGTCTCTTCAGGAAAACATGAAGAGGCTTTGGATATCTGTATTTTATTAAGAAAGATTGATCTTGGTATACTTCCTTTTTTTATATGTTTTCTCTCACTGACACATCCTAATAGATTTTGAAGTCGTGGCGACATTATACATGCCACAATTGAACAAAAAGTTGGGTGCATTAAAGTCCAGTATTAAAAAAGTAGAACAAGGTATGCAAATAATAATAATAATAACAATAAGATATATGTGAGTATTCTCATACAAGGCAGCTGTGTATAACTTCAAGTTGAGAGGCAGTGAATATCCCAGGGAAATGTACTTGTCAATTATCAAAAATCATCAAGAGCAAGAGCAATCACAAGAGCAAATCGAATACTAGGAACTATTGCTGTCATTTGAGAGTGGTTGTTGAAGAATAAATCATCAAATACATTTATGGCCCATATGGTTCGTATAAAGTAAAGAGCATTTGCATTGTTATACTTGATTATTGACAATAAAAATTATCTATTATTGTATTCTGAATGTATGCAGTTTTTTTTTTTTTTAGCTTCAACGTCTGATATTGTGATTTATGACTTGAATGCTTTATCCCATACTCTTTGTTTGAAATGATTCACAAACAATGCTAACAAGGATCAATTGAGTATTGTCAGATGTATATGTAAAAGTTGATGCATTAAAGATGGCTATGATGGTAAGCCAGAGAGCAAGTATTGGTTTGATTTCTTCGAACAGAGGGCATGAAGTTTAAGAGTTACATGTCCACTTTCGTTGTGTTTCTCTTCTTCTGGTTGTGCTCAGCTGAATACTAATGCATTCTGTTATCCAGTGGCAGTCTATTCCGAAAGGGAGCAAGAAGGAGTTTTACCTGAAATGTTCTTTCCGCTCGTCAAAACTGACGAGTATTATAGAACTGTGGAAGGTTCTGAAACAGCTCTTCCTTCTCTAATAATTTTTCAGAGAATCCATGGTTGTCATTGGGCTACATTTAATCTCAAAAGCCCACGAAAAATGATATGGCCAAGGCCGAGCCATAACCTTTGGCGATTTACTTGTAAACAAGCAAAGAAAGAAGCTAGCTACAAGCGATCTCGCTGAAACAGCTTCATTTTGTCTCAAAATAAATTCATTATAAGTAGTCAAAGTGTCACATTCATCAATAGCCATAGAACAATTTTCATTTTTTATAGTGACATAGATTGCTTTTCATTAGGACTTGTCATAAAAAATCTGAAAATAGACTGCCTCTCAAAGAATGCATTTGAATAAAAAGGGGCGATGGTTTTCAAAAAAACAAAAACAAAAAAAAAACAGAACAAAAGATTATTCAGAAGTAAATGAATAATACCCTGAAAAGAAAAATCTGAATTGGCCTAGATGGATCAGCCAAAAAAAAAAGAGGCTGCATTGGCTTGATCAAAACACGTAGAAAAAGGGGTGATAAGAGCATTGCTTCAAGATTATTTCATCGCACTATTTGCTCAGAATGCACTAATGATCAGCAATACGACAAAACGTACATCTACACAAATAAGAAAGAAAAATGCGCATACAGACCAGAGCTAATCGGGTGAGGCCCATACGTCCTTCCAAGAAGATGATATATGCGCACACTCGCACGCTATCGAGACGAGGAAACATGTTTGTGTTCTTTCTATATAATATAAAAGCATCCTAACCATGTTTTCATATTACATAGGGACTAAGAAATATACACGATAACATAAACAAAGCCTTATTATTACATCATAGAGAATTGTAGCATATGGAAGATTGACTTTATATCTACATAGTAATATAGTTTGTTTCAATCAAAATCAAGCGAGTCGGGTATAATGGGTGAACTGTTAATATATATATCTTCTGCATATGATATTTGTGATGATAATTTGACTTCTGCAACCTCAACAAGATATGAGATCAATTGCTCAATTTGCGAGTCAGGGTTTTCTTCTGCAAAGATTTTGTTTTTCTCATGAGATTCTTTGATTTTCTTGAGTGTCTCTGTTGCTTCTTCAATTGTTTGCTATAGAAGTATCTTATCAGCTTCACTGATTGTTAACTCATTCATGCGCTAATAATTACTTTGAGTTTCCAAAATAGATTTGTCATACCCTTCAAATCATTTTCAGCATTTGATGAATCAGTAGGAAGTACACTACTGTCAATTCGGTTCAAGATATACAATTGCTTTGACACTAAACAAAACGCCCAAAGTCGTATTTTGTTATTGGCAGCATGAACAAAACATACTTTTAGTTGCTTGAAGATATCAATGTCAGCATAAACGTATTTGTGTGCTATTTTATGTAACATTGCAAGGAGACCATAGGCGGCTTTGACATAATCTTTAGTTTCTCTCTTGATATCATTGTTGCCAAAAGGTCCTGAAGTTTCTAAAAGCATCAACTCTACACCAGAAATCAAATCATAGATAATGCCGTCTGCATTGTAATAGCTTGCTGTAGAAAGATCTTGTCGTTCTAACTCATCTTTAATCGCTTGTAATCTTACTTCACCAGGCATAAACTCGCATTGAGGAAGAGCATCCACAACAACATCCATAAACCTAAATATGACTCTGAAATTGTATGCTGATTCTGATTTTGAAATTCTTTTTAATCCACACTTGGTAAAGACATGTAAAACACTAAAACAAAAAAAGTAAGTAAATATGATAAAAAGCACAAATGCGATTACAAGATCATAAAGTATTCATAGCAAAAGCTTAGACTTGGATCATTGGTATTCTTGACAGCTAAAGAATTTCTTAACAACACTGTGTGGCAGTTATCCACCGATACTTCCTATTACAACAGTGTTAATTTCAGTTAAAAAGTGGATTAATGCCAACTTACTAGAGCAGAGAAAAAAGTATTGTATTTTGAATCAAATTTCAAAAAGACATCTTGCTTGGCCATACTTAAATGTTTGTTAGTTGTTGCTACTAAATCTTTAGGATAGCTGGCTCTAGTCTGTTTGTTTCCAACTTTGTCACCAAGTGTAATGATACCAAGATACTCCAAACTAAAAAAACAGTTTAGTGATTCTTCTGGTCATGATATAGGTCTTTACCTATAATCGTTGACATCTGTATCATTAAGATTTCCTGATAAAAACAAGTCGATAAATACAGACCAAGCTAACCAGATGTTAGCCGAGCTTCTTGATGTATTACTTGATTCAGACGATTTGGCTGACATTCTGTCAGTCTGTTCGCCCGTAGTATTTGCTTCAACAGCCACATCTTCAACTATAGTTTTTATCTTCTTATTTGGATTGAGAACCTCATTGAGAACCTCATTTTCTTTGGATGCGCGTGCATATACTCTTTTACTGAGATTCCTGTTTTCAATAGCTACAGTCCAGTAATCATATGCATCTTCGCTCTCTAAAACCTACTGGAACCTTTCAGTACATGTTGTTAATATGATCCTTAATAAAAACTTACACCAAAGTTTGCTTTTTGTATTGCATTTGCGAATGAAATCAAAGGTTTGTTTTTTGGTGTCTTTTTAAATAGACAAATTGAGTGAATAATTGATTTGAAAGCTTTATCACTATCGGCTTTTGTTCCAGTGCCTAATTCAGCATAAAAAGTATAAATACCTCGACATTTTATAGCAATTGAAAGATAACATTTCCTGGAGAAATAAAAAGTCCTTTATCGAGAATTTGCCTTTGGGAATGTTTTCCTTTAAATAAAAGAAGTTGATTCGACAGAAATAAGGGTGTACATAGAATGGGTGCGTCATCATTTTAAAGAAAACAAAATGCAGTATCAGCAAAAATTTGTATTATTAACAATAGTTTACAGTTCAGATGAATGATGGTAGATGCGTAGAATTGTATACAAGTGTATCATTGCAACTGATCCCAGACGACTGTCTTGGCTATTGGCTAACTGGGATACGACTAGTATCACGCAGAGTAAGGTGATTCTTACTTTTGCACCATTAGCGACAGTGCTCTACGATAAGATATCTTGGGGGGGATACCCTGAGACTCTGAAAATACGAGCAGCAGTATACAGCTATGGTTTCATGCATGGCGAAATGACAAAGGTACGACGACCACGCTTGTATATCTAGTCCCGCTAATAGAGTCTGTTTAGCTTTCTTGTACTGACAAGACTTTAGTATCACTGCAACTGATCCCAGACGACTGTCTTGGCTACTGGACGCTCATCCCTATCGCAATCTGATGTTTGTGCTTACACAAAAGCAACAAGTAATATGGAGGAGAACAGTATTAATAATAAAGTTAGAAATAAATGTAACAAAAACCAATCTTTAACGTCATGAATTATGAATATATCTGCTCAAGAATAGTATCAGGAGAATAGAGTAGAACATGAGATACATAAATAACATTTATATTGTTACTTGGATTAAAGAGGCTCTTGGATCATGATACCTAAGTTCGAATGACAAGAAACTAGGAGGGTGACATTTAATGGTTCTCGGTTCAGCATCTAAATTTATTCAGCCAGTGGTTGATACTGCTGTCCAAGCTGTTAGTCTTTCCTTTTTCTTTGGAATCGGGCTCACAAGTCAGCTACAATCACTTTCTTTTCCTTAAAAAATTATATAGGCATACAAAAATGGTTACTTTTTGGAGCGGATGGAGTGTTCTCTAGTCATCCCCTCTCTATCCAGTACTCTACAAGTCGACCATCACCCTCATCGTACTTGTGAGTACACCCTAATTTGTGCAGAATCAGATGAAGCCTCAGCTAGTACTGAAGCCGACTAAAATGACTCAGCATGGATAATGACCTTGAAGACAGAGCTTCCGATGTTGTACTTTTCAATTTGAAGCATAAATCGGATATACAAATGTCATTTTAAGTACTTGAAAAATTCACACAACATACATAGATGGTTGAATAAAGAGTATTTCTGATTGTTTCAATTTATTTTATTTCTTCCATTACGAGGCTGTGGAGCGAAGATCCAAATCTTCTTCTCTTTCTATGACAGTATGAAGGTGTTGTAAAGCCTTTTTATACCCGCATGAACACTCTGAATACCTACAAACAGTGCCAAGTAGCATTTATGGTACCTTCAGAGTCTATTTGGATCGAAAAAAGTGACATATAAAATTTGGTCGAAATACGTCTTTCAACCAAAGGGCAATACTCACGAAAAGAGCTCATTTCAAGTATTTAAGCTTGTTTCTTTTTTTTGAACAAATTTTATTTGCCGTACATATTTTGTAGCACTCTAAGGATATATATAAAGGTAAATAATCAAGCGAAAAAGGAGGAAAATAAGAAGGAGAGAGGAAGGAATCAGTCGAAACAAGTTGTATCTTTAGTAACGCGGCGGCCGATGCCTGGAGGGTTTGACTGAAGGCTATGCTTGCAAGGAAGGGTTCCTTTCGATGAATGAGTCCAATGGGCAAAATAATGCTGTTTTCATATTTGGCAGCTAATTAACGGTGGCTTGTAGCAGAAAATTTTATCGTACAAAACTTTAGTTCCACTTTTTTTTTCTTACCTTTATCTTTTCAATGTCTTTGACTCTCGATTTCTTGCTCCCTCCCCCTCCTGCTTCTTACAAGGCTGACCAAGCCTCTGCTGTTCACAACGGTTTGAGTGGTAAGTCATTCAATAAATATTGACCCATACTTATATTTCATAGCTACCACTGAACGTCTTATTGAACCTGTCGGTCGCCACTTCCTCGCTCACGCCCGTAGAAAGACTAACAACCGCACCTTCTCTGAAGATGAACGCCACCAAGCCGAAGAACGTGCCAACCAAGTCGTTGAAGAAGAAACTGTTGAATTCGAATACGAAGATGTCGACATCAACACTGTCAACCAAGATCCTACTCAATGGAAGCAACAAGATAACTATGCTGTTCTCGGTTTGACTAAGTTGCGTTACAAGGCCACTGAAGATCAAATCAAGAAGGCTCATCGTCGTATGGTTCTCTTGCATCACCCTGATAAGAAGGCTGACAAGAACGACGATGCTTTCTTCAAGTGTATCGCTAAGGCTTACGATACTTTGATGAACCCTGTCACTCGTCGCCAATACGACTCTGTTGATTTCGGTATGGCTCTCATCGAAGAAGATGTGCCTACTGCCAAGTCTGAAGGTGACTTTTACGAATTGTGGCGTCCTGTCTTTGAACGTGAAGGCCGTTTCTCTACCAAGCAACCTGTTCCTTCTCTCGGTGATGCCAACTCCACTAAGGAAGAAGTGGAAGCCTTCTACGATTTCTTCTACAACATCGATTCCTGGAGAACCTTTGAATGGCTCGATAAGGAAGGTGCTGAAGGTTCTGATAACCGTGATGACAAGCGTTACCAAGAAAAGAAGAACCGTGCTCAACGTGCTCAACTCAAGAAGGAAGACAATGCCCGTCTTCGTAAGCTTGTCGATACTTGTTTGAGTGTTGATCCTCGTATTGCTATCTTCAAGGCCGAAGAAAAGAAGAAGAGAAACGCCAAGAAGGATGCTAAGGCTGCTGCTGATAAGGCTGCTGCTGAAGCCGCTGCTAAGAAGGCTGAGGAAGAAAGACTTGCTAAGGAAAAGGCCGAAGCTGAAGCTAAGGAAGCTGCTGCTGATGCCAAGAAGAGCAAGGAAATGGCCAAGCGTGTCATCAAGAAGGAAAAGAAGACCATCAAGGCTCTTGTCAAGGACAACAACTACGCTATTGAAGGTGACGCTCCTGCTACTGCTGAACAAATTGATACTCAATTGTTCAAGCTCGATGACATTCTCGCTAAGAACAAAACTGCTGAGCAACTCGAAGCCCTCCGTGTCTCTTTTGAAAAGGCTGTTGCTGAAAAGAAGCTTCACGAAGCTTTTGCTGCTGCTCTTTAAATAAAGGATTTTGTGATTTAACACTTTCTAGATCAGATAATTGTTTACATGACATCATTAGAATCTGATAATCAATTTATTTAGATCATAATCTTCCTTGCTCCATATCAGAGTCATCATCATCCAAAAAACTTTCATCTAAACCTCTATCACGATCTAAAGCAGTGAATTCTAATGACGGTTCGCGTCTGTTATCCAAAATATCGTCGAAATCAATTCGAGTTGATCGAGCATGAAGCGAGTATTGGTTTCTATGCGTTATCAGCTTTACTATTTTATCAGCTAATTCTTACTTACTTTCTCAGCATCATGAATAGACGAAACAACTGAAAGCCATTTCGAATGACCAAAAGTATTGTGTCAAAAATGGCTTCACTTCGCTCCCCCACTGAGCAACCTGTTGTCAGCACAATCAATGTCACTGCGCATAATACCACCAAAACAATATCAATCGTATTCCATATTGATCTCCAGTATTGCTAATATATGCTCATAAGTATCATAAATCCAATTTTCAATCTAGACTTACTCTACCAAGAGCCAATAGTCTAGTTGTCACTTCAACAATCATTGCCACATTGATAATAGCCTCAAATACTATAAACATAATGGAAGGACTTATTCATAATAAGCAAAGTAAGCTATAGACTGTATGAGGTTTACCATTTTTCTTCCAATGACTATAGACATAAATTAGCCAAGTACTGTTTATAAAGCTTGTCTTACCATGACAATGGTGATAAAGCTTAGTATGGCTAGTACTAAATACAATCCAATGTAAAACTTTGAATACATGAACCGATTTGCCATCCCTCTTACTATTTCCGATTTAGTGAGTTGATGTTGAGTTCGTGAGGAAGGCAGTAGGGTACTGAATCGCACTTTTTTTTTAGCCTTGATGATTTGAATCTTGACAAACGTACCTGGTATGGTCTTCATCGGAAGCAAGCATATGCATTCGGTCATCGTCTTCATCTAACGGCATATTATAAACAAAGGGAAAGGAAAAGAAGAAGAAAAAAGAGAATCTTTAATATGATAACATTATTAAATGAAAGCGGCCTGCACTTTAAATTTAATCCTCGCTTGGTAAAGGACCTGAGAATTGGCCATGTCTTTCTCGGTAAATATGCTTATATTCATGTCCACCAAAGCTGTGATGCAGTAATAAGTATTCCCATTCTCTTTCCCTTATGCACCTACCTTTCAAGCAAAAATTCAGTCAACAAATAGTACACATTCTTATTGGCGTTGTGATGTCTAATAGCATGGTTACTATCAGGATAGATTTGTACACGGTAATTGTGGATATCACTCAAGGTAAACTTGTCTACTAGAATAGCTGTATGTTGAAAGTGAACTAGTGTTGTCTGTTAACAGAGTATATTCAGATCCTATTATCTTTACCATTATCATCTCCTGTGCCATGGGCCAAAAGATATCTTGCATTTCTAAATCCAGTCATGTTGTTTACAGCACTCACTTCATATCCCTTGGGATTTAATGCAGGCGTCTTCATGTAACGCTCGGTATAGACAGAATCTAAAGCATTATATCAGTCATGGTGACAACAAACAATCTGTTTACCATAATAACGCCAATCAGTGACAGGAGCCACTGCCATACCAGTAGAGAATACACCATCATTGGATTCGATCACTTTGGTTGTCATATAGCCACCATAAGACTAGATAGCATAAATACATATAACAAATATTATGTTGTCAACTTACCCAACCCCAAATAGCCATTCTGTAAGAATCAACATAGTCCAATTTGGCCCAATGCTTGCCTGCATTGACTTGATCAATAGTTTCGAGTCCACCTAGTCTTTCTCTGACACCTACTCTGTATTTTCTGCCTTTGAAACCTGTGCCTCTTCCATCCACCTAGGTTAGAGTTAGATATAAGTCTATAAAATACATTGAATACATACTGTAACCACAATGAAGCCTAATTGGCTAGCTACAAATGTTTGCCAGTTCAACTCAAATCGATGTGTCACCAATTGAGATCCAGGTCCACCATACACATGGAATAAGACAGGGTATTTTTTGCGAGCATCAAAATTTGCTGGCACAACTTCCATGGCTGTCATTTCTACAACATAGGTTAGTTTGTATCATAGTATATAGATGCCCTACCAAAGCCATCACTTGAGATGGTCTTCATACGAGTTTGAGGCAAATCATAGTCTTCCAAAAGTGCTCTTAACTCTGCATTGTCTTGCAAGACAGCACTAAATGCATCATCATCTACTTTTCTGACAACTATGTTGGGAATACCAGGTCCTTCATAATTCAAGATATAATAACCAGATTTAGGTGAGAAGGATGCAGAATAATAAGCATGTTCTTCAGGATTCTCAGGGCAAGTAACACAAGTGCGAGAATGAGGGTCTTTGAGTGATATCTTGTATAAATGACGTTCATGAGGTGATCTCTCTGTAGAGATAAAATGGCTAACGTATATTAGTCAATGTATATATGCGATCATGCTTCTACTTACACAAGTTGACGCTTTGAGTCTACTTGAACTGTGCCTGCCACAACTTCCCAATTGCCACGAGTAAGCCAAGTAATTTTGGACTTTTTGCCAGCTGTGATAATAGCCAGATGAGAAAAACCATCTTGGTTGTCCAAGATATCCAAATAAGAAACGTCCACTTTTGTGCTATTGTTCGTTGGAGGTAAATACACCATGTTTTGCGCAATATCAATCCATCCACCATCATTAGGCTTATATTCACGCACCAACTGGATTGTGCTGTTTTCTAAATGAACACTATCAATATTGACCATGTTGGTATATTCATGATCTTGAATACGGTTTGTTTGTTTAAACAACAATTGAGTATGAGATTCTGTGGCCCAAGCAACATCCACTATTAAACGGTTTGTCTCCTTGAAATCTTTGATATGGCTAAGTGCTTTAGCACCAGATCCAGTGGAAGCAGTGATGGAAGGATCAGTAGAGAGCGAATAGATATGCAAAGAAACAAGAGGATTAGGAGCGCCAGCTTTAGGATACTTGATGTTATCTTGTTTAGGGTAAGATGCATTGCGATCTCGAGTGTACATTTGTAAATGATATTCTGGTACACTAGTTTCGTCTAGTCTCAAATAAGCTAAATGGCTCGAGTCTGGTGCCCACCATAAAGCGAAATTGGAAGCTAATACCTCCTCTATTATAGGAGATCAGTACAAGAAAAAAATCATATATGATCTACCTTCGTAAACCCAGTCAGGGATTCCGTTAAATACAGTCTTGGAACCATCAAAAGTAACTTGTCTGTGTTTGATTAAATCAGTAACATAGATATTGTTATTCATGACATAAGCTAATTGATGTCCAGTTGGACTCCATGCAGCATAAGAAATCTTGGGTTTAGTATGAAAAGTTGAATTGATGTTTAATGGTCTCATTGTCTTATCAGACACACGATAGATGTATGCATTAAATAGGGCAGAATGCCTCCATTTCTATTAATATGTTAGCTCTAGTAATTCACTGAATATGTGGCCTTACAGTAGTAACATTGGTTCTGAATAGTAAATATTGAGCATCATGAGAGAGTTCAAAAGATTCTACATCAAGTATACCGTTTTCAATTTCCTATACAGTTTTAGAAAGGAAGTAGAATGTACAGCAATATTTACAAGGTCCTTTTCTTGGACAAACACTTGTGATTTTCTATCTTCAATGGATTCCAATAAAATGTCATTGGAATGAGGACTGCGGTAAGTATAAATGCCATCTCTAGGATCTACAGCAAGAAGCGATAAGTAAATCAACTAATCAATCATGCATTTACCATTTTCGACCCAGACTAAACTAGTTCTCTTTACAGAAAAAGAAGCATTAAAAATATCTTCGAACTGGACTTTTTTATGCTCTACAATTTCCACGGGCTGTTCTGGATTTACTATTCTATATAGTCAGTATAGTATATTTAAAAAAAAAAAAGTTTTGATTGCTTTACAGCCTGAAAATACTTGAGTCATGGAAATAGACCATAATATCCAAGCAAATGCCAAAATAGACAAGAATCCAACACAAATCCAATTAAAGCCCTATGTTTCCTGACTTAATATACATAATAACTATATGCTAATACCTTTTTTTGGTATTCTGCTTCAATAAGGCCCTTCTCGTCTGAACGAAACAATAGCTCTTCTGTCTCCGAATCACTGTTGCTGACATCCGAAAGCCTTCTTTGTTGACTCAAAAGACGTTGACTGGCAGTGCTACCAGACTCTTCGTCGTTATGGGTAAAATAGCTTTTAAAAGCCATAATTTCTCGAGAAAAGAAAAAGGAAAAAAGAATGGGAATGAATTCCAGTGTATTGTCATACAACAGAATACGCTATATGGATAGGAGAGAAAAAAAGTACTAATTTTAGGAGCTCGAGTATTTCATTACAAGTGTGAGCTATTCCAAGTTATTATATGCATGTCATAAAGTTTAGCTTTTTCATAATTAAATCCTCTCTTACTGCCATCAACTACATGTTACACAACGCTCAATGACTCTCTCTCTTTATTTTGACTTGATGCAGTTCATCTATCTGTCATTCGGCTTGAATCAAGCACGAATAAAGAAATTTGCAACTGAAAAGGAAATAAGTATAGTGTGTAACTCTGATAAGATGCAGGTTTTTCTGCTATATTTAATAAAACTTTTTATTAAAAGGGGTAAAAAGCTTTGGGGTTCTGCTTGCAGAGAACAAAAAAATACAATGATTAGTTAGAACAAAACCTGCTAAGCTTAAGATTTATCCAATGTCTGTTATGAAGCAGCTTCTATCTAGCGAGGAACAGCTTGATTTGGCATTGCTTGTAGAACCTAAATGATATAAGTTTACATACTTCTCTCGGAAAGAAATTATATAGATATTTTTTCAGACAAATTTCAAGTGATGAATGTGTGGCTCTTGCCATGCATCTCTTGAATTTAATATTTGTGAATAAGAACATAAAAAATGCTTTATTGTGCTTTCCAACAAAGTGCTAATTCAGATACAATTGCTCCATATTGACATTTATCAGGTGTGTTGGACAAAAATAAGCGTAGTCCATGAGGCTGACAATAAGCACTGAGGCTTACGACTAATGAAGGGAAGCTATATGTGCTGAATGTAATTGCTGCAAAGGAAATCGTTCAGCAATGACATTGTGCTTCGGGACAAAGATGGCATAAATAAAAATCTTGTCTCAAGCTAGAATGACTCATGCTGCGGAAGCCTTGAATGAGGTAAATCCCGTTAAACATTACTTTACTTTCAGTTTGATGTATACAATAGTTTCTGGAGAGACTACTTTTTTTCTGTTTTTAGAAAAGAAATAGAGCGGTGCCTTGTTCTACTTTGAATATCAAATACCTTTTTCTTGCCTCTTGAACCAAACCAACAAGGAGAAATAGGACGTAGACAAGATACATGCTAGAGTTATTTTAGACTTGCAAGATAAATTCAAAGAATGACTTATATGTTACACGGAAAACGCGTTGTTTGTTCTGCATAAAAGTGGCCATATGTTGTCATTCAGCTTATCTCTCTGAGGCATATGAGCAATTTAATTGAGTTTGAAACAAAGCACACAAAACAACAAGAGCAGTAAAAAATTCCTTTTCGTTATAATATTTTAAGTGCCTCTTTTAATAGAACTTGTTGATGAATTACAGTATTTTCTGTTACATTTGAGAAGATTATAGTTTTTTTAGACCAATAGAAAAGTTTTTGAGAATTATACTTTGTTTTTGGGAAGTCTTCAAAAAAAAAATTCGAGAGCTTTTTAAAAATTGAGTTTTTTCGACGATTTCCTTTCTTTTAGATTAGACATCTTTAGATAAAAATGGACTACGTTAAGAACTTCCATTTTTCCAATCAGAGCTCTGGTCCATTTTCTCTTTTTTCAGTCAATCAAATCTCTGTATTCTAGTTCAACTGGTCCAACTGGTCCAACTGGTCCATTTTTTTTCTTTCTTAGCCAATCAAATCTCTATATTCTAGTCCAACTGAGGCTGTACTGGAACCTTTTCAACAATATTTAAGGATTTCTGTTATGGACATAAAGTTAGACGAAAGTGAAGACTTGGGAAAGTAAGACTACTTTATTAGAAGAATTGATAGATATTTACGACCGTCTATAACAAGGTTTTCTACAATCAGAATCCTTTAAAATGCTAGGATTATCAATAATATCGTCTCGGTTATAATACTTCATGAGCCCAGTAGACGCAGAGAGGTCAATGATTATTTTTTTGATGGAACCATGAGCCCTAAAAAATCATTTTTAGCAAGAAGTGATTACTTTTTTTCGTATAAGAAGACTTACACAATGAAATCATATAAATCACTGGTATTGGTTGACAGACCGGCGAAATCAATCGCTACTAGACAGTTGTTTTCTGATGTGCAAATATATTCCAATAAATCTATATGATACTGTGAGTGCTTTGATTAGAGTTAAGTGTTCTACATTCATTACCTTGCGTGTTTCCATGCACTTGGCTCAAAAGCGTCAATTGGGCATTTTTTTCATTCGTGTCGCGGGATGTAATAGTATCATTTGCCCGCGATGACACAGTGACAAATACTTTATCCACAAGCAACGCGTCATACAATCTGTTGACCATTTTTTGAATCAAACCCACTCTCACTTTCTGATGTTGCTGACCTGAAGACTTTCTGGCGTATCCAACGACTGTTGTTGTGAGAAGAAGAGAGAATAGATATTAAATAAAAGAAAAGGTAAGAACACAGAGAAAGTCCGTTAGAGCTTGTATAGGCTTTTATTTCTCCAAAAAATGTTGTCTTTCAATTGCTATAAAATGTCGAGGTATTTATAGTTTTTCTTCTCAGTCAAAATATTGTTTTGGGGTTAGCTTCTTAACTGCGGATTAATTTGTCAGATCAGCAGCAGTTAAAAGAAATGCCTTTAGGAAAAGTTGTCAGCTCAGTCAATAGTACATGATCTGACCTGAACTTGTATAAACTATTACATATTTATCATCTCTAACTGTCACTTTATGAGTGCCATTAATAATAACAGAGTCACTAGGTTCATAATCTCTGACTATGAGGATGATGTAGTACTTCTAGCAGAATGAGTAAATGCCAGTGACTATAGATCCATTGCAATTGCCATATATGTGATCTGGTCTTTTGCCATGATCATCATTTATTGATCTATACATATGAATTCATATATGTTCACAACAACTGTGAAGTTGTTTTTCTTGAGGTTCTTGACGTATGCCTGGTACTTTGGCAGATGCTCCGTGATTGATAAGCAATACCATTCAAATATTCATCTTTTAATGTCCATAAGACTCGATATCGAACCTTTGAACCGTTTTGATCCTTCAATGCTTTTCGTTCCTGTTCTTGGTTCATGTATAAAACTTTTTTGGTGTTGCACCACTTTATAAAAGATAACAACGATTTCTCATCAAATCTAGTTGTATATAACATAATCAAAGAAGAAATATCCCTGGATGAGACTTTCTTTTATGTAAAGTGATTCGCTTTATGGTTCAGTTGGGACTGTTGTGAACATATAGAATCTATATACATGTGATGATCTGAACATTAAATAAGTCTTCATTTACATACTAAAATACATCATAATCAATTTACATCAGAAATAGACATAAAAGAACCTCTTGTACTGAATAAGACAAAGTATCTTTTAATAGATCAAGACTTATAACCGAAATCCATAATTTACATTATTTAGTTAATTTAAAGTAGTCTATGATAATAGAGACTCAGTCATTTGCATGAACTCTACTACTACTTACTCCGACATCTCTTCATATATAAATACCTAGAGAATGAAGAGCTAGAAAACGATATATATATATATTTGGATAATAAACCTATACAAGTTCTAATCGACTTCTTTGTTTTTATCTTCTCTCTTACATCACAACAGCGATTATTGCTTTTCTTTTGAATCGTTCTGGACGGCCTTCACCCTTCCAAATTGACTTAGCAATTTTCATCATATTCAAACTAGCGTTGATGTCACGCTGCCATAATGTTCTGCACGTCTTGCAAACGAGAACACTACTACCGCGGGCACCACTAATACCACCTAAAGTCCTACTTTCACATTTGGAACATATTTGGGACATCAAATATTCATCAATGTCCACAACGAGTAAGTCACCAGTCCTCTCTCTTCTTTTCAACGTTCTGTATAGAAGACCAGTGACACCAGTCCGGACTGTTTTCATCTTCACATGGTCCTTCCCAGACATGCCACTACCGAATACTATCAGTGGTACCTTTTGTTTGTATTGAAAGAAATTGCTTTCTCTAAGTACCATAGACTTATGAGTAAAAATTATTGTTGTTTTCGGTGCCATTTTTCTCTTTCCTTTATCCTTCTTTCCGGACTTATTCCCCTTCTTCTTCCGCTTCCCTTTGTTCTTTGCTCTTTTTCGTTTGTTTCTTGACTTCTTGTTGTATTTCTTGATACCATCTAAAAACATTTTCACCATTTACTCCGGTGCTTGTTGGCGACCCTGGTATAAGAAAAAGGTTTCTTTTACAGTTTCTTGATTGTAAAAACTGAAAATACGACCAATGTTTTCGAGCATATATACAGTGATTCATTGGCAGTCTTATTGGTAGGTATATTTGTTTCAATCGTCTTAATACCGCATGCTTTCTTTTTCCTCTCTTGCTCTGCTGAGAATTTTGTAGAGCCTGTCAAGTGGTAATATTCCTTGATGGAACATTGTCTGAAATCGTTAATATTACCACTTGAACCAGCAAAAACAGTTAAAAACCTTTTTCTTCCTGGATCTACGGCTATTGGTAAATAGTGGCTGTCAACTTCATGCTGCTCAAAACCATCCAGGATTCAGATCAACTTGATTGATTTGCTTGGTTAAACGTTTTTCTGTGATTGTTCGTTTGTCAAAAACAAAATCAACAGAAAAACCGTCTGATCTTATCAGGTTACCAAAGAGCCTCTTATTTGTTCCAGTGGGTAATAAAGATCCAATCCTAATAATAAACATATTTTAAATGACTATTATATAAAAACATTTTTTTACAACTATGTACTTACGATTTGATTCTAAGCGGTTTAAAATCAAATACCTTGTAAAATAAATGCAGCTGATTATTATACCCTCTGGGGAATGGTTCACCAGGAAGAAACGCTGCTAATGTATCGACCGAAGTTATCACTGATCGCCAATGGCATGATGGTGAAGGGAATACATTGAACAGCCTTGGTAAAGGAAGTCTTCTAACGTCAAACGCTTTATGGGATTGATGTTCCCTTTCAAAGACAGTCAGTATATGAAACAACAGAGGAATAAAAAAGCCAGGGTTATCAGCTAATGATTTATACTAACTCCAGCATCAAGTTTGTTTTTAAGTGGCAGGCATTGTTCATCGATTCTTCGTTTGATCATAGGGTCTTCAAGTGATTTCTGTTCAGGCCACACCGCTTCACCTTGGCATACATACTGATATCCATATTTTATAACAATATCATCGACATCCTTCGGAGCCATGGACTATATACATAATATTTAAGTATTTAGAGTAAATGGATGTGATTATTAGCTCTTATAACAAACATAATTTGAATTTGATATTGCAAAAATCTTCTCAATATATTTTCAAGTCTTTCTACAACTGCATTCTCGTAGGTGGTTGCCAGCTCCTTGCAGGCCTCAGTAATGCACTGGCTAGCTCCTCTAATAGCAGATGGAAAACTTAATTTTTCTTTAATAAGATGAACTTCGTTAAAAAACATTATAACAGACAAGTCGATCTAACTATTGTTGATGATCTGGTATAAATGACTTTAAATAAATAAAAAAAGGCATATTATCACAAATAAGTCTTTTCTCATAACAAGAACATTTGTCATATATTATTATTATGCAAGCTAGTCATAGTTTGATAGCAATAAAACTGAGTTCATTCTAAACAATGATATAGCTGAATCAGCATTTACACTCCTACGGAATAGAGTCATATAATTCAGGGACCAGTAAACAGATCTCATCTTGAATGATAAATAACTGTAAAGATGGTTCACAAAGTATATTTTATTGAAAAAGTCAATACTCTTGTTCCATCTAATATAACCTTCAGCTCATCAAGTCCTATCTCAGATTACATCTAAGGACATAATCCAAATCATATATAAACCTAGAATATAAAAAATCTCTCTCGAACTTTTACCTTAATGAATATTTATAAACGGTCTCAAAGTACTTCCTACACGTCTCTTTATTTTTTTATAGTTTCTATATTCAATCTTTTTATTTAAAAAATCCCAAAACACCACAATAACCAGTCATTTTGATATTGCTTCTCTAATAATTGATTTCCCTTTACAGATAAATTTGTAAATGTAAACCCTCATTCATCCAAAAAGCTAATTCTTATGCTTGATACATCTATTCAGATTCCGTCCTTTCAAAAAAAGAAAAAAAAAAGAGTGACGTCGAATTTTTTTTCACCACTTGCTTTTTTCTCCTTTTGAATAAACTCAATGTCATATTCACCAGAACTTTCTCCTGTCGCTTATTCAGACGAAGAAAGAGCTTCTACAGCACCCACTATTAAGCTCAAACTAAAAATTAATCCTTATCCTTCAGTAGAGAAAAAAAGAAAACATAAGAAGAAACATAAAAAGAAGCACAAAAAGTCAAAAGAATATCAAGAGTCCCATGAAGAAGACGATAGTGACTATGAACAAGAGCCACCTGTACGATCTCATGTAGGAGGCAAACGACCTTTTGCTCTCTTACAACAAAAGCAACTGTTACAAGATAGCGAAGAGGAAGAGGAAGAAGAGGAGGAAGACGATGACGATGAATCAGAACAAGAAAGTTATCATCCTACAGATACAAAAAAAGCAAAACATGGTCATCATTATTACGATCAACCAATGCAACAACAACCTCAACAACCCCAACAGCCACAACAACAGCGCAAAATGTCTAAACAAGGCAGAAGACCTTCTGTCAAGACTTTACCTAATGGAGAAAAACCAAAGAAACGAGGTCGTCCTACCAACAAGGCTAAACAAGCAGCCTTATTAGCTTCTCTTCCTCCCAAAGTACCAGAAACACAACGAAAAGACGTGAAATCGATTTTACTCAAACTTCTGGATAATATTGAAAAGTAAAGTATGTTATGTATGGAGGCGAAATACTCATTCATATTTTAGGAGAGACGCTTATGGCATCTTTTTAGAGCCTGTCAACTTAGAACTTGTACCAGACTACCTTAAAGTGATTAAACACCCCATGGATTTCTCTACGATGCGTAAAAAGATTCAAAATGGCACTTACACAGACGCGGATGGATTCAGACAAGATTTTAACCTGATTGTTAGTAATGCTAAACTATACAATGCTATTGATACCATTTATTGGAAAAGTGCAGACAAAATACATGATGTAGGATCCAAACTGATTGATCGTGCAGAGAAACAGATTGAAGAAGAAGAAGAAAAGCAGCAAGATGAAGAATTGAGAAGAAGAGACAGTCTAAGAAAAGATTCATTGGGCATCAAGGAAGAAGATGTAGATATTATGGGCATTGATAGTATACCTACATTGCGTAAACACAGTAGACAAGGATCAGAACGAGAAACCAGTGTTGATATTGCTAGTTCGCGTGCCATTACACCTAATCGAACTACACCTTATAAAAAGAAGAAGAAGAAGGTGACTGATACAGGCGTCCTTTATGGTCCTGATGGATCTCTTCATACTGTAGGAGGAGGTAATTAGCACATGACTTGATGTGGTTTACTCATACTGTATTAGTATCTGATTTAGATACATTGATACCAAAAGAGAATTCGTTTGCTGATCCTCCTTTACTGACGACATCGAATCCTGCTGCACTTCCTTCTGCTTTTTACTTGAACCGCAACTCTACGGATGACTTCTTTCAAAATAGACATTTTGTCCATTCTGCTCATTTTTGTGATTATGGACCATTTACAACACTTGGAGGACAACCACCTGGTGCATTCTACACTGCTCTTGATGCTTCCTATATCTATCCATTGTATGGTGATGATCGAGGAGAAGCTTATATGAAGAGTCTATGGGATTTCATTGAGAGTGATGAAGAGAATGATATCCTTAAACAAAAAATACAGGCTAAATCCAACCATCTGACTCGAGGAGCATGGCAAGTTGTGCAACAAGCATTGGATAGAAAGAACGAAAAACTACAAGGAAGCACATCAACTGAATATCCTACAATACAGACTGAATTTGGACCTGTGGATGCTGCTAAGATTGTAGATAAAATTGAACTCAAAATGCACACTGTTTAAATAAATACATAATTTTTTTTTTTTTATTTTCTTATACAATGGCTGTTGAAGCAAAAAAGGTAGACTATCTTTTTGTTACATAGACTCATGTCCATAGTCAAAATATCGTTTTCAAAGTGAGATACAACAAATGATGTTTGTGTTTGGTGAAGTGTCTGATCCTTTACAAGAAGTGACACTCCTTGTAGAAGATATTGTGCGTTCTCAAGTGATTGAGATTGTAAGTCAACAAAACACATGACTTGTATTGATCATCAGTAGATTATACAAGCAGCAGCACAAGCAGCACGTCGAAACTCACGTTATCTAAGTGCTGAAGATCTGATATTCCTCATGCGACATGATCGTGCTAAAGTCAACCGACTACGTTCCTTTCTTAGTTGGAAAGATGTTCGTAAAAACGCCAAAGACGCCTCAGGAGACCAAGTAGAAGATGTGGTCGAAGAAACAAACACAGGCAAGATCCATCGTAGCATCATCAAGTTACCATGGGAACTGGTGAATCAATTTACAGATGTCATTGTCAAATCGATCAATGGCGACGATGAATCAGAAGATGAAGACGAAATAGAAGCCTATAATGATTCCATTCAACGTCTGAAAGAAGCAGACGATGTGACTCGTGCCATGACGCGGGAAGAATATGTGCATTATTCAGAATGTAGGCAGGCCTCTTTTACCTATCGTAAAAGCAAACGGTTTCGAGACTGGGCCTGTATGAGTTCAATTGTTGAAGTAAAACCGAATGATGATATTGTCGATAGTTTGGGATTCTTAACGTATGAGATGGTCAGTAAATTGACAACTACCGCCATTCAAATTAAACGAGATTTAATGCAAGCATCGGGGCAGAAAGAAGAAGAACCTATTTCTCTAGGACTCAAACGGAAAAGAGAAGGAGAAGAAAGCCCTTCTCCACAGCCAGAAGAGGATAAAGAAGATGAAGAGCATGGCTTGTTCTCTTTACCGAGTACAGAACAAACACCCTTGTTGACAGAACATGTACTAGAAGCATTTCGAAGACTGCAACAAGTACCACAACCCACACGTAATTTCCGTGGTGGACTAGTGCGTACAAGGATCTCCTTGATCTAGTTTTATTATGGTATCATCAGTTATAAAACAGATAAAATAAATAATTAACTCAACAAACATTGGCCAAACACTTCTCGTTGAAAGGCAAATTCAAGTGCGGCCTGATAATGGAACCAGATACCGCCACAAACAAAAAGATGCCAGAATTGATGCGAATGGCCTAAATGGTCAAATTTGCCTGGCCAGAATTTTTCGGGGAATTGGTTGCCATAGACAATCACACCTGCTAAATAGCAAAGAATCGATTTAAACACAGGTGTCAACCAACTGAATGTTGCCTGGACTCCACGCACCACAGTCAAGTGAGCAATCACAAAGACACCTGATGAGGCTAATGCGATAAAAAAGGCAATCCGAAGCCACCTGCGTTCATGTTTATCAAACCATTCTTGAAACGGCATGCTGACACCAATGACAGCCAATGTGGAAGTGAATGAGATATACGTATTTCGGATAGCATCGTCACAATAAAAACCATAGTATTCGCATAGAATGATACTGGCACAGATCAAAACAGAGATACCAACATAATCTAGACAGGCGACTTGTTTGTATACCTTTAGGTTATTGATACCAGAGAGTGTATGCCACACAGTAGAACACATCAGACATTTACAAGCAGCTAAAAAGAAGACCAGAAACACAAGACGGTCTTTGAGTGGGATACTGGCCATCAGTTCAGAAAAGAAGAGTTCATAGATACCAATGCTGAACAGTGCAACAAAACCCAATAGATGAGTCCAGATATTGCCTGTTTCATTATGAAAATAAAAGAGTGAGTACCAACAATCAGCTGCTGAACCCAAAAAGCGGTAACCCGTTCGGATGTACTATGCCCCTGGTGTTAGAAGTGTATTATAATACTTGCTTTAGGACTTACTTGATTATTTTGCCAAGGACCAGGCAGTTCGTCGTACATTAACAAACGGTTGGTGCCAAACGACATTGCATACTTGAGTTTGTCTAGTTTTTCATTGGCTGCACCAGCGACTTCTAAAATCTTTTCTTCGACTCGTTCTCGCATTCTATCAGCACGACCGAGTGCATTTGCAATCTTGGTGTCTAATTCTTCCATTGTAGCCATGAAGGCATCAATCGTATTTTCTATCATTTCACTGTTATTGAGATTCTCTTCAAGTTCATGGTATTTTTTGGATAATTCCATCATGGCACTCAATAAATCAGGCGGTGTCATGATAGGGTCCTGTACTAATTTTTGTTGAAATTCGAGTGCTTGTTCACGTCGCTCTTGCCATTCTTGGCCGAGATCATCGAGTAAATGATATGCTTTTTGAATTTTAGAATATTGGTGAAGACATTCATGGTTGACGACATGTTCAAATTGAGCAAGTCGAAGCTTGAATTTTTTCATTAAGGGTTCAAGACTATTTTGAAAAAAATCTTCAATATCAACATCATCATTGTAGAGTACAGATTGAGGTTGAATAGTCAGTAAGTTCTCCATGATTGAAAAAAATATATAAAGAAAAGAGAAGAAAAAAAATAGATTGAAACAGTCAAATATCACGATTTTATCCGAGCAAACTATGTTCTGCCCTTTTTTTTTCAACTCAAACAATGGGGTCGTCCTTCAAATTCAGAAATTTGGTTGCTTGTTTTAGAAAATAGATTAAATAAATTTAATGGCCAATGAGGACGTATCTTAAAAGCCCTAACTAGTTCCAAAAAGGCAAAGAAACTAAACATTCTTTTAGGATAAAAGGTAAACAAAATAATCATGTGGAAGCAGAAGGAAGAAAATGGATTACAATCATTTCAGAAAGCAAAGTCGCTAATTTTGAGCTCAATGTCGTGCAAAAAAAAAAAAAAGTCATATCATTGGGGAAGAGCAATCACCGATTATCTTTTTCTGACGCAAAGTAACATTAGTGAACATATTTCGCATTAGTAAATGCAACATTGACACTATAAAATGCAATACTGAACCACTCTTTATAGGACATGTTCAAGTCAAGATTTTTTTAGAGCCGCTCTTTTTTCTAGCCGCAGTTTTATGAACCATTCCCTCTCTATCCGGTACTCTGCGAATGCATAAATGCTCTTTCTATTTTTTCAATAGCAAGCACTCCACTCACTCCGAAAAGAAGCACAAGTGTATACACTCTGAAAATATAACTGTTATTAGTTTCTTGGTATATTCTTTTTATTTTTATGAAATGATACACCCTAATATCAAAGAAATTGCTATAGACCATGATGAATCAATTGAGATGTTGGCTCAACACCAACTATTGGAGAAGGTATATAGTTCATTCTCAGATTACTGTTAATAATGACTTTATCATTGAATTCGTTGCTTCAGATAAATCTTCCTTTGATAAATATATTTGTATTACATGAGACAAAACTCAGACATTTGACACCTTTTCACTCTTGCATTTGGAAGAGAAAGCTATTTTAGTATTTATTGAAAAGCACCCTATTTCTTCTGGAATAAAAAAGCAAGAGAACATGTGTAGTATTTCTTGTATGACTTGAGGTTCTGTTCTGTGTTTTTGAAGCCCTGAATAACATAGTTCTTAATTCTTCACAAAAAAAATTCTAGAAGTTAAGCAGAACATGAGATATATAAATAATATTTATATTGCTACTTACATTAGGTTATAAGAAAGAGCAGAGAGTAGAAGGTAGATAAAAGAGAGAAATAAGTTAGCAACAGATATGAACCAGTGTATGTAAATTATTGACACGGATACGAAGAGGTAGTTGAATACCATTATCTTGTCGATTGCATAATTGCTTCAAATCATTACATTCATACTACTACACAATATGACCAACCAATATCAACCTGTGATTGATGCCAAAGGCTGTCATATTCAAAAGTATCGCTTCTTTTCCCGAGACATGCGAGTAAGCTGAACCGACCAAGCCTGCATCACGACTAAGTTGCACGGTTGCATTTCTGAAATTGATTGGTCTGCGATTTCAAATTCAATTGTCCAGCGATCCTAATTTTGATTGGCTACGACATTGCTTGTTGGATTCACTCTTTATCATGCTGTTTAGGCATATAGAGCTCCGAGTTGCGTGATTTTGCATTGCTTGTGTGACTTGAAATGAAGAGAAAGAAAACGCCCATCTTTCTACACTCTTCTTTCTTTTTATTTTTACATGATAATGATTACTGACCTAAGACCTATTGACTTAAGTCTGGCACAAAGTAAGCCTGATTTGATTGCTGTCAGCCCTACTGTCTCTATTCAAACAGCCCTTGGAAAGATGTACAATAACAAAATCACCTCTCTTCCTGTATTCTCACACAACAATACAGAAGTCGTTAGTATTGTCAACCTGTTTGACATTCTTCTCTACCTTGTTCAAGACGCCAAATCTATTGAAAAAGAAAAGCTCAAAGTAAACGACCCTGTCGAACTTGTCCTTGGTCTTGACTCGGACAGAGAAAGCTACCGAATTCATAAAGTAGACAACAAGGACAAATTGATCGAGGTAAGTAATCAAGTCGCGTAGAAAAAGACTGAAAGAAAACAGACTTTACGTGCCTTTGCTTCCGGTAAACATCGTGCACTTGTGATTGACTATGGCAAGAAGGATGAAAAGCCTTGGATTTTATCTCAGACAGACATCATTCGACATATTCTTAACCATCCAGATTCCGTTTCCGGGTTACTTGATTTGGATGCTTGTGTTCAGGACTTGATTTCCAAACAATCACTGGTCACTGTGAATGAAACAGAAACTGCTTTAGCCACCTATCGTCTAATGGCAGCAAAGAATTTAAGTGCGATTCCTGTTATTAACAGGTAAAATTCTAATGTAGTCAACTTGTTGCTAACTTGATATAGTCAAGGTGAATTTGAAGGAGATCTTTGTGTAGAAGATTTGCCCAGTGCCAATTTGGAGCATATTGATCAACTGGGATTTAGTTGCAAAGAATACATCAAGATTACATCAAATCATCTTGTACCTGCCACTGCTACTGCAGATGCTTCATTTAAGACGATTATGAATACGATGATACAACACGACACACACCGTGTTTGGATATTGAACTCTAAAAAAGTCGTTGGTGTAGTGACTATGTCTGATATTATGGGTCTTTTGTGTGTACATCATAAACCAAGTTTGTTTTGAGTATGTTTATTGATATTTATGCATCACAGCAATTGCCACTGAACCCAATGTTTGTCTAATATATTCTCTTTCTACATCATGGCCTAACAAAAGAATGAATAAAACAGGTATTCCATACCACACTTACTGTCTTCTACTTCTCCCCATCGGTCCATTTGAGCATTCATTTCTACGTGAGCTGCTTGAGCTGCTTGTTCAACTGTGATACCATTATGTACAAGAGCAAAGCCAATCAAGAAGCTCTTTGAGCTCATCACAGCCTTTTCAAAAGCTGCTAATTCTAAAGCATCCATCTTTTCAATGATGGTTCTTAATTTAGCCTTGGTTTCTTCTGGTTGAGTAACTGCAAAGATATCTTTTGTTGTGTTGATCTTGACGTCGTATGTCTTTTGGATCCAATCAATAATAGGTGTCCAGTATTTATCTTGAAGCTCAGTCAAGACTTCAGGGAAATCTTCATGATAGCAAATAGAATCTGTATCGAAATATGTGAATAGTTTGTCAATCACAGCAGGTCGAACAGTTGGATCTTCTGTGAGTGCTGGATCGAAAGCATCAAAGGAACGAGCCACAATAGAAGTCTATATCCTGTATAAGTAATGCTGTCTATTTTTTGATGCTTACCAAGGGCAATGTGTGTGCCTTTAAGTTCTTTGTTTGTGCATCCCATTCAGCAGCTGTCATCAAGGCCAATTCTCTTTTCTCGGTAGGAAACTTGACAATATGTTTACTAGGTGTACGCAAGTTACGTTGATCTAATACGACGGTAATACCATCTTGTTCTTCTTTGATACCAGCACGCTTCCAGAAACGAGTCATGGTACGCTCAGCACCTAAAGAATGACATATATCAGTAGAAAGTTTATTTGTAGTTTATATACTTGCGTTGTGTAGCAGCTTCTTCTTTATCAGCAACTGTACGGAATACAGGTGTTGAGTGAAGAGAGCGGCGAGGCATGCATTTGATAGCACTTGTAGCAGGACGTGTCAAACGAAACATAGTACAAAAGAGAAAAAGAAGGGGGGAGCCTGCCTAGAAAAGATGGTCTCTGTCTTTTTTTTTTTAAATACCGGAAAGTTTTTTTTCTGTCGGATATGAATTGACCGGACTGTTTGTAAAGCTGTGTATGTGTGTGACCTTGTTAAATCTGATAAGTCTCTTGTTTTTCTAATGAAAAGCAGAAAATATCAATTAGAGTTAAATTGACTCATAGACTAACCATTAATTTCCATGTAATTTTCTATATATCTTGTTCTAAGCAAGCTTTAGGTTTATGCTTTATAAAATCAACAGTACCTACTTTGTGTAACATGATAGCATCATGCTGTCCCAAATTCAATTCTTATAGGCATGTCTTTGTTTAGCCCAGTTGTCAATACAAAAGATCTTGTCAATTTCACACGCAACAAAAAAAAAAAAGTGGAGAGAAAAAAAGAGTTCAAGTTCAGAATGTTATTTTTCACACTCATGCTTCTTATTAAAATGGACATGAAAAAGGAAACTAGAATCCTTTTCTAAACAAGCATATATTTTTTTTTCTTTTTATCATTCATTCTATTGCTTGATCGCCGCTATAAAAAAAGAAGGGGAGGGGGGAATTGGCTGGCCTGTGACACATCATCAAAAACTCAACTCACTCTGTCTCTCTTTTTTTTAAAAAAGTTAGTGGCTATTGCATCTTTTCTTTCCCCTTTTGCTCTCATTTTTAATTTTTTTTTAAACCCCCTTTCTTTTCTCTCCCTTCCCTATATCATGACCTCTTCGGTAACTCGCAGTAGTCGATCCGCTACTCAAAAAAAACCAGTGATAGAAAAAAAGACTATCATGAAAAAAAAGAAGCTTCGTATGAATAAAAAGGATATGGATGAAAATGCGAAAAAGTAAACTAAATGTGTTGTAAATATCCTTCACTCATTCTTGATAGACTCAATGGCGATCCTGTATCTGCAAACGTCACTGAGCATCCAGAATATGTGCGTCTAATGAATGAACTTGATCAATCAAAGACAGAAAAATTGCAGCGAGTGGAACATTACAGAAACCTTGAGAGAAAATCGATTCATGACTGGTTTGCTGCTCAGAAAAAGCAAGCCTGGGATGAATTCTACGTAAGTTCTTTTTGATAGGAATACAATATTCATGATGATTAGTTTGCTCGAAAAAAGATTCGATCAGACCTTGTAGAAGATGTACAACGTAAAATCACAAGACTCAAACAAGAATTAGCTCAGTTGAATAAACAATGTAAAGTAATAGCTGTACATGATTGAAACTGACAAACAAAAACTAGCTCGCCATGTTCAGCATAAATTAGACTATGAAGATTGGGTTCCACCCGAAAGATTGCATTCAATTGATATCCTTTTTTATTGTTATTATTATTGTAATCAATACTAACCATTCATAACATGTATTACCTTAACCTTAGCTTACGCTCGTTTGTAGGAGGTGCTACACAAGAAGAAGCAGACCGTGATCTTGTCTTTGCAAGGCAACCATACAATGGGACACCTAACTTGGTATACTCAGATTATGAGTCCAGAAGTACAACAGATGATACAGCTGAAGATGCTGAAGCTTCTCCTTCTTCCCCTACTTCATCTATTTCAAGAGCGTCTCATCATCAAGAACAACCGCAACAACAACCACAACAGCAGCAGCAGCAGCAGCAACAACAACAAAATCAATTGTATTCCCCCTACGAATATGAAGAAAACCAAAGACGTGATTGGTGGCCCTATCGTTCCACTACAACAGCATAAGAAAACCAACCATACAATTAAGTTCTCTACTATCGTACCTATTTTTTTCTATTATTATTGTATACTCTTTTTGTATATGTTTATTTTCTTTTTTTTTAACTGTATTTTGTGCTCATATCAATATTTTATATTAAACATTTAACAAATGTCAACAACAACAACCACAAATTTTAACTTTGTCTTGTTACACATTTACAAGTTGTACAAGTCAATATAAAGAAAAAAAAAGTTAGATTGCGTCAGTACATTTCGTTAAAGACGTACATATACATGCATCATAAGCAGAAGTCTTACAGAAGCAACACGTGATAGTGACTATTTATTCTTGAGACAAAGCCATTTTGTATTGACAATGAAAACTTGCTTCTCTCGGTATAATGATATTCGCCTACTGTTCTTTTTATTGTAATATGTATACAGACAAAAAATTGACCCTAAAAGCGATGTGATTATATCTCATTGTTTTGTGTGGGGAATACACTTGTTATTTGGACAATTTACTCTGTTAAGGTGATGCAATTACTTAATTGGAATAAGCATCTCAAGACAACTACTTCCGTCATCATTTGATGAAGTTACATAAAAAAAGGAACCATCAAGTACACGGTGCGATAATCTTGATAGGGATGTTCTGCGAGATACAGCGCATAATGTCAAGCATCAGGATTAAGGTTTATATAAACCTCTCCTTCTTTCTGTGTAACTATGCGTTGGGCATACTTATTGAAAAGAGAGAGACTATGTCTATTTTACAAAACTACTCTGCTCGAGTAAGTACATTGGTTCTAAGAGGGTAACTGCTACGCTTTATTGAAAAATAAGCAAAAATTAGATTCTAGAAGTTAAGCAGAACATGAGATATATAAATAATATTTATATTGCTACTTACATTAGGTTATAAGAAAGAGCAGAGAGTAGAAGGTAGATAAAAGAGAGAAATAAGTTAGCAACAGATATGAACCAGTGTATGTAAATTATTGACACGGATACGAAGAGGTAGTTGAATACCACTATCTTGTCAATTGCATTCATAGCACTACACACTATGACCAACCAATACCAAGCTGTGATTGATTTATGCCAAAGGCTGCACCACCAAGTACTAATTTCCTTAAAATAAACAAATCATTCACAAAAAAAAAAAATAAGCGCGTTTAAGTATATAAAAGGTTCTTGTATCATGATACCTTTGTTGCTGAATTCGATTGACAAAAAACTGGACTAATTTTCATTTCGGATAACTTCTATAACCAAGCTTTAAAGTATGATATACTAACATTGGTGTCATAAACAAATTATATGTGTAATTCCGAAATTATTAATCAATTGAAACTAAAGATACTTGAATTCATCCTGACATAAAAAAAAAGAGTTGATGAAAAACCAGTATTATAATTGCTAATACATTTTACTATTTTCAAGTGTTTATTAACAGTTTTTTCCCTTATGTCTTGTGGTTATTTTTTTTTGTTGTTAAAGAAAAAGGGGGGAGCATGATAGAATAATCAAGTAAAACGTGCTTGCGGAAAGATAAATTACTTTCGGACGATAATGACTTGATTGTAAGATTTTCTTGAGTACAATTCTCAATAGGCCATGTATATTGAATGACATTCGATAAGGCATAAGAAGAAACTTTAGATAGAGTAGGTATATACTTACCACTATTTATCTTCAATCATAGCCAACTTTGTGTAGCAATATCCAGAATAATGTTTGTTCATATTCTTCTTACTCGGTACCCTTTATCGATTAGGTCAGAAACAGGTACACTAACTTACCAGAAATGTAAAGTTTTCTTTTCAGCTATAGTCTATTCATTTTAGCTACTATAATGTATACTCCATTGTTATATCGCTTATATTATTTACGCTCTATATGATCTTAATTTGTGTTGCCTTTTTGAAACCAGTCTATTGGCTTCATAATACCATCGGCTGATTGGCGAGTACTTGCCAAGCGAATCAAACTGATGCTTGCGGTAAAAAAAAAAAAAAAAAAAAAAAAAAAAAAAAAAAAAAAAAAAAAAAAAAAAAACTAAGCTTTGTATTGGTAAATTGTTTTACCGCCTTTAAGATATGTTGTAGGTATCTGGTTATCATGTAAATTAAAGACCGGTCATATTATTCAATATGCAAGTACCGTACTCTGCTTTCCTCTCGTGTAATACAATCTATGCGACCCGTTAACATAAACGTACAGTTGCAATGAATCATATATTAACAACAAGAATAACAATAACTACTACTACAACAACAATAACTTCCGAGCAAGAAAAAAGAGATGCGTTTAAATATATATATTATCTCAAGACACGAGTAAGAGAATTAAGCTATTCAAATTTTCTTGTTACTTTCACACAGACAAACACTACGTAAGCAGAACCTTCTTTTTAGATCCAAAAAATATTTTAGCGCAAAATGAGTATAAACCCAGATGATACAGCCTTTTTTCAGTAATTTTGTTGATGCCATTCTACACTGCTATGACCTAAATTTTTGAAGAGAAAAAGCAAAAAGTCAAAGGGAGAAGCTTCTTTTTTATGAGAAATCAAAACAGGACGCTTTGATTTTGTTCTTTGACATATTTCCCTCTGGTAGTACAGTGGGACAATGAATTACCCGTTATGGCAAAAGATGCAGGAAAATCTGGGGAAATTTAGGGTACTGAAAAATAAGATGATGGTGACAGAGGCATAAAACCATGTGAAGCTAAATTGTGGGGAAAGAAGAAAAATATACAGCATATGATAATTCTTACCTCGTCAGCCAGAACTTAGCTCTATGACCTAGGACTATAGATACACTTCATTTTAATTTGTTAAAAGCAACTTTCTTGAAAATACCGTGTTTTACCAATTCAATGAAATTCAAAAAATCCAATGATTGTGTTTCATATCTATGTAATTCAAGGGCAACTTTTCTCTAATTATAACCATAATAAGCAATTAAGTATATGACGATTGAATAACAGTTTCTAGGAAAGTCTAGTATGTTTTTAAAAGGTATAAATATGCTCGCATCATTCTCGTCTTCTTTCTTCTTAACTCTTCATTACAAATGAGCTACCAATCAAACACAGACCATAATCATCATTTTCAGCAAGATCAATTCGAAAACCCTAATCCAGCCAAAGAAAAGACGTACTCTTCATCGTCTGACAGTGATGGCTTTATGGAGAAAAGACAAGCAAGCAGTGGTTTAGCGGGTTTCATCAAAAATCCTTATGTTTGCTTTACTGCCATTTTTGCTTCAATTGGTGGTGTTTTGTTTGGCTGTAAGTACACAACTTTGTAAACACATTGACTAAACATGTCTCTTCTATTAGATGACCAAGGTGTTATTTCTGGAGGTAAGACAAAAGATAAATCAATAGTGAGAGATTAACATGTCAAATTTCAGTGCAAGAAATGAATGACTTTGTAAACCGATTCCCTCTGAATTCTACACAAACTGGTTTTATGGTCTCTATTTTAGAACTCGGTGCCTGGGCCGGTTCTTGGGTGATTGGTTATTTTGCTGACAAGATCAGTAGAAAGTATTCTATTGTATTGGCTACAGTTATCTTTCTTTTGGGTAGTGCTATTCAAGGTGGTGCTCAAAACGTTAGTTATTTATTAGGTGGTCGATTCGTCACTGGTATGGGTGTTGGCTCCCTTAGTTTATTAGTGTAAGTCTTGTTGATACATAAATGTAAATTCTGATTTTCTTTCTAGTCCTCTTTACCAATCTGAAATCTCTCCTCCTGAAATTCGTGGTTCACTTGTTTCTCTGCAACAATTAGCAGTAACTTTTGGTATTTTGATTTCTTTCTGGATTGACTACGGTATGACTCGAGTCCAAGGTCAAGCTTCATGGCGCGTTCCTCTTTGTATCCAAATTGCATTTGCTCTTGTCCTTGGTGTCGGTATCTTGTTCTTCCCCTTTTCTCCACGCTGGCTCATGGGTAAAGGTAGAGAAGAAGAAGCTCTTCAAGTGATTTCCAAATTACGTCGTCTTCCTCTTGACCACCCTTATGTCATGGAAGAATGGAAAGAAATCAAGGCTACTGTCGAATTTGATCGCCATATTGAAAGACAACAATACCCTCAATACGTTGACAAAGGCAGCAAAGGCCGTGCTATGATTGAACTCATGGGTTACCGTGAACTCTTCCGAAAGGGTATCTTTAACCGTGTTGCTATTGGTAGTCTTATCATGTTCTTCCAACAATTTACTGGTATGAATGCTCTTATTTACTATGCTCCCAAGATTTTCCAATCGGTTGGCTTGACTGGTGAATCTGTCTCTCTTTTGGCTACTGGTGTTGTTGGTATCATCAACTTTGTTATGACTTTCCCCACTGTCTTTTTATTGGATATTGTCGGTCGTAAGATTGCCCTGATGGTTGCTTCTATTATCATGGCAATTTGTATGATCATTGTAGCCATCATCACCGCTCTTTTTCAACACGATTGGCCAAACCACACAGCTGAAGGCTGGGTCAGTGTTGCTTTCATCTATGTCTTTATTGCCTGCTTTGCTTGCTCTTGGGGTCCCATTGGTTGGGTTATTCCTGCAGAAATCTTCCCCTTACGTGCTCGTGCTAAAGCTATGAGTGTCACTACTTCCTCTAATTGGATGAATAACTTTATTATCGGTTTAATTGTACCCGTTATGCTTGAAAACATTACGTATGGTACCTATATTTTCTTTGCTTGTTTCTTGGTGTTATCATTCTTCTTTGTTTGGTTCTTTGTACCAGGTAAGATTTTAATTGAATCATTATGTTGTCATACTTACTTTTTTTTTTTTTTTTTTTTTTTACAGAAACTAAGGGCAGATCGCTTGAGGAAATGGATGAAATTTTTGGTGGTCAATCTGCTATTCATGACGCTGAAATCATGAATGAAGTTCAGAACAAGATCAATCAACATTCAATTGGACAAACAAGTAAAACAGAACCTACTGTGTAATAGCTATATTTTGTTTCCTTCTGTTTATTTATCTATATATATATATATATATATAATTTCTAATAAAGTTCTGACTTGAATACAATGAAAAAATTGCTTATTACTGTATAAAAAGAAGCTTTTTGTTTTTCAAAAAACACTTTGGTGTTGCTTCTTTCGAATGGTCTATGCAAAAGTATGTATCAAAGAATATTTCTAAGTAAAATTATGTCAACTTTTGAGATGGTCAAAGAATCGCTAAAAGAACTTATGATACCTCAACGTTTTTCTCGATTTTTACAATATTGCGATTTGACAGAGGCAGAGCAACTTTTTACTAAGACATATTATAATACGAAATGCTCGCCTGAAAAAGCATTATAAAAAGTGTACACCAGACACCAAAAATAAAAAATACGTTTCTAACGGATTTCTCAAAAGTTTACTAACAACTACTCACATATTTCTACACCATTAGATTTCTTGTAAAAACTCCTACAACTTTTGTTATACTAGTTTCTTGATCGGTCTCTGTTTTTGGATGTTTTTTATTTTTTTATTCATGGAATCTGAAAATATTTCGTATTCAAAGTTCGAATAACAAAGAAAAAGTTGCCTTTTTTCATAATTACCAAAGTGGATATAAACATAGTTGAACATTCTTATTGTTTTAAAAGATTCATATGATTGATTTATCATATAATATCTTCAATTTAAAAGAATTGACGACTAGTATAATTGAAATACATATAAAATGAAATTTAAAGAGAAAATACAAAAGAACAAAGAAAAGCAGAGACTTTATTGACAGCCAAATGGGATACTTGAGTTATTTTTTCAAGGGCCTGCCTGTGTATGCGTATGTATTATTATTAGGTTATAAGCGTATATATGTGTTTTTTTACTAGAAATCAGGGAAAAGATTTCTAAAAGGATCAACAGCAGTTTCATTGCCATATTGTTCGTCTGTTTCAGGATATCTGTCAAAATGACTAGCATCACCTTCACCACGAATGCTTGGTACATAAGGAGGTCGAATTTGTCGTGCTAACACTCGGTTGAAATCGACACCATGAAACCAAGCATGTCTCTTGATATCTTCACTTCCGTCCTTCAAATTACCATAACGTTTTGTCAAATCAGCAGTTAACAAGCGCTTCAAAAAGTCCTTTGAATTAGGTATAAAGTACTGAGGATACTTGACACGACCAGCAAGAATTTTTTCGTACAACTTAAGATGGTCGTCATCATAGAATGGTGGGTAACTTTTTTTTTTTGCGTATGTTAAACAATACAGTCATGACTATCATCTCTCTTACCCTGCTAACATTTCAAATACCAAGACACCTAAACTCCACCAATCAACAGCTTTACCATAACCCTTTGACTGAATAATTTCGGGTGCTAATAGAATGATATGAGTATATCTCTATTATTATGAGTCATTGCTTACCTAGATAGTCTGGTGTACCACACAAAGTCCAAGTAATGTCTGGAACATGCTTTGCAAACCCAAAATCAGTAATTTTGATATGACCCTGACTATCAAGTAACAAATTCTCGGGCTTCAAGTCACGATAAATGACATTTTTAGAGTGCATGTATTCAATGGCCAAAATAACTTCAGCAGCATAGAATTTAGCAACATGATCAGGAAAACGCTACTCAAATCAATAACCAATGACATGTCTTTGTGAATTTTTACCTTGGATCTTCGAAGAACAGAAAACAATTCACCACCAGGAACATAATCCATGACCATGTATAAATTAACAGCATCTTGAAAAGTACCCCACATATTAACCAAGAAAGGATGTGCTACTGACTCCAAAATATGCTTTTCATTGTTTGTGTGTTCTACTTGCTTTAGTCGAACTACTTCTGACTTCTTCAATACTTTGATGGCATAATATCTCGCATTGACACGGGATTGGACAAGATGAACACGACCAAATGAACCAGTGCCGAGTGTGCGCAACATATTAAAGTCCGCTAATTTAAGTCTTGGTCGATCTTGACGTTGTTTAATGATGGCTTGATCATTGTAAACTGAGGTGTAATTGTTGGTTCGATAATTGCGAGCCTGTGTTTGTTGCTGGTAATTGTCTGGTTTATTGTCCATTGGTGCCTTGTTGTTGTTGTTGTTGTTGTTGTTGTTGTTATTATTATTAAACTCAGCATTATTAGCTGCTAAAAAAAGTTCACATGTGTTAGCACCCTCCTCTTTTGCTTCATAGAACTTACGCTTATCTTTCTTCAATTGTTGAAGAGACTCAATTAAATCTATAATGGGTTATTTCAAGCTTGGGGTGTGTCTCCTTGTTTTACCTTCCAAGTCCTCATCTTTACCATCTTGTCGAGATGAACTACTTTTAACAACAGTCGCTTCTGTGTGTTGAGATGAAGTGGTTGAAAAAGAAGATTGATTATGTAATTCCTTTTGGTTGTCACTTTGTTGCTGTTGACGAGAACCTTTTGCTTTATCGATAAATTTGTTTATAAAAGACATTTTCCTTCCCGCTTTTTTTTTCTATGTATAAAGAAAGAAAAAAAGAAAGTAAAGGAGAGGGAGGGGGGCAGGGAGAGTAAATGAATAATGTGAATAATGAACTCAATTCGGCGCCTCAAATTAAACAAGATGTAGTACAGTTTTTTCTTTGATATTTTATACTACTTGCTTTTTCTTGTTTGCTTTTTAAACAGTGTAGTAAGGTAAAATGCTATTTCAAACCCATTTATCTTTGTTTGTTTGCTGTTTATAATGTGGAATCATTCATTCATATGCAAACAGAAATAACCACTCAATTGTATTAGTCTTTCTTGCTCTTTTGTACATACGGATTCAATGACTTTAGTTTTCTTTGTGATAAATTAATTTCTTTGTCTATAAATATGGTCTACATAAATCCCCTTTATGGAATTATTTGCTCAATAGTAATACATATGTCCAAATATAGCTGTTCTTTGGAATGCTCAGAGCGTTCTTCATACTATAGGCAAAAAAGGCTTTCTTAGTCTTAAAATACATATGAGATGAAAGAAAGAAGAGTTTGCAGGCTTGCCATATGGCATCAATGAGCATGTCATAAAATAAAACCAATGCTTGATGACTTTTTTCCTAAACTAAAGAGTTAGAGTAACAGTCATCTCTCTGAAGAGAGGCTTATAAACCAACATGTATACATTTTTTTAAGAAAAATAAATAAAGGCTGTCTTTTGTAAGGCAATCACAGCGAGTAACGCAAACGATACGGTGCCCATATATAATCATATTCTCTTGGTCTATATAGTTCTCGTGGTAAGACTCTTTGCTTGAGCGAAACCATTAGGTCAAACATAAAGGCTACCATAAGTATTAATGAAGACAAGGACATCAAATCTGTAGAACTTGGCTTTCACACCTTCATGAGTGATATACATGAAGAGTTGGATTCACTCTCAGTAGAAGCCAAGACCCTGATGCCAAGATGTCATCGAACCTTAGCAATTAACTAATTAATACAACGCATAAAAACGCCTTGATCTCTAACACACAAAAAAAAAAACGCTTTGAGCTGGCTTTATATGCTTGGTCGTTGTACCAAGTAAGGCAAACTCTATCTCGGTTTTATTGAGAGTTTGTAAAACAATGCCGAGTCCTGCTGTGAAACAATTCTTCGATAGCCCAAGACGTGTCACAGTCAGTTTAAATTGATTTTCATGTTTCAAAGTAGACATACATACACAAGAAGCATGATAATAAATCGCAATTAGGAATGGTTTGTGATAGCGAATCAATACAAGAAGAAGGATGCAAAAAAATAAAAGCTATCTTTCTTGAAGCACAAATTGGGTCTTTTCAAAAGAGATATTGACATCTTCAAAGATCTCCATTCTTTTTAACAGTTTCTTCACATTGGATTTGATATATCTTTGAGAAAGAAATGAACCAACTTATTTTTCTCTTCGAACCAAATTGTGTCCAGAAGATCAATCAATTTTTCTACAAAGTCCGACCACCTTTTTCGAACAAAATGTCCAAGTGGTAGTGGAACGACTGTATTTCTTTCTTTCTTTCTTTCTTTATTCTTCTTTTTTTCTTCAACATGAAGCTGTCGTATTGTTTTGTTTTCTTGTGCTTTCTTATAGCCCTGGCTGAATGTTCTGTTCAAGAAAAGGTAAAGAAAAGTCTTTGTATTTAAGCATCAACTTATACATTTCTAGGCACATGTATCAAATGCAACTACTTATATGCATTCAGACATGAATGAAAGAATTTTAATCAAAAGAAAACAACATGCTTCTTCAGATACCAGTATGTCAACTACTGCCTCAGACCCATTATTTGCACTTGTTATATTTGTGGCGCTAAGCTCACTTATGTTTTAATCAGCCTTACTTATATATTATATCTCTGTAAATATTTGTATACCCCATCTAGACAATAATAAAAAATATATGTTTGAACATATTTCATCATGACACCGCAAACTGTCACAAACTTTGTTTCTGTAACACATACAGACGCAACGTTTGGGCTGATAATTAAATTTAATATCTTGGCTTTACATCTTTTGGTCTCGGGTCTGTGACTGAAATTGGATCATCATGTTCTTGTGCTATACCAGGTTTTATCAATCGAATCTTAAACACTATTCTCCTCACCTTTTTGATTAAATTTTGAAGTAGATTAAATGATGAAGGGATGGGTAACATACTTCATTCCTGATGATGGTGTTATAGGTGGCTCATCTAATAATAATAATAAAAAAAGAAAGTCAGAGCCTCCTTTGATGTCATATAAGGCTGGACTGGTGTCAAATGAGAAATCTGTGTTAGTGGGATCAGTTTGTGACACCTTAGGCGCTAAAAAAATGAAAATCAGCCTTTCAAGTAAACTGAAGGTAACACTATGTGTGTAGGAATATGAAATTTGACTAGAATTTTTACAGAACCAACATTACAACTATTTCAGAGAAGCTGCTATTTTAAAATTTGATATCTCTTGGTCCAAAAATAAAGTTGTGTTCTCTTCTTCTACTTGTAGTCTATTCTCTAAGCAAACTAGGAGAATTCGTGTGATAGTTCACGCTATATTCCATCAATAAAGTCGTAAAAGTATGCATTTAAGCTTATACACTATTAGAAAAAAAAATTCGTTGTGAAAAACAAATTCAAGTTAAGCAGAGCATGAGATACATAAGTGATACTTATATAGTTACTTACATTAGATTATAAGAAAGAGCAGAGAATAGAAGGAAGATGAATTAGTAACAGATATGAACCAGTGTATGTAAATTATTGACACGGATATGAGGAGGTAGTTGAATACCACTATTTTGTCAATTGCCTAATTGCTAAAAATGAGATGGTCTTTAAATCACTTTTTCGTATGACTACATAAGCAAAACTTGAGGCGACCCTATGTCAAGAAATAAATAATACAACTATGAAGTATAGTTTAATAAGCGTGCTGCTGTATATATGAGTGAATAGACGTGATTGGTTTTATCACGAATAATGGACTAGGTAAAGATAGGGTTACTCGCGCTGTATTTTATTTAAATGATAAGTGATGAGTTCCCTCACCAAGACTTATTCCTTCTCGCTCAGGGACCGACTTCAAGTCCGAGGTAGTAACCTTTGAATCATAAACTTTTGGTCAGTCCTCAGAATAAATACGTATTAGAAAACAACGTATGGACTCTTATGCCTATTAAAATAAAGCCAACGTTGCTTTTGTTTATCTAATTCACTGCATATCACTACGATCGAATGCGCTTATCATTCAATAAGACACGCTTGCATAAATTCGTTTTTTTTCGCTGTTTCGGTCATTCAAACACTCCCTTTTTTCTTCTTGCTTCATGTAATATGACAAATAAAGAGAAAGACGGCCTTCCTTTGATTGTGTTTATACCTATTATTATTTGCGCTATATGTATTCTAGTCTTACTAGATATTCGAAAAAAACGAAACGATCCTCAAATAAGTAAGTCAAGAAAATAGTCGACATTCATTTAAAAAGAAAAGCTGCTTTTTATCAAGATGATGACCAAGATCATGTGTTTGATGAAACAAATCATCCAAATGTCTCTTCTGAGGAAGATAATGGAGAAGGATCTTCTACAGCAGTACGCGTCAAAAAAATAGGGAAAAAACGAGGCGAGAAATTAAAACGAAAAGAACAAATGCGTCAATACCGGGAATACATGGACCAACAAAGGGAAATACGTAGAGCACAAGAAGAAATTGCAGAAGAAGAGTTTAGACGCAAACGAATAGAAGACTCAATAAAAAGACAGGATGAATTACAAAAATTAAGAAAAGAAAAGGAAAAGAAAGCCAAGCAAGAACAAAAGGAAGAATTAAAGAAGCAACAATTACAAGAAAAAGACGCTAAAAAGAAACAAGCAAGGTTTGGCAAATATAGTCATAAAGTAAAGCAATGGGTCAAGGTAAGTGTGTTGCATTGCATGCTTTTTTTTTATAACTTAATCTACCTCAGGATAAAAAACTATGCGATTTAGATCAATTATCAGCATCAATTGGATTAGAAAAGCAAGATATCATTGATATCTTAAAGCAATTGTGTTTAGAAGATGATGATTTCAGCCTGTGCTTATGGTCTGACAATACATTCTTGTTTGTGACAGAACAAGACTACGAAAGATTGAATAGAGTGATTGAGAAAAAGGGCAAGATCTCTATTCATCAAAGTCAAGAAATCATTCAATCTTTATTTTAGAAATCACATCTTTTAGGCTTTGCATAATAAACACGTCTTGATCTTGTTTCTTGTCAATGTCAATGCTGGACAATTGACTTGTTAGCTCATCTAACTGTACTGTATCATTGGGTAAGAAATGCTTTAAAAGTTCAATAATCTACAGAGACAGAGTAAGCTTGTGACATACTGTCTTCTTGTGTCTTACCTTTAACACTTGATCCATGGTGGCTTGATTGACTGAGCCTGTTGATTTGGATTGATGAATAAGCAGATCTAATCGAGAATTTGCAAGATCTAATGGTGTTCGTGTAGCTGCTCTGAGTCTTGTCTGCATATCTGTACTGCCCGCATGATTTCTGATTTTGGCACCTGCTTCTAACAATGCCAACACAGTATCTACATCATTTGAAATTACTGCCAGATCTAGCGGCTTATTACCGATAATATCGCCTGTTGGGTTATTCACATCGGCGCCCCACCGAACTAACTGACGAACCACAGCAGCCTGACCTGCAGCGCATGCTACTAGCAAAGGTGTACGAAGTTTTGAGTCACGTATCAAATCAGGATTAAGGCCTGCTTTCTTTTGTTCGAGTAAATAAGTTACTGTTCAACAGTAAGTCAATAAAAATTGGGAAGACAAAAAGACACAAACCTTTAGGTAGATCGCCTTTCGAACAAGCGGTCATGAGTTCTTCCCGTTCTTTACTGTTAATAAAGACGTCTTTTAAACGAGTAGACGTTGTCTTTTTATGATTTGTTTCGTTCTTTGATATAGTGTGTGGAGTGATTCTTTTGAGGATATCGTTAGGTGTCTTACTTGACATATTATTGAGAAAAAAAAAAGAATATGCACTGTTGTTTTCCCTCCTGATTTCAGGCGGGAGTTAAATGTCTTGACTAACTAATGCACTATTTGATAGGATTGTATACTTATGTAGCTTTATTGAGATGAATTGTCTAATGGATACTTTTTATCTTGCTTCTCTGTAATTGCACATAGTTCTTGAAAAAACCTATTCAACGAAATAAATGTCTGCTCTTACAACTGTCATAACTTACTTCAATTTAGCTGGTCTAAGATAAGAAGTAACTAGTCCACTTGTACTTGGCATGACAAAAATAATTGTTTCTCCTTTACCAGAATCCCAAGAAATCGAATAAGACTGAACACCCATCACATCACATTTCTTTCGAGCATAAATTTCATAGATACCTTTTCCAACAAAACACGCAATTCTAGGTCGATACTTTCTGATTTTTTCATTCAAGATAGGTATACCTTCTTGTTGTTCAGCCAACGTCAAGTCAGATGCTTTTCGAGATGGTCTTGCTGTCAAATTTGTGAATCCTAAACGATATCGAGCTGGCATATCTATATCGTCTTTAAATGTCACTTTTTCATCAACAAGGCCACTTTCGGATAAACATGGCCAGAAATGGTTGGTGGGCCCAGCATAATGATGACCTCTTGTTGAACTCATCAAGCCTGGATTGATACCTACAAACAATACTTTCAAATCGTCTTCAATAATATCTGATACAAGAGGAAATTCCTCGATTGTATTTTCAGGCTTGGGCTTCTTTGTTTCAAAGTAAGGTGATGTAGTTTTCGCTTGTCTTTTTCTTTTGCTCATAAGAGAAAGAGAGGAAAAAAAAATTATGCAAAGGACAAAACGCGTACTTTTTTAAACCAATTATGCTTGTGTCTCCATCCCTCTTTTTAAGGCAATGTTTGTCACTCAAATCAGAAACAAATGTCAAAAAATTATAAGTTTATTGTTTTCATTTTGGTTACAAAAAAAAAAAAGGGATCTCAAAAGATATGAACAATGGTCCCTTTTCTTTTTTTTTTTATGTATTTATGGCATTTAGTTTTCCAAAGTGAAAGAGAGACCGAGTTTGTGAGCGTTTTCGTTAAGACGAGTAGTATCAACAGAGGCACCAAGGTTGACCTTGACACCAGGGCGAAGAGCTTGAGTGTAAGCAAGACCGAGAACACCAGAGTTGGAGATCTTGGCCTTGACGAAAGCAGAAGGATCCAACTTGAGCTTGGCACCAACTTCAAGAGCAACAGCGTTGGAACCCTTGGAGTCCCAAGAGGCCTTACCGGAAGCTTCGAGGTCACTGTTGACACGGTGGTAGTAAGAAGCAGAGTAGTTGCTCAAGTTGTTGGTAGCATGAACAGCAACACCGTATTCAGCAGCAGTGTAACCGATGGCAGCATTGTAGCGACCGATCTAGCATTAAATGAGCAAAAACACATACACACATGTATAAATTACCTTGCCATCCAAAACGTTGTAGGCAACTTCACCACCAACGAGGAAACCTTGTTGACCAAAGACAGAGTTAACAGAAAAGTTGGTCTATAAGAGAATGAGATATGGCTATCATAATATTTTCTTACCTTGAAGACATCAAGAGTGGCAACAGTGTGAACATTAGGCTTCTTGTAGGTAGCGTTGATCTTAGCAGCCTTTTCGTTAACGGAAGGAAGGAGAGAAGTCAAAAGTTCAAGCTTAAGACCCTCTATCATGAAACATAAGTTTCCAATCCTTTTTCACATAAATACTTACTAGCAAGGTTGTTTTCGAGTTCAATCTTGCCGTTAAGGTGGTTAGAGGTGGTCCAGGCTTCAGTGAAGGTAAGACCGTTCTTCTTGTCAGAGTACTTGGTTTCGAGGTCACCAACAATGATACCAGTTTTGTTATCACGTTGACCGTTAACCTTGAAGGTCTACAAAATTCATCAGATCAGTATTTTCTCTTTCTCTCAAGAAATTTGACTTACAACACCGTTAGGAGCGGTGGTCTTAACTTCAAGCTTGACACCACCAACGGGGTAGTCCTTGGACAAAAGGTCCTTGGCAGACTTGCCAATATCATTGAAAGCAACTATAATATAATATGAGCAACACAGGATGAATAAAAAAAGGGGAATAAAATCACTTACCAGGAACAGACATCTTTAAACACAAATCAAAGATAAAGAGTTAATCACATACGCTCTTGTTTTAATAATTTTCTCTTATCATTTACCTTATGTATTCGACTTTTTAAAGTGAGGGAATAAAGAAGAAAGGAAAAGAATGTTTTTTTTGTTAGTCAAATGTACTTTCGGATGTTCAATTCAACATGGGTAAAATTTCGCACTGGGGTATACAGATGTAGGACACCCCACCAAAAACAAAACAAAAAAGATGATCCGTATACTCGACTTTCATTGGTTTCAAACAATAATAAGCAACTTATGTATTGTCGACTACTGCACAAAGAGAACCCTTGAATACATTATAAAGCTGCTCAAGAAAAAATAGAACAAAACGCGATATCTAGCCTTAACAAAATCTGTTCACGTTGGTTATGTTAATTATATCATTTGCTGATCCCTTTTTTTGTGAAGCAAACAAAAACAATCTAAATGCATGTAGTCATCCTAGAAAGTAGAGTCGTGGATTTTGAGTATGATGTTGTGCAAAAAAAAAAAGAAAAACTTTGTGCTCGTAATAATCAGTAATCAAGTAAAACGCCATCCATTGTTGAATATATACTGTTTTCACTTATTATTGAGACACTTTTAGGAACCAATATGGAACAGAAACAAATCAAGGATTAGAAACAAGAAAATAAGAATGAACTGACACAAATAGTACTATCCCAAATATATCAAATCATTGTCTTTGTTAAACTGTAAGAAAATTTGACTATAATAAAGCAAATAATAAGAATTTCAGGTTCTAACTTGACGATTTGCTTTTTCGAAAAACTGCATTTCTTCGCTTTCTACAAACAGACATGACCGATGAATTCAAATACTTTGCTTTATCTTCACATGTTACTGTCAAGATGGTATTTGGGCGACAGTTTTTTTTGACTAGCCAATCATGTTCGTCTACTGCTGATTGGCTTTTATCAAGGATTAAAATTCTGCTCAAAGCTTATTCAAGTAATCATAAAAATTAAGCTTTTGACCTTGCTTCTTAAGCAAAGAATGATTTAGGCAATGAGACTTAAAGTAAAAATAACGACTCAAGAAATAGAAGTCAAAATTAGAGAGCATTTACTCTTACAAACATGTTTGAAAATGTGTATTAATCCAAGTGGGAAAGTATGCATTGCTAGAAGTCTTTTCCGTTTAAGGCTTCATGTCTAAATATGATGTACTTATGAACATACCTAATGTACAAGGTGATTTCCTTTCTCACTTGTGAACGTCTTTATTAAAAATGACAGAGTAAAAAGAAGACAACGGTTTTAAACGCTAAGAAATCTTTTAGACTTTAACGTTTGTATAAAAAGATGCCATTGTTTTCAAGAGTTAGATACTGAAGTTTGACTCAATATTGTTTGCCTTTCCTTCATTACTCAGAATATGCAAAGTTTTCAATTCAAATAGTTATTTTAAGATTGGGCAACAGAGTTTAGATTGCGTGATTTCTATTTCGGTCTATAACTTTAGAGAGCACCTAATTTATAATGCTCACTTTTTGCAGGTAGATTTTTCTCAAAAAAAGAAAAGACAATTGACCAAAAGTTTGCCTCCATCCAAAGCTAATAGTGTACGATAATGTGAGCCAACGACATCTGATTTAGAATTGGACAAGATCAGAAACTGAAAAAATATGAAATGATAGAAAATTTATGTGGTTTTCATGCAGGTTTAATAGTTTTGATGTATTTAATTGAGTATAGATATTCGTGGTTTTTCAATAATTTATATCATGGATAAATTTGATGCAATTTCTATGCAAACTGAGAATTTTGATGGGAAATTCAAATGGCCTGATAAAGAGCAGCTTCCGAAAAAAAACAAGGTAAGCAAACTTAGCAGTACATTTTTTTTCATTAGTACAATACGATTCAACTTAAAAGTGAATGCATACTATTGAACATCAAAAACATGTAAATTATATATTGTATGAATTTTATAGAGTATCTCTCTTAACACTTTTCTATCAAGTAGATGTTAAATAGATATTACATAAATCATATAGAATATCCATATTGCATGAGTATTGCATGAAACTAATACCAAACAATGTCTATTTTAACATTTTTTTATCAGATTGATAGAATATATATACTCTATGTATATTGCATAACTTTTTCTTACGGTGATATAAATCCAATCCTTTACCCTGCTGCATAAAAAATTGGGATTTGGTGCAATAGAAAGAGCTATAGATATTTGCTTTTGAGCCTATTGGTGTAAAGAACACGACAAGTATGCTAGCAGAATACTGAGAAAAAGTGTAAAAACGTTTATAAGTTTTTCACTCTTATCATGCTATTTTCGTAGTACAATTAACAAACAAACACTTTGATCAAAAACCATAACGCCTTGAACACACTTTGAGTATTTAATTATATTGATAGCTCAATTTTTCATTTTGTAGCGTTAAAAAAAACCTCAAAGAGTTGTCAATTTGATGATCTTTACGAGTAGTACCTTTTGGTTTTGGAAGACCATTTTGGTCAAGTTTTACAAGTCGCTTTTTTTTGTCTAAAACAACTCCAAAGGCACCGTTTATATGATTAAAAATTGTTTCTAGGTACCTAACGTATTTATGCGTGCATAAACAGGTCTCAAAGCACCTTCATTTGCCTAAGAAAAAGAACAAGGTCTGTATGAATTGCTATCTTTTTTTCTTTTTCTACTGCTAAAGCGTTTATTTGTCTAGAGTCTTTAATACATGAATAAGGTATGTACTATCAAGTAGCTTATTTGAATGGAATGCCCTGATAAAAGAAAACACCTGCTTCACCTAAATACATAAATAGATAAATAAAAAACTGATATGTGCTCATAAGAGTGTCAAAGTATTGGAAAACTGTATGATGCATTAAATCTGATTCAGATGACTATATATTACCTATATTCACAGCTCTAATTTTTATCAATTGCTTTATCTATAGTCAGGATACATTCAACTCAAAAAGTACAGTTTTATTTGCATGATTTGACACAATTACTCCAATGGGCAAACATCAACTAACAAATGTTCTACATCTAATTAAGCGGCCATTTCCTTATTGATAAAATGTTCTAAAGTAGATAGAAAATAATAGGTATCAACCTGTCAATCACACTGAACTGATTGGAGATCGACTGGCTCATCTAATGCAGATCCTTGTACAGCAGTAGTTAGTAAATTATCTGGACCAATTCTACTATTTGTGAAATAAAGTTTCTTGAAAATTATGCTGAACCCTGACAATTCATCTATACATATGAATCTGTTGTTGACTCAGTAAACCGCATTCTTTGTTTGATCTTGATCTTTTCATTCTTATTTTGACATTAATAAGTTAGCAAAAAATAGTATGGGTGAGAATGAATGAACACGTGCAATCATGAGTGAGCATACGTAATCATGGATGACCCTGGGTGACCATGGATGGGCATAGACGAGCAGAATGACAGAAAAAACGTATGTGTTTTGGATGTTCAAGATCAATTTGCTCCTTAATATAGTAGACTTATAGAAAATAATTCTTTGTTAGTTTTTTGGCTGTATTTTGACAAGACTTTATCATTTTTATCATTTTTTTCTTAATTTAATCTAATTCTCTTAAAATTAAAGACATTAAAGCGTAGACGATAGAAGGGAAGCGTTGTGGTGAGAGTGTATTTTCTTAAGCTGAAAGTAATTGTTTTCCAGAAATGTTTTCTGTTGACACAAATAGAGTACTTGCACATTGGTATTGGTTTTGTCAAGTTCATAAATAAAGTTTGTTAACTTATTAATTTCATGGAAAAGCTTTTTTTGAGCACATGGCCCAATGTGGCCTTTGACTGCTCGGACTCGATCAATTCATAGACATGGCTATACTAAGCTAAAGATAGACTAAAAGAACAAGGGTAAAAAATGAGTAGAGAGGAGAGTGTTGACTTAATGGTGTGTATGGGTGTGGGTTTATAACCAGAGAAGAAATGGAAACATTTAGGTTGAATATTGGAAGGAGTAAATTGTTTATAATGGTATGTTGCATAGAGATGATTTGGGATAGAGGCGAGTGTATAGAGGCTCATTTGGTACTCCTACAAAGTAAAGAGCTGGTAGACTTGAGTATTTTTGAGAGAACAATTTACAAATCTCTGAAAGACAAAGAGCTTGGCAAGAGGCACTTTTGCATTCTCTGAAGCCATCTTGAGCAGTGTCGAAGGACAATGCTTGGCCTTGAAGAAGTTCCCTGATGTATGTTTTGACCGTTTTCTGGAAGTAGCAGTCAGACTAGTTAGAAAGTAATTGACTGGATCAGTCGGGCTGCCTTTCTCATGAATTGAGACTACTTGTGCGACTTGTCAACAGTAAGGCGTGCACGGTCAGCGCCAGCACAAATCAAAATATGGAGAATAGATCACAAAAACCATTGCAAAAAAGATTGGTAGACAACAAGCAGCATGGAGAGTTCGTCTGATGAAGCGTCTTCAACGCAAGCGCAACAAGTATTTCAAAGAATACGATACAGCTCGCATTCCTCATCCACTCCTTTCAAACGTTGAAAAGAAAATTGCAATGGTACAAGAGGACTATGTCAACAATCTTGTTCTTCGTGCTGGTCGACACTGGAGAGAAAATGGTGAAACTTCAGCAGGTTACCTCAAGAGAACTATTGAATCCAAATCAGCTAAGAAATCCATGCCGCCACTCATTCATCCCATCATCGGCAACCTCTGTCAATCGACCGAAGAAATGGAAGATGCGGTCTCAACTTTTTACGGTCAGCTTTACTGCCCTGACCAGGTAAGTATGAAACATATTGCAGATCTCACTAGCACAATTCCTTCTAGTGACAGCATTCCAGATGTAATGCATAATCGATTATGTGCTCCCATCGCCCTACAAGAACTTCAAGAAGGTGCGGCTAGAACCCCAAGTCAAAGCAGTCCTGGTATAGATGGGTTACCGTACGAACTACTTTCCATTTTATTGCAGCATCCACTTACTGGCGCTTTGGCCGTAAAGGTATACAATGATGCACTCACCTCCTCTAGATTTCCACAGTCTTGGTTACAAACTTGTATGATTCTACTACCAAAAAAGGGCAATCTCTCTTCGCTAACAAA